TAACCCTTGGCGACTAATCTGCCTTTATAGCGCTCTACAGAACCATCTGCATTGTGCTTCACCTTGAACACCCAGCCTGAGCCTATTGCCCTTTTGCCTGGTGGCAGTGGAACAATGTCCCATGTGTTATTGGCCATTAGAGACACAATCTCTTCATTGGCTGCTTGCTGCCACTTATCAGCATCAGGACTGCCCATAGCCTGTTTATAGGTCCGAGGGTCTGCTCCAGCAGATAGACCAGCAAACTGGACTTCAACAAAGTCAGCATCTGCATCTATCACATCCAACTCATCCTCAGACTCTGCATCCTGCATAGGTGGTGGTGAAGTTCGCATTTTCCAGGTGGGCCTAATGTTGCGAGGTACCCGGCACTGAGCAATTGGACAATGATCTATAGGTTCAAATGGAGGAGGAGTTGGAACTCTATGATGCTCTGAAGGATCTGGTGGTGGTGGAGTTACTGGATGCTCAGGTGCAGGTGGTGCAGGTGGTGCAGGTGGATCAGCTTCTGAAGCAACTGGACCGGGTATAGGATTTGGCACATGTGCACCATCTCCCCCTAAATCCTGTCCAGGTACAGGTGCTACAGGTAGAGGAATAATGTCTGCAGGTGGAAATGACATAGGGGGTGGAGGAGGAATATCAGGAGTGCATTTGAGGCCAGGGAAGTAGCGCTCATCAAAATCAGCATGTTCTGAGATTATAGTCTTTTTGGTGTCAGGATTGTAGAACTTCCACCCCTTGTATCCTGCAGGATAACCAATAAACACGCATTTCTGCATGTGTGGTCCCAGACCTGTACGCTGATCCTTCTGCACATGCACATAGGCAGTACAGCCCCAAACACGAAGATGGCTGACATCTGGCATCCGCTTGTACCACAGCTCATAGGGAGTTGCACCCTTTACCACTGCTGTAGGCAGACGGTTCCAGACATGCACCATAGATGCAATGCATTCTTCCCAGAAGGAAGGAGGCAGTTTAGACTCTGCTAGCATAGCAGTGATGTCATTGTCCATTGTGCGATTAGCTCGCTCTGCAACTCCATTCTGCTGTGGTCTATTGCGCGTGGTATGTCTGCGCTCAATCCCTGCCTCCTGAGTAAACTGTATAAAGGCATTGGACATGTACTCCCCACCCTTGTCATCCTGGACAGCCTTGATTTTTGCTTCAAGCAGATTTTCAGCATAAGCTTTATACTGCTTGAAAGCATCAAAGGCTTCACTCTTAGCCTTTAGCAATAGCACAACCCTGAATTGGCTGTAATCATCTATGAAGGTGATCCAGTACCGATATCCTGAGTGTGTACACACAGGCAGAGGTCCATGGACATCTGTGTGAATTAATTCTAGGGGTTTGGAGGCATGACTGTCCGATGTAGGGAAGGAATTGGCATGCATTTTACCGGCCAGACATGGTTCACAAATGGGGTCAGGCTGCTGCTTTGAATCCAGCATAAGACCAGTCACTAGCTTCTCTCTAATCATCTTTTGGACATCGGTATAGTTGTGATGAGCAAAGCGATGCCAGAGATTTAAATCAAGAGGGACTGTGGTTATAGCCTGTGCAGACTCTGGAGCTGGTTGTACAGTTCCATTAAGAAAGGCAGTGTAGTTCTCTGTGATAGAGGCAACAAATAGAGTCTGACGAGAGTGAAGGAAGGTCATGAACTTGGACTCTATGTGAATTCTGAAGCCTTTCTGATGAACTAAATACAGACAAGAGAGGAGATTGTTCCTGAGCCTTGGGACATGCAGCACCCTAGTGAATTCCACAGGCCTGACTGCTTTCCCTGCAATCACTGGATTAAATACAACTGTTCCCACCCCAGCAGATATGACAATGGTGTTATCAGCGAGTTTGATTGGAATGACCAAAGGTTTGTAATTTCTAAGCCAGTGGTGATGAGGTGTCATATGAGAAGTGGCGCCTGTGTCTGCATTCCAGTCAAAGTCAGCATCAAGCTGAAGTGGGTCAGAGAGACTTGCTTTGCCAGCAGACTCTGTGACAGTGGTAGGGTCAACCTGAGTGGTATTCTGGGTGACAGCAGCAGCAGCAGTAGCATTTGCCTTGTTTCCACGCTTAGAGCGGTGCTCTTTGCGATTTTCCTTGGCTTTCTTTGAAGCATTCTGGAAAGCATAGCAATTGGACTGTGTGTGTCCTTTGCCCTCACAAAAATCGCAGGTGAGCTGTGAGGAGGAAGCAGTGGTGAGTGCTTGATCTGCTTTGGGAGAGGAAGTGGTGCAATGATGACGATTGATTTCCTCTGTGACAAAAGCCTGGGTGACAACATCTTTGCTCAGGATATCACGCTGAAGTAGCGCAGAGGTAAAAGTGCCATATTCCTCCACAGGAAGAGCACGAATCATAGCCATGGAGGTTAACTCTTCATCCAGCTTTGTCAGATTAAAGTCATTAGGGCGAAGGTCTTTAACACGCTGCATGGCAGCATTAACCTTATTGACAAGCCCTTGAAGTGATTCCTCTGGTTGCTTTCTGATGGAGAAGACATTCATAAGCATTGAAACGCGCTCCAGGTTTCTTCTGCAGATGAACAGCTGCAAGCTGTTCCCACATTTTGATAGGGTCATCCACCACACCAGCAAAGTGAGTGCGCTGATCTGGTTCCACCGTCAAATAGATTTGACCAGCTGCTTTCTCTGCATTGGCCTCCCAAGTGTCTAGCTTGGTTTGCTCAGCTGCTGTAGGTGATCCAGAGAGCTTTGGCTGTGGAAGCTTGCCATTGACAAGTCTCCAAAGGTTTGCAGAGCGCAACCAGGCAGCCATTTCACCGCTCCAAGTAGGGTAATTGGAGTCATTGAGCTTGGCAAAGTTGAGAGTGTGGGTAGAGGTGGAAGACATGATGTGGAAAGGGGTAAAGGGTTGTGTGTGATTATGTCTGGTGCTTGAAAAAGTGCAGGATAGTCCTCAGGAGTGTGTGCAGGAAAGGAGGTATAGTAATTGTAACCAGTAAGTATTTACTAAACACCCAGTTGTACAACCGCTCAGGTCACTGGGATGATTACCAGGATGTTCCCAAGAAGGTCAAAGGCTGGCCCACTGAAGTGCACAGACCCAACAGTTGGTGTCTTTGTAAATAAAGGATATGCAGCACACTATAAGGACAAGAAAGGCACAGAAAAGTGACCAAGACAAAGCAACAGCACAGGGGCTAGAGCGCGGGGCTCATAACCTAATAAAGTCGCAATATGCAGACCTTGTAGGGAACTTAAATAACAGGACAGAAGAGCTGGGCAACACAGCTAGAGTCCAGAAGTGAGTCACTAAATAATATTGAGGACAAAGTACTCTACTCACCTAGAGTCCAGAAGTGAGTCACTGAGGACTCAGAGTGGACTCTAGGGGGTTTATATCTACCTAGAGTGTGGCTATACAAACCTGTGAGTAACACAGGATTGTGGCTATGAACATAGGCAGGCATAGCTATGCATAGCTTCTACATAGCAGTGCATAGCGCAGCCTGATCAATAGGTATTTAGGTGTACAGCATCTTGCATTGCTTTGAGTCTAGACACTTAAGAGACTGATGGATTATCTAATCTAACAATTAGGCCTTGTGAGCAACCCCCGCATGCCGTGGCCGAGTACGCTATAGGGGAATCCGACGCGACGTGACCATTGGCGCTGGACTTATTGACATAGGCATTTTGGCCTTATGTATTTAACATGTTTTAAACATGACAGTTTTACACACAACACTAATACGCGCCCCCTTAGCCGTAGTACACGATTTCACTCGTGATGAGCCATGCCGAAGGGATGCTGGTGATCCGGCAATGTGCCGGCCGCGGTTCCTGACTGAAAACGGCAGACGTTTTCTTGACGCGCTCTCCCTGCTATGGTGTGTTTTACGAGATACTGAAGTTTAAAAGGCTTGAACACAGTGCAGGGATGCTCTGGTTCAGTTCTGTGACAACCAGGGATTACTATTGGTGTGGGCCATAGGGAGAGATGTTGCAACATAGTAGATTAACATGTTCTCTGTCACCCCTCCCAGTTTGCAGGTACCTGCGACCTCCTCCGAGTCTGTTGTACCACCAGTTCCTGCACTTTGCAGTTCGGAAGGATGAGCCTACCACTGTGCATGCTGGTCTGTCCCATATGCTCGTCTCCGGGTTTTCGGACAACACCTCTGCGCGCGACGCGTCGTGGATGCCAGATCTATGCACGCGTTTCTGAGATCAAATTTTCGGAACATCCCGAATTCGTGTACTGCGGTTTGACCCAGGACCCTGGATAATCCCCCCGAAGGTCGTCGCCAAAACCCCCCCAATTTACAAAAATCTGTCCGGCCCGTTTTTGGCCGGTTTAGGGAGTTTTTTGTCCGGAAATAGCGACATCCTCGCTCTGGGGACGTCCATTTTAGGCAATTTGTGGCTATTTTTAGCCTTTTTCGGCTTTTTCCGGCGATTTTCCGGCGATTTTTGCCCCAGAACAGTTCCATGTCCGGATAGTACGACGGCTACATGGTCCTTAGGGGGTCCATTTGTCCGGACATGACGACGGCATGAGGTCGATTTTCGCAAAAATCTGTCCGGATTTGGCGACGACCTTTGTGGGGATTATCCAGGGTCCTTTTGACCCTCGCCAATTGAAGCAGACTAGTGACGCGCTGGCATCAGACTATGACTCGGAGGGGTCACTGGCAGTCGGTCCTTCCACTTCTCTGATTGAATGAAGTGAGCACCCTTGATAATTTAGTACTGAAAGTCGAACACATGTACAATATCATCCATCGCGTTATATATTAATGAGTGCTCAATCCAAAGTTCGTGAATGAAGACGGTGGAAGGGTTGTCGCGGTACTTTACCATAATCGCGTTCGCGCATTGGCTTGTTTGTAACCGCAGTTACGTAGATTTAGGTATGTTTTGGGGTTTTTAGACGCTATACCAGCCTCACGGATGAGTTACAAGATCGTCAAGCTGGCAAAAACGACATCCCGGCATAGTGTGGTATAGACCACTCGGCTCGTTCCATTACTCGCGATAGCCTACCCGGTTGCAAGCGAGCCAGAACTCGCTGCTGCCTTCTTCACACCATCCCAACGGACCGAGGTCACATTCGGCGCATAACAATAACTTCAAACGCTTGTTCGTCGAAGCTGAAGAGATTGCGCTCAAACATGAAGTAGCACATGTTACCAGTAGACTCACTATCGGATTTTACGGCACGAGAGAACCCAATGTTCTCAAACGCCATCGCGTTCGGCGTGACGCGCCACCAGTGCATCAGGTTAGGTGGGGCTGCAAGGGGCGGTAGCGCGCTATGAGGCGGGTTTTCTGGCGGCTCCAGCCGTAAGCTCTCGCGCTCGACCAGGCTAGCTACCCCGCTCTTGAGTATGACACTACCGCACCCTTCTCTCGGGCACAACAGATCGAACTTATTTTCTGACGCATCCGCGACGTCCTGTACACCCCCCGGAAAAGCAGTGAGCAGCCGCGCACGAAGTCTCGCACGCGTACTCGAGCTCTGGAGCGCCTCCCACAGACCGACCGGAATCACCTGTTGGGGCTCCTGCGGCGGCGCGGGGGTGAGGAGTGTCTGCATCTCGAACCACGGGCGAGAGCCATGCACTACCGCACTCCTGCCGACCAGCTGAAAGCCTGCCTGCTCGTACAGGCCGAGTAGCTCCTCGTGCGCGATCAGCAGCACGCGCTCGTAGCCCGGCGTACACGCCAGGCGCGCGGTGTACTCCTTGAGCAGGCCGAGCGCTATGCCTTTCCGGCGGTGCCCTGGCCGCACGCAAACGGAATGCAGACATACGGAAGCCGCGCCGGGGACGTGGGTGGACATGGAGTCGTGCGTGAGCGAGGTGGATGGAGAGAGCGTCGAGCAAACGTAACCGATCAGCGTGCGGCCTCCTTCCTTGGACAGATATGCGCCGAGAAAGAGGTCGGGGGCTTGCGCTTGTCGATATCTTGGAAGTAATATTGTTCGGTTTATGGACATCCGTGTCAGGAAAAAAACGAACGCGCACCGGAATGTCTCCAGTGTTGCCGCTTCATCCTCCGGGTAGCCTGGACCAAATGTCAGGGACCCTCGGCAAGACTATCGCAGTCTGTGTACCTAGCGCTTCGATGGCGTATGCATCCTCCAGTTCTCTCTCATTGACGGGGTCGTAAAAGACAGACATTGTCGGAGTGAGTGCTGGTCGGCGTGATCGAGTCGGAAGTTAGGCGCCTGCAGTCTCAGACAGACAGTACTTCTGTCCTCGCGCGAACTTAAAAACCCCAAGTCAAGAGATTCAAAAAAGTACAATACATACTGCCTGCAAAACATGTACTGTAGTCCGTATGAAGTCGGCGATGCAATGCTAGCGCGTTAATTGACAGAGAAAGAGCGAGACGGAGAGACAAGGGCTACACAAGTGTCCATGCTGATGCTAGGAGTTTCTGTACGGTAGGGCTAGCCAATACGGAAAAAATAACCTGACAGCCAATCGACGGCGAACAAATGGTACCCGCGCGCTGCAGCTAATCCGGCAGCGCGCCAGAGGGGAATAATATACGAGACTCATGGTGCGGGGGTGCACTGAGCGGGGATAGGGATATATGGAGAGGAAGTGAGACGGCCTATGGAAACAAGATGTGGACGAGCAAAATGGGACAGCAACGACAGGATGCAGGTATAAGCAAGTGACGCGTCCGGGCGGATCGCAGGGTGCAGCGTCGGCTGCGACCGAGTCGAGCCGAGCGCGTACTCTATGACTCTGAGGCGCGTGAACGCATCTGGCACGCTCACGATGGTGGTGGCAGCGGTTAGCCCATCACGCTAGGGTAGCTGACGCTCTCGCTCAGGTACTCGTTCCCAGGGTTGTACGTGAACCCCCGGAACTGGTCCTGCACGGTCTCCGAGAGCGGCGTCGCGTCGACGTGCGAGTCCTGGGGCGCCTCTGCGGTGAACTCTGAATCGAAGTTGGCAACGTCCAGAACAGATTCCTGCAGCATGGGAAGGATAGGTCAAGAGTAGGAAGGCAATACCGTAGGAACACACTCACCACGCTGGGCTTGAACGGTGGCTGTATCTTCCTCGCGAGAAGTCTGGGAAGTGGAAGAGTGGTCAGCTGAGACCATATGCAACATCATGGCACGTACCGATACCAATCAATGTGCTTTGAGAAGAATGGGTGGCGCTTGATCTCCTCCGCGCCGCCGGCTCCCAGGCGTCTCGCTGGATCCCGTTGCAGTAGGCCTCTAATCACGTCCTTCGCATCCGGAGGCATGTCTGGAGGGAACAGTAACGGATCCTCCAGAATGCGCTGGTACATGGTGTTGACGTTCTCGTCGTAGAATGGTGGTAAACCGGTCTACAGAAGAAAGCATAAGGCCGCATCGAGAGAGAGAAAGTAAAAGACGGACCATCATCTCGTATAGCAATACGCCGAGAGTCCACCAGTCGACCGTCTTAGTGTACCCCTGGTTCTCGAGCAATTCTGGAGCGATATACTCTGGTGTACCGCAGAAGGCTAAAATTAAAGTCTTAGCCGTCGCCACTTAGTGCTGTGTGAGGCTGCGCACTATTTGTCTTCTCGGTTTCTGACATATTCAGCTTGCAGAGACCGAAGTCACACAGAGCGATATGCCCAGTATAATCCAACAAGATGTTCTCTGGCTTCAGATCCCTATGGTCGAACATCTTATCAATTTGTCGGATGACGCCGTTCCGGAGTAGATCTCGTACCTGTATACAACGTTGAAACCGTGCAGATGTTCAAGTGCACATAGCAGCTCCGCGGCGTAGAACCGGCTGCGCCCTTCATCGAACTTACCCTCGCGTTGCAGGTGATAGAAGAGCTCCCCGCCATTGACTTAATGACGATCACACCCTCGTCAATCTCACGATAACGCAACCATAGCCAAGAGCGGACTCACCAAAAGACATCACCAGGTATAACTTGTCGGGCGTTTGAAAGGAAAATTTGAGGGGGACGATGAAGGGGTTGTTGACGAGGGCAAGGACAGTGCGCTCCGCGAGGATATGCGTGATCTCACCTGGCCGCGAGGCGATGTTTGCCTTGCGAATCGTCTTGAGGGCATATATCCGCTGCGTGTCCTTTTTCCTGACCTGCATCACCTTGCCGAAGCTCCCCTTCCCGATGACCTTGAGCAAGTCGAATTGCTCAATTGTGAGCGACTCGTGACGTGCGGGTTTGAAGTCGATCTTGAGGTGAAAAGAACCGGAGCCCGCCGTTGCTTCGTACCATTGATCTGAAGAGTGCTAAATTCTCGAAATAAATCGAAAGTTTTGCGTTGAGCGATTACAGACGTCTTACGCACATGTCTGTCCAGAATGGGTGTGAGATCCACGCGGGCCATCAGCAAGTCATTACCCATATCATCTCGGCCCTGCACGCATTGGGCAGTGCGTAGATATGCCGAGACGGAGATATTGGACATACGCGAGACGTCGCTGTTTACACCGCAGTTAGCCGCGCCGCGAAAGCACGAAATTAGGAGCAGCAGGCTCACAAATCAACTCTGTATCTCCATTCAGGCTTGGACAGATCCCCGCCGAGCGCATCAATCAGGACCTCGTTTTTGTCGAACTCAAGTACGACGTATGGCAACCACCAGAATCGCCTCCGCTGCATGCTTTCGCGCTGCCCAGTTGATCTGCGAGCCGGAGAGTTTTCGAGAGCGGCTTGGATAACATCGGGCGTTTGTACGCCAGCTGGAAGGGATAGTCCGCGTCCTGAAATGTGTGGCGTCATAAGATGCAGCTTTGCTAGAAAATCGTAACCACGCACCAGAGAAAATGCGCACGGTGAGCATACCCGAGCGAAAGTTGCTGTCTAGGGCATCGGGGGGCTTTGGCGTCACCGAGCGGGAGGGTATTGGCGTGACAGAGCGGGAGATAACCCCGTTGTCCTTGCTGTCTTTCGACGACTCTGTGCTCTCGCTGTGAACAGGCTTAAAATGTAGGGAAAAATGTGATACACACTCTTTGAACCGAGCTTCCAGGACATGGTAGACGGCTGATGAGGGGGAAGATGCGCGCAAGTGGGGCGCTGCGCCCAACTTTATAGTGAGCGCCTTGGATGTGAGAGACGTCCGAGAGCGGCTCAAGGGATTTATTTGTAATTATAGTCCACATGGCTCTTTATATATTATCTCAAAATCTAATCTCCTCGACTCTGTTTCCCTCCGCCGTCTCCGTCCACCCCTTCTCCGTCCTCATCTTCCCGACTTGCTCCACGAAGCTGACGCTCAATTGGTTGCCTTTGGTCGCTCGAGAACGAGCTGGAAGCATATGACCACCGGGACAGGTGCTTGAGCCGCGCCCAATCACTTTGATGCCGCGGCCGGACAACAACGCGTGCCCTACTCACTCGGCGACGTCGACTTTATCTCACCAAGAACACACGGTCTACTCCGGTGCATATACATACCTGGCAACTGGTGAATTGTCAGGTCTCCGAACGTTCAGCAGCTAAATTAGTCTCCGGGTGTGTTCCTGTCTCGTCAACTATAGGGGCCTGCTTTACCTTGATGAGCGTACGCCGTGTCGTGCCCGTTCCCCACGGAGTTAGCCCTCTGACAACTCGCCAATGCATGCAGCTACAGAACGAACCCTGTCGCTACTGCGCGGGCCTTCCATCATCTGCCTTCGAGACGACGCAGTTTCGGCGCCGCGGTGGCGAGCAACACGACCTGCTTCCCGTCCATTTCAAGCATGGTGTACTCGTCTCTTCGCCGCCCGCCGTCCAACTGCCATCATGATCGCTCTCAAGTTTCATCTGCGAAGTGTATCGACACCTTCTCTCGCAGTATTCCGAACGTCGGACTCGCGGTGTGCACTCCCCGACCCTTAGCCTGTGAAATTTCCTCGAATAAGTACACTCATCCGTCGGTCTTGCGTTGGATTGTGCCCAAGGCTTATCCGTACGCATCGTTCATGAACTGCTGCATCTCGCATGACCTTGTGTGCTCGTTTTGCTACGACTTTGTGCGTTGTTCTCCGCCATAACCTAGAATAGCCCTAGGCTGTCGGTCTTCAGAGAGATGTATCGAGCGCGTCGTCTCGCGCATTGTCCCTGTGTACAAATTCACCGTCTTATTTTTAAAAAAAATCTTATGACCCAGGCCGCACCAGGTCATCTGTCTTCTGAGAAGTTGAGTCGTGCTGGATTCGCAGCCTGCCATTCTGTGTGATTCGACATAATCTGTCCATGTCTTGGGTCTGGACAAACGCGTGATAGCCGATACTGCATGTGCACGAATCGCTGTTTTTGTCCGCTATCGCCTGTCCAGTTCTCAGACAGTCATCGTCCGTTATCCGCTCGGAGAGCTACCCATGCAACGGGCGTCCGCTCCAAGACGGGTGTGCAGAGATTTACTGCTGCTGCAGGTGTCGTCGGGAACCATTTTCTCGTGCCAAGTCAGTTCCTGGCACTGTATTGCGTTGTATGTAGGCTCATACCACAGCCTTTGCGGAGGTCGGTCAAATCTTCGGATAGATTCCAGCCTGCTACAGGGCAGTATCTGCTTTGGATGATGACCCGGACGATCGATGTTCGTATCTTCGTGGCGGACAAGACAGCCTCGAGTCGATGTACCGGATAATAATAGCCATAAACATTCCTGAGGTCCAAGATACGCGTGACGGTATTGTAGGTATGTGGTCCAGATCGAGATACAAGCCAGTCTCTTCAGTGGGAGTTGCTCGACGGTTCTGTGTCCTATATCTGGGAGCGAGCATCGCGTACGCCAAGGACTGCCCAGATAAACTTACCCACGACGCTAACGCCATCATTCCGCCACTCTGCCCTCTTCTGCGCGTCCTTGACAATCTCCGCGCTCAGGACGCCCGTGGACGAGCGCGTGTTGATAATCTTCTCCGAGATGCGCTGCGTGAACTCAGGGTGGCCCTGCACGGTGAATATTTGCACGTCCACGGCGCTCGGCCGGGCGGGCGCGCCAGCGTAGAAGCGCACCATGCCTTGATTTGGTGCGACGGCGGTCGATCCGAGGAGGAGACATGAAGGCGGTAATTCGGGGACGTGGTCGCGGTGCATCTGTTGGATATTCTGTACGGGCGTCCGCGGGGGTGCGAGGGGCAGTTAGCCTGCGCAGGTGACATCGGATATGAAGTACACACTAGGGTAGGAACGCCGAAGAGCTGCTTTCCGATGTCGCTGAGCGAAACCTCGGTAACGCCGACCTCCCAGTTCCCGCTGTTAGGTACGCATTCACCGCCCAGCGCGCGGGCGATAATCTGATGGCCGAAGCATATTCCTGCCAGAGAGACGGAGAAGTAAAACGAATGTCAGAGATTACCACGGAAGAGAGGCGGAAGCGGAAGCGGAAGCGGAAGCAGCGCAAGGTTCTCGAAATCGCGAAGACGCACCGATGAGCTTGACCTGGGGTTTCTCCTGAGCGACTGAGGCGACGAACGAGACGAGTTTGTTTATCCAATCCAGATTCTCGTAGGCGGAGGCCGCTAATGAGATCACAATGAGCGACTGGGTTTAGTGGGGTGGCCGCCAAGGAACGGACCAGATCCAGTAAGAATTATGCCGTGATAGTCATCGATGTTTGGAGGGTATTCTTGTTTGTTGCGTACGTCGTACGAGTCCAGCGTGAATGTCACCGCTGAGATCTCGGGCAGTGATTTCTCGAGCAAGGCGTTGAATACGTCAGTGTAGTCTCCATCCTCCGCTACCACTGAAGGTATCGGGGTGTCACAGAGAAAAAGAGCGACGCGAATAGAGGACGACATGGGCGTCGGCAACAAACTGGTTAGGAGCAACTGGTGAATTCTTATCTCAGATCGAAAGCGGTGGCTGTTAATTACGTCAAAACAACAGATAAGCAACAACGATCGATAGCGTTTCTCCGGACTATCGCCAGTTCTCACACTTATAAGCGTTCTAAACCCTTTAAGAAACAGGCTTACTCATTTGTAGTCTTGTTGTGACAAGAATTACAACCGCCTTATCTATTAGCGATCGAAGCGCCACCACACGCGGTGTTGGCCGCCATCACCACAAGCCGTTTTTATTCTGTGTACCTTTCTAGCTCAAGAGCACATCACTGAGATATCATGCGCATAGGTTAGCATACACAGGTGCAACTCAGTAATATCCCTTGAGTAAAAATTCTGCAAGGCGGTCAAACAGTGAGTGCCTGATTTTTACTTTTGCGCATCCAAGCCTCATTTCTGTCTGCTTTCATCAGAGAGTTGTCCTTAGGAAGTGACTCGCCCGGCCTGCGCGCCAAGTCACCGCTTATCTACTCCTTGAGAGATAGGTATGGTTGGCCAATCAATTTCCTAGCTTTACTGCATGATAAGCAGAAGCCCAAGTAGAGATCGCGGGGCTCAAGCTCCATGTATAAATAATGACCGATTCGATTCGATTCTTTACCCTACTTCTTTCGACTTCTTTGTTGGAGTGCATCAACCTGCGACCGCGGTCCATTGAGAAGCGCACTTAGATCAAGCGTTACAATGTCTTCGGGGGGGCCAGTTTTGCCTCAAGGAGCCGGCTATGGTGTCGGCGAGTCTTTGAGGATCTTATCTACCGTTATCATTACAACTCATGTCCGTCTGCAGTTGTCGGAATCGGCCTGTTCTTCAGCGTGTTCATGCTGGGCCTGACGGCCATCCAAGCACGTTACACTGGCTTCTCTCCCAAGAACTCTGAGGAGTTCAACAGCGCTTCTCGGAGCGTCAAGCCAGGTCTCATTGCTTCTGGTATCGTTTCTGCATGGACATGGGCGGCGACGTTGGTGAGTCATATGTGCCTTTTGCTCTTGATATCTAACCGTTGACCGTCGTCTGTAGCTGCAATCGAGTGCTGTTGCGTATTCGTATGGTATCTCAGGTCCATGGTGGTATGGCTCGGGTGCTACGGTCCAGATCTTGCTCTTCGCACAGGTTCGTCGCGTCCATAGTCTTGTCGTGTGCCATACTGATTTCGTCACTGTAGCTCGCAGCCAAGTTGAAAATGAATGCACCGTACGCACACACGTGGCTTGAAATCGTCTCGGCGCGATGGGGAGTCGTTGCCCATCTGGTCTTCATGTTTTTTGGGTGAACAAGCCCTAAGCTGTGAAAGATCGTGACATTGACTCAAAGATTATTGCTAGTTTGGCAACAAACATCATCGTATCGTCCATGCTTATTCTTGGCGGATCTGCTACCGTGAACTCTTTGACGGGCATGAACACCATTGCCGCGTGTTTCTTGATCCCTCTTGGTGTGTCAATCTACGTCGTCGTCGGCGGGATGCGTGCGACGCTCCTTTGCGACTAGTACGCCGATCTCATGCCATCATTGTTGTGATGGTAGCTCTAACGTACAGACTCTGCCTCCAGCACACACACCAGCGTACTCTTCGCAATCATTTTTGTGTTCGTCTTCACGGTGTACTCCACGAGTGCCAAGATCGGCAGCTTCAGTGAGATGCACTCTCTGCTCGCTACCGCCGCCTCCCAGGCCCCCGTCTCGGGCAATGCGCACGGATCGTACCTTACCATGCGCTCTAAGAACGGTCTCATCTTCGGTGTCATCAACGTCATCGGTAACTTCGCCACTGTGTTCCAGGATCAGGCTGTAAGTTATCTCTACTACCTTGCCACTTATTCATACTGACTTATATACCATCAGTACTGGCAGCGGGCAATCGCGAGTCGCCCCGCTACGTGCGTGAAGGCATACCTTCTTGGTGGTCTCGCATGGTAAGCCTTCCATGCCATGAATACTGCACCGTGATGCAATCGATGTTATTCACAAGGTTTGCGATCCCCTTCATGTTCTCTACTACCCTTGGTCTGGCTGCGGTCGCGCTCCGCAATGACCCCTCCATGATGATGCTCACTCCGGAGGACGTGTCTGCGGGTCTCCCAGCGTCTGCTGCTGCCGCGGCGATCCTGGGCAAGTCTGGCGCCGTTGCCCTGCTCATCGTGCTGTTCTTGGCTGTCACGTCTGCGACGTCTGCCGAGCTCATCGCCGTCTCTGCTGTCCTGACCTACGACGTGTACAAGGTTAGCTCTTGTAACCTCAGACTGTAGCTACGTCTCTGAATGCTGTCGTGCAGAGATACATCAACCCCAAGGCAACTGAGGTGCAGATTCTCCGGGTGTCTCACTTGATGGTGCGTTTGTTGCATTTGTCTCCGATGCACATATAGAGCCACATGGTCGACCCATGTTCAGGTTATGTTCTTCGCTATCGTCATGGGTATTCTCGGATTGATCTTCTACTACATCGGTATCTCCATGGGTTGGCTTTACGTGAGTCGTCTCACCTACTTACGCTGACTGCTGATACTCATCTTTCCCTAGGACTTCATGGGTGTTGTTTTGGGATCAGCAGTTGTTCCCATCGCTACCTGTGTGACATGGAAGAAGGCCAACAAGTGGGGCGCCATCGGTGGTTCGGTAGCCGGCTTCTGCTGCGGCTTGATCGCATGGCTCGTCACCACGTCAAGCCTGAACAACAAGCTGATCAATGTGACTGTAAGTTCGCGGACGTCATCTTCCTGATTCCAGCTGATATACCTGTGCTCTGTAGACCAGCGGAGGTAATCTGGAGATGCTTGCTGGCAACCTCGCCTCGATCGGTGTTGGCGCAGTCATCACTGTCGCGACGTCGATGATCGTGGGTGTCCGCCTTCGCTTGTCGATTGAATAATTTGCTGATCACTATGCAATGTTCCAGTGGCCCGAGGACTTCAGCTTCGACCCCACTCGCGCAATCAACAATCCGACGTTTGTCGCGGACGAGAAGACCAGCGAGTCGCGGGCCTCGCAGGATGAGGTCGATGACAAGAAGGAGGCAACTGCCGCTGTTGTCTCGGAGCCCGTTATCTCGGCAGAGGAGGCTGCGCTGGAGGAGGCCAGAGAACTGGACCCCGTGGCGCTGCGCAAGTCGTTCAAACTCGCCGCGTGGTCCTCAGTAGCCCTGGTACGTCATACTTCTTCAGCACCGTCCAGCATATCCTCATCGAGGTCATATCTTAGACACTCATTCTGCTCATCATTATCCCTCTGCCGCTCTTCTTCGCGGAGACGATCTACGGTGTGAAGGGCCTCACGGCATGGGTTGTCATTGGGATGATCTGGACGTTCTTCTCCGCCATCTCTGTCGTCGTGTACCCGCTCATTGAGAGTCGCTCGGGATTGTTCCTGATCGTGAGGGGTATTATCAAGGTATGTGCGCCTTCCTAGTCACCCGAGCGTTCTCTGACGTTTGCGCTTTTCCTGGCAGGACATATTCAAGCCGGGAAGTGGAAAATTCGTCCACCATGAACATGTACCCTCCACAGAGGCGTAACGATATACTCTGAGAAGCTTCTAGCCTGAGCTCCATCTATACTACTTAGCAATATCCACGAATACCGAATGAATATACGGAACCTTTGGAGTGTATTTTCGCAGTGAAGTTAGAGAGAGGGACAGGTGAGCAACGTGGGCGTTTACGCATTTACGTCTACAGACTCGCACTTAACGTCCATCGATAGCTGCCATTACAGTAGCCGGTCGTGCAGACTTTCACTGTTGAAACGTTGAAAACGCGGCCAGTCGGAACTCCATGTTATACAAGTGTCTGCGTCATCGCACTCTTGGCTTTACCGAACCTGTTGTGCAATAGCCTAGAGGCTCTTTAACAGACCTGGGCCTGAGAGTTGACAGCGTGGGAGGGCAAAGCGACCTCCACCTTGACCCTTATCAGGATCTTCTGTTGCCCTTTGTCTTTCTGGTGTAGAATCCCGAACAGGAACCTCGACGCAAGACGTGTGTCCTCCAGCAGCTTCCATCAACCTCCGGAGGCACAGGCCCAAGTGGCGAATCATTCAATGTATTTACTCCCCAAAATATTCTGACTCACGTACGAATACTGTTCCTAGCTGACCGAATGAACCTGATGTCGGTGCTTGCAGCACATTCTCCGGATATTTACCTGTCTAGATCTCAAAATTCCAAACAGTCACGCATTATAAGCCATCGGTAATCCCATCAAGCTGGCGTTGAGTCATGAAAAGACAAAGTGGATACAGAATCCGGCTTTGTTAATTGTTCAAGTAATAGCTTGCTACTTGGAGCTGCCTTGCGTCGAGGTTGTACTTCAACGATGTTCAATCGTACAGAAATGGCGTGAGTTGTCTTCGTCCGTCGTGTTTCTGGTTGAGTGCCAGGAAACGTTTCTACTTCCAGGACATGTCTTTAGGGTGCGTGTCAAATTGGCTGGTGATGAACTCGGCGGCATTTATCGTCCGTCTCTCTTACCCTGAGCTATTTCATCTTAATGCCTGCGGCGGGTGGCTATCCTTGCCGCACGCACCTGATGGACATAGCACAACGCACCTAACAGGATTATCCCACCTCCGCGTAAAGTGTCAAACAATGACAGTGGATCTGAATGACCGTGCAGTAGCAAGCAAATCTTTGAGAACAACCTACTTTCCAGAACCGGCAACGCCAGCCGCACCTCGAATCCTACTTCTCCAACCACAGTTTTCCTACCCATCCTGCAACGACTACCAGGACTCTCACCTTCAGGAGGTATGCGCATCCTACACTGTTTCCTGCAAATCAAACCGTTCCAAGTTGACGCCACTATATCAGCACTGACCTCGGTGATAATGTCACCCTTCTGCTTCGCTTCACTCCCCAGACGCCCGACCTGTTCGTGAAGCAGTTTCCGATTGCGTGGAAGGACGTCTGCATTCCCCGGCTCGTTCTCCGACTTCGCCGCTGATCATTCCACCTTGTAGGGTTACCACCCTCTCTGCGAAAGGTATTTCTTTCTCCGTCTGCATCTAGGATGTTCATGCGAATGATGGTTCCGAAGGTCGTTCCATTATGACCGCTACTTATGTGAACACGTAAGTGCTTGTCCTTAGTCTGAAAGTTTAGGCTAATTCCTCTGTAGACTCGGCTTCTGTATGGCCCAGATTGGGGACAGTCAGTTTTCGCTGGCAACTACGTGCCCATCACCGTGGGTCATAGATGAACCTCAGGTTCCGTGCGCTGTCCTCAGTGACATCCTAGATTGGCCAACTGACTTCACTGAATGTCAACAACTCCGAGCGGCCTCCTACTTATTACTTCTCCGTGTATCTCGTGGGATGTCTCGGATGTCTGTGAGCTACTTGCTAATAAAATATTGCCAGGATCCTGCTCCCAGCGGAGGGAACTATGTGCTAGCTACCAATAAAACCGGTCAGCCCGCCAGCATTGGTTTTGGCTTCGTCGCTGACCTTGACCAGCCCAATGAGACAATGAACACGGCGATGCTCTTCACCAACGTTGGATACGTCCCCACACCACCTTGCGCTATGATTCTATCCACTGAACACTTCATCTCATGTGCAGCGACGGCATATCGGTGACGGGCAATTTCACGCCGGCCCTGCGGGCCTACATCGACCTTGACTACTAGGAGAACGAGCTGATCCGTGCAGACATTCAGAGTATGATGCTCGCGGACCTCGTTGGCTTGCAGCCGCTTACGACTATCCAGATCACGCATAACGACCGCAGGGGATGATCCGCCATGCAGCTCAACGATGATGCGGGCACTTTCGTGTCTGTTCCGTCTCTGCTAGCGTCGCCCTCCGCGGTGTCGGCGTCTTCCGTGCCGGTGGTGCGCTTCGACAACGGAAAGGTGCATTTTCATCCCCTGCGTGGCACGTCTTGGGCTGAATGCATGTACCAAGCAGAGGTCGTACTCTGGTGTTCTCGCGTTCTCCACATCGGACCACGTCGTGCAAGGTATTAAACACATTGCAGAGCAACTAATGGACAAGGGCTACCAGATCAAATTCACGTACAAGGTCTGCGGCACACTCTGTTGTTGTAACTCGCGCGAATCACGCTAATAATTTTGAGCATACAGGAAAATAGTACGGATGCCAATCTGGAGCTGACACTAGCCCGTACGGGACTAGCTGTGACCAGGCCGAGAAGGAAATGCCCACCGCGATCGACACGCAGCTCAACTCGAGCGAGCGCGCGCACATCAAGGCGCACAGCGTCGCGCCGATGATGGTCAGCGCCGGATATGCCGCTCACCGAAGGCCCACTCATAATGCCGTTGAGGTCACGGGTGGGACTCTGCGGGAAGACCTGCTTATCGTGAGAGAGATGAGAAACATTCTCGAAACTCTAGGAGAACCGGACACCTTGTGGCTGACGAACCACTCAGCTGACGCCGTCCACAGGAAGTTATCACCGGCGGGCAAAATGGCTACCTCATGGCCCAGTACGTTCCGCCCCACTCCAAGAACCGCCCTCTCTCTAGGAAGAGCTCTGCAGTCAGCTTGAAAGGTAAAGATTAGGCTCGGGACCTGCACAGTCGAGTAACGTTATAAAACATGTAAGTAGTCAGTGTTTGACAATGCTCAATAATATGAACGACATATTCTTACTTACCTACCACCGTCGTCCGAGTCTGTGTTGTTGATTTGGAGATACTACAAAACACACCTCGACTTTGATTAGTAGCTTCGGGTACACTGCGGGAATGTTTTGAGCTGTTCAAGTCATTGCCGCCGACTACCCAATCACGTCTTTTCCTACACTCGATGATTCCGTCACTTCTCCAATTCATTTGCATACTGCCGACTTGTGGGCGCCTGCCGTCTGATACCACCGTCGTCAAAATAATCGGCGTAAGCTGATCGAGCTGATCGTTTCCAACGGACATGGCGTCAGCTTACCGAGCTTAGGCAGAGGATTCGGCATGACATTGACATGGCCGGAGAAGCTGTTTCGCTGCAGGAGCCACAGTCACGGTGACGCTGGCCAGGAGCTATTTATTCACTCGAATCCCGTGCTACAGCTGCCCAGGATCCCACTGCAGGACTAGGGTGTAATTTCGTCTCCAATATTGGGTCTGAGGCGACGCCGCTCATCCGTTCTTCCCGTCCAGTATCCGCTCCCGCACCTAACCTAATATTTTGATTTCATCACCCATATCTGCGCCATGTCGAGCATCAAGCCTCCTTTCACCGCTGAGACAGCCCGCCAGAAGGTCAAAGTTGCTCAGAACCTCTGGAACACGCGCGATCCTGCCAGAGTTGCGCTTGCATACACGGTACGTCGTTGCATATAACGTCACATCATGCTACTTAACATGCGGCGCAGCCAGCCGGACACCATCTGGCGCAACAGGGCCGAGTTCATGCATGGTAGGGAAGAGGTCGTCAAGTTCCTGACGAAGAAGTGGGAGAAGGAGGACGGCTACGTCCTTAGGAAAGAACTCTTTGCGTTTCTGGATAACAAAATTGCTGTGCAGGTACGCCCGTTCGGCGTAGACAGTTTTCACAGGGCTCAGGCCTTAACGACTAGTTCTGGTACGAGTGGTACGAAAGCAAGGACGGACAGAAGCAGTGGTACCGCACGTACGGTCTAGAGGTGAGTAGAACGCACCTTATACTGTGATGTTTGACAATGCATTGTTGATTTGTGCAGGACTGGACGTTCGCCCCTGACGGTCTCATGCAGAAGCGCCAGATGAGTGGCAATGATGTTCCGCTCACTGAAGAAGAGCGATGGTTCAAGCCGGGCGTGGACATCGAGGCCGTCGAGCTCACAGACAAGCACTATTAGTGTAACAATATCGTCGTTAGTTATCGCAGCGAGTCACAGCATCGTGTTCCCACAAATGTACAGCTGCAAGTTGCGCAGGAGGAAGCCGATCTTGAAATTTATATTCACTTATCCTCATTTGTTCGTTGAGAACTATTTGTGAATTCCTGTGAAGGCCACGATAGGGATTTAGCATGGGAACGGGTAGTCCGCAGTCTCGCACAAGAAAGACTCATTATTTTGTGAGTTATACGTGGGGTATACAAGCCTTGCATCCCTGACCGTGCTAGGTGCGCATCTACTGTACGATCCCCTTTATTTAACGGTGGGATCGCATCGGAGGCCTCATCCCTGCGCAGAGAACAACGCGAGCTGCTGGTCTTTGTCTAGCCCCATGCGCCCTCGCCAGAACGGCGGGCAGAGTGGAGGCAGCTGGCCTTCGTGGGAGCCAGCACTTCCATGTCGCTCAAGGATCTCATCCAAGATACCAGGGACGTCTACTGCTTGCACAGTACCCAACCTGCAAACCTCGGGCATCTTGTTATGAGTCTCGACAACAGGGTTAAAGCTGAAAGCGCATACCAATCACCATAAGGGAACACCAGGACATTCGCCGCGTACCTACTTAAAGATTGGCTGAACATCGCAGAAACAGAAAAGATGGGACTGACTTATGCCCGCCAACATGCCCCACACATCCAACGCCGACCTCGTCCGCAATTCCGCGCCTCTCCACCTCCGCCTGCAGCGCCCGCGCAACCTCGCCCCCCGTCTCACCGCACCGGCAGTCGCGTGCGCCGTGCGTGCACACATATAGATGGAGGTCCGGCGCGCATCCACTAGGGCCCTGACCGAGCGCGTGCGCGCGCATCTGTGCTTCCACGGCGTCCAGGTTCCTGAGCGAGACCTCGGGCACGTCCAACCGTCGCTGGTCCGCAGTCCACACCGTCGCGGCGTACACCTCTGCTTCACCCTCGGCTGCGGCACCAGGGAGGCCCGCGTACGCATCACTCACGCGCTGCTCTGGCGACCACGAGAAGTTTACGAGGCCACCCCACTCGCGCGCCCGCATTGCGAGCGCACGATCCAGCGGCGACTTTGGCTTGGGTTCGAACGCGGACGGGGGACGATGAGTGTGCAAAAGGACATAGTTCCAATGTGGTCTAACCGTGCCCGCAATGGCTTGCTTTTGCGCTGAGGCGGTACCGAAGAACCGCAGCCCTCGTTTCAAGTTCGTGTGGGAGGAAGAGAGATGCCTGAACATAGTGGAATTGTTCAAAGACAGGTTGAAGAAGCTCTCAGCTGAGTGTAACTGTAAGGCACTCGTCCATGATGGAGCGGCGCCAAGTTGGAATATTTGGACCACAGACGATGCGCATGCATGCGAAGTGTGAATAGCGTACTACATCTTTACTTGTTGAGAAGCCAAGGGAAGAAAATCAGCCAAACATGGTGGTACAGACATGAGAGTTCGTGAAAGCGTGTCACGTCAGTCGTCCAAAATCAGATCTACGTGTCTAAGATGTCCGTTCGAGACCGAGTCCTCCACCGCATCTAAGCAGCCGCAGGGTTGGAGGTATCAGGGACGCTAGCACGTGTGCGGATGATGTCCTGCCTTGTCAAATTCGCCTCGTTGCAGAGCGAGCGGAAGATGGAGTCCTCCCGGTCGAAGAGATTAAGTGGTGTGTCGAATTCTTGAACCTTTCCCTCGTTCATGACGATCACCCGGTCATAATACACTGCACGCAAGGAGCATGCGTATCAGAAAGCCAGAAAATCGGGAACGAGGTCCTTGTGTACGCACCGATGGTGTTGAGACGGTGCGCGATGCACAACAGCGTGGACGACGAGAATTCCGCCTGGATAGTCTTCTGGATCTTAGCATCCATTTCTGCGTCGACATTGCTCGTCGCTTCATCCTGGAAGTGTGATCGATGTTTAGCAAGGGGCAACATATAACCGAGCAATCGGGACACTCACCAGGACAATGACACGGCTGTTCTTCACCAAGGCGCGGCATAAGGCAAGCAACTGCTTCTCGCCTGCACTGTAGTTCGATCCTGAGGGCGTATCATCTGTTGGCATGCACATCATGTAAAGAAACGGTGTCCTGCTTGCCTTCGTCATTAACGGCGCAATCAAGACTGAACTTTGCCTCTGCTACAGGATCGTGCGAACCGTCTCGAGGCAGCAACCAAGCGCGCTGCAGGACGGATATAAGCTCTGCATCTGACCGCGTATTTTGCGGATCGCTAGGGACACATTAGCACCTGGAAAGCACAAATATAGAGATCATGCTCACAGGTTCTCGCGCAGGGTGCCCTTGAACAAGATGTTGTCTTGCGGCACCAGCGCTAAACGCCTGCGGAGGACTTGCAGACCAATATCGTGGATATTCCACCCATCGATCTTAATGCTGCCGCCTTGCACATTCACAGTCCTGAGAACAAGTGGATATATGTATCAGATTATGATTGTACCAAGAGGACTGGGTACGACTTACCGGAACAGCGCCTGCAACAATGAACTTTTGCCTGCGCCCGTTCTTCCGACGATCCCAACCTAATGTGAAGAATAAGCCACACAACTCCTGCGACCTCACACAACACTGAACCGACCTTCTCTGAAGGGTTGACTGTGAAGCTCACACCTTTCAGGACCAGGGGCAAACCTTCGCGGTAAGCGAGTTCGACGTTGCTGAACTCAATCTTTCCTTTATCTGGCCATGACGGCTGCGGATCGTTCGGTGTGGTCATGTCTCCCTCGGACGGCAGGTCGGTAAAATGCAAGACCCGCTCAACGGAGTTGAAGTTCTGCTCGTTCTGAGCGTAGTACGCAACTAGTTGGGCTATGCGACGAACTGGTCAGGCAATGTGTGATAACAAGGACAAAACAGCTTACAGAACGTCTGTGTGACTAGGATCCAGAAGCATCAGGCTCGAGGCAGAATAGAGAGGGGGACAGAAGAACTTACTGCTAAGGGTGTAGGACAGGACTACACCTATCTTGCTGGGACTCACCGTGTGACGGAAACCGGAGGCGAAGAGAGCGATGCCGAGGACGAGGATGTTGCCCAAGACGTCGAGCCGCGTGCTAAGCCACTGCTGAATGGAGACCGTCATGTAGTATGCCCTGTTCTCCAAGTCCAGGCCTTCTTCTGATTTCTTGACGAACCGGCGCTGAACTCGCACTCAGACTTGGATCCCATAGTGAACGACCTTGGCAACTTACCTGTGCACCATATGCTCGGACAGTGCTCAACCCAGTCAGCGTTTCTGTGAACGCTGTTAGTGAACCGAGTAGCGATGAAAATGACACTTACCGGAATATGCGGCATAGAGAGCAGAACGCATGAGTGAGTCTAATCGTTTCGTCTCGACGGAGCTACGGCGGTAGTAGATGGCAGCCAGATAGTAGAAGATGGTCAAAGGAACGAAAATGAGCCCCAGATAGGGGAACGTATAGAAGACAAGCGCCACTGTTCCTATCACGGAGCTGCGTAGAAAGCTCAGAAACCAGCCTCATCACGGGAAACAAAACCACTGACCTGAATGTGTACAGTAACTGCGGTACAGAGAATAAGTAACAGGCAAATGCGCAAATAAAGAGACAGCTAAACACCTGGAAAGCGGTCATGGACACCTCCGTATCAAGAGTATCTTGGTCATTCGAGAGACGTGACATGATCCTACCTGTAGAACGACTATCAGTTGAGCTTCTGATTAGGAGGAAAACTCCATTACCCATGGGGGTTGTGTCGTAGAACGACACCGGCGAAGCTAGAACTGCCTTCAACGCACTTTTGAACAAGTTGAGCGAGGCAAACAAAGTTGCAACGCTGATAGATAGGACTGGTCAGTAACCCTGGTGAAGAATAAAGATATACATGACTGACGTGAAAGCCACACTAAGCAAGAAAGCAAAAATGCTAGATGCCACACCAAAAGCGGTATACACGGCAATGTAATCTCCCTGGTGGAATCCAGGGATACTCTCCGCAGTCCAAAACCCGAGGAACAGGTTGTTACCAACTGTGGTAAGATATTAGGCACGGCACGGCACAGTTACAACAAGTCATACCTTGTGTCCCCTGCACCAAGATGAGCAGTCCGATGATTATAGGAGCCCAAACTAGACCACCCGCAAAGCGGAGATATCTGGAATATGTGGCATATGTCACAGCGCCGGTAATACGTTCTTCTTCCTGCATCAATGGTGTCTGCCCCGCTTGAGAGCCCTGTTTCTCGTAACCTGCAGTTTTTGGCTTTTCGTCCTTGGATCCAAGAGCATCTTCCTCTTTTTCCTCCTTGTCGAGATTACCGTACTCCTCCATTAGACGGGAGAAAAGGAGACTACCATGCATTAGATCCTATACGCAGCCAGAGATTAGACTCACGAGAGCGAGACACAATTTGAGCACCACTCACATCGTAAGTGCCTTGCTCCACAATGACTCCGTCATCCATGATATAGATGTAGTCGGTCTTGTCCAGAACGTGCAGTGCATGGGTGACCAGGACGCGTGTCTTCCCGGCCAATGGGCCCGTGAGGAGACATTCCTCCAGGATCGCCTTACCAACATATGCATCAACGGCACTCAGTGAGTCATCCATAAGGATGATGTCTGCATCGGAGTAGGCAGCTCGCGCGAGCGAGACTCGAGCCTAAACGTAACTTACATGATCAGCCAAGAGTCGAAGTTAAATGCAAAATTTATCGTCACCTTCTGTCCACCTGATAGAAAAAACTGTGAGTATCTAGTTGAATGCGATCTTGGTTGCCACATACCGCTCAAATTGATGCCCTTCTCGCCGATCTCGGTTTCCTCACCATATGGCAACATACGAAGGTCAGGTTCGAGACAGCACGCCTTAATGATCTCATGAAGCCTATCGCGGAAGACGATCAACTCCGTGAAAGGATCGAACAATTCCAGATACTCACTTCTCCTCATCTTCAGGCTGGCCAAACATGATGTTTTGACGGAGAGTCGCGTTCATGATCCAAGCCGTCTGAGGAACATAGGCTACTGACGAGGAGAAGATAGTCTGCCAAGTGGGATGCACGTCAGCAGTGAACACCAACCACAGTAATGCTGGAAGCATACCCTTCCTCTGTTCCTTCTCATTTCACCGATCATCGCTTGCAGCAAAGAGCTCTGCACAATGAAACCATCAATATTACATCACAGAGGTATAGAAGTAGAACAGTGCATCACCTTCCCCGAACCAATGCCCCCGACGACAGCTACGAATGACCCCTTCGGGACCTGCAGCGTGAGGTTCTTCAACTCGAACGGAACTTCTTCCTTGGCCTTCTCCCCGTCGTCCTTCTCGTCATCCGCATGAGCGTCGGCCTGGGCCGAAGTAGGTAACAGATCTCCTTCCTTCTTGCGGCCAAAGAAACCCCCCTTCTTAGCGCCACTCTTCGCGTTCTGCTTTTTCTTCTCCTTTTTCTCCCTTTTCTCCTTCTTATCTTTCTCCTTCTCGTCCTTCTCTCCGCGGCTGCTGTGGTCGAACTTGGGCTTACGCGCGGACTTGTCCGCCGTCTCCCACGCGAAGTCCCCCTCAACGTCGATGGCATGCTCGCTCGTAGGGTCGATAGTGTACGGGTCAACAAGCTCCTCGGCGATGAGATAACGGGACATGCGGCGCAAGCCGACTGCAGCGTCTGTAGAGGCTGCCAGGACCATCGGGAAGAACATGAGTGGGGCACGGATGATCTACAATACATCATTGAGAATGGCGCCCGCGGACGGACAGGTAAAGCGACGTACGTTGAAGAATTGGAGCGACGTGAAGATGATCGCGACGTTCAGCTCGTGTCCGCTGAGGGCGTATGTGATCTAACACGCTCTGTTAGTCTGGAATAGACTTAGAGCCATCTACCGAAAAAACTTACGAAGGAAAGCACGGTGGCGAGCACTGGCACGAAGGTCAGTATGCTGATCAGAGATGCACGTGCAATGCTGCAGCAGATTATAAGGAACAAGTTCTTCAACATATCCAATGTGAAGGTACATACCCCAGGAGCCGGATACGGTAAACCTCCCGTTCTCGCAACGTCCCAAGCTGCTGTGCGTAGAAGTCCTCCCAGGCGTAAAACTTGAGAAAGCGAATGCCTTGCAGAACCTGCGGCCGACGTTAGCAGTAAATATGTACCGAGTCAACGGAGCGTACCTCAGTCAGGAGCCGTACACGCTGATCTGTTATCACCACTCCCTTCTTGCGCTGTATGAACATGGCGCGCACACAAATGACTTGGAAGGGAAAGCCAAGGATGAGAACCTGTGGACAGGAAAACAATCAGATACCAGGCGTTTTTCCAGCCAAGCAGCCTGCTGCACTTACGCCAACGCCGACGAGTGCAGAATACCCGAGCTGTGTAGCATCAGTGTCAGTTCACCCAAAATGCTGCGAGAGGACATACTGTGCCGATGAGAAGACCGACCCCAATGACGATTTGAGTCGGCCCGACCCACAAGCTGTGGTTGACCATTAGTCGATTTCTACGTCATAATGAGATGCTCACTTGTGTGCGAAGGATGTAACACGCTCGAGACGAGCGGCATCAGAGGATATCATCGTGGTGATCTGGCCTACGCTGTGGTTCTGACGCGCGCGCCCGCTCAGGCGTAGAGACTTGCGGAAGATGGCTCCAATCACCTGTAATGTAGGCGGTGAGGAGCAATCAGAGCAACACATGATAGCAAAAACATACACTTGTGCGCACAGTGAGACCGGTAGTCATCGTCACTGTCAGATGATATTAGTACGGGCCAATCCAATGAACACAAGGAGGCCGTACTTTGCATGTACTGGTTCGTCATCTAGAATAACTATCAGTGAGTGTACATGATTAGCATTGAGATATGGCATACCAAACTGGACGCCTCTGAGAACGTATATCAGACATTGATGATGAGTGTCACTCACATACTGAGAGACGCACCTTGCATGACAAAAAGTCCAAATGAAAGCCCGATGCCATATCCTAGTCCATGAGGTTGCTTCAAGCCGGCGGCGGCGCGCTCTGCCTCCGGTATACGATACCATGCGTACGAATCAGTGAGCCAGGTCAGCAGCACCTTGTTGAGCAACGGAGTCGTCGTCTGTAGTGTGCCTAATGAGCGCGTGGATATGTCAGCACTTGCTCTCCACGGTACCGATAAGCGCAGAACTCACTAGCCAAGAGTGTGAGGATACCACCGATCCACCACCGCCAGAAGAATGTGTAATGGAGCGCTCTGAGCAGCGACCCGTCGTACTTCTTCGACTTGTCTTCTTCTGTAGGTTTGGCGCGGTCCTTGCCGGATTGTCCCTGCTCCACTTCTAATACTTTCTCATCGGGGTCGACTTTCTCTTCGGAGATGTTCTTCTCGTCCTCTATGGTGTTGTCCTGTGTGCGGGACGCCGTAGACGAAACGTTATCCGAACGAGAGTCGGTGCGCTCGACCTCAGAAGCAGCGAGGGCATCGCGGAGGAAGATCGGGCGTTGTTCTGGCGCACAGCGAGCGTAGAAGTTCCGTTCCACCTCGTCGCCAAGACTTCCCGTGAGTCGGCTACTTGGCAGCTGCCAGAGATCTGTACGAAGCAGGGGGGATGAGCACCACCACCAAAAAGTGTTTCAAATCGAGCCTTGCCTTCTTTCTGCAATGGTCTGGAGAAACCCACTCGCAGTAAGGGATCGACCCACTGAAATATGAGCCTTGACAGATATCTGCAGACAATTTCAGTATACCAGACCACTTGTATTCAGTTCAGGCGTTTGTGAATATTTCTTCACTCGTGTCGTCTGCCAATCTGGCGATGCATCATCGTATCGCGCTAATATCCTCGCACAGCACCATTGAGCAGAGCTCTGCGAGGCTCTTGTCGCTTTGATGATATTCCGCTAGATAGACAGGCATACGCAGCGAAGACTTGACTACGGCCAACCCCGGATAGGTAATGAACGTCCAAAACTCACGACGCCTTCTCTTCCGGCACCACCTTGCCCTCACCAAACGCAGGCGGCGCAGGAGGGGGTCTAAATGGATTGTACATTCAAGTCTATGCTTGTCAGTGAGATCGGTCCGGTAGAGGTTCGTCAGAGATGGCTGTTCATGCTCAATATGAACGTTGGGTGAGCGGTAGGGTCTCAGGTCTCAGACGGAGTCATGTATGTGGGTGCCGCAGGACTCGTCAACCACTGCGGCACAGTGACAGAATTTCCGACCGTGAGGTTCTCCCCAGACTGCGGTCCTGATTCGGCCACCCGCCGCGTCATCACGCTGACTAACAAACTAGATCCCAGCCTGCTGGCCACGGTCCTTGCCACGGGAAAAACAGAGTTGAGAAAGATACACCACGGAGGAAACAAAATAGGAACAGCCAGAGGATCCGCCTGTACAGCAGGTAGAAGTGGAACGGCCGAAGAAGCTGCACTTCGATCATACAGCGGTGATTGAGTCTCCGGCGCCGTTCATGCAATGATGGCCCTACCGTCACGATCAAGGCTGAAGCTCCATTAGATCACGCCCGAGTGATGTCCACCAGAAGTAGTATTTTGCAGCATTAATCCAGGTAAGGAACAGATTGCAGCAGTTGCGTAGCCATGCGCGTACAGGAAATATCACCTTAGTGGTGTGGCAACGACACTATGTGTGATTAATTTGGAAAGTCTCCTGCTTGTTTAAGTATCTCAAGATCACGACTCGTAAGTTACAGTACTCCTTGCAGACACATTTAGTCCGACAAATTGCATATCAACTTATAAGCATACCCGGGAGTTACATGTCGTATGGCGATTCTAAACGCGGATTCGAGCTGCTAATGGCCGTGGGGAGTTGTGCACAGAGTGACAGACTTTACCGTCTTGCCTTTCTACGATTCTCGCGAACAAAAATGCAAGGGAAAGACACCGCTACAGGCGTAGAGTATCCACAGAATCTTGAAAATTCGACGTCCCAGTCATTTGTTTTTCTCGCCCGACATTTGCGCCCTCGCCGGTCCTATTCCACGTAGTACGTACCTCTTCACTGAGCGTAGAGAATATACCGTAAGATTCCCTTGTGTCACAGTGGGACCAGTTCTACCTATATTCCCGCGCAAACAGGTTGCAACTTGCAACGAGAGAATATTAACTTGGACCCTGGACAGTCTGTAGGGTGGGAATTTGCGGGAATCTACCAAGGTGTCAGATTGGTATCGGAAGAAGTTCGGAGACAAGAACACTCACTATATCGTCTACGATACTTGGCCGTTGTCTTTGCAAGAGGTATAGTTTGCCACTGCTCGGGGCCAGCCTTCAAAACATAAGGTTGTTAGGCCATCGGTGATGACTTACCGTAAGGCTGATGTAACGTTCTTCTATGACTTGCCGAAGACGTACAGAGAAGCCCACCCTTGCGGATATAAACTGGCGGGCTGACAGGTTCGGGACACTCTTCCTCTCCCTAGCGGAACCTTGTTCTGTTCAACAGAACTTTTCTGATCATCATCACATTCCTTTCCTCGTCTCACCCATAGCTTAAAAGTGCTTGCGTTACGTTCGTTTGCAACCACTTCGACCCTTTCTTGTTATTCGTATTTGCCATGAGCGTCGTTCAATTTGGCGTTGGTCTCGCTGTCGTTGTCTTTATATGGATTCAGTTGAGCAAGCCTAAAAACTCTTCTCTGCCGCCTGGTCCGAACCCACTGCCGGTGGTGGGCAATGTTGCCAACTTGACGGCGCACCAACTCTGGCTGAGGGCGACGCAATGGGCCAAAGAATACGGTGAGCGGCGTTTACGTTTGGCGGAGCGCGTTGACTTAGCCGAGCTCAGGCAATGTCGTGTACCTCCACGTCTTCGGCCAAGGACTGGTTTTCTTAAACAGCTATGAAGCCGCCGTCGACCTGCTCGAGAAGCAGGGCTCGGTATACTCGGATAAACCTGGCCTCGTCATGTGTGGCGAGCTGTACGTCACTGCTGTTTGAGTCTGTAGTCGACTATGTCTAACCGTCATCGCGCCAGATGTGGCTGCGAGAACATGGTGCGCCACATCTGCGCAGATCGTCCGCAGTGATTTGACCCGCGCTTTTGACAGGTCGCATTCACGCGCTACGGCGACAAGTCCCGCCGCCAGCGCAGGCTCATGCAGCAAGCGCTCGGCGTGAGCGCGGTCCGCACGTACCAGCCCTTGCTCGAGATTGAAACGGCTGCGCTGCTCAAGAGGCTCCTCGCCGATCCGCAGGACTACGTGGGCAATGTGCGCCGCTATGCGGGCGGCCTCACGCTGCTGGTCATGTATGGCTACCGCGCGAATTCGAAGGATGACCAGTTCCTCATGCTTGCGGACACTTGCGTTGACCTGTTGTCCAACCATATCGCGTCGGGCGGCGGGATCTGGCTCGTTGACATCTTCCCCTTCCGTGAGTCCCATCGTTTTCTACATGAGGTCGTCTGTCGACGTGTGCATTTACAGTGAAGCACCTTCCGCTATGGTTCCCTGGCGCCGGCTTCAAACGCAAGGCAATCGAGTGGAAGGCAAAGATGGAAGAGTTTGTTAACAGGCCATACGAGTTACTCAAGCAGCGCATGGTAACGCAAATGGTGTCCTTCAATTATTGACATACTCACAGTTTGCAGAGAGAGGGAACGGCCGTCCCATGCTTCTGCTCTACGCTCCTGGAGGAGCTGCAAGACAGAAACGATAAGGCCGTCGATGCCCAGAAGGACTTTGACATTCGATGGACCGCGAACTCGATGTACTCTGGTGAGTTGTTGGGTTTCGGCTCCTTATCGTTGCTCAGTGTAGTTTTCGTGTTTCAGCGAGTATTGATACCGTGAGTTGAAGTAGTAATTTGTTTTCACAGAGCGCTGACTACCTTCCAGACAATCACCATGGTGATGCACTTCATCCGGGCGATGGTTTTGCACCCTGAGGTGCTCGTTAAGGTGCAGCAGGAGATGGATACAGTGGTTGGCCAGGGTCGCCTGCCGACCTTCAGCGATCGCGTGTCGCTGCCGTACCTGGAGTGCGTGATGAGCGAGTGTCTGCGCTGGGGCGCGCCCGTCCCGCTAGGTTAGTGACGCGTTGACAAAGAACGTAAGAGACTGAAGTGTCAGCAGGTCTTCCGCATCGTCTGACGGAGGATGACGTGTATCAGGGTATGCACATTCCGAAGGGATCACTGGTATGTTTCTAGAACTCTGCACAGCGCCCGTCCTGATCACAGTTCCGACAGGTGTTCGCTAATATCTGGTGAGTGTTCTTGCAATGTCGTGGGAACGTCCGTTGTCTGAATTTTGCAGGAATATGATGAGGAATGAGGAGCTATACCCGGACGCGCAGGCGTTCAAGCCTGAGCGGTTCATGGAGGAGGCTGATGAGCAAACGGCGAAGAGGCGCGATCCGCGCAACTTCGTGTTCGGGTTCGGGCGCCGTCGGTGCCCTGGCATGCACCTCATGGAGTCGTCGTTCTGGATCGTCATGGCGTCGATGATCGCGACGATGGACCTCGCGAAGGCGGTCGACGAGCACGGGAACGTTGTCGAGCCCGAGACTAGCTTCGACAACGCCGTCTTTAGGTATGTGTGCGTGTCAGTGTGTCTGCCGCCTGATACTGATGCTACCGTGCTTGTCAGGATTCCGACTACGTTCAAGTGCGACATCCGCCCGCGCTCTGAGCAAGCGCTCAGGATCGTCCGACAGGCTGCGGATGCTGCGTGATTATCCCTCGACATTTACCTACGTGGGCCCAGTCGTGGACCATACTGTGGCGTAAATGGGGTGAGTTGTGGGGTGTATTCGTACTGTAGTAATAGGATATCAGCAGACATCATCGGTTTAGCTCTTGACGTGCTCTCCATTATTTGCATCGCGCTTTCACTGTTCTCGATAATTGATATTCGTTGAGTTGGCTCGTCTTCCGAGTAAAATGTTGATGAGCATTGGCGGCGGCGAAGGTTCCGTGCATCCGACATTGGGGAATTGCTGCAGAATGCAGAGACACGTCATGATTCCGACTTGCGCGCAATTGCGTGATTCCCGGTGCACGCATGTAAATTTCTGCAATGAACCCACTCACTCTCAAGCCTGCAGACTATTCTGAATACCAACAAACAAGTACTGTCAACTGCAGGTGAGGAGAAGTGGTGAGGGTGTACAGTCTTCCACTGTCAGGTGGTCACCTTACTGTAAAGGCAATCACACTTCTTGTTTCGGCAACATTCAGTCGCTCAGGCTTGGACCAGTCCTGGTCCCAGTTGTCTCGACTGCTAACTGGGATGTGATCGAGAAAGGCTGACTCACGGCGTCGCCGGCATGCTCGATTGTCCAAAAAGGGCATGTCAGGGCATCCGGCGAAATTTCGGCGGACTTAGAATTAGTTCCTCTCCTCGTCGTCTCAACCTCATCACGGCAAATGTCAGATATTTAGTTGTACTCTACCCATTTCACGGTCCTTCGTTTGCGCATTATCCTCAGGAATGAGTGAGACGGCAGCGTCTGCACCGGTACGTAGGTCGTGGACAGCGAACTCGTCCGGCACTGAACTTGAGATAACGCAGAGTTATGAGGATGGTTTGTTGTCGTTGTCGTTGGCGGCCGCCAGTGCAACACCCATCGTCATATCTCGCGAGCCTTCGCAGGACAGCAGCTCCTTCATGCCTGGCAATTTCAACGGACCTAGCAGCTTGACCAGTGGAAGCAGCACGATAAAGCCGCATCCTCTTCACAAGCACCGCAGGCTCTCTTCGACCGGCCAGGCAAGAAGGAGGTTGAGTGACGCGCGGGAGGCAACGAGCCGACCTTCGTGCGTCAGTTTCGCTCTCTGCTGCCATCGTATGCACATTTCTTTGTACATAGAGCCGTTACCATACAAACAGCGGCTGCTGCGCTGTCCTCGCTAGCCACGCTCTCACTCTCAGCGTCTCCTCCTCCACAGGGTATCTCTAAGACCTCCCCGTTCGTCTCTGTCCCTGGGCACGTCCAGTCAGCACCTTCGCAGCTTGTTCCAATAGCCCCCAACGGTACCGAGGTCGAAGCCCATGACGACGATTTGGACTTGGGAGACGCATTCGATTCTGGACAAGTCAAGACGGAGATTAACGGCCCCGGAATTAGCGTTACGAGTTCGAAGTCGGCCAATGGCAAGAAGAGAGGTACGATCTTCAAGTGTGAGAGTTGCTCTAAGGTGTACCGCCATCCATCTTGCCTGATCAAACACCGTTGGGAACACTCGCCGCACTGGCGGGAGGCTTCGAAGTTTTTGCTCAGCAAGCATCAGCAGGTGCAGCTTCTAGAGGTACTTGTGTCTTCGCTGATTTCTGCGACTAGACTAGGCTGACACGTGCGCGCAGGCTGCAGCAATTCTTTCACACCTCTCTCCGTCTGCAAGAGGGGGGACTTCTTTACCAGAAGACCGCTCCTTATGGCCGTCCTACCTCTCCGGAGGTCTTCTCCCGCCGCCTAACACAGCCAACACTTCCAGTGGACCTGCCGCGAATCCTGCCTTGTTAACTTCTAGTTCCGTGCCCGCCAACTCAGTGCTCAGCTCATCTGTGCGTCCTTTGTCTGCGGGTTCGCGCCCACGCATGCACCACTACGCGATTTCGGATGCTGGCGGTATCACCCATTTCCGCCCTGGTGTGGTCGGTGTCCCCACGGGACCCAGTGCCTCACCTGAGCCCGAACATGTTTCCACAGGTCAGCGTTCCGTACCTGTCCCTGTCCCCAGAACGGACTCTGCCTATCGCGAACAAGGCATGGGATTCAGCTTCGTCAGTGGTCTTTCGGACGTGTGGAGCTCCCCGGTGTCGGTCGGCTTCGCACAGTCGTCGTTCCGGTCGTCGTCCGTGTCGATGTCGGCATCCGAGGTGGTGCAGTCGTACTCGGGATCGACTGGCGGGTGGTCTCTCCCACGTTCGTCTGTGCGCTCTGGCTCGCGCTCGCGCAGCGGGTCGGCGTCGGAGAGCGACTTCGTCGACGTGGACGGGGACGAGGAACTTGGCGGCCGCCGATTCGGGTTCACGTCGCGTTCGTGGAAGAGGGACGAGCCCTACTCGCGATCGGTCAGCGTCGGGCAGGATAAGATCGAGGAGGAGTGGGACGGCATGGAGATGGAGATGGAGATGTAGGTTACGCGGATGTCTGATGCGACGAGATCCACGGGAGCAGACCAACGGTTAAGTTTACCGCGGATAATGTGTAGCATCGATGTGGGAGGTATTCTGTAACATCATACTTATCTTCGTGCGACGCTTCGCTGTGTTTGAGCAGCAAGCAAGCGATGTATTGTGACCTCTTTCGTACAGCCATCTTGAAGTGTTGTACATTTACATGTGTATGCATCCGATTTGTTATATATATTACATTCCTGGATTGCAAGCACCAGTACTTACGGCGTTTCATATTACTGACAATTAATCACTTGCGTATAATAGCTCGCAATCGGCGGATGCCGTCGATGGGCGTCGAAGCTATTGGCCTTAGATCCTAACAAGGACAAATATCTGTCCAGAGATAACTTCAAAGTCGGATAGATCATATACAAGATCGTTTGTGTATATCTGTCGAACCACACCTCCATCAGAATCCTTCCTCATGCATTCATACTAAAATCGGAGGGCTCTACCAGTAAAAGGTCGACTCCGGGCGACTTCCATCCCACAACTTGCGCGATCGTACTTATCCGCGGGCAGGTCTTCGCGAGCGCGATAACTGGTACCAAATCGTCAGTGCCGTTGGCACGAAACGCATTTGGCGCCAGGTTCAACCTTTGAGTTCGATTGCCGCGTCAAATCTGCAACCAGTTACATTGCTATATCGATATTCTCAACGGTCACATTCCACCCGTTCGCTGGAAATCCGGGAGCCTTCGTTGTGCTGCCGTCCCATCCCCTTGCCATCATCGCTATGGCATAAAGAAGTCCGCCCGAACCCGGGAAATAAGGAGTCGGTACTTGGGCTCCCCCTGCAGGCATTCCGACATCGTCGAACTGATAATACGGATCTAGCAGCCACTCGATGGCCTTCTCGGGGTCGCCATTGCGTGCTGCAGACATAGCGAGCATTGGGAAGTCCCATCTATTCGTACGTCGGTAATCAATACTGATCCGTAGAGTAGATCCTAGCGGGACTTACCCCCAAAGATTACTAATGTTCCAGGTCGACCAAACCTTCTCCGCAGTCGCTTTCGCGATATCGACGCTCACGTTCAGCCCGGTTCCTGGCAGCCATCCATACAATCCGACCAGAGCAGGATGGCTATTCGTGTAGTTCGTCGTCGTCCAGAACTCGCTCTCGATCCCTTCATACACTGCGTACAGCCCGTTTTCGATTGGCAGAGGGGCCAGATGATCCTTCACGTCCGACCATGCAGCCGGTGCCTGCTCTCCTAGCCGCTCCATCCACGTTTGCGCCTTCTGCAATCCCAGCCGCCAGTAGGCCAGTTCAAAAGCGGGGTTCCGTGTTACGTTCGGAGCTGTGTCTTCGCTGACGATGTACATTGGCGGGCCCAGATCATAAAAACCAGTGCTACCATTGTATCGCGCATAGACCGCCATCCAATCTGCCGTCTGGTACACAACGTCGCGCCACTTCTCGAGCGTCTCTTGAGATTTTGTCGCTCGGTATTCATACTCAGCAAAAATCAATGGATGCGGCTGCTGCCAGATCAACAACTCGTTGATCTCTCCCGGCGCTGACCTGCCTGAAGGATCGGTCATTTTCGACCATCGAGCCCCGCGACTGTAGCCTTCTTGAACCTGTGCACGTTCTATCGACGTGTTAAGAAAGCGGGAGTACACGCTCAGGGACCTATTCAGAAGGTCCCAGTTGTTCCAGAGCGCCCAGTGGCAGCTGTGCCAGAAATACATCTCCATGTGAAATTTCCCGTACTGTCACAGGGTGAGATACACTCGCAGTAGAAATATGTGAATCACTCACCCATCCATCATCTACAAGACCCGACTGGAAAATTTGACTTTAGCTCTTCGATCAGAACGAAATGAACTGTTGCTCGCCTCCTGAGGTGGATTGATGCTGGCTTCGTTGACGCGCATCAAATATCGCGACAAGACAATTCTCCTCTGCAACTCGTCGGCGCGGGGATCCGATGACCCAGTGTACACATCCACGAATCCATTGCTAGACCAATACTCCTCCCAGGTGTTTATTGATTCACCCACAACTTCTGTAACAGTAGAGACGGATGTGAACTGGCTGAGAGAATAGGAAATGACTATCGAGAATGTCGATGATATGTCTATGGGGATCACGCTGTACTCGTATGTAACAGAGGAATCCCGCGATATGTTGAACTTGTCGCCGCCTCCCATAGAGGTGAAGAATGTTGCATTAACCAGGGTGTGATTGATCTGTGCATCCACGTTTTGTCCCAGTCCAGATCCGGTCCGTAATAAAGTCGTGTGGTTGCTGGTTTCGTTGAAGTACCCGACGAATGGTGCTTGAAATTTCTGGGAACCATCATTCCAGGGAAAGTCTACGAAAAGAGTCAAGCGGCCTTGCAGTAACAGTTGCGACCGGATCTCAATGCCCACTGTACTGCTGCTCTGTGCGGAGTATGTTTTCACCTTCACGTCCTTGCCCTGCAACGAGAATTGACTTGTGATAGCGCCAGTCCATAGATCGAGCTCCTGAGAAATGTTGCCCAAATCATCCTCCGTAATATTCAGCATTTGCCCGTCCTCGGACCTGAACTGCAACCCAATCCGTCCGAGATTCACTCTGTTTGGGTTCGCGATCAGCCACTGTTGCGGAGCGGCGACCCCCCCGAACTCGTACTGCACGCCGTCCCAAACCATGCCGCGATACGCCGCGATATCCGCTGGGGTGACTCCTCTGGGAAGGCTGTCATTCTTCCATCCCCAGTCAGACATAATTGCCCAAGGCAGAAATGTTTGCAGCCCCGTTACATCTGCGCCGAATGCAAAGCAACCATTTCCGACTTGCATAGGCGTTGTCAGACTGGAGGCATTGCGCATCGGGTTATAGCGTGATACGATTTCGCGGCGGGGAATGGTGAACGTGAGAACCACGGACATGTACGTCAGAAACAGAAGCAGAAATACTCTGCTAGAGCTGTGGTATCGCATTGAACGGTGCATGACGTTGGGAAGAGACCTCAAGGAAGTGATAGGTGTTCATTGGTGTGCTCACCTGCAGCTCCCTTATGACGCCCACGAATAGTCGCGGTCCGGGCGTTTGTCAGGTGATGTACAAATAGTATGAACCATTTGCTCCGGCGCGATCGTACGATGTCCGTAGGCGGGAGCGCAGGACTCAGTGCCTTGTATGGAATACTTCCTTAGGGAAGTGTGAGATGGTGGGCAATTCTTGAGCACCAGTTCCGGCATGAAGCTGTGTCGCATCATTCGGAAGATAACAGTGAAGCGGGAAAACAACTCGTACCGTGCTTCCAAGCGACACATCAGGAAAACCCCACTTTTCCTTAAAAGGACACTTAAATAACTTAAATGGACTTATGGTCCTTATTTAAGGACATAAGGACAAAAAGGGCCTAAGGCATATTCCCTGAGTGTCTGAAATTCGACTTATTTGAACACTTATGGCCTTAAATAAGGGTTGTCAAAAGTCTAAATAAGTCCATTAAGAGAAAGTTGGGTTTTCCTGATGCAGGTAAGGAACACTTGATAATAGAGATGGACAGTAGACTCATAGTACGCAATGCGAGAATCTCGTACGGATTGGGCATCAGGAAAAATTCCCTTGGTTCTGTAGTAGAATATAGCCACAGTAGCATCAATACCTGCATAGACACCCCTCCGAAATATAGCAATCCGTAGCTTCACATGCATCCACTGTAACCCGACATAGTGATTGTATCCTATGCCAGAGGCATGTAGCTGTGGTTATTCAGTAGTCGAGTAGTGCAAGGTAGCCATATGTAGTGCAATATTTTTATGGCAAGTACCATACAGTATTTGTAGCTAGGGCTTCACACACTTGCAGATAATATAGAACACCAGCTTTCAAATGAATTGGGTATTAATCGGGTATACAGTAGTGACATTAGTCTACTACTAGGCTCTAGTTAAAATGAACAACATCTTTCATGCAATTTAGTGTACCCCGGTTACGCTGTCACTGGCATCATCACTATCGCTTTTAGTCTCTGATCCCTGATCCTCGTGAATCGCTGCATCAAATTGCTCGCGACCAAGCACAGGAACAGTGGTCCTGCTGAGAGGTTCTGTGCTGGAATGAAAGCTGCCAAATATTTCATCAGTAAGAGTGCAGAGCGTGAAGTTGCAAACATACCGGGCATTGGCATGCAGGCTCTTACAGAGCCGGCCAAGCAATTTATACCGAACAGTGTGCTTATCAAACCTTTCGAGACACTCTAGATGAGCGTTGAAGATGGGCTTGTAGCTGAGGGCAGTGAACTGCACATTCTCCTTGATGCCCATGGCCCACTCATCAATACAGCACTCGATCTGAATGATCAAGTGTCAGTATGCAGGAGTGACAGGGAACAGGTACAAGAACTCACCGCTGCAAGCACCAGAGCAATAGTGATCTTAGGCATCGGATTGAACATCTCATGAAAGTGCACTCCCTCATCATGCTTGTTAGCAAACCACATATCGCCGATAACCATCGGCAAGAGTTCAGTCTTGTATAGGCCAGTCTTCTTCTGCATGTCCTGACAGTAATGGTATCAGTACCTAGAATGCACAGAGACTTACAGACGTACACGTACTTGGTAAACGAACAGATATCGATCCTTGAGTTCCTCAGCATGCTGGTGATTGCGGGCAATAATCTTCTTGTTCTCGCCACTGCGGAAACTATAGAAGGGACCAACGAGAGCACGGACCTTCGTCTTTAACTCACCACGAAGGTGAGAGGTGCACTTTGTGATCTGTTGCACATGTCAGGTACTTGTATAGATGTAGAAGATGCACGCACCATCTTGAGAAGAGTCGGTGTGAGTATGACATTCAAACTAGTCTTCTCGCAGGCCTTCTTCCATGCACGTTGAGCCGGCTGTGTCTCAAGGGTGTTCGTGTCAGGGAAAGGGGCCTCAGTGGAGATGAGACAACGGTAGATGGAGATCGCGAGACCAAGAATTTCCTTTGTGAAATCATCAAAATCACGAGCACAAGGGCGCTGAGATCCATCGGGTTCCTTGGAGTACTTCGGGGTATGAGTAATCTCTGCATCACCATCATCACTGGGACGACGACGATGCTTGCTACCAGAGGTGACGGTAACTTCATCAGGATCCATGATAACACGAACAACCTTGGCAGCACAAGAACGCTGAGCCGGAACAGCTCTCTGGTCACCGTCATTGTCATGTTCATTGTTGTTGTTATGGTCATCACTGTCGTGGTCGTCATTATCGTCAACCAGTGTGGGTATGGCTTCATCATCCACATCTTGAGAAACAGTATAAGTATGAAATTAATCTAGACAGAACACGGCAAAGCTGCTTACCTGCAGCATTCTTTGCGCCTTTCTTTGGAGCGACTCGAAGGTGCACAGCATCCAGGACATGGCTGGCATGATAGGCAAGAGATGGCTTGGAAGACAACTTCGTGGTGACAGTTCTTTCAGAGAACTGATGAATGTGAGTGCGCCATGATCATGTAATCTCCATGATGAGACTTGCCATGTGTTCTTCCATGTCATCAATATCGCTGGCGTGAAGTTCCTCCTCATCCATGGCCATACCATCGGCCTCCTGCTGATGCAGGCATGTTAGGCGGGCAAGGTTCTCAGCCTTCTTGGCTTTGTCAGCCTTGCGCTGAGCAGCCTCTTTTTCATTCATCACTTGAAGAGAAGTGTAAGGGACCAAAATGCACTCTGTATATAAACAAATAAACTGACTGCACTCATTTTGCTTGGCTGTCGGGCGACGGGAACATCCAGCTGGCTGTCGAATGAAAGTAGCCTGAGATGACATGTTTGAATGATGGAAAAATGAAGGGGCTTCAAGTGCCTTGGAGGGCACGGCGAGCAATCGTGTTGTTGAAAGGTGGAGGGGACGTATGAGACCCTTTATCTCCCAACCGGGTAGCCAAAGAACACGTCAACAATGCGTGAAGTTGAACTTTACTTTGTTGAGCAGGAATCAACAAATCAGTCAGGTGCTTAGGTTTAGCACGAATCGAGACTCACCTCGACCAAGACGGCATGCTCGATAGTAGGGTAGATGGTCATCCGCGGGCTTCGGCATTGCCCCAGATACTTGACCATTGAACATTGACTGCCGTGACCTGGATCACAGAGATGTTAGCTGCACACCATTGTAATTTCTGTCTCAGAGAGCTGCCAACCTTGGGGGGTCTGAAAAAACACATCAATAACTGACCCAAATGTCGCCGCAAGTGGGAGCAATCTATCGCCAGGACACTGAATGTGGATGGAGACAGAATTGCTATGAATGTTGATGAACCTGCAGATCTGCACGCACCCGTCGAGTCTATTTCTGAGGGCCATACACCATTTGACACTTACCTGCCTCCCCCCGAGTACTCTCCTGTGCCGGACTCTCCTACACATAGTCTAGAAAGCGAGCATGCCTCAAAACGTGCACGTGTTGACGATGTTGAGGATGAAGACAACTTACCGGCGGGTCAATTTTGCGAGCATTTTAGTGATCCCGCAGCCACAGTCATTGGCGCTGCGAAGACAGACTTCGAGCTCCACCGAGATGGTATGAATGCCACGGATTCGATGCCATTCTCACCATTTGCTGATGAAGAGGAGTGGGAGTTATCTGAGTGGCTTATGAAAAACCTGGGTCAAAACTGTATTGACGAGTATCTCAGCTTACCTATTGTGAGTCTTACATTTTCATTCGTGCAACTGAGCAGTGCTCAAAGGCCCCTTAGACTCGCAATCGCACACAGCCATCCTTCCATAATACACGTGCCTTCCTGCAGAAGATAGATGAGCTACCTACTGGGCCTGAATGGACATGCAAGAAGGTCTGTGTGATGGGGAATCTCACCGGAGAAGACGACCAACCGTTGACAGAGGAGCTGGAGTTGTGGACCAGGGATCCTCTTGAATGTGTGCGGGAGTTAATTGGGAACCCATTCTTCAAAGAATCTATGGCATATGCTCCGGAGTGAGCCTATGCAGATCATGCGGGATCATGCCACATTTACAATGAAATGTGGACGGGCGACTGGTGGTGGCAAACACAAGTGAGTCCGCTTCCTTTGCATCAGCTTTTCATGATGCTTACCATGTTTAGGAAAAGCTCCCCAATGGCGCGGTCATTGCACCAGTCATTCTTGCATTGGACAAGACCAAGCTCTCACAGTTTCATGGAGACAAGTCGGTGTGGCCGGTGTACTTGACCATCGGCAATATCTCAAAAGAAACAAGATGCGCGTCATCTTCTCGCGCAATGATACTCATCGGATACCTCCCAGTGACCAAACTCACCTGTTTCAGTGACAAGAGTCGATCTCTTGCTGGATACTGCCTCTTTCACCACTGCATGTCCCTCCTCCTTGTGCCGCTCGTGGATGCTGCTACTAATGGCGTTGACATGGTGTGCACGGACACATTTATCTGCCGCGTGTTCCCAATTGTGGCCTCGTATGTCGCAGATTATCCTGAGCAATGCTTGGTTGCCTGTTGCAGTGAAAACAGCTGTCCATGGTGCACAGTTGATCCCAAGCGATGTGGGAAACTTCTTGACACACTTGAATGGTGCGACCCTGAAGAAACATATGAGACCCTCCAGAAGCAGAAGAATGGACTTCAACCTGCTGTTTTTGAGGAAGAAAACCTATGTGCCATGTACAAACCATTCTGGCATGATCTACCACACTGCAACATCTTCTCCTGCTTCACCCCAGACTTGCTGCACCAGCTGCATAAAGGTGTTTTCAAAGATCATCTCGTTAGCTGGTGTATGACCTTGGTCAGTGAAAAGGAGATGGACGCATGCTTCAAAGCATTAGCTGGCTATCCTGAACTCAGGCACTTTAAAAAAGGTGTCTCTATCGTCACGCAGTGGACAGGTACTGAGCACAAAGAGATGCAGTGCGTCTTTGTGGCGCTTCTCGTGGGCGCTGTCCCTCCAAAGGTCCTCACAGTTGTGCGGGTGCTCTTAGACTTCATCTACCTTGCGCAGTTCTGCCTTCACACCTCCACGAGTCTCGCTCGCCTTGATACATGCCTCAAGCTATTTCATGAGCACAAAGATGTGCTCATCGACTTCAAGGTGCACATGCATTTCAACATCTCGAAGCTCCACTCCCTTCAACATTATGTAAATGCCATCCAACTGTATGGCATGGCTGATAGCTTCAATACCGAACTACCCGAGCGACTGCACATTGACTATGCCAAGGAGGCCTATCGGGCAAGTAACAGGTGCGATTATGAGGAGCAAATGGCCCTATGGTTGCAGCGCCAGGAGGCTATCTTTCGATGAAGCTCATATCTTGCTTGGGTCTGCCATCCGGCCAACTTAAGACCTGCCTCATGCTGTGATAGAGTGGATGTGGATGAAGGGTATGATTCAGATGCCGAGGATGATGACCTGGTCGACGACGCAGATTGTTGTGACCCCGAGCCGGAATGGCAATCAACATACAGTCTGGCCAAGACCTGTCCCCACCCATGAACAAGCGTTGACCGCTTGGAGAATGCTCACGGTGCCACTGATTTCCTACATGCGCTCACAACATTTCTGCAGAAGCACCTCCCTCAAAACACTGTTATGCCAGGTGCGCAGGATCGGTTTGATGTATACAATCAAGTTGTTGTCCACATGCCGCTGAATCTTCGTGTGTGCAACAAACATAACTGTATGAGAATCTGAGCTGTTCCTGCCATACCTCCTCCATCAACTGGGCACAAGCCCGGCTCTCCTGCACACTTTGACATGGCTCTGATATGTACCGATCGCACCGCCATCGAGAAGCATGGGTTCTGAGGTACGTTCTATGTGTGTGGCAGCATTTCTATTCATTGTTGATTCGGTATGTGCAGGTCTACACATTGCCAAGTTCGCGCAATTTTTCGCCTGCCACGCCAATTCGGCCATTATCCACGGCCTCTGGCATATGTTGAATGGTTCACCGAGTTCCGCCAATGCCCCAATCCAAATGTGAACATGTATCAAGTTACACGTTCTACTTGGCAACACCGGCGCCATGCGGACATTGTCCATGTTGACGACCTTGTGCGACCCTGCCACCTTATTCCAAAATGTGGTGCCAGTATCAATCCTCTTTGGACGACCGACAATGTGTATGAGTCAGCAACCACCTTCTATCTTAACTCTTTCATTGATATGCACATGTTTTGTAGAAGCTTGCACAGGAGGGCACCAGAAATTTCGCACACATAGGGTAGAGTACAGTCGTAGTCTATAGAATCTGCACCTTCAATACATGTAAACCGTAGTCCTACAGAATGTGTCGCTGTGACTACCTAAGCTACGTGGTATCCTCGGAGCTAGACACGAGGCTATGATGATGCCATTGTGATATCAATCAGTACCGGGCATGGCGGAGAGCTACCGCCACTGAGGTTTTTCCTGATGGGGGAAGTACCTATCAGAAACGTTGGTTTTCCCTATAATACCATCACCATTGTCGTTCAATGTGTTCATTGAGTTTGAACACTGTGTACAGCACTGATTGCTGTGGCGGTGTTTTTCTGAGTCAATGTATACGAGTCCTAGCAGCATGATGAGTGAATTTGAATGGAGCCTGAGTTCCAATGTGTCCAGAAAAATATAAATTATTCTCTGAATGAAAATAACATCTGCCTGAGTCTGAGTTTGCAGCTGGGCAGTTTCGAGTCTGCTCGAATGCGAAGCATTGAAGGTACAGTGGAAGATTGGAAGTGGCCATGAAGTTTTTGGCGCACACTGCGAACTACTAGTACGGCGTGCCACGCGGATCAACTTGAACAGTGCCTACACTTATCTCTAATGCTTGCTTCTACCAGCCCTAATGAGAAAATGAGGATCGGTCAGTCCTTATTATATATACAAATATACCTATAGCAAACTAGATAGATTCTAAGTCAAGATGCCACCTATAACTCGAACGCGATGACTGCACTACTTATGACTCGGAGTCTACCACTAGCAAGTTCTAGCCCTCATTGCCATTGATTTCAATGACGAGTTCAGGGTTCTGTTATGACCGTGATGTATTCATACTACAATATAATAATCGAGGATTAGGTAGGGTGAAGGAATATTGAGAATGGAGGCGAAGGAATAGTGAGAATGGAGCCAGTGAAAGTTCAGGCTATGATTTCAAGCTGCTGCGCACACTGACCAGTTGAGCCGACAGGACCCTGTATTCATGAATCGGTGCATCTAAACTTTGGAGAGCAGACATCAGCAAGTCGTAGATGACATAGGAACAAGAACATGTCATGCTCACAAGACAAAATAACATTATGGCATTGAGAGCACCATGCACTGGTCATCTTGTGCTGTCTGAGTTGCTGAGATTGAGATCTAGACAGGGAGATGTGAGAAATGTATTTTTCTCGATGCACAGTGTCAGTGCAAAAGATAAAAAATGATCAGTCCTTACTAACGGGGCTAGAGGGTCCGGAATCTGCCTCAATGTCGATGCTAGTATGAATCTGAACTTCTAGACACTACACCACTGACAAGTCAATTGTCACTGTCTGATGTCCATTCAAATAACTGACCCTGCCATCTTTTAAGTCCCTGGGGTTACTCTGCAACACTCTGCGGCAAATGTTTGTATGAGAGAGAGTCATAGGCCTGGGACATAAAGGTGTAGAGGAGACAATGGCCGCAGTGCTATTCATACGCAGAAATCGCCTTGCATTCAAAGTGGCCAAGTGTTACAATGATACATTGAGTACCTATCTTTTTCTTTCGATTACATTGTACGATTACGCATTGACCCGAAACTTTGAGTCTCGATGTCTCTCGACTCGATCTGGACTCTCTCTAGACCATAACACCATAGTCTAGAGCCTGTACTGACTCATCCCTCACTGTGAGGGTACTCACTGACTCAGCCATTACTGGCATGTATTACTCAGCATGTACTATTAGTATATAAGGCTGAGATCGTCGACTGGAACCCCAGTCTCGATCTGGTTACTTTACCTCTCAATACACGGGATTATCACTTAGTCCTTGTGTGATCTTCTTGACTCTTGATTCTTGACTCGCATTTACTTAGTTGTCGAACGACTTAGTACTTACTCGATGAACCTCGGACAAGTGGTACGCCCCAGCGTAACATAAGATCGAGACTATCTGATACCGCTCAACCTTTTCAGGTTTAGAGCAGAACTACATTTACAGAGACCCGACGAACCTTAGCCGATAAACACCTAGCAGGGCGAGTTACTCGGGGTGCGGAAAGGTTAGGAAAACATTGACACACTGGATTTTCGGGGACTAGAAGAATTTTCCTGCCCAAGACCTTCATCGATAAGGTGGGACGAAAACCTAGGACACCCAATCCACTGAGGCTCATCATCGAGAGAATTCAGAGCCCTCCCAACTATCAGAGAAGGGAGACCAGGCTGGAGGCTTGCATCAGACGAAGCAGCCTACCAAAGAATTCTTGAGGAATTCACCAGAGACTATCTGAACGAAGCAGAACGCTTCACGATATATACTGCAGCAAGGCAAAATGTTAACCGACTAATCGACCCAGCAGAAATACTACGAGGAGTTGACGAAATAACCCCGGGACATCCATTAGCAGAAGCAGCAGCAGCAGTAGAAGCAGCAGCAGCAGCAGCAGCAGCAGAATCAGAAGAAGAATCAGAAGCAGAGGCAACAGCCCCAGCACCGATCCCCGCACAGCTTATACCTGCAGCAGCCTTTTCTGCGATCCCAGTCCACAGACACATCATTTCGAACCCAACTCCCACGATGACACAGAAGCCAACCGAGCTCAAACTCTCCCAACCCGAACCCTTCTCGGGAGATACGAGCAAAACAAAGATATTCCTGCAAAGGGTTCAGACGTATGTCGACATCAATGACGAAATTTACAATAGCAACAAGAAGAAGATCACATTCGCGATGTCCTTCATGAGAGGAGGAATGGCCGAAGCATGGGCTGAGATGTGGTACAATGACCACACCGACGACCTAGGAAAGCTGAAGGACTATGGAACCTTCGACGCATGGGTCATCGACTTCAACAAGGCATTCCAAGAGACCGATCCCATGAGATCGGCGATGAAGGACCTTGAATCCCTTCATCAGACAGGAGAAGTACAGGATTACGTTAACTCGTTCCTGGTACTTATGAAAAAGGCCAAAATCATGGAATACCCAGCACGCCTCCATTACTTCAAGATTGGATTATCCCGTCGACTTCTCGAGCGAATCATGAACGTCAACCCACTCCCCACCGATATGGAAGGGTGGTACAAGAAGGCGGTTGAAATTGACGACCAAACCAAGTCAATGCAGATGTACACGAAATTCCAGAACAGTTGCCCCAGCGGACAACAGCAGAAGCAAGGGCAACAACAGAGGAAGGGACCCGTCTATACACGAGACCCTAATGCCATGGATGTTGACCACATGTCGCAGGAAGAATGCGACAGGCACATCAAAGGAGGACTCTGCTTTGAATGCCATCAACAAGGACATCGCTCGCGCGATTGTCCTAAGAAGAAGCCGAAGAACCCCGGAAACACTTCCAGAACGCGCAAAGAGATACAAGTCGAGGAATCCAAAGGGGAACCCTCAACCTCGAAGATAGAAGATGTTGAAGAAGACACCGCATCAGTCAAAAGAACGACCATTTCCGACAGTGATGTCTCTGAATTACTCCAGGAGTTACGAAAGATGCAGAAGGAACGTAACGACTGGATCAGGAAATTAGAAGGATCGGATTTTGGATCCGACGGGCTGTAACAGCATCAGTACCATCATTACTGACTTGCCACCCCAATGTAATTGTATGCGAATTTCTGGGAAAATCGATACACGTTCCTATTACTTTGGGTGTGCCGAGTCAAAGTGCTGATATCTTCGCTCTATTGGACTCGGGAGCTGGAGGAATGTTTATGGACAAAGCATTCATTGAACGAATGAAGTACCACCAGGAGAGACTCCCAAAACCGATTAGGATTCTCAATGCTGACGGTACTCCAAACAAGTTAGGATATGCAACGCACTGTGTATGGAAACGTACAAAGGCTGGAAGAAAACAAAAGGTATTCCAGTACTACATTACCAACCTAGGAAAGGATGAGGTTATCCTCGGATTACCATGGCTTCAGGCAATGAACCCTCGGATTAACTGGGAAACCGGCGAACTAGATTACAATTGGAGAAAACCCACTGTCGAAACAGTCCGAGATGACGAACCAAAGGTCAAAAAGGCGGCAAATGCCCCCTATATCGGACCGATTGACGATAATGGACGATCCTGGGAAAATAACGATCCAGAACATCCGGAAAATCAAGTTAAACCAGGAGACCCAGAACTAGGAATTCATGATTACAGGATCAAACTGGAGGACAGCGAATTGCTTATCTCATATATCCAAGGTGAACCGGTGCTGGCAATCTTTGACCCGCAAGGTGATACAGCAACTCCTGAATGCCCAACTCGAGGCGGTGAAAAACCCACCTCAGGACCCTGTATAGGTCGGATAACGAGGGATACACGATTTGGGCGATTTAGTATCGCACAAAACACTTGGCTATGTAACACCGGCACGGATACGCTGCTCTACAAGGCTAGCGGAAAATCGCAAGAATTGGTACAAGAAGCAATCCAAAAGGCAGGAGGAGCAAAGAAGAAGCTCGAAGAGCTCATCCTCTCCTACCTGATGGGGTACAAAGATGTCTTCGAAAAGAAAGCGGCAGAACGGTTCCCGAGCTCACAGGCATGGGACCATGCTATCGATTTAAAACCAGAATTCGTACCAAAAGACTGCAAGATTTACCCCCTATCCCCTAAAGAGCAGATGGCACTCGATGAATTCCTAGATGAGAATACACGAAAAGGATATATTCGACCATCGATATCGCCAATGGCATCCCCTTTCTTCTTCGTGGGAAAAAAGGATGGGAGCCTTAGGCCTTGCCAAGATTATCGATACTTGAATGAAGGAACGGTCAAGAACACCTACCCACTCCCTCTGATCACAGAACTCCTCAACAAACTCAAGGGAGCACACTATTTTACAAAAATGGACCTTCGATCTGGGTATAACAATGTACGGATCAAAGATGGCGATCAGTGGAAAGCAGCATTCAAGACAAATCGAGGACTATACGAACCAACGGTGATGTTTTTCGGACTTTGCAACTCCCCGGCGACGTTTCAGAAGATGATGAACGAAATCTTTAAGGACCTGATCGATGAAGGATGGATGATCATCTACATGGACGACATCCTCATCTTCTCGAATAACATGGAAGAACATCAACAGTGTACACTTCGAGTCCTAGAACGACTCAAGCAAAATGATCTGTTCGTCAAACCGGAAAAATGCACATTCGACTCCCAAGAAGTGGAATACCTTGGGATGATCATACGTCCGGACCATATTGGAATGGACCTGATCAAGTTGAAAGGAATCCAGGACTGGTCAGAACCAACAACGGTGAAGGCCATCCGTGCATTCATTGGTTTTGCGAACTTCTACAGGAAGTTTATCGATCATTATTCCGAGATAGTACGACCGCTCACTGATCTCATGATGACGACAAAGAAATCGATATGGGAATGGACCCCCAACTGCCAACAAGCGTTTGATACGCTCAAAGCAAAGTTTGTCTCGGCCCCCGTGCTCCTCATGCCAGACAAGACGAAACCTTTTATCATCGAGTCCGATGCCTCGCTTGTGGCTACAGGAGCGGTGTTAAGACAAACTGATGTCAACGAAGACCTCCACCCATGTGGCTATTTGTCAAAATCGTTTAACCCAGCCGAACGGAACTACGAGATCTATGACAGAGAACTATTAGGAATCGTTCGTGCCCTTGAAGAATGGCGCCATTACCTCGATGGCTCTCCTCATCCGATAGTAATACACAGCGATCACAAAAACCTGACCTACTACCGGACAGCCCAGAAGCTGAACAGACGCCAAGCGCGATGGAATCTTTTCTTATCCCAATTTGAACTCCAGTTGGTGCACGTCCCAGGAACGCAAATGATACAGTCGGACACCCTATCTCGGTTGCTTGGAAAGGGTGACCGAGATCATGATAACGAAGATCGTATCCTCCTCTCAGAAGCATTGTTCGTGCATTTGATATCAACACAATTATACCAAGATATTCGCACACATTCGATTAAAGATCAAATTGTTCACGATGCGCTCCAAGCCTTGCAGCACAAAGGACCACCACCAATGAAATCTGCCCTCGATGATTGGAAAATCACCGACGGGCTTGTCCAATACCGAGGACGCGTATATGTACCCCCAGTACAACCTCTCCGACGTGATATTATCAAGTTGTACCATGACACACCGGCCATGGGACACCCGGGTTCTTACAAAATCCTTGAACTTGTCCGACGTGATTTCTGGTGGCCAGGACTTTACTCTGCAGTGTGCGCCTATGTGGAAGGATGTGCAGGGTGCCAACAGATGAAGATCAATACGCACCCCACTAAATCTCTTCCAATGCCTATACCAGCAACCCCGAACGCCTTGCCATTTTCCTGTTCCTCAGTCGACTTCATCACAGACCTACCAGTATCACGTGGTTTTGACTTTCTCATGGTCGTGGTAGACCATGACCTTACGAAGGGGGTAATTCTTTGCCCTTGCTTGAAGACGGTCACGGCGGATCAAATGGCAAAACTTTTCCACGAAAAAGTTTATTCCCGATTCAGACTCCCAGACAAACTGATTTCCGATAGAGGAACACAATTCGCATCACACGTATTCCAAGAACTATGCAGGATATTAGGAATCAGGTCCTCGATGAGTACAGCCTACCACCCTCAGTCAGATGGAGAAACGGAGCGCATTAACCAGGAACTAGAAGTGTACCTCCGACTCTACTGCAGTAACAACCCCAAGTCATGGGTAGACCGACTACCGGACCTCAAATTCTGCCATAACACACGCGAACACTCAGCGCGGAAGATGTCGCCATTCCGCATGATGATGGGATACGAACCACGCGGAATCCTGTCGGTACTCCCTAGGACAAATGTACCCTCGGTGGAAACTTGGCTATCTGAACTCCAGAAGATTCGAGATGAGGCTCTAGCCATGCATGAGCTAGCAAGACAGCATATGGCAGAACGGATCAGGAAGGGCTCACCACACTTCGCAAAGGGTCAGAAGGTCTGGCTCGACACAAAGAACCTGAACATTGGGTACCCGACACGGAAGATGGCTCCGAAACGTGAAGGCCCCTTTATTATTGAAGAATGTATAGGCCCAGTGGACTACCGCCTGACCCTACCACGAGGATTGAGAATCCACCCCGTATTCCACACCAGCCTTCTATCACCTTACAAAGAAATGGAGATTCACGGCCTGAATGATACGAGACCACCGCCTGACCTTATCGAAGAGCACGAGGAATACGAAGTCGAAGCAATCCTAAACCACCGACAAAGATACGGTCGGACCCAATACCTGGTCAAGTGGAAAGGATACGCTTCTGCCGAGAACTCATGGGAACCCGAAGCGAATCTGACAAATGCCAAGGGGCTACTAGGGGAATACAAAAGGTGACGATGCCTGCATCGTATCTCAGCAATCGCCTGCATAGACCTTCACCATTTCTGAACCTCCACTATGCCATCATCTGAAGCGCAATCCGTTATCGATGACTACTTCTCTGAAACCTCTCCGACTCCCTCGCCACACCCTAGGGACTTTAGGGGAGTACCAGCACACGACATATGAGATAACCTTAGGGCCCATCTCCGATTCTCATGATGAATTGGGACTATTGGTGACTTAGAAGACTTCATCGTTGGCGTAGTTGACTCGATCAATCCCATACATTCTAGAGCCACCACGCCATCCTTACCCGACTTGCCCTGGACGAATCGTGAGCTCCACTCAAGGGCGGTCCGTGTACTTGCAGAATACAAAGAATTGTATCTCCAAGCCCTAACCGCGTTGGACGACTCTCACGCGCAGTATGCACTTAGGATCATCCATTCGCAACAAGCTGCCAAATCAGAAATCATCTCCATGCAACATGCGATAGCAGGAGCGCGACGATACACGGAGAGAATGGAGGCATTGGCATTGAGCATGGGAGATAGGATCCAGCGACAGGAGGAAACACTAGCCTTGATGTTTGCCCAGATGAACGTGTATCAACGACTCGTCGAGCTAGACGCAAACGTCACGCAGCCATTCCTCCCTACCTTTCTAACAGATATGCCGCCAAAAACCCCACAAGAAGGGACACCCCCCATACCTCCACCGCGACCATCACATCTCGATTCCATGACGGTTCCTACCCCACAACCGTCCAATTTGTTCAAAGGCACCTCAACGTCTTCCACTCCAGCAGCGACTCATGATGGTGTTTCCATCGCACGACCATTGCGTCCAAACACCCCTCCGGATTACGTATCGGAGTGGAACTTTAGCGACAATCCCAACCATCATGCTGAAGGGCTATCCCCGATGACCACGGAAAATGCGGTGCAGACTGAAACGCCTGGACACTTGGATCAATCATCTCAGACCCTCGTAGATCCAGGAGAAAGTGAGCCTGAAAGGAACATCTCCCCGTTTCCTCCCGCCTTCTCCACAGCGCTCATCGGGCCACACCGAACCATCCCAGCATACGTCGCGTATCAACGACCACACCCCCAGTGCGTGTTCTGCGGACAGTATACCTGCCCATTTTCCATTTGCGTAATCTGTCAATCTGTCCCCGCATCCCACAACCCGAACGCATGCCCTGTGTTGCTATCCAACAGGATGCGCTGCTACTACTGTGGAAAACAAGCACCTGGCCACACGATAGAAGGTTGTCCCCACTCCCATGACTTCTACGCTAATTACGACGCACGCGAGGTAGCGTTCTCTTACCCTGACCCTCAAACAGACCCGTGATTCTCTGACTTCGATGGGACGGGTTCATTGTATACTGAAGGGTTTCCGATGAACAGTGTGACACTGTCGGAAGCAGGAGATACATAGGAATGCCTTTGAGGGCAAAGGCGGCATAGGAAGGGGCTTATGTTACAACGGTACATTGAGTACCTATCTTTTTCTTTCGATTACGTTGTACGATTACGCGTTGACCTGAAACTTCGAGTCTCGATGTCTCTCGACTCGATCTGGACTCTCTCTAGACCATAACACCATAGTCTAGAGCCTGTACTGACTCATCCCTCACTGTGAGGGTACTCACTGACTCAGCCATTACTGGCATGTATTACTCAGCATGTACTATTAGTATATAAGGCTGAGATCGTCGACTGGAACCCCAGTCTCGATCTGGTTACTTTACCTCTCAATACACGGGATTATCACTTAGTCCTTGTGTGATCTTCTTGACTCTTGATTCTTGACTTGCATTTACTTAGTCGTCGAACGACTTAGTACTTGCTCGACAAACCTCGGACAAGTGGTACGCCCCAGCGTAACACCAAGAGAGAGTTTAAATTCACTGAATGGAGCATGTTGAACATGATGAATAATGTGGAAGCAAGAGGCTCACACTTTGGAATGACAAAATAAATTGCCAGGAATATGGCATTGTTTGGCATAGTTGCATACTGTGGAGGACAATCAGCAGATAACTGGGTATGAGTGCCAAGTAAGGTCTACCGTCACCAAGCAAGTAAGGTCAGAAACACTGTATACATGCAATCTAGTGAGCTTTCTAAATCATTCAAAAGTAAAGACTCACCCAGTGAGGACACCAGTATTGATGCTATACAGCATAAGCAACTGAAGCTTTGAATCGGTAGATCTAGAAGATTATATACATCAGATTGTTTTGCAAGTCTGCTTGCCATATAACAAGCCTGGAGAAGCCAGTACACTGTCACTTCAACAGTATGCACAGTGCAGTAGCAATAAGAATATGTTTAGCGACATCAGTGGAGACACCTGCATACAGGATCCACTGCAAGAATGTCAGAAATAAGGGGCAATAAGTGTGTTAGATGCCAGCTATACTGATAGATCATTCATTCTCCCGTAGTTTGAGAGGGAGAACCTACACATGTTAACTTTAGTTCAGGTGTGATGGTATCAAAGCAGGTTATTTCACCATTTGATAACATATACTTTGCTCAACATGTCAGCTGAACTGTAACATGTACAAGCCAAGCAAGATGGCACTTACTCATGGTGCTGACTTAAGGATACATATCAAGATTCAGGGCTGCCAACTCACACATCTCTCCAATGCACTTACCAAAGGGAACCAAGAGAGCTATAGTCTGTGAAAATGTTGACTGCCGTCACTTGAGATATGAGTAAAGATGCTCACTATTGCGAGAACTAGGAGCTTGTTCTTATTGCTCACTAGATCATGCATTCAACCCTTTGTTACAAGATCCTTGGAAGGTGAGCTTACATCTCCACACTCGCTGGCAGAATAAACTGGCAGAGAGTCAGTCTTTTTCTTAAAATCGTACAATGAAGACCCACCTGTCCACAACAAGATCACTTGCACCCTCAACCATCAATGAGTGATAAATTGGACACAGAGAAAATGCCAAGCTCACAGCCATTGCAATGTGTGCCTAAGTGAGATTATTGCAGTGAAAATGCAATAACACAACCAGCACACCAATACTCACCAAGATACTCCTGCTCAATTGTCTCTAGTAAGTAATTGGATGTAGAAAAAGCAATCAAGACACTATAAGCACCATGGAACAATTTCGAGGAGAAGTGGGTCGGCAAAATCAATAACCACATATGTGTAGGTGGCATGCACAATGAATACTTCGTGTAAGGTGTCCAATGCCCTGAAGTTCACTGTGACGTCTATCATCTCTATCACATGAGTTGTCTCACCAGAGGAAGAAAATCTGACAACCAGCAGGTTAGTGACTTTTCTGTGCGTTCAATGTTGTATTCACTGGCAACTTACCAAGACCTTCAACAGCACTGGGTCTGCTCCACCTTCTTGATAGTATATGAACGTTTGAACACTGGTAACTCCATACAAACTACAAAGACATCAATCTCAGTGCCCACATCAAAAACATGCTACTGACATTGCTGTTGCTATACTGCCTGCGACATTAAGCTGAGATGAGTATTACGAGACGGTGAAGCTGGTGCAGCGAACCTAGAAAAATTGCTCCTAATGACGGGCCAAGGTGCAAGGCAGTTGAGGGAAGGGAGGATATTGTCATTGCGAGTTATTCTCTGGGGTCGCAAAGGTCAATATTCAAACGATACCGAATCTCGGGGAACACTTTTATTATCTCCCTGAGACATGTCGCTTATAGTGTCTTGGACGAGGTGCTTCTGAATCATTCTATGAATAACATCGAAAGGGATCTCAACAGACCGGAGATAGTTCGTCAACTGGAGGCTGTGGACGGCACCCTAGCCGCCAGCGGAATTTTGAGGATGAGTGGAATCACGAAGACTCTGCTATCTAGTCTAAAGGTACGTTTAGCATAGAGGGGGCGGATACCAAACATCTTCATTACCAGACCGTCGACATCCCTCAACGCTCGCGTCTGCACTCTCAGCACTTCTACAAAGAGTTTTGTAATCAGTAGCAGTCGTCAGCTTGCATAATCTCTCTTACTTTGTTTATCTCACAACCATGGGATTTCTCCGTTACAGAAGTGTTTTACCAACAAGGTCCCATCCACATCGCTAGATGCTATGAACTTTTAAAGACGTAGGCTGCCCACACCCTGGAGCTATTAATATTGAGCGTGTCATTCTAAACCCAGATCTCGGGTGAAGTGATTCGTGTCGTCACACGCATCCAGAGAATGTCCCCGGGATCCGATCGCACACTTACTTCCCGACGCCGTACCCACAAGGCAGGGTCTGCAGGCAGGTTTTCCAGTGGCATGCATAGCGTCTAGGATTTCCCTGAGAGCACAATGTAGTTGCTCTGTATGTCCAGTCGATGCTGAACCCTTTACGTTGAGGCTCTACTACGGTCCGTCTGCAGATCATAGTAAGTGCCAGTGAAACGCGATCGCATGATAGTGAAGTCACCAAAAGGAGAATGGCACTTCCACCTCGTCTGGGGCATTCTTCACCCAAGGCAACAAGACTTCACGCTCGAGGATTTCAACAGATATTCTGATCGCAGCATTGACGAAACTTAGGTGCTCGTGTATGTGATGAAGAAGAGCGCGGAAAGACTGACTGTGCCAACGAAGATATGTCTTCGCGGAAGAACCTACACAATCGGGTGATCACGATCGGGGAAAGAATACAAACGCGAGCGGCATTTGGGCAGTGATTGGTCCTATGACGACAGACATCGGCAGAATGGAGCTTCAGCATCGCCACAGTACTTGGAGTTAGTCAAGCACGTACCTGTTTTCATGTCCAGATAATGCACTAGCGGCATCTTCCTTAGTCATAAAGCAGTACCTCTTAGTGTAGAGATGGTTTCAGCTGAATGAGGTGGATGCTCGCCCTGCGTATCGGGCCCAGCGAATCCAAAGCGCCTCTCTTTTGAAAGTGAACGTACGTGGACACTAGTCTGTAACTATTGTAGCATCATCGCCGACCACGAGTGGGAACCTCAGATACGGCACTAGCGCCGACAGGTACATCCATGTCGTCAATGCTGCCCGTGAAGGTGGAACGTCACAGTACTAACTGTTACAAATCATGCATGCATTCAGAATCAGATGTATCTCAAGCTCCAGAACGAACCGTGATCAGCAAGGTAATATCACTGAACCAGCATGCCAGAGTGTCTGTGACTGGGTCGGAGGTCAAGATCTTGAAGAAGAGTCTGCGACGGCCATGGAGCAAATCGGCGCTCGTCACCCAGCCAGCGTTTATTCCAACTTTGCTGTAGTCTACATGGCGAGATACAATTCAGCGCATTCTCACTGGCTAGTAGGACAGATACGATGATGAACAAACCGAGCTAACGGGTAACAGGAATAAGTTCGCCAAGTGGGTGGACTAACGGCATGTGCTGCACTGTTCGCAGCCCGATATCATCCCTGAGTAACCTTGCAGCGCACTGCGTTCAACGAGATCATCTGTTAGCGGGGTGGTTGGCTGCGTTCACCTTGCGCGCAAGAGGCGGGGCATCCGAGCTGCAGAATATGGTTGTCTCCTTGAGGTACTTGTACAATGGACCGGAAGGCCATCACTGGCTGCGAGGGTACAATATGACTGTTCATTATTTGGATATCAGTACGCGCGCGCCTGGCATATTTGCCATTTCAAATGTCAGCACCGACCACATCCTGGGCATGGTCATACATCCATGTTCAACACGAGATTCTGTCTCCTCTTGACCATGCTCCAGCCGTTGCTGTGCACTCTTGGCGATAGGAACATCGCTCTTCCCTAGAGGGAGCACATGGTAGCCGGAACAACTCATTAGATAGCCAGTGACCGGGTAGAGGCCCGGAATTCAGCTCCCCAATTAAAGCCTTTGAATAGTATAGCATCAAGTCAGAGACAGCGAAAAACAAAGCAAGCACCGGACGAAGTTTGTCCTAGACAGTCAACTGTCGATGACTTCCTGGGAGCCACAACAAGTCAACCATTGACTACAGTTTGGGGGGCTCGTACAGTTCGTGCAGTATCACCGATCAGAAGGTGTTGGACCAAGGAACGTTGACGTGAACTTACCAGTTGTACTTCAGCCATTCCCACCAGAGGATAATCACGCTGCGGGCCCACAGAACGCACAGGCTTTCCCTCGCAAAAAAATTCAGAGTGTGCGCGAGTAGCATAATGAATATGATAAGTGTGTAGACGACACCCTTGTTCCATGGTACAGGTTACCGGCGTGTCAGTGGATCAGACCCAGGGCTTAGACTGGAGCATACCTCTAAGTGTACATGTAGTGTCTGTAGTGCCATTCAGAGTCCGGTGTATGTCAGGACCACCATGCCTCCAGAAAGACCTGTTTCCGTCGCCCAGCACTGGCCGTATCATCCGGGCGGGTTTGCACTCCGTCTGTAGGTCGAACACATGTGTGTGGTAAACACACACCCAACGTCGATCCACTCTTGTCTACCATCCTCACGAAGAGCACCACGCCAGGATTCCCGGTCGGATGAAGACGAAGCTCTGCGGTGCCTCATGCTTTGTGGCCACGCCACGCCTGTTTGGCCAACGCTCACGGCCTCGTGTGAACGACAATGTTGCACCTCTGGTTCGAAATTATGATTCTGAACCACGCTCACTAAAGTACCCGTCCATACCAGACTAGACAGCGCCGCCATCCACCGCGCATTCTCTATACCAGCACACGCGCCGCCATGGCTACATTCAAATACACACCGCTCTTTTCTGCATCTTACTACGACCGGTTCGAGTCTTTCGAGAAGCAGCAGCGGAGAGACGCGTCTGCTCGTCGAGCACGCTCGCGCCAGAACTTGCATGCGCGATGGAAGAGTGAACAGTGGACAGAGGGCGAGAGACCACGCTGGGGATTTTATTTCGAGGAGGCTGAGCAGGCCAACGAGCCAAACGCGCTGGGCTGCCCTGAAGGGCGCGTCGAGGATACACATGCCGTGCCTTCCCACGATCTGCCCGTAAGGGCGGATACTTCGCTGGCGCAATCAACTCTCTTTCCTTCACTATCACTACCTCGTCGGCGAGAGATGGCGGTCAAGACGTACACCTGGGTATCTTTGTGGTGCGTTTAGAGTCGAGATTTGAGAAGTTGCAACTGACGGAACACACAGGTTCTTGATCACGATTCCAGTCATTTTCTGGGATGCCCTCTATCTCTTCTTCCGGTGCGTTCAACTCCCTATGGCCGTTCTGCTATGGCTGAATTCACTCACATTTTGAACAGGCCACGTTCGTTTGAGGGTGGCGACCTCCACTGGATCTGGAAGCCGTACGGGCTCTACCAAAATATCGACTACGTACGCAACACGCGCCCGTCTCAACCTCGTCATCTCACACCCCGGTCGAATTGTAGGTATACGGCGTCAGAGCCTGGGAGGAACACGACGGCTTCCCAAACGCACAATGTGAGAGTCTTCTTTCATCGACGCTCGGCGCTCCGACTGACCCCCGGCAGCGCTCCTCAACGTCGTCGAGAACCTGCTGAACATCACCTACCTCTACCTCGCGCACGTCTCCGGATCCCCCATTGCGACGCTGGTGGGGTTCGCGAGCGTGGTCATGACGCTGTCCAAGACACTCCTGTACTGGCTGCAGGAGTACTATTGCGGCTGGTGCTCAATTGGGCACAACAACTTAAAGGATCTGATCGTGTTGTGGGTGATTCCCAACGGGTGCGTGCACGCCTCTTCGGCTAATGGTGAATATACGTTCCTAATTGTGGAGACACCATGCAGTGCGTGGATCATTGTTCCGTCACTCATCCTCCTGCGCCTGGGCAAGGACATCGCCGAGTCCCTACACGCCGCTTACAATGCAGAGCGAAAGGCGGCGTCGGGGAAGAAGCAATGAGGTACTGAGTGCCGTGGGCCCGGCGGACTCGGTGTATTGACGTAACTTAAGTTCCTGTCCGTGCTTGTGTTGATCTAACAGTATATAAATTGGAAATACGGATGTCTCCTGTACTCACAATGGTTTGGTTCGTGACACTGCGCGCCTGCGCACGTGCGAAGCTGCACCCCCTTCCTTGCAATTTTGAACGCTCAAACTTTCGCTGCCACGATGTGGGAAAGGCCTATCGAGCGCCGCCGCCAGGCCTTGAGACATCTCCGCAACCTTCATGAAGAAACTTGAAAGATTCTGAACACAGAGCCTTCAAGAAAAAAAGTTTGGCTGACAGCGCCTGTCCACGGCCACCCAGGACGAAGTAGCGCACGGCGGGAGATTATATCAACGGATTGATTATGACGGCAAGCCTTTCGACCGGGAAGGTGAGCGGCGACTCGCCGCTTATTGAAGTTTTCGTTCTTAGACTTCTTGTCCAGATGATGCGCGTGTATATCCTCGCGAGCGGCGTGCTCACTAGCTAATCCCAGATGCAGCAACCAGATAATGACGACCAGGACTACGACGTAACGGAGCTGCGTTGACACCGAATTACCACTGTCGATGAGGTATCATTATGTGAAAGAAAGGCGAAAGACTCACCATAAGTATGCCGAGGCGTTCGTGCAGAAAGTCACTGAAAACAGGATTTCCCAATAGATCTAGAACCTTGTGCCAGCGTTGGAGAAGACATTTACGTCGTACGACCGCACATGAATCCCATGTGGATAGCAAAGTGTACTGGGACATTCTTGTTCTTTACGGATCCCCCCTTTCTCCTTGTTGCGCACGGACACTACGGTATGCGATGCGGTACCGGTATTCGTCCTTGGCGCCCACAGGTTATCTCGACACGCTGCTCGGTCCCAATGCTCCGCGCCCTACGCGATATCTTCGAGTCCGCCAGGGCCGATGAAAGCACCCCCTTTGATGTTACGCGTACACGTACGAAGGATGTTGGTATCAGACGCTGGAGTTGCTGTATCGCGATGCGACGTACTCCGTCCGTCGCACGTATACGGTCACGGAGACAGACAAAATCCAGGATGGCATGGACTTGCGCAATACCAAGCAGTGGAGCGTCCGATGGAAGGCTCATCTGCCCTGCCGTACGCGCGACCCATGCACAGACAGATGGCCACATCCAGGGCCCGGCCTTGCGCACCGTCGCGCGCGGGTTGTTCACGACTACGTCTCTCGCGCCAGAAGCAATGCACCGCGCGGCGTGAGCTAAGGCGGAGCACTCTGCGTATAGCGTTGACGTTCTTCCGGTGCACAATGCCCCCACCGTCACCAACGAATGAATACAGCCGCCCACAAATCCGGCGCAGGTTCTGGAGCGCCTGAAGACTCTAACACTCTCCCTGCTTCTTGCGATATATGGAAAGGAGGATCGCCTGCATTTGGTGCGGGAGGTACGAGTCCGCGGGAGCCCTGCCATGCCATTCGGACTCGAGACGCGATGCGCCATGCATGCCACAGCACGTTACCCTTGGCGATCCTCGTCCCTGGGAGAGTCTGAGAGAGCGACGACTCGTAAAAATGACAGAACGTATGGAGGGCACGGAAAGTCTGGACAGCGTTGACAAAACAAAAAACACATGTTACAAAGTCGCCCAGGAAAGGACGGAAAACACGGAACGTACGGAAATAACAGAGACGGCCGAAAACACAGACACTGAGAGGGTGCGCGAGGACCGCTGCAGTGGACCGAAAGCCGTAGCAACAGCCCCCGATTGGTGGAGTTGGGCCAACACGCAAGATAAATATCTCTCAGAAAGTTGGACTCGGAGGCAGTTCTCGCTAGATAGAGTGGGGTGCATCTACCGCTGCATCGAGTCCGAGCCCGGATCAGCGGGAGACGAACATGGACGAGCAGTGCCCACCGCGCACAGGCCTTCCTCCCACATACGGCCGCACTGGCTCAGCGCTGCGGTAGAGAACCTAGATAAGCCTGCCTGCTGCTCCCGTTCACCGTTCGCCGGTCGCCGTCGGGGAGGCATCAGAGTCGTGCACTCTGATGGCCTGCCTGCTGGCCTGATTCTCCGTTATCTGTGGCGCCCACGTCCGCGAGCGACCCAGGAGCCAATGGATATAGGGCGGATAACGGTCGCCGAAGGGCGAGATGTCGACTTGCCCAGTTGGCGAGAGAGAAGTGGAAAGAAGCGTTTTGGGTCGCGTTGATTGAGTGGCCGGTGTGCAGCGCGTGTTGGTGCTATCGCACGTTTGCAGTAGGTTCGACACAGATGGTCAGAGTGTGTTTCACAAATGCATTGCAATGTGTCTTCGGAGGCTTGTGCTGAATGCGAGAAGGAGCATGCTGCTTGGCGCATGTTCGAAGGCAGCTGGGACCCCACCTCTGAGCTCTCCATTGTCCCGCGTAGCTCCAGAGAAGACGAGGTACGATCGGATGTTCCCCTCGCCCCGAAACTTTGTGACTCTGCGTGAGTCGTTCCTTACTGTAGCAGGAACTCTCCAGCTTCGCCTTCATAAAGCCGCACGGAGAAACACGCCCTGGGCGGTCCTGCGGATTCCAAGCAATTGCGCGAATACAGCGAAACAGAGACATAAGGTATTAGCAATGACAGCGAAGCACCGCGCGGGACAAATTGCCATCGCGGGAGTGTTCCCATTCGCCCAGGAGAGGCTGATGGATGGATGGCAAGATCTGCGCAGGTCTGCTCGATGAGGGACGGCGTCAGCGGAAGTAGCGATGAGCCTGTGCGCACCGGGAAGTGTGTCAGCGTGATGTCGAGCTGGTATCATGGCATCACGCACATTGTACGGCGCGATGAGAGCACGACACCGGTGACAGCAATTTGCGCGTCGACGTGCGTGCGCGAGCGCCCCGGGGCGACGCGAGTACCCCCTTCGGTGCAAGCCCGAAACCGCCCGCATGGCACCTGCAGCGATCTTGCAGACTCGCGAATCGTGAATGTGGGATACTGTACAGCGCGAGGGCCAGGAACATCGATATTGACGTAACAGTTTAGGTTATAGAGCCGGGCCTTCGCAGCTTCGTCTGCGCGTGCGTGGGTGTAGATGCAACGAACAGGCCGCCCTGGTCGCGATGAGAAGGCGATCGGATAGATAGGAGGGCGCACCGGAGCGTGCAGTCCCGTTATCCCATCGTGCAGCGGAAGGAGAGCTCGGGGAGATGCGACGCTGCGAACGCAGATGCAAGGTTCGCAATGCCACGAGCCTGGATTTGGAACTCGGACGAATTGCACGCCAGTACACGTGGAGACCCTCCAACGTGCTGAGGCGCAAATCATCAGAGCCCGTGTAGGCAGGGGGTAACGAGATGTGCACAAACCCACGTACTTATGTCTTGTATACGTACTCACCTTCACGGAAACAAATCGGGACTGGCACGACTTTGCGGCAGAACCGTTGCTCACCCAGCGAATCTGGGCGAGATCACCGACTATCCAGAGAACGGGAAGGCACAATGGAATACGCAGACGGGAGATGCCCGGACGTCGTGATTGCATTGCTAGGGATCGTGATCGTTGCGGACGCGTCGTCCGATACACACGATGCGCAGATTGTTCTCAGCGCTACCCAGATACGGTCTCGGACTCGGAGCAGCCGCTGTTGTTGGAGCACCCCTGCAGCTCGCTGGCGGATCTTGACGGGCGACGCATGGGCAGCGCTCGAAGATGAAAGAGGGGTCGGAACATTCACCGCACACGCGCACCTATCAGAAGTCAGCACAAATCAACGCAACCAACGTTCCTCTCCGCTCCCGGCATTGGATATCTTGCGTCTCGCGGAGCGCGGCGAGTGAGCATGGTGGATGATAGTGCGAGTTGATAGCTCAGCTTGATCATACCGCTGTTGGCCTGGTCTTGATTGGAACACCCTCAATGTGTGTCAGGTGCGGTTGTTATCAATCTGGGGTGATACGTGGCTTGCGCTAGAATGCGAGCTACCCATGCTCGTCGCAGACAAAGGGGAACTAGCCGAGCGCAACTTGCGGACGCATCTCCATAAATCGGTGCACGTGTCCGGTGCCATGGCACGGTAATGAATGTCCTCGCGCTTCCAACCGACTCCGAGCGCGCAGACGAGCGGGTTGTCCAGCCATGGCTTAGTCTCAGTTACAGCGTTCGAAAGTTTCCGATGCAGCAGACCCACTGATTGGTTCCATTGAGGATAACAGTAATGACACAGAATGCAACGAGTTAGATACCAGAAGCCCAGGCAGTGCGAGAAGGGTAGAGTGAGCGGACGAGCGCATGCAGGTAGAGGGGAGAGAGATGCAAGAAGGGAGAGGATATCGATGCCGTGCGATGAGGATATACAACTAAGGTAGTACGGAACGTCTAGTGATGCAGAGCGAGGGACGAGAGTGCGAGAGAAAAGCTTTTGGTGACGTATGTGTGGAGCAGCATAGTAGAACTGCAAAGTCCCAGAGGAATAAAACAGAAGGAACGAGTCATCTATGTGTGTGTCGCCTAGACTGCGATCTTTTTTGTCTGTGCGCAAAGTGTCAGACGCGTCCAGGGACAGACAGGGCATACCGGACTCACTGGCTTGCGCATCATCAGTGGCGGAGAATTGTTGCCAGGCGAGTACTGCTGAGGCACGGACTGGACAGACGATACGACCCTCTGTCAGCACTGCGCCTCGAGACTCAGTCGAACTCAAAGGCACGCACAGCAGGCACGTATGTGGGGGGCAGGCCGCTGCTATGTGAAGCAGCAGACTTGGACAAGGCTTTTCTCAACTGAGTACAAAGGAGATTACTACTCGGGTCTGGCAATATAGGATTGCGTCTAGTTACCTTCGCTTCACTCTCTGCCGCGCGCTGGGCCGACATGGAGGGGTGGAGCGAGACGCTGTCCACGCTTTTGGCTTGTGGTAGAGAGGAGAGGGAGCACGAGAGGCTCGGGAGCGCGATGAGCTGCTCTGGGGTCGTCGACCCGCTCGAGGACGTGGACGAGGCGGCGGAAGACTTGTGGGTGGAAGACATAGAGGAAAAGAAATTAATTGAAGAGATAGGGAGAGGAAGGGCAGTCTGTAGGACGTCTGTAGAACGTGCGGTGGGCTGAGACGCGACAGTGCGACGACGGAAGGAAAAGAGATGAAGGGGGTGGGCTTTATAGAGGAAGGGGCCCAGGCTCAGGCCTTCGCGCGCGACTATTCCGGTCTTCATCTCGCGTATACTTTTAAAAATGCATCGGAATCGCAGTAAATCGGTCATCTTCGCGCTGCGAAGATGCGACGCGTGTTCAGTCTCATCGTCCAATCACCGACCCGTTTGAAATCCTCTTCTCCAGCCAATGCACACCTGCAATCCTCTGCAATCCTATTATCCCAGGCCGGCCGGAAACCCGCCCAATTCCGGCCGTACGCCCTGCCAACCGGCCTGGCATGGCAATAATTATATTGTATACCTGACCGTGCGAGCCGGGCGCTGCCGCGGGCTGTCTCTCCTGCCGCAGAGACTGTCGGTGTGCTCGAGATAACGGGCTTGATACTCTCCTTCCGACAAGCCGACTGCCATGTACATAACTCTTCCACCCCACATGATGATGCCAAACCCCGCCTCAAGGCGAGATAGCCCGTGCTCTAATAACGTATTTACGCTCGCTGCGATGATGCAACCGCTCTCGGTCCAGTCCATTTCCCTACAATTCACTCGCGATCTCGCGATCTCCTACAGCTTTCTCCCAACATGCAGCGTGATCCACCATTCCCATTCAGGTTCTCCTCGCGCGACTGCTGCCCATCTCGTTTAGGATCATAAGACCCCACGGCGCTCCGCCGTACAAACTGCTCTTCCTGAGATCTTGCCTCGCCAGCCTCGATACAAGCTCACGCCCATGGGAACCTCGTCTGTCGCCAAGCTCCAAATATTATGTCTTCACCCACCTGGTCCAAGTGCCCCACGACTACTGCTGTTATGGTCATCTGCCGCTATCTGCACAGCACGGCGAGAAAAAGGACGTGGTCATGTCTTTTCTGAAACAGGGTAATTCTATTGAAAGCCCTCAAGAACTTCCTCTTGTATGGGAGCCGGGTTTCTCAACTAGCTCGATGCCCGCCCCGCGTCCTGACTGCCAGATACTTCCCGAGCAGTACAGATATATGTGCGCGTCTACCGATCTTAGAAGGCCTTTGAAATACCCAGTCTCGCGCCTGTGGTAAGAAGCTCCTTGCAGTATCGATGCGTGCGCGCATGCATGTCCAGGAAGCGGGTGTTTACGCGTACAGCACTGTAGGCCGTTCGTCCAGCACCAGAGTTTGCTAGGTCTCATCGAACCTTGTTCTCAATGCCGTGTCGGTGGCACTTGAGCATCCAGCATCCCAGCCCAGGCTCAAAGTTCCCTTCGCAGCATCTTCCCTTGCTCCACAAGCTAGTCAGCTGTCCGTCCGTGCACAACGCGCCGACTCGTGGCCCTGGCCCCGGCCTCTGTCAGTGTCTGCAGCGCAAACGCGCCCGGCTGCCATGTGTGTCCTCCCACGAAGCCTTCGCGATTCAACTCCCAAGAGCTTCCCTTAATCCGTCGCCGCCAGCTTGCCTCTACGTGTCCATTCAGAGTCAACACTGACCCGCGTCTCGGACACACCATCGCGTATATTGCGTTGCCGACTGTGAGCTACACGCCGAACCGTCATTGAAATATCCATCCTCCATCGATCTCGAGGCTGTAATCTGGCTATAGCCCAGGACAAGTACCATCGCGCGACGCAGGTCGCATATATATCCCAAGACAGCGCTGATCGCAATCAGGCCTGCTTCCACGACGTGAGCTTCCTTTGCAGCCACGCTTCGCTGCCGCACCTGCGATTGGGTTGCTGCCGGCCGGTCCCGCTACTTCCCGCCGCGCTGCAACAAGCTCTAATGAACTTCTCCGCAGGCGAACGTCCTCTGAATCCGAATGCGCTTCGTGCACAGATCGCTTGTCCGCGGTAGCTCTTTCCGCGTGGGGGGCAATCCCAGACCCAGTTTCTCCGAGCGTGCTCTCACGACGCGCGGGGGTTACCTCACCGCGGCGCGTCTGCTGACCGCGACCGATACTTGTACTTTGGTGTGCTGATGAACGAGCACCCAGCGCCTTCCGCAGCGTTTTCTGCCCACTTCGATCTACAACCGCGCGCGCTCGCGATTGTGAGATCGCGCACACGATAAATGTTTCCGAGCGCGACTCCCGGAGATTGTGGCGGAACTGCTCACTGCTCGCCGGCATATATTAATGCTTACTTACATCGCGCCCGTGGGGACCTTTCCGCCCCTTCATATCGCGTAAGGGAACGGAAAGCAGATAGGACCATATGCGACGCGCACCAATCTCTCGCGTAAACGTTCGCGTTCTCCATCGTCGCCGTCACGTAACCTGACAGGGTGGCAAGAACACTATCATAACCATAACTGAAACTCGGGCGCGACCTGCCCCTCGCTCGGGCCCGCCCTGACTTTCTTGTCCGCCCATATTCTGTCACCTCCGTCAGCCGCTGCGGCGAAGCCCGTCAACTGCCGCGCCGGCCAACAAACCGCCATCACCCCCAAGCCAGGTCGGCGTCGTGGACGTATAATATTGGACCGCTGGCCGCCGCGCATCAAAACGAACAATTACTTATCGCGCCTCTCACCGAAGAGCAAGGAACGAACAGCACGTTCCGTCGCGCGCTCCGATGCGCGATTGCTGCGATGACGATGAGGGTATGTCACCCGCTGTCAGGATGACGAAGCACATTGATTCCACTTCTGCCTCACCCAGATTCTAACACGCACAGCACCGGTCTCATGAGCAATGACGAGCTCGACGAACCCACGCACTCGCTTCTAATCTGCATCAGCCATCGCAACGCCCCCTCGCGCGCCCCTCGTCCTGCGCTGCACGCCGCCATCGCATCGATACATCCCAAGCTGAAGCCAGGACGCGCCAAGGCATCAATCGACAGCCTGCACGCCATCGTAAGCTGGTAATCTCCGGCAGGCCTCCGCCCAGTCGATGCTGCCTTGAACGAGCTCGGTCACCGTGGCTATAACCTCGTCGATGGGACCAATGAGCTGTCCGGTCGTATCACGTTCGCTGTAAGCACGCTCCATCAGTCACGAATTGCATGGGGCAGGAATCGGCATGTGCGCGAGCCGCTCTCGATGCCGCGGGCTTGCTGGCACCGGGAACAGAACGGCTATGGTGCCCCCTCTGTGATCAAATCGGAATGAGCAAACTCACCGGAGAGTCATCGTACGGTTTTGCACAGCTGAGCGCGAGATGTGAAAGGTCAGGATGGCGCGCCCGTGGTCTGTAATATGAGAAAAAGAGACGCACAGGCGAAGTCGAGCGTCAGGCCAAAGGGTGTGCCCAGCTCGTCGTTACGGGCATAACGTTTTCCAATTGATGTATTCGAGTCATCCACACGAGAGAACACACCCGCCTTGCGCAACTTCGTGGCTGCGCAACACAGATGGTAGCATGTTAATGCCGGCGACAGAGGTGCAGCTGACCCGGCAGTTACTCACAGACTTCCTGAACAAGCGGATCGAACTCTTCCTTTGCGCTCAATGGGACAATCAAAACCTTGGTGGGAGCCACGACAGTGGGCAGGGAGAGCACCTGGATGGCATGGCGTGCGGTAAGTGTGAACTGTGCATGAGCGCATGAGAACCCGTCTAAACGCTCACCCCACGCTCGACATCTTGTTCCCGACTCCAAAAACTGTGCTCTAGCAGTGTGTATAGAATGCGACCGAGACCGAAGGAAGGCTCGATGACGTTGGGAATAAATTCGCGGACTGTATTGAGCGGGTCAGATGACGGTGCATGCGACTGGCCATAACTGCATACCTGATTGCTTGAATGTCTTCCGTTCGATGGTCAGAAGGTCAGAAGTCAGCTTGAATTCCCTGCCGTCAGAAGACGTGATGGTACTAGGCCTGCTTGTGTTTCATGTGAGTGCAGTTCAAGAATGAGGGTGCTCAAATGGTGCCTTACCCCTGCGTCAACTCGTCCTTCAGTCTCTCCAACATGACCTCATCCAGGTTTTCAACAGCGGTCTGGATCACCACCGAGTCCTTGCCATGCTGCTTTCCCAAGTTTTTCTTGTTGAATTCAGCAACCAATCTCTCCGTGACAACCGGTTCCTTCAACGCCTGTCGCACGACGAGCGGGTGGCCGGTTCTCTGAGAATGCACGGACAGGTCGTACGCCGCGCGGTCGGCGCACCCCACGCACTCCGTCCACCCGGTGGAGTTTTCGATCTCAGCATCCCAGCAATCCGTCGCGTAGTGGGCCATCTCATTCGCCATGTGCTGACGGAAGCGCAGCCTTCTGGGGTTGATGCCGATCTTCGTGAGGAACAGCCAGATTCGCGCGAGGAAGTAGCCCAACGTCTCGTTCGCAATGATTCCCTTGTCCACCGCCTCGCCCACGCGCATCGGCGTGACCTGCGTGCTCCCGGCGGTTTGCACGTGCCGGTCCAGCAGACCGAGGACGATGTCCCGCACGTCTGCGAACCGCGCATGCCGCTTGTCCTCGGGGTCGACGTAGTGCTCGATCTCCGCCATCGTAAATTCGCGCACGCGCAGCAGCCCCGCGCGTGGCGATATTTCGTTCCGGAACGCCCGCCCAATTTGAGCAGACGCGAATGGCACCCGCCCGTTGTTGAACTCGAGCAGCCGCGAGAAGTTCAGAAAGTGCCCCTGCGCTGTTTCTGGCCGAAGATACCTGCGGAGTGGCATGAGACACCGGACGCCCGCGGTGGAACGGCGGAAGAGGGGCAGAAAGAAAGGGTGCGCACTCACCCAGGGTGCTGCCCAGTGGGGCCGATGCTGCTCGCGAACATCAGATTGAATAGCTGCGGTTCTGACACCTCGTTGCCCGAATCTGGATTGGTGATTTTGTGCTTCTGGCAGAGCTCCCCCAGCTCAGGACCAGAGTAATTGTCCAACTGTCATGAGATCAAGATATTAGCCGGCAATCAAAGAAAGCGGTGTTCGCATTGACTGGTTGTCGAGGAAACTCGAATTCCAGGGCCTTGAGCAGAGCTAATCAGGCCATGTAAAGAAGACTTCGTGCGGACTAGGCTCAGGCCCGCAGGATGCATCTCTGCAGAGAAGAGTATGCCGCGTGTCTGGGAGAACATCTGTCGGGGCTTCCGCATGGGTAAGGTAATAGAGCATGCAAGGCGCATTCTCAGAACAAAGAAGCATGTGTGATACGAACCCCCAGACCGGTTGCGCTTTACTTACCTGCGCCAGAATGTGCTCGTATTCCGCGACGACCACGTCGGGAAGCTGCACCACGTTGGGTTGCGCCTTTTCCTTCTTCTTCTTTTTCTTTTTGTCGTCTTCCTTCATAGGCTGCGCAGCCAACCCGCGAGCTTCCTGGTCTCCGAGGAGGCGATCACTGAGAACATTTTTGACGAGGTGGTCCGCGCGAAGAACCTCGCCGGTCTTCAGATCTTTCACCATCCAGTCGGCGAAACGTGCAACATGGCCGGACGTCTCGAAAACTGGAGCGGGGGTCATGATGGTGGTATCGAGCTCGAGCATGTGTTCCTCGATTATGAAGTGTCTCCGCCATTCTGCAATGATATTGCTCTGCAGCGACGAACCGGGGGGGCCATAATCATACAGACCCGCGACACCTGTGCCATTGTCAGAACGAGAAACAATCACTTCGGTCACTTGACAGTGCTAGAGCTCCGGAAATAAGTCCCGCCGAATTTTTCACCGGGTAATACCCCAGTGGGGTCAGAAAGGGCACTTTTCAAGCTGTGTTCTTTATAGTTATTGGCAAAGTCTCCGCACACACATTTATGTGTGCGAAGCCTGGAACCGTTTTCAGCTGTAACAAGGTCCCCTGCATAGGCTGCAAGAGAATGGATATGAGATAGCCAAATCTTGGCCACTTAACCCAAATCGCCCACGTATAGGATATGGCAAGTAAAAATCGGGGGTCTTGTCTGCCAGCGATACGACACCGAAAAATAACCACCCGTCAGTGGTAGACGGGAGCTCGTACCCATCAGCTCCCTGCTAGGTACAGTGGACTCTCTCCGGCCGCTGTCCAACCCCGTTTTATCCGGGCCGAGGTACGTTGTGAACCGAACTGGTAGGAACCAACTCTGTCCGCACGGGCGACCTGGGAGTGCACCGAGATGACACTCTTCTTGTCCTCATGAGGGGGAGATTGACCTAATTTAAGGGCCTCTTTTATCCGCATACGGATCAGACACGTTGAAGGATATGCAGGGGGCATCTGCAACTCAACAAGACAGCAAGATCTCGAAACAGTCAAAGGGCCCTCTCTCGAGCTGCTGTTGAGTAGACCGCGCTACCTGTCCGTCGGAACGCCATCGCAGACCTGTCTAAAGGCATCCATACGGCACGCATATAGGCAGTAATTCACCGACGAATTCCGACCTCGAGTTCTTCACCAGAAAATAACCCAGGTTGTAACGAAAGAGGAAACTTATTCGTGGAGCTCTACTTGACACTCACCGCCATAAATCTCGAAAGCAGGCGCGTAGAAGAATCGGCGGTTGAGCAGCGCTTCCAGCCGCGCCTTGTCGAACGGGTGGGCGGTCTTATTGACCTCGATATTGGCCATGTCCAGATGATTACGACGGATTTGAGAGCAGAAAGACGAAGGACGACGAAGATATGAAGTAAGACAAAAAGGATGGACTCTAGCACCTCGCAGGTGCATCCGTTTTATCAAGATCTGACTCGTAGACGAGAATGACGTTCGACAGGCTTCCCGTGAGCAAACTTTGTTATCGGATCGTAATCCGCCGCTACAACAGCTCTTACCATATATTAGTAGCTAAATTACTTAATTGTTCTAATGCCATTAGATACCATTGTAACAGGGCAGGCACTTATACGCCGCCCTAGCCTGGCCCTGCGTCCTCAAGTTGCTGCAGCTTCTTCTGGTCTGCCTGAGTCGAACCGTATAAGGTCTTACTCTTATCAGTTAGATTTTATTGTGACTTCATCTGTTTCGACATCTGGCGGTCTGCAGGCTGTGCGCATCTTCACAACAGCTATTCATGCAGTGCTAGTGATCCTAGTCGTGTCAGTGAACATGATCTGTATCGTGATCGTCCTCCCCCTCTCAACAAAGTCACTATTTGCGGGATCCCTACGGGAGACTACCTCGTTCCAACGTCTTGGCGTTGGTCTTCCAACCGGTGATAATGATCTTTGCAGCACCCCGCCCATGCCATGTGTGCGTGCCGGGATGATGTCGTTGATGTTGTTGGCCCAGCTGTTTCAAGGAACACTTACCGCCGCCAGGCCTAGTCCAAGTCTCTGTGGACCTCAGAGCCATACGAAGTGGTCGTTAAATCCAGGCCGAAGCCGAAGTTTCTTTTGCGACAAGACCTGACCTGAAACCTCGGGGTACAGCAGTGCCGAAGCTTACCCAGCGTCGTCTTGCCCTTCCTTACCCGTGCTTTGCACCCCGTTGTCGGAAGTTATACATATACCGGAGCCTTGACCCGACAGCGACCCGCAGGATGAACAGTGAGTGTCTGCCAGGGCCGTAGATCTGAGACTTGGGAGTTGCAAAGTGTCGATGCCTTTTGTTGCTGTGCGTGATTTCATGTAAATGACCACCGATAATTCCACCAGCTGCAGGAACAAGTTTTGAGTCACCATCCTCTATTTCTGCCATTGCGGTCACTGGAGTGAAATTGTCTTCAAATTTCCATGAGCATGGGATCTCCGAAGGTCGATCTGTCGGTATAGATGGTTAGACGTATTTCCCATTACAACGGTCCAGCATCGGCGAGCAGGATGGGCTGAAACAGGGCCCATTCGCCAATGCACTGATCACGAAACCAATGATTTCAATTCGCCAAGAGGATGTCGGGCGGGCAGTACTAGCGATCATTGGGCGCTAGAGAGCTGCTCCTTAACTACCGCTTTGCAAACTCACTTTCTCTCCTTCCTTTCTCTCTCCTTCTCATTCTTTCAGCTGTGGTTTGACGTTTTGCTTAGGCTTTTGTTGAGTCCGTACTAGTAAATCGCGCAAAATGGACTCGTCGTTCATGCATGCGGTCGACCCGTTTGCTGCGAAACGCGGGGGAGTCTTCTGGCAGTTCTTGAATGCGCTATCTGCGACCGCAATCGTCAGGTGTTGGCCTCTCCTGGTCTTCTTCACAGGCTGGGCAACGGCGATCTCGTGTATCAGCCATTTTGTGCATAATGTGGGCATACAGAGTACCCTATTGACTGTGTGAGTGTGCATTTCTCGTATATTTGCGGGATGTTGGGGTCTCTGTGATCTGAAATGAGGCGCGCGGACCGAGGGGAGGGGCCCACAACATTCGGAAAGGTGCAGAATGTGTGCGCGAATAATCATTGAGTGTATCTCCCATGTTGAGAGCGCTCGCGTTTGACTTTCATTAATCGCTTCTCTGCCTGCTTCGGTATGGTTCTCACACATGGTTACTTGACAGTATCGGTACCGTCCTCGGTTTCGTGGTATCGTACAGGACGACGTCCAGTTTTGAACGCTACAACGAAGGCAGAAAGCTCTGGTCACAGATCGTACTCGCCAGCCGTACGTTTGCTCGCACGACCTGGTTCCACGTACCAGGTACGGTCTGTGCAGCACACCTCCAAGTTCCACTCATTGATCTCCAAGTCTCAGAGATGATGCCAACTGGCGCGGACGACAAATCCACAGTCGAACAGCGCAAGCAGCGTGTGCTCATTGAGAAGAAGACAGCGATTAACCTCGTCGAGGCGTTCGCAGTCGCTGTGAAGCATTACCTGCGCGGCGAGGAGGGCCTCTACTACGTCGATCTCTATCACTTGGTCAAGTTTCTGCCATCTTATGCGCTTCCCGCGGGGCTGCCCTCTGCGGTAGACATCTCCGAGACGTCGGGGTCGCCGATTCCGAGCGATAGTGAGAACGGTCGTCTGTCTGACGTGACTTCGCTGCGCAGCCCGGAGGCTCCGACTTCCGGCAACCCCGTGAGCTCAGCGGTAGCGCGCGGGGCGCACCTCCCACTGCCGGTCACGGCCAAGTCGTCCAACAGGACAGCGTTTTTGGACATTCGTGTAAACTCTGCCACCAAGTCGCTGTCGGACAAGGAGAAGAATCTTGGGGTAGTGACTAGCGCCACCGAGGATGGTTTCCTGCTACCCGCGCGCAATCCGCCCCGGTTCCACCTTTTCGACGTGTTTCCGTTCTCGCTGTTCGTTGGCCGACTTACGGAAGCGGGAAAGGATGTAAAGGTCTGTTGTTGCTTGCGAGAGTGATGTTAATTTGCTGATCAATTAAATATAGGGTAAAAGGGCGGCTCGTCTGCGGGCGAAGATGCAGCGTGAGACCAAGACGCACAATCTGCCTTTGGAGATTTCTCTGTATCTCGTATGTATTCAAATCTACACGATGCTAAGAACTTGCATTTACGTGTTCCGCCAGAGCTCGTATGTCGCTGCACTGCAGACTCGCAAGGCAATTGATGCCCCCACCTCGAGTGAGTGCTCATCAACCCTTCTGATCAAGAAGGGTCTAACCGTCCATGCAGCCAACCTCCTCAACGCCCTCGGGCAACTTGTGGATGCGCTCACTGGACTCGAGCGGATCCTGACTACGCCGATTCCTTTTTCGTATGCCCAGCATCCGGTGCTGCTTGTTAGCATTCTGACCCTTCTATTGCTAATAGATATCGCGTACACTTGTGGACTGTGACTACCCTATACTGTTTCTTCCTGGTATGCCCGACATTCAATAATGTGCTGTCCGAGCTTTGCTGACCATGAGCAACAGCCGTTCCAGATCTGGGATCCTCTCGGATGGCTCACTATCCCGGCTACCTGCCTGCTGGTGCGTTGGTCATGCTGTTTATATCCCGTGGTGTCACCTAGGTCTGATGATTTTGATTCTTGATATAGAGCTTCATCTTCTTTGGCTTCCTGTTTGCTGGCGAGGAAATTGAAAGTGAGTATGTGCGGTTGCCGTTCATTCGAAGTTTGTCTGACATTTGCCTTGTGTTCTAGATCCATTTGGTTAGTGCTTTCCTCGTTTTTCTCTACTGGAGTGCTGTATTTATTTCAATTTCGTCAAGGCTACGATAAAAATGACTTGGTGAGCACTGAACGCATACCTGAAGCGCGCCCCACTGACGTTCTATACAGAACATGGACCATTTCACACACAATATCATCCGTTAGTTGTCATCCCCGCTCCACCTGCGCTCTGCACGCTGACACCCCTTTCGTCACAGGCAACGAGCTTCGGGCACTGACGGCGCTGCCCGTGCCGGACCCGTCAGTCTGGGCGTTCTCCCCGCTCAATGACACAGTCCTCGCCGACCCCATGGTACAGGGCATCGAGCGTGTCTCCCCCGACGAGTGGATGCAGCGCGGCTACTCGCACATGCAAGCCGCGCTCTGCGTCGTCTAGGCGCTCTGCCACGACCCTGCCCCATATCTGGTGCTCACGATAAAACGGTGATATACGGCAAGATTACTCGTCATGCATGACAGTTACGCTTTACCCCCCTGCATTATATTCAAAGCGGACTCGACTTCTCAATTGCAATTTTCCACAACGCACGGCACGTTAACATATTTACAGCGCATCATCTTGATAACGACATTATAACTTATTGGTTGGCCTACCTGTTGTGCACATGGCAGGTTGCACGCTAATGTATACACCGACCTTCATTCATACGACAGTAGAATATCATACTTAGCATTCTTCGCATCAGTACTTGTGTCTCGTGCATGAACATACCACTGCGAATTCCAGGTGTATGCTACTGCCATAGACAGCCTCGTTCTCTGCCGTGTCTGGATTCAACGTTCAACTCTGCAGGTGTACATGTGAGGACGTTAACGCGCATTAAAATATTAACGTCCCGCTTGGCTCCTGCTTCAAAAAAAAAGTAGAACTTCTGGCGTTTAATAATTACAGTAAATACTCATCTGTGGCTACAAAATATGCGGGTCATACAGATATGCGAGAACACACGATAACAACAATGACACGACCGATGTATACAAGCTGACCATCACCTTCACCACACGGGATATATCGAGGAAGCAACAAATCCAAACGATCTAGCGAACACCCTCCTCTTCATCCGCATCGAATCAAATCTCAAGCAAGTCCTGCGCAAACCGGTCAAGCATATGGATCCCAAACCTCCCAGCGTACGGACCCTCTCCGAACTCGCGCATCCACGCCTTGCTCAGCCCGCCCTCCCACGCATAGAGCTCCACGCGCCACCCCTTCTTCAGCGCCGTACGCACGCACCCGAGGAACCCTTCCTCGTTAAACTGTCCGACGTTCCCGTCACCTGTCGCGAGCACGATCGTCGCACCTGGCGGGACCGCATCCGCCGCGGCGATCGCCTGGTGGAGCTTCAGCTGCAATAGTTCGTCTACGCCCTGCTCGCGATAGCGGACGCGAGCGTTGTTGCCGTTGCCATTGCCGCTGCTACTGCTAGTCGCCCCCGTCCCCGTGCCTGCCCCCGGTTCGGACTCGGTCGACGTCCCGCCGCCGCCGATCGAGCTCTTGTGCGAATGCCCATTTGGCTGGCCCCGCGAGTGGTTGTAGGGTATCGCGGGCTTGCGGCCGCGGCCCTTGAACGGTGGATGCACGTTATCGCCGTTGGGGTTCTGCAGCTCACGCTCGCGTTCCGGTTCGCGCGGCTGGCGGTCCGCGCCGTCGCCGGTGTCGGGCACGCGCGCGTAGACGCGGACTTCGTAGCCTAGCTGGACGGCGGACTCCATCGGCTGGTAGAGTGGAGATGAAGCAACGAGCACGCGGCGAGTGATCGGGCGGCCACGCTCGAGAATGAGTGCGAGCGCAGCGTGCGACATATGCGCATGCTTGCCGGCCTTGCGTATGAGGTGGTGTAGGTGGCGTTTGAGGTACGTCACGAAACCGATGAGAATGTTGGAATGATCGATGAACACATGAATGAGCGTGTCCTGCGACTGCGGGACGGGCCCGCGTGGGTCGACAAACGAGGATGAAGAGGAATCCGAGCTCTCTGGATTGTTGAGTGAGAGGATCGACGAGAGCGTCGCCGCGTCCTCTGGAAAAAAGAGCCGCAGCTTGTGTGCGAGCGTGCGCAGTTGTATGATGCGCGCGTCAAAGGGTATCGATACCCGCAGGCGCAACGTCGGCGTGGACTTGCTATGGTGTAATCGCGGCTTCTCCACCGCCGCCGATTGGAGCCGTCGTCGCTCCTTGCCATTCGGTTGCAGGCCGACGTGGACAGCTTGGAATAGAAGAGAAGATGGTCCTTCCTGTGAAGAAGACGACTCGGACGCATCATCATCGCCCGGTTGTGGCACGACAGTTTCGGTGTTAGCGTCCTCGTCCTCCACAGCACCCCGTACTCGAGATACCTCCTGCACCGACCGGTTCTTCTTTCGTCGTCGCTTCCGACGCGGCTGGACGGCGTGTCGCCAGACACTGTCCGAGGCCGTGGTTGTATGTGTGGTCGTGGCCGAGGCACTGCTCCTCATGCCGCCTATGTCACGCTGTGCGACAAAGCGCGCCCGCTCGGCGGCAATGAAGCCCAGCGCCTCATCGAGCAGCCCTAGCGAGGGCTGGTCGACCACGTCGATGTCGACTATCTCGACACCCTCCCCATCTTCTTCCCCATCTTCTTCTCCGTCGGGTACATCTGTTCCGTCCACATCCGAAGCTGTGGAGTCTGTGTCCGACCGGGGTAACGAGCGGGCCCGGGGCGCACTGTCCGGGGATGAGTACGAGAGATATGAAGCAATCGGCGGTCGGGACCACACAGTGGACCCGCCGGTTATCTCAGAGTCATAATCGGAGGGCGAAAAAGCGAAAGAAGAGGTCGGAGTCACACTCTCGACCTCTGCGATAGGTATCGGCCCTGTGCGAGGCTGAAAGGTATTCAGAGCACGAAATACGGTCGTAAAAGCACCAAGATCTGGTGCATCTATGGTAGCCACCACGCCCAATAAGCGGGAGATATCAGGAGAGAGCTTGGATGTGGTACTTACCATCAGAAGTTGCCCCGCTTGCTACAGAGTAAGAGGAGAAAGGACTGAAAGGGGTTGGAGAAAATGTAGAGTCCGAGGCCATTATGTTATAGAATAGTTGATAAATCAAGGTGAGAGAATATAACAGAGGTGGATAGGGAACGTGTAGTGGTCGTGCATCTGCCACCACCTCGCGGAGTACGGACAAGTTAAGAGAGCCCCATATCGGGTAGGGCCGCCCCGGTTAGTCAGAACTCGAATCTGCCGACTGTTACAGATATCGTCCACACAAACTGAATAGACATCGAGCAGATTGTATATGGGTACAAATGGACTACAATAACAGGCAGAACACGATGGAAATCCGAAGCGTCGAGAGCAACATCAGAGCAAATATAAAGAGATGAGATGTGCAAAACAAAACCATTCCTGAAATCCTGACAAATCCAAAAACCTGGCCTCCTTCACTTTCTCCACCACACACTAGCATCGGCGGCACTGTTGACGCTGTTGACGCTGCCGACGCTGGAGCTGACGGTGTGGCCGCGCTTGCGACCAAATAGATTGGGGGCAATAACATTATCTTGAGGCTCTGCAGCCGCATCGAGTCTTTCTTCTGCAGGCTTTCGCCATTCCCGATTGTCTGTGCGGTTCCCCGCCGTCGACATCCTACGCTGAGGCGGGCGCCACTTGGGCACATATGGCGAGTTCGGCGGCGTGTAAGGCGAGGACGACCCGTTGAGCGGAGTGCTCGGAGATCCTGATTTGTTGCTGCTGCCGCCCAAAAAAGCACTAGTGGGTTGAGAAGGGAAGGCCGATACAGGGATCGACGGGCGGCGTGGGCGCCATCTCGAGGGAGAAGGAGGAGATGAAGACGGACTACCCAGCTGGGCCGCATCCTCCGACGTACTACTGTTCTGTTCGGCGTCCGACGGAGCTGCAGATGACGACTATGTCAAAGAGATGACTTTTGAGAGATCAGTCCGCTCACCTCCATACACCTTCTTCAAGATTTGCTTGAAATCAGCGCGGATCGCATTATACTGGATGATCCACAGGGGCTCGAAAAGACCAAGAATGATCTTGTCGAGCCCCATCTCGAGGAAGTGAGCTTCGGACTCCCCAAAAACCAGGGAGAGGCTCTCGGGGTTCCCGATCCTCACTGGACCAAAGTCCACACCCAGCCTCGTGTCCACGCCCTGCCCTTCCACGCGAGATGCGATCGACATATCGTCCAGCTGCTTCAGCGTCTTCCGCAAACGGCCTGTGTAGAGCAGTAGCTCCTCCTCCGTCGCCTGGAAACCTCTGCAGACAAGGTAGCACGAGCTCCGGCGCGCGTGGAGCTTCCCCGACTTGCTCGCGGTGACGCAGTCGAAGGACTGGTAGAGCAGGCCGATCACGTCCACCAGCCATGCGAATCCCTTCGTGTTTATCGTCATGACGCAAGATCCCCCAGGCGCGAGGTTGGTCATGATGATGAACACCTGCGCTAGCACCAGCTGCGCGCGCAGCCACCACGGTATCTTCCGCTCCTCCAGCGTCGGGAAGGCACCGGCAATGATCAGATCGTAGGAGAGCGCATGATCATCGCCGTCGCCGGAGTCATCGCGGGTCTGCACGATGGGATTCCTGTCTTCCACGACGGCTCTCATGACGAGGGTAATGATATTGTCAAACACCACTCGGTAGCGGGGCCCGAAGGTCGACAGCTCGAGGGGCATCGTAAACCGTGCCTCCTCATCGGGGAGCGTGATCCCCGCACCTAGCGCCCTCCTGTTGGATTTCATGAGCCAGTTGGAAAAACCGCCCGGGGAGCATCCGAGGTCGAGGAAGTTGTGCACGCGCCCGCCGCCGAAGCAGTTGTCGCTATTGCGGTTGATCTCCATGAACGCTTTCTCATAGTTCCACAAGTGCAGTAGCGAGGGGTTCTGCGCGTCCTGTAGGTGGATATTGCGCCGCTCTACGTACTGGTCGTCGACGTCGGAGGACGCCCGGTAGAGGAACTTCATGTGCAGCAGGCGACGGTACGCGTCCGACTGCTCGAGGAACCGGTGCTCGAATGCGCCGAGCCTCGAGGTAGCTGACGAGGGCACATTGCCGCTTGCGATGAGAGCGTCGACCTCGGCGATGGAGTTAATACCGAATACGGGGCTTACGGGGTTTGAAGACATGGCGTGCAGCGTTAGGATCAAGTCAGAATCCCAGAGAAACGGCTGGGCACCGTGCGCCTTTAAGGAGAGCAGGACGACGGGCGACTAGCAACATGAGGCACTGGCGGCTACGAGACTTGGATACCAAAGACAGAAGAGGAGAAACTTCAGTGCATCGTGCTCGGTCAGTTGCGGTGGAAGCTGTGTGAGATTCTGACATCAAGACTCCGTATCCGTATAGGCATGTCACATTACCACTTAATGGACGGAAATGAGACTCATCGGGTCAGCGTACACTTCTGGATGTCGCCGCAATAGATCCGTGGTGTTCTGTAGAATATCCAGCATCGTCATAGTCACGGTACTGGAGAAGCCAGATACATTATACGTGCACCCAACGTGCACCCCAAAATGACCGAGAATATATCACAGACTTCCAGTTCATTCAGCGACACAGCATGCGCAGGATTTGGACATGATAGAGGAGCTAAGGCGATGTCGAGAAGAACAAGCACAAGGGAAACCTTGTGAGTGCCAACCTTGTCGAGCTGCGCCACAAGTAGCTAATTTATTTGCTTGTATTTGGCTGTACGTAACGCTCGCTCGTCTGATCAAGCCGACAATGGAATCGCTCTACGGTAAGAATATTTGTCTTTCAGAGCGTGGAATTTACCTGGTCTGCTACTGTACTCAACAAGTGAATTCGTGAGGTAGCCCGTAAGTAATTTAAATATACTCGCCTGACCACGTGCACAGTCACGTGCACACTCTAAATTTCAAATTTCCTTTCAAGTTTCCGAGTCGTAAAAGTAGTAATTAACCCGCGGACCAGAGTCGACAAAGGATCGGACACAGCTCATGATTGTGTAGCTCGGCTGTTAATTTTCTCTAGATGCTCGCCGTGAGGCATTCATGTTCTTTGCACAAACCCTCAGCAAAGACGCTTGCGAATTAGCCAAGCGTTTTTGCCTGCAGCTGGGAGTTGACAAGCTAGCTCTCCATGCCGCTCGCCGATTTATATTTTATATTGTTTTGTGTGGAGATACAGGAGGTATGGTCGAAGTTGCGGGGACGGCGGTCCGATGAGCCCAAGATAGCCCACTGCAGCTGAGTGCTCCAATCGGCGCTTCTCGCCTTGAAGGGGCTATCTCCCACTCATATGCATGTATCGTGGACTATCCAGAGCTTGCGCTGACCCACCATGATCCTCGCCGCTGCACTGCTGGCTCTCTGCTGGTCGCTGGCCGCAGCTGCTGCGGATGTACGATCGCTGGACAGCCTGGCCGAGCACTGCCGCTTCTCCTTGGGAAACCAGCGCTTCAATTTGTGCCCAGTCTTCGAGGCGAATGAGGGCAATTGGGTCGTCGAATATGAGGTACCTACGCCCCCGACGTTCACCAAGACCTCGTACACGATTTCCTTGAGAGGCGCGCTGCAGAAGAATGAGGGTGTACCAGATCATGAGCAGGTGTGTCACATGTCATCGAGTGGATCTGCGTAGGTTTTGAGATCGAAGGGACATCATCGTCGAGCATCCTTGAGACACTGCTGTCTGTCTTGGCGCGTGTATGCTCTGAGATGTCTGGCGGACGAGACGCTCACGCTCGCTAATCGTATATACAGTATATTGACCAATTAAATTCTAGTGTCCAGACGGGTCATGGATATGCATGATTAGTGAGCGGCGTTACCCTTGCTCATCCAGGCCTACTCAAGCCAACATCGCGCAGCGTCGAATCGCCGCTTGTTTGAAGAGGAGGATCCGCGCGTCCTTCAAGTCATTCCAGTTGCGGGGGAGTTATCCTTGAAGCACAGGGATGGCTCTCGCTACCATGATTATTTTCCGGGCCTCAACATCACGGCCGACTTTCGTCGGGGTCAGTACATTGATAACGGCATATGCTGTGGTTTCATTCCAATCGGTGTTTCTCACAGACGTGCTGCACGTCCGTCTGCATGGTGGCTACTATGTGTATCAGCATCAGAAGGCCGATCTGCAGTTCATCTGTGATCAAGATGTCGAGGAGGTCAGTACCCCAAGTCAGTCACGTAAATACCTATCTCACATCGAGGTTTCCAGCCAACGAATCCGATAACCTCCTGGGCGTGGAATGGCACGCATACGTTCTCATGGAGAACAAAACATGCGTGTGGCGAAACCGTCGTCACTCCAACTACCTCGTCCGAGCAAACACCCACATCCGATTCCGGGGTCCCAGAACCGACTTCACCTCCCGAAGAAAACGGACCGCCGGACGACAGCGAGCCCCCAGACAATGAACAGAACCTGATCGACCCCGACGTGCTCGCGGGGCGCTCCCGCCGGTCGATGATGACCATCTTTATCTGCTCCGCGTATGTCTCTGTGCTCTCGCACGCGTCATAATTTGCGGTCCCATTAACGTTTTCCCGCAGATCCGTTGTCGCTATACTGGTGTACGCCTTGTACTTCCCGCCGCGGCGCCTCCAGCATCTCGTGACGTCATATGTGAAGACACACCCGTCGCTGCTACGCGCGCGAGTAGGCGAGCGCGTGCTTGTGCGCTGGGCGGACGAGGACTTCGTACTGGATGGGGGGGAAGAGGACGTGATGGTCAACGCGGACGAGCAGTTTGACGCACTCGACGAGCAGATCCCGCTCAAGCCGTCGCCGCGGCGCTCGTCCGTGCTCACTAATTATGGCAGCGCGCGATGACTTTTTTACTTTTGGAATTCGTATTGATGTCGAACCGTATACTTATATAGATGTGGTGTTTGAGTAGTCTGCAGATGTACAATATGATGTACTTGTAGGGATGTACGTGTGAAGGACAGTTTGAGTCGTCTGTTGAGATGGCGTGTTGACAATAAGTAAAGCAAGGCACACAACAAAGATTCTTAAGTGCAGAATTCTTCAGCACACGTGGCCTTAACGCATATCGCTGAAATTCGAATCTGGATTTGCGGTGCCTGAGCGTCAACGGCGTTGCATTCTGATCTTAATATGAACAAACAAACAGGTTCACGTGATGCCGAAATTGAGCAAACAAAAAACCCGCTTGTAGGAGTATTTTGTTCCCCTCCCCGTGAAGGCCGTTACTCACTCCATAAAAGTGCGGTCTGTCATTGGTGCAGATATTGTTAACCGCGTTGACCTCGTTGGCGGCCACCATGACGTCAACCCTGCATTATATATGTCGTCGAGCTCAGTCCTTGACTCGCAAGTAGAACATCTCCGCATACAGGTTCTTGCACGGATTTAACAACCCGGTGTAAATGATGACCGGCGTGATTCTCGTGTGGTCGGCTTCTGAAGGCAATTAAGAAGTATAGCAACCCACTGAGCCCGCCATCGACTTTAACGGCGACCTGTTTGACTTCATCTTGTTCATGTTCTCCCTGGCCGATTGTTGGGCAGCTTGTCCCTCTTGCAAGGAGAGAAAGTCGTGTCGCTCTCGTAGCATTGTGCCGAGTAGATCAACTGTAGAATAGGAATGTACTTCTCTTCACGTAGTGTAAACGAATCAGAGCGACATACTCTTCGACAAGCCCCACTTCAGATATTCAGGTGAATGGGACCAATGCCGGTTACCTACCTACCTACCTACCTCAAACGTCATACAGGGAAGCTCGTGATTGTCGTAACAGTACTATAGACCACGGAAACAAACTGTTTCGTGTGTGGGTCAAATCGCACGGTACATCCGAATGGGAAGGGCCCGAGGCTTCGACTTGGACTCGGTTGAATGCGATAGAGCGAACGACGGATGAGCACCACAGTGACAACTTGAAGCTCAGTTAACCCCATGCAGCGGTTGTACTAACAAGGGGAACAGGGAACCCATCAACCACAAATTTCCCAGAAGAAAAAATTAAATCCACACCTATAGTTTACTATTAGATGCCCGTCGGTTGCGAATGACTTGTAACAAAACATATCAACGAACAACTCAAGCACACGAGATCCGCCAAGACATACCTTGAACAGGTTAGAAACAGTATCATCGGGAGCAGGTGAGAAGGCCAGATTGATGTATGTGAACTGATATGTATCAAATCGGGTGGACCTCGTACATACGCAAGTGACAGAGCTCTCACCAGAGGATCCCCTGCTTTCCAGCCAAGCTCCTTCCTCAAGAACTGGATGACCGCCTGGAAGCGGTTCGACGCAGTAATCTTGTAGAAGTTTTGTCTCATGATGGGCGCATTCCCGACGGCTTTGAAACGCACGACGACTACAGTAGATAAGTTCTCCGTCAACGCTGTCCATGACAACGCCAGCTCGTAGTAACACACCTTTCAACGAGTCCTTCTTCTTGTACGACTCAAGAGCATCATGGGCTTCCTGCATGACTCCACCGGCATCGGGCGAAGTCCATGATGGGGGCAGTGTACGGGGGTGAAGGTCAGGGGTGCTAGCCATGAGCCGAGCCGCTCGACTCGCTGGGTGTACGTAGTACTCCGAAATGCTGTGGGCTGCGGCCTCTCACGCGACGACTTCAACTCGAACCACGACAAATTCAACAAATCCGCACTCGAGGCTCGTTCCTGCTCTACATTGACGACAAGAGTACAAAATCCTACGTTGGTGTGCAGTCTAACTCTGGTTCAGCAAACCTACAGGCGTGCGGCTGTCAAGCGGCAGCGATAACATTGTCCTGGTTTATTTCTGCTTATAGTTACACAAGTCGACACCTTCGAGCTTGCTAAACCATCTTTGCACGAGCAGTCTACATTAGTCGGGTTCTGTGCATAAACAAGAAAGGTGTTGGGCTGTTTCAAGGGCGGGCATGGCCGCGATCCAACGTTAAATAACATGACAACGGCTTCCCAGTGATTCCCTACGCCCATTCTTCATGCTTTCTTGTCAAAATTCTTTTCCTTTGGGCGGGAGCTCTAAACTTGATATCGGCGAAGTCTCAGGTGCTACGCCCGTTACCCAGCAATATCGTGCAGGAGGTTGCTGAGCTAGATATCCTAGGGCTCACAATCCTACGGTTTCCGGAGCTTAAGGGCTTTCTACTAGATCTTGCACGTTATCTGTTAGTTGAACCCTCAGCTGGTTTGGGTTCTACCCCCATCTAGGATGAAGGCTGGGAAAGGACCAGAAGCTCGGCTTGCTAGCTTTCATGAAGGCGCCGATGGGCCTTGAAGCTTGAACTGCAAAAGACGGTAAGTCTTACGAGTATGTCCCTACCTTTTGTCTTTTGCAGACTTTACACTGTATCCATGCCTGGTCGATGGGCTCCTTATTGTCGTGGTCAATGTTCCTGATTTGCGCCTTGTTGGTGGGACCTGATATCGCCCCACCCTTGCTGGCTTCTTCAGCTGATCACAGCGGCTGTTAGTGTCGGGAGATTCGCAGCATTTAGCGATGGTTCTATGGTCTACCCGGTTTTATCTTTGCGATTCTCCGTTGTGGAGTTTTTTGAGCCTTCACATGCACGGTTCCCGCGTCACGAGGAGTTTCCGTAACACTGGTTCTTTCATCTTCCCAAACTCGTATTGTCTCTTTTGCACGTGTATTTACTCAGCTGAGCTTACAGTAATTCCTTGTATCACCGATTTGGTTCTCAGGCTGCTTGTCCGCATGTCAATCCACCAGCGGACGCGAGACCCTCGCCTGGAAAGACATATCTCCTGTAGCAGCCCGTCTACCTAACTGTACAGCCTTACAAACGCGACCTCGCACCTCGAGTCAACGTTTTCGCACAGCTATCTGAGCACAGATGTACTCGCAACGTGGAGTGTCTGTTCCACCGGTCTGTGGCTAGAGACGTTCTAGCGAACGCAAACCTCCGGAGACCCACCTGCACGAATGCTCGCGGAGTTTGAAGGCGTTTCCGCGCATCAATTCAAGCGCAGGTAGCGTGCCCACGCTGGAGCACTGGTGCCGCACTGCCCTTCATCTCCGAAGTGTCGATAAGTGAAGGACCACAAGGACAATAAAATGTGACGCGTAGCGCTAGACGGTGCCTAGCGAAGGCTCTCTGCTTCGTTGTCTCCTCTGGTCGGTTGGCCCGCGTACGGTGATGCCATGTCCATCCTCAGTTCCACCGCGACCATCTCCAAACCGCTGGAGAGCCTCGTCGCTGATGAAGCTGTCGTAAAGTGTGTATCCATCTTTTGATCCTTGGGCGGTTTGAACTGATGAAGAACTCCTGAAGCGCCGTAACCCGTATGTGATCCCTTTCCTATGAGCCTATGGTATGAATTGACGTGTTGCAGTCGTCGGCTTCACAGCCCTCTTATATGACCATGCTATCACAGTACGTCATCGCTTTTCATTTTGCTAGCAGTTTGGTTGACAGCGCGTATTCATGCAGTTTGGTGACGAGGTATGTGAATTCCCCTTTCCGATTTTTGAGAAGTCTTGTCTGAGCGCCGGGGTGCAAGGTGAATTACATCTGGAATGGGCGCATGGGACTGGTATCAATCATCTTCCTCTTCGTAAGTAGTTATCCGACCGTGTCACACTGTTCTAATCTTTGAATTAAATTGCCATCGCAGAACCGATATCTAGTGTGAGTCTGCGTCGTCGACGTTCGTTGGGTGTGCTGTGAGTTGACAGTCACCGCTAGACCACTCGTCCTCGTTGTAGATGTATATGGTTCGTGAATAAATGTCCCAACAAATTTGCGTACTGACCTTCATGTTTACAGAAACGATTGGCCTGGCGACAAATACAGCTTTGGTGAGGCTAAGTTCGGTGTTTTTGCGCGTCAATCTAACAGCTTGAAAGTTCTGCAAAGTCTGGACGGCCGTACAGAGCTATCTCACAATAGCGTCCTTCATGTCCATCCATGGTGCGTATTTTTATGGTGCATTAGTCTCTCATAGCGTTAAATTATGCTATCTTCCAGCGATTGTTGCATGGCGACTTTATGCCCTTCATGGGGGACAACCGTGGATAGGCAGACTGCTGTGGACTGCCGGGATAATCTACTTCGTCACTTCTACATTTATCGTCACCTGGTCCCTCATACCGGTTATCAGTGTGTCCACATGTTTTTACTTGCGACTTGTACGAACTTCTTCACGCAGAACATTTACATCCGGTACATCATCAATGTGTCAGCTCTGTGAGTTATTCTGTTGGTCGATTCCACATCAGATCTTATGTGGATCATAGATACCCACTTATCTGTGGACAACTTGGTTGCCAAGGTCGGCGTCGCGGTTGAGATAGTGTCGTCTTTATGATCTAATGCTCCTTTCTCAGTGTCGTCTTCGAGTCACTCATTTTTGGCCTTACACTTTTCGCCTTGATTCGTCATGAACTCCGACATTCGTTCAGCTCGTTGTCCTTATTGCTCTATCGTGATGGTAAGCGTCATTCTTGCGATGAATAGACACTACATTCAAATGACGCTATGTTTCCTCATAGGAATGTTGTACTTTGTTGCTGTGACTTGTAGGTCCTCACCTCTCAGCAACGTGCGTGCTACATGTTGATGCTCGCGAGGAGTGTGTTCTCTCTTTTCACTCCTGTAAGTGATGAATATATACAACGACGTATGGTCGTTTACGGGCTCTCTGTACAGTGTCTGGGCCTTGGCAGGCCCTGCGTACCTCGGTTTAGCCCGATAGTAAGTGGCCAGCTCCATGTCTGAGATTTGCTGAGGGATCGCGCAGTTTTGCATTGGCCATGGTCAACGTCGCGGGTTCAAGACTAGTGTTGAACTTGAAAGGATACACCGCTTCACGGAACGCGGTTGACTACCCTACGGGTTCGCGTTCGCTGCCTTACTCCGCCGTAGGCTTCGGCGCGGGCGTAAACTTCGGGCGAGGCGAGACTGGCCCATCCGACGACGCGCGTCCTGACGACGAGGAGTCAGGGAGCATTCCGCTTGACCTGGAAATGTACTCGATTGAGCGGGACTGCCAGCAGTTGGGCACGAAGCTGATGCGCCACGATTGAAGGCGTCGGACGGTAGAGTTGATTGTAACCTGTATCACTGACTGTATCCTTAGTTTATCGGGTCGTAATGCACACGGTGCGGGTGGCCCACAGTTCACTAGATTATTGTGCTTACAGGGTGTTCGAAAAACCTTGACGTGCGCAATTTTTTTTTCTGGCCAGGCTCGGAACTGCCCTTATATGGCTGATTGCCACCGTTCGTACTCCAATTGTTCTCAAGCTTATACAAAAGTCGGTGATGTTATTGATGTCAACATTAAACGCGCCTTGACGTATTGCAGACGTGGGACCCATTTCGCTGCAGTGCCAGCTCATTCGAGAGCCAAATACATACAAGAAAAAAAGCCGTACATCAAGGTTTTCCGAATCATCTGTAAACATCACTCTGTCAATTCAGGCTGGCAAAGCACGTATTGACCTAGTATTGACCTTGTGCGGTTATGCAACTGACAGCCATATTTCGGCTGAAAAGAGTTCACACGAAGGGAATCGCGGGCGGGATCCGGAGATGCTAGTACTTCTCCTCAGCAGGATGGTATAAGTAATGCACTGAATCATAATTGTTCTAGGAAAGCTGCCAGTGATGCCGCTGACAGTCTGACATCGCATGGAGAGAAGCGTGACACATGTTTTGTGGCGTGTGTTCTAGCTGTGTTCTTTCCTTGAGCGGCAGGCCAATAAGTAGTCAACATGAGTGGAGCTGAGAACAATAGCTTGCGGCGTTCGAACGCACAGGTGCGGCAGCCGACATACCCCCAATCTATGTGCTTCACTCGCTCTGCGCAATCCAGAATAACACATGCATGCATTGCGACACTAAAGAGAATGGACTAAAGTAAGGGAAGGGTGTTACAAAGATATGCGAGAGGTAAATGAGTAACGACGGAGTGCAAGGAACGAACGAATATGTATGGGCGAAAGCCCCCTGTACAGAGGACTTCCCGATGCAAAGAACAGAACTCCAGGCCTAGGGACGATCCAGAGGTGAGCAGCGATTCCCACTGTAATGTAGGAGGTCAACGATGCATCTGCAAAAGCTCGGATACCCAAGGACTAGGAGTTGAATCTTACCTAACGCACTGGTGGCATAGAATAGAGCACAAGCGATGCATGCACCTCTGGGGCTGCTTGCATGTATGGAGCCATCACCTGTGCATGCTTTCGCAAGTATAAGGTGAATGCTTCGCTTTTCCATCGCCCTTTTGATTTGACGACCTCGAAAGGAATACCCCGCAGAAGGTACTCCAGTGTTCCTCCTATGCGAATGCTATGCCCGTGAAGGCGCTGCTGGATATCCTTCCCAGCTTTTCCAATGCGCCCTAGAAAAGCACGTCTTGTGAGGGGACGGGAGCTGTTACCATGTAGGTATGCAAAAAGAGAAGCCTCGGGGGTTAAGTCATTCACTGAAAGGTGATTGGCCAGTGCTGCTGCAGGATCTGTGAGTCCATCCTGCTTTGCCCAGTATATGTCTTCACCGTGTGGGGCAGCCTTAGTGATTGGAATGAAGAAGACTGTTTCTTCAAGACCATTATGATCTCGGGCTAAGCGAATATCAGATCACTTGACATGGCGGGCACCGTCAAAAGCTGTGAGCTTGGGGACAGTGACCTCACCAATTCTCGCAACTGCGTAAAAGGCTGTTGTGAGACAAGCCCAGACTGCGGTGTCGAAAGGGTCACTGAGCTTGAACTGACCATGCAGGTGAAGGAGTTGCTCAGTCATAAGAGGCTGGCGTGAGGTGCACTTTGAAGTACTAGGAGTTAGCACGTCTGCAGACTTCAGGAGGATGTCGGTCTCGGCTTTATTCATGAGCCAGGGAAGTCCATGAAGGATATGCCAGGCACGCACACCATAGAAATAACCAGCAATGGTCTTGCCAGAATATGCACCAGCCAGTGTTGTGATGAAAGAAGACATGAGAATTGAGCTTGCTGGTGCACGTTGTTCCTCCGGGATGAGTTTCACATCACATGCAACATGGAAAACGAGCAGACCTGCTCCATAGTTCTCTGTGGTGTTGTCAGACCATGCAAATGCAGCAACGTCTTGTATCCGCTGAACGTCTGCATTGCTGAGTGAGACGGGCATGCCATTATGGTCGATTGGACGACGGGATGATGGGGGGCGCCAGAGAAGCAGACGGTGACGTGCTAAGCAGTGTGGGCACAGCGGAGATGGTCTGGGAATGAGACCTGTTCTGTAGGGCTGTGGGTCTGAAAGGTTTTCATCGCGAGGGGGTAGAGGAACATCCATGTGATGCTTAGTCATCCCAGTACGAGTCCCTCCAGAGGAGTTCATCGGTCTGCCGATCTCGCTCAAAGTTGATTGCAGCCTGCTCCACTGCTGTGCAGTCGATGTTAGTCTTGGCAGCAGGGCGAGGGTACTGTTCTTGTCAGTGAAGGTGAAGTTCAGCACTAGTTGCGGGTGCATCGAAGTCAATGATGAAGGGGTGGAGCTCGGTAGGTATCGGGATGGGGGGAAGGAGATATCGGGTTGGAGGGTAGCTTCCACGTGATGGTTTATCAGCAGGATTGGCTGCACTTGTGATGTACTGAGTGTAGATCGAACAGCCGGTGGGCTCGAGAAAGGTATAGAGACGACGGAAGATGGCATTGATTTGTGCATTGCGGCTACGGCCATTCCACCAGCCTTCGATGACTTCCTTGTTGTCTCCATAGACCTTGAGGTGATGGTGGGCAGAGGGGAAGCAAAGGAGGATGCGTATGAGGAATTCAAAACTGACAGCTTCAGCCCATCCGATATCTCGCCGGTCTTTGTTTCAACCTGGGAGGAGACGCCATGCATGCCAGTGGCCCCCAATGATGATGCTGATGCCAATATCTGAGCTTGCATCGGAGAAGGCACCAATGTCAGCCAGTATGCAAGGCCCTGGGATGGGCCGTGAGATGATGGGTTTGGATAACGTACCTGTCCACCATACGAGATCTCCGGGAGTTCCTGAGGGGGGGGGGTATGAGGCTTGAAAGGACTGTCACTGAAGATGCCAAGCATGGCTTCCAAGTTGGTGAGGTAAGCGCAGCCTGCTGGGACCACCAAAGAGGCATGCAGCAGTTTCCCGTGGAGCTTCTGTACCTCTTGTAGGGTGTGCGTGCGCAAAAGTGACCACTCCTCGATGGCTGCCAGATACTTGGCTGCTTTCGCTAGAGGTATAGCCACTGTACGTGCTTCGAGGTCCCATATGAAGCCTGTGAAAGGAAAACAGGAGCTGAAAGGAATGTCTTTCTCGAGTTTCCATGGGATGCTGAGGCGTGTGGAGATGGTGTCAATGTCGGCAATGTAGTATGTGAACTTCGCATCCTTTGGTGGGCATGATGACTGTTGGGAAAGATCGAGCAGAGGCCAAGCCATGTCATCATCAAACTCGTCAGTGCGCCCGTCAGATAGTAGGCCGCCCCCAAACCAGTGCTGCCCGCCAGTGTGGTGTCGACCGCCAAGTGCTTCGATGCTCTCTCGCCATGCGGCTCGCTTCTGATTATACTCAGAGAGGAATTTGCGGAGGATGCGAAGGAAGACATGATCATCCACCCACTTCGAGACGGGTCCGATCTCTTGTGATCGCATGATGTTCGTACCTGCATCCGCGATGCCCCCATACACACCAGCATTTGATGAGACTCCGAATGCTGCGCTCGTGTCCAGCGCGAACTCGTCTCACTGTGAGAGCCATATGACCATTCCCGGCCACTGCGATGAGGCCAACGGAATGATGCGGTAAGCCTCGGAGACATCACGGACAGCACCTTCCGAGCCTGGAGAGAGCCGCCAGCATAGCAGTGAGAAAGCTGTGAAAGTGCCCCAAGTACATGGGTAATTATTTGAATCAATATGATAATTGATAGAAGTGTAGACCGGAGATGGAGAGTGAGGAAAAGAGAAATTTTGGACAAGGCGAAAGGCTCCCAGTTTGTGAGGTTTTGGAATGAGAGAAAGTGGCGAGGACTGGAAAGGGCTGATGAGTGATTCGACAGTCGATCGAGAGGCGGGTCCGAGGTAGCGCCTCTGAAGCAGCTCATGCTGGACAATGCTCGTGAATGTGTCATGGTGTTCTGAGAGAGTCTGGCTGTTGGGGGGTGTATGAGTGTGGGTGATAGGCTGTACTGTAGGCGGCTGTATGGTACCAATGTCACAGGTCACAGGCCCTCCAAAAGGTTGCTTGGCAGACTTAGATGTCACACGTCACAACAGGTTGTTGTCATCGGGAAGTCAGTCTAAAAAATGCATTTCACGGGTCCTCTTGACTTTCTGCAGACTGTACAGCTGTAAGTACTTCGAATGAGACTCCTTCTGGCACCCAAATTTGAATATCTTCATTCTTGTCAGTTCCTTCCTGCAGCCTACCATCACACTCAGTGATGGTGTCCGCAATGCTGAGTAGTGCTAATGAGCTGGCACTGAGTGATAGATCAGTGCCCAAGGTTTTATTGTCTGCCACAGTGGCATGAATTCATTCTGAACTGAAGTGTTCCACCAGTTGTGGCGACACACTGTTGCACAATCCGGCTGGTGTCACAGGTCACACACTCATTGTTGCGAAGTCATATCCAAAGCTAGGTGTCACACGGCCTACGATGTTGGTACCATACAGCCGCCTACAGTATTCCCACGTCGAAGCCAAACCGTATGGAGGATACAAGGCGAGGATAGTGTGAAGTGAGACCCGAGATGGAAAGTAGCTCCTCCCAGGCATCAGCCCAAAGAGGAGTAAGAGGTGCAAGTTTTCTCTGCAAGATGACATTGGTGAGCTCCGTGAGTGAGGTCTCTGCAACCCGAGCACTCATGATGGTGACTCTTTGATGAACAGGACTTTGGTCGTTGCCAGTCCGTGCAGATAACGATGCCCTCTCACCTGTCCCTGGCATACTGATATATCAAGTATGGACACAAGAACAAGGGACTGATACATTGACAGTGATAGCTACCACAGGCTCTGATACATCATTCTGTGGTCCTCAACAGTCCCTTCTAAGCCGCATTCTCCTCCCTTGGGTGGCTGGCGTCCTCCCGGTCCTCCCACCTTGTCCGCTGTTTTGGTAGATCTGGTAGGATGTCCAGGATCTCATAGATATCTAAGATTCGGTCTGGATCGAAAATCCCGCCTTCCTGTCGTGCCCTGTCATGCCGCCCACCTTCATTCTGTCGTAGATTTGTTATTCAGTTCCATATGTTGTCGCAATGGGTTTCCATTTACAGAATGTCACTTCCACATGAAAACATATTTGTATCATACTTGCAAAATTATCAACAGAGCACAATGCTACATGTCATACTATTTAGCCACCGGGGAACATCCTCTGAGCCTCTGTGAAGACCTGCGAAATGGGGTACGACTGCTGGAAGCTACGGGCAGGAATCCGCCGACCTGTCTGACAATAACGTGCTAAAGGGCAGGTGCTGGAAGGGTATCCATGGGAGAAGCTGACATGCTAGCTGATGCGCGCGGTGGAAGAATGTCCATGGCTCCAATCGTCGGACCCATTTCTGGAAGGGTAGCCTCGGCGGAATCCACAGCTACAGCAACGTCGCTTCCCGCCTGCAGCCAGGCAGGCACACAGCACCATACAGACTTGCAGTGATCCCTCATAGACTCCCGTATTTTTGCTTGATGGTACGCATATGCAGTGGCACCTTCTAAATGTTCGGGCGATCGTGCAGGAATCGTGTCGATTTGCTCCATTCACCACCGCGACATCCAACCATGAAAACTGATGACCCTCCGCATCTCCTCAGGCAACTGGTAGCATTCCTCGATCCAGTGATAAGCCCAAGCATGGGCATTGCACCACTCGATACGGAGCTCTGAATAAATCTGTAAGCTTTCAGATCATTCATCGATAGAGAAACGGAACGACGAACCTTCATTGACACCGGCGTCCATCATGCTGGTGTCCCCCACGCCATGTGTCCGCCATATCCAAGACAGCTTCTTGCAGCTCTGGGTCTCACCCAATCCAGCCTCCGTTATTCCCCGCACATCTTCCTCTTGCAGTAGGGCCAAGCTGTGGGGTCTTGAAGGTTCATTGAGCAAGATGGACAGTGAATTGATCGCATTGAACACGCCGCAATAGCGGGCTGCGTCTGCATTGACTTTCTCCTGAATACGCGCGATGGATGTCTTTGCTCGGGTAAGGTATCATTGTCCATGAACAAAACGGTCCTTGAACTTGTACATATACATACGCAGCTGTAGATGCTGTCGCAGATCTTCCAAGGCATCATGTGCTTGGGCAATCCGCAGATGCAGTTCATACGTCCGAAGGCGAGAGTCGCAAGGTGTCACCGCGGGCAGTTCCAATGGCAAATAGAGTGCTATATCTTGCGCGAAAACCTCCTTAGCAGCAGCGGCCGCAGCTCGCGTATGCAAAGCCACAGTAGCAGAGATATAAAGTTGCTGGATGTATGTTCAAGCCTCTATCTTGCGATCTAGTGCGTTTCACCGCTCGATCATCTTAGCACGTTGGAGATCTGTGGAATGTGCCCCAAGGGTCGCTATGTCATGCCAAAGGCAATATCTAAAAGGAACGAATGAGAACAGGAGCAGAATTACAATAATTGGTGCTTACTGCTGTTCCTGGAGCTCGATTCCGGCCATTATCATCACACTCGGGGATACCAGGTCATGCACCATCCCACTTTGCACACCATTCTCTAACTCCGCAGCCTCCTCATTGGCTAACTGCAGGTGCACAGCTGCTTGAGTCACTGCTGAATGTGTATGAATGTTAGATAGACATTGTGCACCGCAATCGGACTACTTACTAGGACAGGTTACAACAACAGGGTTCGGTTTGGATGAGCCCTTCTCCCATGTTTTGACAGTGTTTCTCCATAGGTTCCAATCCTCTGGCACCATCACATCGTTAAGTTCCACAAATGCCAAGACTTGTTCATTGCGCTCAGGTAATGCAGCCTTAATCCTCGCCAAAAAAAGCGTGGCTTCATATTTATTAGCCTGGAGATATTCAAAGGACATTGATACTGTACTCACGCATTCCACATACTTTTCTTCAATTATAATCTGTGAACGCGTCATCGAGGAAGTCACATCGTGAACTGGGGCCCATCTCCTTTGTACTTGAGAAATATAGATTCGAGTCTGACCATGGTCACTTGACACCCTCGCCATCCGTCTCGCCGACATGGTGAAATGAGTAGTTATCTTGACACAACTTCTGATGGGCATTGATATGAAATTTTGGGATTAGGAAGACAAAGTCATGATCATCTTTCTTGAATCAGCTGTGGTTCCCACTTTTGTATAACAATAGCCCAGGTAACTGGGCAAGGTGTTGTTCACTGCTCACCAGTTCTTGTCAATTGTCAAAGTTATTGTTAACAACAGTCTGAAAGGATTGTAATACAATAACAACTTGTACAGAACAACTTGCACTTAGCCAGGGTTGAATCCTGGTCTTCCGGACACATGATTACATAAGCACATGCCGCACACACAATCTACCAACTGCTCCATTGGACCATACACTTCTCTCAGCCTCAATTCTATATAAGGCTACTGCCTTCTCTAATACACATATTAGAATCTTTTGTAATAACTACTATATCCTGTTGTTACTGTTGCTTCTAGCAGTGATTGATGTCTCTGTTAATAAGTTTTTGAGTGCCTAATATTAAGCATTTCCTTTTTAGTTGAGTAAATATTCAAATAAGATTAAAACTGTAATATCAAAATTTGTAGATGTAATAAAGCTATTAGAGGGGTGAAATAAATAGAAAAATGTAGGCAAATATCTATTAGAAGCAACAGTAACAACAGGATATAGTAGTTATTACAAAAGATTCTAATATGCATATTAGAGAAGGCAGTAGCCTTATATAGAATTGAGGCTGAGCAAAATGCATGGCCTAATGGAGCAGTTGGTAGATTGTGTGTGCGGCATGTGCTTATGTAATCATGTGTCCGGAAGACCAGGATTCAACCCTGGCTAAGTGCAAGTTGTTTTGTACAAGTTGTTATTGTATTACAATCCTCTCAGACTGTTGTTAACAATAACTTTGACAATTGACAATAACTGGTGAGTAGTGAACAATTCTTCCCCCAGGTAACTGGGGTATTGTCATACAACAATGGCCACCACTGGTGCTTGAATGGGCAAGATTTGTAGAGCTGGTACTGTTTCCACAAATTTTTATGCCACTGACAAGCGATGTCGTAGGAGACGACAATGTCCTTCGATGGGACGTTGGCCAAGGTCGAGAAGAACATGTAATTTATGTTGACATACCTGCACAACAATCAGCACCAGAATACAGACCACCATGAACATCAGCCTACCGTTCTCCCTTCTGGAGATCACCGACACTGCAAGGCAGCCTCATATCATGCCGCATACACGTCACGGCACCGACACCACTTGTGGCTGTACCCGCGACCGAGCCCCTCATATTGGCTAACTTGACAGCATCATGGTTGTTGCAGGTACTCTGCTCTTCCGTCACAAGAGAGTCATATACACTGAGGTAATCCTTGTACGCCCTTTCCTCTACGAAGTAGGCGTAGCCGTGATTCAGCCCGGGATCAACGCTGTCCGAGGAAACCTTCTTGCATTTGAGGCGGAAATTTGTGTCGAGCCCAATAAACAGCCAGTACAACCATCTACCGTCAGGTAAATCATCAGGCTATGATAGGTAAGATGAATGGTTGAAAACTCACTTCTTACTCTCTGGAGCTTCCTCCCAGTCTGGACGCAAATTCTTTCCAGGGTGGGGGCAGGCTGGGCAAAGAACTACGCAAGACCCAGCAGTGGTCGCTCGCACACCACCGGGATCATGGCCTCGACCCGCTCGCTTCAGCATCTTGAGGTGCTGCCACATGCGCATAATACGCATGAAGGCAGGATAGCGATCCTATATCTCGTTAGCAATGCAGAGAATTGTAGATTAGCATGTAATGTACCTTGGGCGTTCGCACACCAGTATTATCAGTGAGCCGGGCAAGACTCTGGTAGAACTCGTAGCCGGATGTCTTCGACTGAGTAGTCAGCAGGTGTGCGTATCGGCATAGTTGGAAAGTAGCAGCAGTCTTGGGGTTTGTTGACGTGGCTGAAAATAGCCGTGCATGAAGGAGTTGCACAGCGTGGACTTCAGCTGTCTCGCAGCCACAAAAATCCAGGCCGATTTCGTGTATTCCATTAGTATCCAGCACCAGGAAATCATCCCCTGTGGCTCACACAGGCAGACGACATCGGTGCTCGAGCCCATAACCGAGTCCGTGACCCAGTTGAACTCGCAATCCAAGATTTTTCAATGAGTTTGGTTGGAAGTGGGACCCAGTCCAAGTCTGTATTTCGCAACAAGCTATCAGCTACACCTCATTAAAAGAATGTTAAAGACGACGCACCTGCACGCGATGCAAAGGTGTGCACTTGTGGAAATTGACTGCACATGTACGGCAGTAAATGGCAATGTCGAAGCAGTCCTGGCAGCGAACCATGGCTGGGCCTTCCTCGCAAAATTGGCACTGCCCAGAGTCATAGCTGCCCCTCCAAGCGCCGCATTTTGGACAGATAATTGTCGATCTCTGGAATCCACTCCCGGAGAGGATAATCCTAATCACTAATATAAAAATGCCGCCAGAGAAGAAATACCAGAGACTTACTCCTGCACCACGGTGATGAGGCTTACACGCAAGCAAATTCTCGATGTCTTCTAGATATTGAGGGTCCAGGTCAAAAATATCGACATCCTCGTCATCGTCTAGGATAGCAGAGTTTGCTGTTCCACATAGCTCGGACAAATCAAATGATGGTGCACTTTGGACACTCGTATCGGTAGTGGAAGCGGTGTAGAAAGACGTTGTGGTGGAAACTTTATTGCCTCTAGACGCGTACTCTGTGTGACGTACAATGTCCTGCAAATAGTGGATATGGTTGTTGGTGCCCTCAGCATCACCGTCCAAGACAGTGTACTCCTCGCAATTTGGGGCTCATTTCTTCTTCGGCATTATGGAGACAGCTGCACAGCAGAAAGACTTCAAGTGTGTCCAAGATTTCATTCTGTTGATAAGTCTGGCAGAACATAGAGAGGCGCACAGAAAAAATGAGCGTTGAGAAAAGAAATGGTGCCAGCTGTCGCTAAAAAAAAGCCTATCAGATGGGTGTTCTCACTGCATGACAGTGCATGGTGTCAGGGACCCTACCGACATTAGGGAAGAATGTACAGCAAATCCGGAAGATGCGCTAGTGACCAGGGTGTGATATATCATACTCCCATGGCGAACTTCAGCCGCTGTGCACTAAACCTTGGCATTTTGGTAACATCCGAAAGTCGACGACGAGAATCTATAGTCAGTCAGCCAGATGCCCGACCTCATCGTATACACACTTGGATGATGGAGTGAAGATGCCCAACCTTGTCCTATACACACTTGAATGACGGAGTGACTTGAATAAAGGGAGAGATTTCAGGGCAGCATGCAGCTGTCAGGATAAGCTTGAGGTAAACGTACAGTAGAGCGTCTATTGATTTCGTTCAAAACTGGCCAATCACAGAACACTGCTAAGTATTATCCATACAACATTTACATTACAAAATACCTCTACATATACGTATACGTATACTCCTTACCATCCTCACGAAATTGGCAGACATGACAACAATAACTACATATACCCTCCATACTACGCGGTATTCCCTTTTGCACCACACATGCTGCTGACAGCAGTGTTCTAGAGTGCAAGACTGCCTCCTGAAACTTTATCATCACTGCCTGCGATGAGTGCGCACGTACGACACTCAACCTGCAGCAAAACCGCTGCATTTTCAGCTGATATAGCATCACTCTCCTGACCTTACTCACTGTCTCGCCCTAAACCTGGCGCACTTCCTGCCTGGCACAATGTCATGTCCTCAACCTCGCGTGCAACACCAACCTCACATCTCGAAGCGATCACTCTCGCTGCCTGACCCAACCTCTTGTCCTGGTGCAAGGTCTTGCTCTCGACCTCTCCACCAGACAGAGTGTCACTCCCGACACCTAACGCAACCTCATACTCTTGACCTGGCCTGCAGTCATGCTGACAACCTCATCGGCACATTGTGCACTCTCAGCCAAGTGAAATCACACTCTCTCGACGTCGCACACCTGCGTACTCCGCTGGCGAAATATCGCTCTGCCATCGACCTGGCACGACATCTATCCTCATCGACGTAGAACGTCCCTCTCCTGACATGGCACAGCGTCGCTCCCGACACTGACCTCGAGAACGCTGTATCCATCTGACGCAACATCACGTCACTCTCCCCGCCTTGCATACCCTTGCAGCCTAAAGCAGTCTCAATCAGTAAACCAGCATACAGGACTACACCTCCATTGCAGATTAGACATATAGCTAGCAATATATATCTTCTCTGTCTCTGAGTGAGTAAACTTCTATCGCAAAACCGGCACACGACTACCGACATGCTGCTACTACCATATGCCAGATCTCAGACACTGCGCGTGAACAGCCATTGAGCAAGTACGACAGTACTTACCTCTGTGCTCAGTCATCCACAACCTGCAAGACCAACCCGCAAGATGTCAAAACAACAATGCGAGAGCCTTCCTTGAATGACAACACCCCGAGTAACACGTGAGTAACATGATGGAGCCAAAAAAAAAATGGACATACCTCGATCATAGCCCAGCTACAACCAACAAAGTGCCATGGCTGCCAACAACTGTCATCATTTCATTAGAACACGGTAGCAGAGACCAACTGATGTCGATGAAGATGCACCTTGATCAGAGCCCGGAACGAGAGACCAGCCGATGAAGACATACCTCGAGGAACAAGAGGGCCCTCACAGTGAAAACTGGGCAATGACGACCACTGGTCGTAAGGAAAGAAGGGATACGAAGGAGGACAGGTTGATATAGTACCTGGACAAAGGTTCAAACTCCGCCAAATCATGTGAATACCTTTTCACATGCCCCAATCAAACAACCAATCAGCAAGCGGATAAGTGTCCTACTGAAATTCTGTCCAAAGCAATCTAGGCGGCTCGAACGGATGAGCAGTCACAAGCCGTTGGAATTTATTGCGGATGAGTTGGTAGGTTACTAGTGTATGTAACACTAACAACTATAAGTACTTGACTGATAATAGCGGTGCGGAACAGAAATTGCGAGCAGGGCCAATTGTGATGCTCAAGCACGAAGTCCCAATCCATCTGTGGCATGAGGATCCTGAGCTCTTCGCTGCCGTCTCTCACGATTGCCTTCTGCTGTCCCGGTTTCTGGAGTACAGCTCATTGACCATAGATTCTGCATCTACACCACCGCATATTCATACACTGGAATGGCAATCCTCCATCACGGTGCGCCTCATTATACATGGAGATCCCTCTACGCCTGATGTCTAGTTCCTTGCTAAGGCAACAAATTATCTTCACCCCCCATTCCAAATACAGCTCCCCCAACTCATCTCCTCATGTGCTGTTACTGGCACTCCTCCATGCTGTGATCTGCGTGCAGAGCTCCTGTCATGCACACTCAGCTCTGGCATCTCACCCGTCTTCCTCCTGCCAGCTCTCGTGATGGTGCTCCTGTCCTCGTGCAACCATCTGGTCCCACTGGAACAGATGGATCTGTTTCACTATGCCCCATGAAAGCTTCAAGCTTCAGGTGTGGCTCGGAGGGTCGAAGGTGTATGGGTGCGTCCATAACCCGAGGTGGGGACTTTCTGCAATGACTGATCGAAACTTCAGTGGGAAGTCACGACGCGCATATTGCATGAAGATTAGCAGCATGTCAGGGAGTGACTCGGTGAATGGCGTGGTGTAGAGTTCCTCGCGTGCAATGTATTGCTGTCAGTTTTGTTGACTCCTCATGCTGCGGCCTCTATACATGGTGTGAGATTCTGTGTAGTATAGCAATATTCCTTGCGTACTTAGCTGACTCATTGTATACTTGTTTTTGCTTCTGAATCACGCTTTTTTAGCATTCTGTGTGAAGTACTTAGCACGCCGTCCCATTGAAAGAGGTTCGGAGTGAGGCCTGGACTGTCAAACATCCCAGAATTTGAATTGTATTTCAATGCTCTTACACGTGTTTCGCAAAAAAGCACACATTTTATAAAATCACATCACAATTGTCCATAAACGATGCATGAGTAAGGGATATAGAATGATGACGGAGAACGTAAGCACAGCGGCTGTACTACATGAGAGTATTTAGATGCATATTGGCGCTACCAAGAAAACAGTCAGGTGAATATTCAAGACAAAAAGACAGCATCAACTGAAGCCTGACCCCGCCACACGACGTCAACAGCATTCATCAAACCACCTGCACAGTGCCACGGGCGAGGGCGGTATTGAAGGCGCTGATGGCTGCAGTGTACGTAGGGTGCTTCTTGCAGAATGCACCCAAAACACCATGCACGTATGCAGCAACGAGGCTCCTGGATGAGACATAAGTAAATATTAACACAACGTGACAAAAGAACTTACCAGTCCGTGTAAACTCCGACGATGCATCCACGGGTGATGCAATAGAATGGTGCAATGTCATTCAGCTGAGCCGGATATGGGAGATCAACTCCCAGTGTGGCTGTAAAGCCAGGGGGTATATCAAATCCAGGAGCAGCCGGAGGAACACCAGGAACCACCGGACCAATGACACCCACTGGAGCAATGACCGCAGGAGCGGCGGGGCCGACAGGGATGGTGGGCCCAGGAGCAACGACTGCTGGAGCTGTGGGGCCCATGGGAGCAGTGACTGCAGGAGTGGCAGGGGCAGGGGGAGCGATGACTACAGGAGTGGCAGGGTAGGGGGAGCTATGACTATGGGAGCAATGGGGACAGGAGCATCAACTGCGGGAACAGCAGGCCCAGCAGGAGCAATGACCACTGCCACAGCAGGAGTAGTTGCTGCAGGAGCAGTGGCAGTGGGAACAGCTGGAAGGACACCTGTGTTCGCAGGCACAGTGAACACCAGCACAGCAGCGGGAGGAGCAGCGACGGTGGCAGTGGGAGCAATGGCAGTCACACGATGCAAGTCGACGTCCTCTTCATCGGAGTCCACAATGAACTCGCCGTTACCATCAACAGGGTGGGTTACTCCCCTGTCCCCAAGGGCCATGATGAGCTCAGTGATGAGCTCAGCATCATCTGTTAGAAGGTGAGTACTGACGCATGCTCAAGGAATGATCTGTGACTTACTGTGCCTGGGTTGTCGACATTGGCAGAAGTTATCTGTTAACAAATGAGTATCATCTGGCGAGTGATGGTCGAGATACGTACTGCTTTCATACGCAATCACCCATGCCAGAGTGTATTCCAAAGCGAGTCGGATCACCATCCAATCGTATCTGGAAGTCGTGTCACAGGTTTGGGCTTCCGGAGGTGATTGTGGAGGAACCTTCATCAGCGCAGAGACTAGACAAGTGAGAGAGACCAGAGACAAGAGAGGTGAGTGCAGAACTGCTGACATCGATGAGTCGACCACTGTTATATAACGTTCAGGACAAGGACATTCGGTTAGCCCAATCAAGGCATTGTCGGACAGCTCCGTCCGGCATCAACTCTGGGCACTCCGCACATATGCCACTTAACCTACAACTGCCATGCATGCACACATCAAGTGCATGCTCGCAAAGTCAGTTAACCTCAATATATTTGGCCTCAGCTCATGGACGCACATCAAATCCTTGCCCAGTATATCTTTTCCCACCTGTTGCCTTTGTGAGCTCATCATCTGACGGCACTTCGTGATGGCTCCACCGACATGGGCAAACACTGCAGAGTCGGAGTGGCTGCAAGAGCAGTTGCCACACTTCCTCGACCATCAGAAGTGCAAGAAACTACAGACCTTCTACAGAACATTGTACACCGAATGGGACACGCAGTTCCAGGAGCATGCCCGTCTGTTTCTGGACGTCGATCTGATGGTGCAGCTGACACCAGAACAAGATGCAGAGCTGACGCAGGTCATCGCGAAGTGGCAGAAGGTGCATTTGTACTAACACCCAATTGGAACGAATCTGATGTGGATATAGCAACTATATAACTGGTATAACAATCGCAAACCAAAGGGACGCTCTGCCGACAAGACCGCGGCCTCCATCCTCAAAAACTTCATTCCGAAGGGTGCTGTCCCGGTCAAGCATCTTCCGCAAGTTGTCAAAGCATACTCACACAAATATTACAAGGAGAAGATCAAGAAGGATGTTGACTTGGAGATCAAGGAGAAGAACCTCAAAAAGGGTGAGGCGCTGCCCGTCATCCGGCGTTTGACACAGGCAGCATATGATGCAGAGATGCCCGAAGTTAAGGCAGAGACCATTGCAGATGTGGAGCAAAAGAAGGCGGAGCGTGAGGCTGAGGAGGCACAGACTGAGGAGGTGCATTCACAGGATGAGTATTCTCCCACGGAATACCAAAAGTACGTATTGCATTCAACTATCTCCATGCTGCTTGCCTCACGTAAATTCACAGAATGCTGGACTGTATGCCAGCTGCATTTGATCAATTTCTTGGTGCTATGTCGAAGTCGACCAGTTGGCGATTCTCGGTATTTGGGGGAGGACCTAGTCCCGAAGATGGAGGGAACCTCCGGTTGATGGTGCAAGTCATTACCTCCTCATGCTTGCAAGGCTATGCTAATGACACATTAAGTTCCACTCCGGGGACGGTCCAAATGTACTCAAGTTTAGTGACACCATACCCAACTTCAAAACGCAGTTCATGGAGTCGTTCGGACAGTTTTTGGCGATGTCATATTGTGAGTTTTGCGCATCCTCTTTACGTTCAGCATTAACTAACTCTGATATCAGCTCTGGCTGACTGTCAAAGGCGCACACTCCCTTCATCGCTCACTCCAGGCTCATCAGAGCCACCTCCGGAGGTGACCGCGCTCAACCTTGAGGACCTCTGCTCCAGGATGGAAGACAGTCCCGATGCCGAGGACCCTATTATTCGTGGTCAGGCATCGTCAAGCCCATCGCCCAGCCCAGATCAGGGCACGCCAGCATCCGACGCTGCATCAGCAGATGTCAGCGATGCTCACATGCCTGTCACTGCAGCGGGACCACCACCATCATCCGAGGATGGGTGTCCTCCCACAACTGTCAACTATGCTCCCCAGTCTTCATCGGCTACTCCACCCTCCATCCATACTCGTGCTTCACCCGTTCCTGCATCTTTCCAAAACCATCTACCCGCATCTGCAAATGCCGCACTGTCATGGGCACCAAACCTGGCGGCATGGCAGTTCGACGTCCCAGCACCTGCATTCGATCTGGATGCAGACCTCCAGCCAATCTCTCTTGATGATGTTATGCTTGGCATCGAACTGGATCGGATGGTTCCTGTCAGTCCTGTGACAGGCATGCTCAATTTCCAGCCTCTCATGCACATTAATGTGCCATCGGGTCCCGGTGGCAGTCAGCTGGATGTTGGTGACCCTGGCGTATCATCGTCGAACACTGATCCAAGCTGCTCTCCTGTGTTTGCATTGTGCTCTCCCTCAAACCCCCAGTTAGTGCCGGAAGCCCCATCTTCTTCTCTAGTTCAATCCACACCCTCGTCAACATCGCCATCTCTGGCCGCCTCATCTCCAGGAGCTGGATCCCTCCCATCCTTGTCACCGCATGGATCATCTTTGACATCACCGTCTCTGGCTGAACCAACTACGTGTTTGTTGTCTCTGGCTGCCGACTTGCCCTCTTTTTCAGTTGAATCTGCACCCACACCATCGACTGTCCTCCCTGTAAGGACAACCGCAGCGTCATCTCCATCGGCATGCATAAACGTGGTCAGCTCACCTGCAGATGAAGATGCAGCTCCAGTACCGGCGTGCAAGCATCGTCCAGCAACTCGGAAGCACCTCAACCCTGTCCTTCCAGCACTAATGGAAGCAGCAAATGCGGAGATGGAGTCTGGTACTCTGTCTTCTAAATCAGGCTGTCCTGCTCGAACGCGCGTTGCACCCAAGCAGGCCGATGCCAATTGGTCCCGCAGCGGGAAGCAGCAACCCATCATTGCTTCGGGATGGGAGAATAGAGAGTCTGAGCCCGCAACGTTGCGCAGAGGGAAATGGGGTGCAGATGGGCAGCAAAGGTATGTACAGATGGTTATTCAATGCGTTGATGGTACTGACGTGTCTCAGTGGGCCGGCGACGAAGAGGAAAAGGTACTAATGCATGACACAAGTGAGATAGCGAGTGCAAGTGGCGTAGCTTTGGCGATTGATGGTCACAGTGTTTCTTGGTGATTTCGTTACTATTCGTAGTTTAGTAAGCCTTGAAGTAGATACTTTTAAGAAAGAATATATGCATTTGCAGACCGTGCTCATTGTAAAAAGGCATGCAACTCTGTAATTCACGCAAGGCAGACGTGCCTACAGTCGTACTTAGTAAAATTCTCGGGAGGCTGATGTATCAATCTTCGGTAGATACAACAGGCACAGGACACTTAGCACGGCAGGCCACGTGTGATACATCAAAATATATTGACTACCACTAGCTGATACATCATCCTTTGTACCATAACTTGTTTACAAACTTCAAACTGTGAAGTATGAATGAAGCCGGCATTGAGCAGACTGCCTACGGTCCGGCAGAAACAAACACAGTGAACATACCTAGGAATGAACAACAGGCACGCAGCATATGAGAGAGACAGTTAGGCTATAGTTTAGGAACAGGATAGCGAAGGCAACGAGCAGGAGCAAAAAGCGGCGGCCAATTATGAGAAGAAGCGGCGGCCAATTATGAGAAGAGGCGGTGGCCAATTATGGTAAGAGGCGGCGGCACGAAGGAACCGGCGGGACCAGATCCATATCTAAGATTACAGAAGCCTCATTGTCAGATCAGATCATCAATAGATCCAGGGGACCGGGCCACGTGGCCGAAGCTATCCAGAAGAGAAAGAGCAGATTGATTTGTCATACGCGCAGGCTGATATATCAGAACCTGTAAGCTCGAGCCCATTGTGGCTACTACTGCTGTTGTATCAGGTATGAGTTAAACTTATCATTCTTTGATATATCAATATGACATATAGGCCTGGCCCTCTGGGTTGATGATTCTGCCGCTGGAGTTTTGCGAACATCACGCGACGCTGCCATTCCATAGTGTCGATGAGTTGCACTGGGAGATCTCCTCTGAGGAGTGGCGGCTGAGACATATGGCACAGATGAGAAAGGCTGCGGAGCCTGCACCTCAACGAAAAGATGAGTCTCTGCCTCGATGAGCATCTTTCAATGAATAACTGTAAGGGGGTGGATTATAGGATGGACCATGACAATGTCTATTCCTTTCCCCTTGATGGGGCTGAGACTGTGACAGCTGACCCCGTGAGGGTGAAGCCGATCGATGACTACACGACATGTTACTACTGGAAGAAACATTTCTTTTACCCTGCAAGTCTTCCTGCATGCGCGAATGAAGGGCCGCCAACTATGTCGCCCAAATGTTGGGCAATGAGCACAGGGTCGAGGGACACGGGGAAGAGACACTGCGTTTTTGCCATTGTATCTGGGTGCAGGATACCGTCATAGACACGCAGTGTACATGCACATATCTGGAACCCAGGCGACGTGGCACATCCAGGCCCAAGATATGCTAGAATGTGTTATATCTCCTAGAGTGTATCTTGCGGTATGCAATCCGTCATAGCAATGTAGTGATACACTGGCTACCGGCTGTGCAGCACATGTAGCAATGTGTAAGCTACACGGGCCATGAGGTGAAGAATCAGCATTTTGCGGCCTCAATTTCTGGTGGCCCAATTGCTAGTTGGGATGAAGATACATTAGATACACCAGGAAAGCTGGGATGTAGATACATTGGCTACGCTGTGAACCCGCTGCTCGCTGTCAATGCCTGAGCGACTCCAAGTCATTTCTCTTGATTACTAAATTGGGACTGCGGGGAAGTGCCCGGGCGAAAAACAAGAAAATCTACTCTAAGCTACACTGCTGAGAGAACTTGTCGGCCAGGTGCCAGACAGAAATCCGTGACTCTAGTACTACCTCGTCCTTCAAATCACACCACTGTATGAGAGCTGACAGAGGCTCTCACTTTAGTAACATCAGCGAGAGACCGAACAAACGTTGTAGTACAACTTACCTCAACCATACAGCCCGAGAAGTCCAGGACTCTGCAAAGCCACTCACACAGTCACGCTTTCGTTCGCATGAATCGGAATGGCTGATCGTGTGTCGAATCTCGCGCAACCCAATCTGGTGCACGTGGGATGTCCCAGTCCAGGCAGGTAAGGTCGCCCAATGGGGCCAGGTCAAGTTTTGGCATTTGGTGTGGTGATTTCGGCGGACCTCCGGGCGTGCAGCCTCATGTCTCGGCAAATGGAATACCAGCGCCTACTACAAGTATTCGGCATTGTCCGCACGCCATGCGCGCACTGGTTGTTGGGTCGCGCTCATTATCGTAGGTGATGAGCTCGACTATCTCTTCATTTTCTTGCCAATTCTGGCCATGTTTTATTCTTCATATACAATATTTTTAGTGTACCAATTATAGAGTATATTAATGGGTGAATCATATACATGCACTCTTAAGCACAAAGTCCTAGTACTTATCTCTATCATTCAGGTGCTATCATGGTGTGCTCACCACACCCGAGATTGTGATCATTATTGTCGGCAACACACTGGGCTATGAAGTCATTATTTCTATTGATTTCTTGCACTTGTATCTCAGTTCATATCCTACATGGTGCACTTCTTGAAAGTTATTAGATAGGAATAGAATTCTTGCCCACTTTCTTCACAGAAAGAGTTTTATGTAGTTCCCAGTAAGCAGACTTATAACTCTTATTGAGTGTGTGGAGGCAGATTATAAATTCATTCAATGAATGTCCTCAGGCTGAAGAAAAGGTCTTTTTGCTCAAGAGTGAGTGTATATGATTCACCCATTAATATACTCTATAATTGGTACACTAAAAATATTGTATATGTAGAATAAAAAACAGCCAGAATTGGCAAGAAAATGAAGAGATAGTTGAGCTCATAGTCTACGATGACGAGCATGACCCAAAAACCGGTGCACGCACGGCACGCGGACAATGCCAAATACTTGTAGTAGGCGCCAGTATTCCATTTGCTGAGACACGAGGCCGCACGCCCGGAGGTCTGACACTGAAATCACCATGCCAAATGCCAAAACTTGACCTGGCCCCATTGGGTGACCTTAGGCAGGTGAAGGTATTGATAGCTAAGTCAAATCTCTGCGAAGTGCAGGGGCATCCACACGAAGTTACTGCGAGATGCAGGGTGTACGTATCAGGATCAACAAAAATACCCTCAATGGCACCCTGCTTAAATCAGAAGTCAAAAAGGCATATACAGACCAAGACGTACCAGGTCTTTGACGATGTATACAGCACATTGAACAGCGGGGCTATCTGGGTCGTGAAAGGAACCCAGTCCCCATTCCAAAGGAGAGGGCGACGGTGCATTCGCCAAGACTCTGTTCAAACAGTGGTCAACGGGGCCGCAGTTTTTGTGAATGGGAGGGCGCGGGACCCTGAGCATGTTCCGAGGTCATAGAGGAGTTGGGTCGCGCAAGGTGGACTTAACCTTGGGCATGATGCAGTTCTGTCCATGGCTGTCTGAACCTAGTAAGTTATACAGCAACAAGGTGTAACTGATACGTGGTGTAGCCAGTGTAGCGACTGCCAGATACACGAGGGAACCCATATAGAAAGGAGAAAGGAGATGCTGCATAGCTTAAGTAGCACATAGTCGTAGATAGGTGGGATTGCGCACTGACGGTGATGTGCAAGTGTTCTGAGGTAGCGCGTGTCTCCGACATCAAAGATTCGTGGCATCGCATGTAGGGTCACAGCTATGCTTGCGATTTACACTACTCTACATATCTTCACGTTGTGATTGCAGCTACTCATCAGGCTACGTATTCTATTTAGCATAGCTTATTCATAGCAAACCCCCTGCTAGAATGGCAAAAACGCAGTGAGAGCGAAGAGGCAGGAGACACAATGATTATCCAGTGCATTGATGAAAGGAGGTCAATGTCATTGTGGATGCAAGAAGTGACATGAGAAATGCCATCGCGGGCATCAGGCAAGAATGCGGGAGGAAAATGCCAATGCAGATGAAATGCAAAGATGTAAGGAGGTGATTGCAGACATGAGGTAAATTGTCACAACATCATCGCGGACGTGAGATAAAATCGCATCAACGTCATCGCGGACACCAGAAAATAATGCAGGTAGATCGCCGCCGATGCACGAGAAAATGTGCGAGAGATGTTGTGAATGGGCAGGAGTAGAGGGGTTGGTCGAGTTAGACAGAAGAGATTGTGTGTGTAATAGTGAGCAACTTGGATATGGTTAAGTGGTCGAGGAGACATACCTGACGCATAGCATCTGCTCAAGTGCGTTCGCCTATCTCCGTGGCAATGGAGCTGAGGAGAGTGGTTGATTTTTGATATATCAAAAACAGACCCATCCTTGCAAAGTAGCGTGTCATGCCATTCACATCGAACTCATGCTTGGTAATGAAGAAGAGAGATCTCCCCATTGTCACATCTGCGGTACTCGTGATTCTCGAGAGCGAAGAAAAAATTGAGGATGGTGGTGTAATGTTTAGGTGGCCAGTCTGCCTTTCTAATCTCGAAGAGATATTGAGCCTTTGCCATCGACATTTGTCTCCATGTCAAATCTTGATCTTTCACAATGTTGCGCGAGGCCCGAGATGACATGATGGGCTTGAGGGCCATGACGTTTTCCACGCGAGTGATGCTGAAGGCGTCGTCAGCGGTAGAGTGTTGCGCCTCGTATGCGTCATCCCAACCCTCTTTCGAAAAGTACCATAGCTCGACGTACTCAAATTTCCTGACTTTCTCTAATGCGTACGCGGACGGCCTGGCAGAGATGAAATCGGGAGGGGTCTCGTTCTCAGTGAAATTGCCGATTTTAGGCTTTTTCTTTTCGGCTTCCTTGCGCTCTGCTTCCGCTAGCTCGAGCTCTGCAAGCTGCTGTGCTTCCTGAGCAGCGAGGTGTTGCACTTCCGCGGCTGCCTCGATGTCCCTGTCTGCTTGGAGTTGCAGTGCCCAGGCTTCTTTGCGCGCATCATTCTCGAGTTTCCATGCATCAACTAGTTGGTGGATTGCTTCTATTTGAGCAATGTTCTGGCTGTGGGAGAAGGCTTCGACCATCAAGTTGTACAAAGGGGAGGAGAAGTCAGGGCAAACTTCAAGACCCGGGTCAGACAGCAATCTCGGCTGGATTGCTGGAGGTGCTGGAGGTTCCGGATCCATGACTTAGTTCAAGAGAAATTAAAGCGAGTGACAGGCTTTGAGCTACTCAAAGCAATATGCTAGCGGACACGGTGAGAGGCAAGGAATCACAAGGCGCATTCCACCTTTTTTCCTGGGGAAAAACCTGGGGAAAACGACAAAGTAAGTCTCCGGGAAATATCCGGGAAAAACTGTGAGAAAACAATAGTGTAAATCCTGTAGAAAAACCGTGACCCAGAAAAAGCAACAGATTTCTGGGTCACGGTTTTTCTACAGGATTTACACTATTGTTTTCTCACAGTTTTTCCCGGATATTTCCCGGAGACTTACTTTGTCGTTTTCCCCAGGTTTTTCCCCAGGAAAAAGGGTGGAATGCGCCTTGTGAATAGGCGCCCGCTGTTGTTTGTACATAGACCCAACTCTAGGGTTACGTTCGTGCCTCACTTTAATCCTAGAGTGACAATTGTCGACAGCGAGACTACTTTGCTTTGTCGGGACACTGAGCGCCATCTCAAGGCGAATAAGGTGGTTTCGCCTTCCTATCTTTGCGTAGGTGCTACCTCCGTGAGTGTATTTGACCGCAAACATTTCTCGTAGATGTCACACTAAGCGGAAACGACTGCACGAGTTTGATGGCCCTCGGAGCACTTGGCGCTAGGTAGGTGCGCATACTGTATATAAGACCCTCAGCAAAGCCGCGTCGCTGCAAGCAGTTAAACCGCTCAAATGTCTTCGAAAGTGTGGCTCATAACTGGCACGAGCTCCGGAATAGGCCTTGCCCTTGCTCAGCATGTCCTTGCCCAGGGGGACAAGGTGGGCGCGCCTCATGAGATGTCTTGCGTGAAGAGCCTGATGTGTTCCGCTCTAGGTTATCGCCACTGTCAGGTCCATGTCCAAATACCCCCAGGAACTGAAGGGTGCGGAACCCCTCGTCCTCGATCTCGGCGCCCCCGACTCTGAGATCCGCAAGGTTGGCGAGGCGGCATTGAAGGTATATGGTCATGTCGACGTTTTGGTCAACAACGCTGGCTATGGCCTCTCTGGGCCAGTAGAGGAATTGAAGTAGGTAACTAGCTCAAGTTGAACACATTTTCACTGATCCTTGAAAACAGTATGAAAGACGTACGAGCGCAGTTCCAGACGAATGTGTTCGGCACGATTGTCCTGACGCAGTCCCTGCTGCCCTATTTCCGAGCACGGAAGACAGGCCACATTTTCAATCTGACCTCCGTCGCGGCTTATTGGAACTACCCGGGCTGGGGAGCGTATGTCGCGTCCAAGGCTGCGCTCGACGCGTTCTCCGAGTCACTCAGTCGGGAGGTCGAGCCGTATAACATTCGCGTCATCGTCATCCTCCCTGGATATTTTCCTACCAAATTCTTCACTGAGACACGGTCGGCCGAGCAGTTGACCACGGTGTACACGGACCCGACGCAAGGATACAAGACGCGCGAAATGATCCCGCAGGGGCGCCATGAAGGTGGACAGGTCGGCGACGTGGACAAGTTCGCCCAACGGACGTACGAAATCGTGTACGGCACGGGAATGGCGAAGGGGTTGGTGGAGAGCCAGGGTGGAAAACGGGAGTGGATGCGTCTGCCGATGGGCACTGATTGTGGCGAGCTGATGCTTGCTAAGATCAACATTGTGAAGGAGAATGTTGAGTCGTTCGAGCCGATATGGAGGTCGACGGATGTGGAGCGGGAGAGACTGAATGATTTCGCCCAAGGATGAAGCTCCCTTACCAAGTTCTAGCCATCGCGACCTTTCCCTGTGCACTGGGTGGATACCGTGTTTGCCCTGAGTATGTACTATTTCATTGTAAGATAACGACGCAGCAGATTGTGGTGCACATCGCTGATGATCCGAGTCAGAGCAAGGTAGAATTGACGAAGAACTCTTCCGGCCGAATAACGCGCTCGCATATCGGACCTGGTTCCGTCACTGGGCGGAAAGAAACTTAAGTTGAATCTCGGAGAAACATCGACTACTTGCCGGCTCCGAGTCCATGCAAGTAGCGGTGAGGTAACTGACCCTCCCACGATAGGTTGCCGCGATGGTCCGGTCCGTGACCAGTTAACCAACGACTTGAAAGGCACAGAGCCGCTCATCCTCGACTAAACGCATCGGACTTTTGAGATTCGCAAGACCAGCGAAGCGATACAGAGTTGATACAAAGCAACGGGAGAACGCATCGTGTGTCATGTGATCGTGTTTGTCACGTGTAACACCAAATTGTCACCGGCGACTGCGACGCAAGGCTGAACAAGCACTGCAGAAGGTAAAAGCGATTGAAGAGGTACACGCTACCGAAAATAATTATCAGTGTAAAGTAGGCTATCGAAGAGTGTGGTGGCAACGAATCGACAGCGGCCTCAACTGGACTTCGGTCAAACCTGCGGCCCGGGACTTCCCCTTACGGGACATCCTGAGCGAGCTGGGGGGCGCAAGTATGAAACGTGGGAGATACTAGTTCCACGGAGGTGTATTGCGCTCTGGGTATGTGGCAAATACTACGGGAGAAGCTATTGCGGCGAGTGTATGAGGTCGTTTGCGAGACGAGGGTAGTCAAGGGAATCGTAGAGAGCCAAGGCGGAATGAAGGAATGGAAGCGCATGCTGCTGTTTCCTGATATCGATTGTGGCGAGTATGTGTTCATAAAAGTCGATCCACTAAAGCAGAACATGGAGGTATTCGAGAAACTTTGGCCGTCGACTGACATGGAACTGGAGCGACTCAAGTATTCACGTCCCACCCGTAGGTAAACGTTATTGCCATGTACCTATCTTGTATGATGGGTTTTCCTATTATACCAAGATGAGCGTGAACAGTGTGAGTTGGATCGGTCTTACCCGGCATGTCAGCAGGTGGATTTGGGGACACGTCGGACGACCAATTACACTGAGGAGGGAACCGGCGATATGCGACAGCAGCCGCCAATGTCGAGCGCCGATATTATCAGCTGCAATATATCGAACGGCACTACGATGGATGACGCGGGACAGTTGACGGCTAGGCGTCGCAGCTGTCCGTAATTTCCAGAGCGATAGGACACTATAAGGGGATGTCGCGCCAGCGGCCAACACTGATTATCTAACGATGGTGGGCTAGAAGTGACGGTAGAAATAGTTACGATTGAAAAGTATACGTGGTCTTTTGTCCGCCGCCGTGCAGGAGTAGTTGAAGACCGGGTATTGATCCAACGAAGACGCGATTCGCGTCACAGTGCGTCATTGAGGTAAGTACAAGCAGGTTCCGGTGTTCTTTTCCCGATTCAGACGATAAACAAACCAGAACATGGAGCAGAAGGCGTACAACGTCAAACCACGCGTACTTCGAATCTGTCGTACGAGCCCGCCTGGAAAACTTATCACTCGCTCTTCTGGTTCACGAACTTCCAGATGTGCGGTGCGTATCTGGTTCACGAACTTCCAGATGTGCGGTGCGTGCACGCGAATTCGAATCATCCCAACTGCCAGAAGTCGGAAGTTACTTGCTGCTTACTGATCGCAAATACCCGAAATCAGCGAAGAATACGTCTCTAGATCACGGAGACTGCAGAATAGTCGGAGGTGACGCGGTGACGTAGGGCGAAGGGCATCTCATCGTCAGAAGTACAAGATAGGAACGGCGTGAATGTTGAGACCTTTTTGAATGGCCGTGTATGTCTGTGTATGGGTCAAACATTCATCAGCTTACCGCTACTGCAAGACGGAAATAACTCCTGTACTTACCGTACGTAAAGTGTACCAGCGAATCAGGAAGAAACGATCATGTAGATGAGACCCCTCCGAGAGAGGATGCCATCTGTAGGTCCGTATAGTAAACGTGCCCGCTATCGCCTTGTATATTGCAGCCAGATACTAATCACGATGGATCACATAACTTCGAGGCAACCGCGTTTGAGTGCCAGCAGCCAGAGAGCAGCCAAGTCAAAGTGGGTTGCAGAAACAGAGTGCAAGCAAGAATATATCACGTACTTCGCGGATGCCGAACACCAGACTAAGCCGCCAGCGGACCGTTGGTCAATCAAGGGTGGACCTACAGAGTAGCTGATATATGGAGAAAAACGGGTTGTAGCAAACTCACAACATACCCGTTACCATTGTCCTCCCTCCAGGATTCCGTCGACACGCGGTTAAGAGACCGGCTGTTAATTCGCATCCAATATGTTTTCAGAACCACAGCGAAGCATCGGCACTGGCGAAGACAGACTTATCTTACCGAGTTTGTCGCTAGACGTGGCAGCGGGGCTAGTCTTATGAATTTGTTACACTGACCCTGCTTCAGTCATCCACAGGCTACCATTAGACAAATGACCGAACTTCCTAGGGTTCGAATAGTGCCTTCAAAAAGAAGCATCTGACTCGAAAATGCTGGCAGCGAAACTCGGGGAAGTCAGGACAATAAGTATGCACGATACGCTGCAGCGAGCCGAGACTGGCGAAGGCAAACATCGTGAAGGAGAGCGGCAAGTCGTCTGGACATTGACGGATATGGCGACGGAGACACCGGAAGATTGGCATCTCTCAAACCGGTGATGCGAATGGTTCATATAACTCTCAAGGGTAGAGCGTGTGATCAAAAGTGAGTACCCTGGTGCCACTTAGCAAAAAGCGAAATGTGCCACAAGGCGCTTGGGCCGTCACTCTGCCGGCAATGCTAGCAAACTAGGAACTGAGAATGGGAATGAAGCAAGCAGAAAACGTACCGCGGCGAGCTTGCTTGACGAATGGCTACATCTGTCGCTGCTGGATGGGTTGGACGTCTCGGATACTCGCAGTTACTGTTGTGCGTCATAGAGTAAATTCGGAGATTAGTCATTGTGAAGGTGACCGTCCTGTGAGTCTAAATGAGCATGCAAGTGTTTGCGGGTAGGAGGGGAGACAAACTCTCGCGTCCAAATGACACACGCGGGAGGTACATCGACAACGGTATCCATCTCAGGTACACGCTGCCAGAGATGTTCTCCCTGGGGGAAGGCAGCATCACAAAACGGTCACACAAGCATGCTTAGAACTACATCTGCTAACTCTGAAAGGACTGAGAATGACTGCATTTGGAGTCGCGGTGACGGTGGTGATGGATCGTTGTTACACGTAGCGCCAGCGGATCCGGAACCGATCTCCACTTCGATTCCAACAATAGGGCGGATTCTGACACTGCAGAAAAAATGGTGATGTGATTTTGGGGATTTCTGCTAAATTATAGATTATTGTCAGTAAGCGCACGCACGAGTATAAAGCCTTCGAGGAGACAAGGTGGCGCACCTCAATACGAGCTCACGCATTGACAGAATGGCTCCAAAAGTCTGGGTGGTCACTGGCGCGAATTCGGGCATAGGTCTCGCCCTCGTCCAGCATGTCCTCTCGCAGGGCGACAAGGTGGGCATCGCTGATACACATACTGCGGTAGCCTTAATGGTTGAGACCGCGGTGATACTAGGTTATTGCCACGGTCAGATCCATGGCCAAGTTTACCGACGGCTTGAAAGGGGCGGAACCGCTCATCCTTGACCTTAGCGGTCCCGACTACGAGATCCGCAAGGCTGGTGAAGCCGCCCTGAAGATCTACGGTCATGTCGACGTCGTCGTCAACAACGCTGGGTTCGGTGTCATTGCACCGGTAGAAGAGCTCGAGTAAGTTAATCCCCATATGCGCACTACAGAGCATTGACTCACTTTCTCGTGTGGACAGGATGGATGACGTCCGGAAACAGTTTCAGACCAATGTCTTCGGTGCCATCGTCTTCACGCAGGCTTTCCTTCCCCACTTCCGTGCGCGAAAGACCGGTCACATCCTGAATGTGACGTCGATCGGCGCTTTCAACAACCTCCCGCACTGGGGTGCCTACTCGGCCTCGAAAGCCGCCCTCGACGCGTTCTCTGAATCTCTCAGCTATGAAGTTGAGCCGTACAACATCCGCGTCCTTGCTATCATGCCCGGCTACTTCTCCACCAAGTTCTTCGGCGCATCTCCTTCCGTCGGGAAACTCTCGACGATCTACACCGATCCGAAGCAGGGGTATAACACGCTCGAGGCCATACCGAAGCGGCATGTGGAAACCAAGCAGATCGGTGACCCGGTGAAGCTGGGGCAGCGGGTGTACGATGTCGTCCACGGGACCGGGATGGCAAAGGGACTTGTGGAGAGCCAGGGTGGGAAGAGGGGTTGGATGCGTGTTCCTCTAGGCCCCGACTGCGGCGAGCCCATGCTTGCCAAGCTCAATACCGTGAAGGAGAATGTGGATGTGTTTGAGAAGATCTGGCGGTCGACTGATGTGGAGCCCGAGCAACTGAAGTTTTACCCCGACGGCTGAATATCGAACACTGTGCTGACCCGTTAGTTTCTAGCATCTGCAGTTGCGTCACGTAGATATTCTTGTAACATTCAGGCTGAGCGCTGAGCGGTGAGACAATCGACCGAGCGAGATGTTCAGCGATGTACAGATAGCTGGTTAGAAGCCAGGACAACCCAGCCTACAGCCTGAGACAGGGTATTATTGTTGAACGAACTCTGAAAGATGAGGAATCTCTGTCGGCAACTTGGTCGGCAAACAGCGAAAATACAAGTCACATGATCGCGTACGAGCACCCTTCAGAAGGACCCCCGCGAATCAACTAAGAGCTCCGATCCCGGCGACGACATTTCTCGGGGGTGGCCAACTACCCATTTTCGGGGGTTTGCACACAACCTGGCGGCAGGTCGGCCATTTTCGGGGGTATGTGGGATCGAACATTCGGCCGCCTAGAATTACGTTCGACGGCCGGCGGAACAAATTTTTCGCTTCCTGCGCGAAACCCAAGCTTTTGTCAACCAAATTACTAAAATTTTCCTCCTAAACCACCACATATGTCTGAATTCGAGGCCGATCCTCCGCAACCTGAGAGATCCGCCAGCCAACCTCAGTTTCCGGGGGTTCTGGACCTAACCTCAGGTTGGAGGGTTACATTTCGGGGGTGTTTCGCACCTAACTTTCGACGACTTTTTGGCCATTTTCGGGGGTCGAAGATCGAACATTTTGCCTCCGGCGGCCCATTTTTCGGGGATGGGTGCATCGGAGCTCTCAGTGGATTCGCGGGGGTCCTCCTTCAGAGCGTGACCGGCTCTCAGAATTTCCAGACTGAGATAACTCATATTTCTGTCTTAGTTCAGAGTGCGCCCTGTGCTCAATCCTCATTACATAGACCTGGATCTCGATTTAAATTCTGTTCCTGCTGCTCTTGAGAGGCTACAGAATTGATCCGGCATTCTGGACGGCACTACAGGATGGTTTGCAGAGCAGAAGCGAAGCGGGATTGTCGCTCATTCCAGGCACGTCGCATCGCGATATAGCGCACTTTGATATCAACATCCTCCGTGCGCAGAATCTCCCGCTATACACTCCTTCGCCCTGGGCAGGCGCTGACCGTCAATCTTTTTCTTCCTTTTTTTTGGGAGTAAGCGTCTCAAAACTTCTTTTCTTCGTGCTTTGATGTCGGAATTTCTTCGTTAAGATCGCGGGAATATCTCGAATGCACGAAATCGTCTGGCGGCGGCGCTCGATAGACTTTGTCCACGTCATGGCAGTGAAAATTTCAGCATTCAAATTTGCAAGGAAGAAAGTGCAGCCTCGCTTGCCGGTGCACAGTTTTACAAGTCAGACCATTGTGAGCATTTGAGATATCCCTATTTGCAATGTAGACACTGTTAGATCAATACAAACACGGGCAAGCACTTAAGTTATGTCAATACACCGAGTCCACCGAGCCCACTGCACCCAGCACCTCATTGCTTCTTCCCCGATGCCACCCTTCGCTCTATATTGTAAGCGGCGTGCAGGGACTCGGCGATGTCCTTGCCCAGGCGCAGGAGGATGAGTGACGGGACAATGATCCACGCACTGCACGATGCCTCCGCAATTAGGAACGTATATTCACCATTAGCCGAAGAGGCGTGCACGCACCCGTTGGGAATCACCCACAACACGATCAGATCCTTTAAGTTGTTGTGCCCAATTGAGCACCAGCTGCAATAGTACTCCTGCAGCCAGTACAGGAGTGTCTTGGACAGCGTCATGACCACGCTCGCGAACCCCACCAACGTCGCAACGGGGGTTCCGGATACGTGCGCAAGGTAGAGGTAGGTGATGTTCAGCAGGTTCTCGACGATGTTGAGGAGCGCTGCCGGGGGTCAGTCGGAGCGCCGAGAGTCGATGAATGAAGACTCTCACATTGTGCGTTTGGGAAGCCGTCGTGTTCCTCCCAGGCTCTGACGCCGTATACCTACAATTCGACCGGGGTGTGAGATGACGAGGTTGAGACGGGCGCGCATTGCGTACGAAGTCAATGTTCTGGTAGAGCCCGTACGGCCTCCAGATCCAGTGGAGGTCGCCACCCTCAAACGAACGTGGCCTGCCCAAAATGTGAGTGAATCCGGCCAGAGTAGAACGACCATAGGAAGTTGAACGCACCGGAAGAAGAGAAAGAGGGCATCCCAGAAAATGACTGGAATCGTGATCAAGAACCTGTGTGGTCCGTCAGTTGCAACTTCTCAAATCTCGACTCTAAACGCACCACAAAGATACCCAGGTGTACGTCTTGGCCGCCATCTCTCGCAGACGAGGTAGTGAAAGTGAAGGAACGACAGTTAATCGCGCCAGCGAAGTATCCACCCTTACAGGCAGATCGTGGGAAGGCACGACCTGCGTGTGCTCGACGAGCCCTTCAACTTCGCCTGGCGCGTTTAGCTCGTTGGCCTGCTCAGCCTCCTCGAAATAAAATCCCCAGCGTGGTCTCTCGCCCTCTGTCCACTGTTCACTCTTCCATCGCGCGTGCAAGTTCTGGCGCGAGCGTGCTCGACGAGCAGACGCGTCTCTCCGCTGCTGCTTCTCGAAAAACTCGAACCGGTCGTAGTACGAGAATATTAAGCAGAATGTTGATGCAATAAACCCATCGGGTTAGTCAGTGAAGAGATTCAAGGCGGGAAAACCGATGTTTCAAGCTGGAGGAATAAGTGTGTCTTCGCGCGGTCTTGATAATTTTCCCTCGGCATTCCGAGGCGTTTATGAGCAAGCCCGGGCCGGGAGGTCTGGAGACGCCTTGTGGCGCTCAGGCCTCAGGTTCTTATGTGAGAGATAAGATTAGATTGGGCCAATATCACCATCGCTCGTGTCTAAGCTCGTTCACCTCCTTGACTTTCCACCACCACCACCAGACATCATGCCTCGCCAATTCTTCGTAGGAGGAAACTTCAAGATGAACCCCGCCACGCGGGAGGCGAAGCGGTCGCTCGTGAAGATCTTGAACGATGCGACCATTGATCCTGCTGTCGGTGCGTCTCAGACCTCATCGGAGAGGACAGCTCAATCGCATGCTGATCTATCTCAGAGGTCGTTATCGCGCCCCCGTCGATCTATCTACTCTCCTTGGCGGAGGGCGTCCGGAAGGACATCAAAGTATCCGCGCAGAACTGCTACTCCAAGCCGAGCGGCGCATTCACGGGTGAAATTAGGTGCGCCATCAACTTCCGCGTCTTCTCAGTTTCTACCATAGCTGCGGCTGAAAACACACCAGCCCCGCGCAGCTCGTCGATGCGGGCATCCCATATGTGATCCTCGGTACGCTGCACGTCCGGACTACCGCGTCCGATTCAGCTTGACCCAGGGCTCAGGACATTCCGAGCGCCGGACGCTCTTCCACGAGACTTCTGCGCTAGTCGCGCAGAAGACGCAAGCCGCGCTCGCCGCTGGTCTCTCCGTCATCCTTTGCGTTGGCGAGACGCTCCAGGAGCGCGAGGCAGGCAAGACCGCACAGGTTGTGGAGGACCAGCTCAAGCCCGTCGTAGAGACCCTGAAGGAGGCTGATTGGAGGTGTGTGCCCAACTTCTTCGTTCTAGGGTGGTCACTTTTATTGGCATTTGCGCCCTATAGCAAGATCGTGATCGCGTATGAACCTGTATGGGCCATCGGCACAGGCAAAGTTGCGACGTCTGCGCAGGCGCAAGCAGCACACGCCGACATTCGTGCGTTCCTCGCCAAGGCGGCGTCTCCCGCCGTCGCCGAGAACACGCGCATCATCTACGGTGGCAGCGTCACCGCGGCGAATTCCAAAGAACTGAGTAAGTCTCGACTCAAATGTAGTACATCCGATGTATCTGAACGATAACAGGCACTCAGAAAGATGTCGACGGCTTCCTTGTGGGCGGCGCCTCGTTGAAGCCCGAGTTCATCGACATCATCAACGCGAAGAAGGCATGAAGCGTGGCAAGTGCTCTGATAGATGTAGGTGTAGAAAGTGTGGATCAACGTGAGGTGTAGAAAGTGTGGATCAACGTGAAGTGTATACAGTATTTGCATGTAGAAGACTAACAATGCGAACATGAACAAACTTAACTCAGCTTGCAGACTTCTGGGGGGCTGCTGCGAAGGGGTCACGAACGCAAAATCCCAGCACCTGCACATGATCACATCTTCCACTAAACATCAGGCTACTGTACATCTGTATCCAACACTAATTACAGCAATGACGCCCAGGTTCGGACAACCTTACGCATACTTTTTGGCTGACTGCCGGCCAAGTTTGACAAAGCGCCTTCGACATAGCCAATCACAAAGCACAACCGCCAACCGCCAAATGTTCAAGGCAAGCAACCCAGCTCACGGCTCCGCCCGCATCTCGCGCAGATCCGTCATCTCAATATGAGAGAGCTCCGTCCTGTCCCAGAAGTCGATGTTCGCCTCGCGGTGGTGCGCATGTATGTGCGGGTGAGGGGACGGCCGTGCATGCGGGCGCGGGGGTGAGTGAGCGAAGTCGAGACGGTGGGCCGAGGGGGCCGTCATGGTTGTGAGCGAGTCGTCGTAGTCGTGCCGGATCATGCCGCGCACATTGAGGCACAGGCGGTTCCCCAGCACACACGAGAGCGCAACCGCAAACCCAATAGGTACCTCGACCTCGTTGGACTAGAGCGGACGATGTTTTAGCGAAAGTGATGATGGGAGCGAAGAGGTGGCGCACCGTTCCGACGATGAAGACGATGGCGTTGACTAGGTATGTTGCGAACATGCTGCAGCACAGGAGTAGAGTTAAGTGAGTTCTTTTAGGAATTGCGACAGTCGCTCAGCAAAGAGGACGCACACCACGAAGTAAAAGACGGAGTCACGGATGAGGACCTCCACCAAGCGTTTCCCCGTGCGGAAGAGTGTTCCCCCATAGTAGTTCTCGAACCCCCGGTAAAGCGCCAGGACGCACAGCACGCTCTCGGACACGAGCATCGGTACCCAAAACGTCCAGAAGTGGTGCGACACCCCAGTCGCCACGCAGAACTTGATGCCCGGGATGGCGTCGGAAGACGCTGTGAATGTCGACTTGTGAATGAACGTGACTACAGAGGGGTGATGAAGGAAGTACCCGAGATGCCGGACAACACCCATCCCATCACTACCGCGGAAAACGCAGTTGCGATGATGCAGGTAGACGCCATGATGATCAGCACCTTCTTGCTGAAGAAATACAGCGCATACAGACGCAGCTGCAGGATCACTGAAACGCGTCATGGTGAGTATGAAATTCGAGACACGGACATTATTCGCAAGGAGCTCACTCTCAGCAAGGACGAATGTCACGACCCCCGTCCAGCCTTGCCATTTGTACCAGTGTAGACCTGCAAAGAAAAATCTCAGTAATTATCGACAGATGAAGCTGCGGCACGCATACAACTGTAACGTAGTTGTTGACCACTTCGTCAAAAGCAGCACGTTAGCAAAGGTTATGACGTACAGCTGCAGAAAAGGGTTACTCGGAACACTGCATTGCATTGTCACGACAACTTACTGAATCGGTGATAGATGGGCTGAACAGAGCTAGATAGAAACGAGAACAGAGTTACAACGTAGCCGAGCGTATTGCTCGAAAATAACGCACCGTAATTGTTGAAACTGACAGGGAGAAAACTGTGTCAAAAATCTGACCAAAGGATGATCAGAGACACGTACAACACCGATACAAGTGCGTAATACCGGTTCTGGATACGATGAGTACAATTAACAATTACAACGTGGCACAGTCCGGTTCACAACTCACAACGAGGAAAAGACACTTCCCCAGGGACAGCGACGAATTCTGGCAGTGCGCAATCAGCGGTCTTGCGTTTTGCGTTATAACAGGAAGATCCAGTAAACAAACCCAGATGAGTTCAAGCTACAGGGCGAAGACGTCAGTAATGACCGAGATTCACAACGCAGAGGCCTACTTCATCATTAAACGTGATGACTACGCGACTTCGAGTGAGCGTGCAACTTGAGCAGAGCCTGAGGAACACGTACGGTGGTCGTACACAATGATCATGCTGGACGCCACTATAGCGAACGAAATTTAGTTGAAGGGAGCATTCTGGAGCTAGAACACACGTACGCTCGCTGTACCGAATTATACGAATGTCATGTAGAGCTCCGGTTAGTTCAGTAAGCGACATCTACTGAAAAGTAAGGAGCGTGGATGGAGGACAGACAGAAGGGCAATACGACGGCCGCGATCAGGGAAGGAGAGAGGCGTCCTGAGAAATATATAATAGGACGTCCCAGTGACCATATACACTCGAAGTCGATCGTGCGTTTCCATAGAACACATTATTTCATCCGCGAACAGCGGAGAAGTTGGGTCATTTGCGCGGCGCGCGTGGGTCGAGGTGCGCATGGGGCCAAATCTCTGTCTCTTGAGACGCCCGACCCGGAAGTCTGTCGAAAGCTCTGGCAGACAAGCTGCGCGATACAAACGCGACAGCTTGGAAGAATAAAATATATGGCTTGGAAGTCGACTCGTGACGTGTCGTTCTATCTCTCGGCGAGCAACATATCTGACAATCGACAGTCGGACGAGAGGGCGGACCTGTGCGGACCTTTTACACAAAATGAAATCGATCGGAGGAAGCGCAAAACGGTCGATGTATCCTGCCGCGTGTCAGAATATTGCTTATTCGAGGATAAGGCCCAGAAGGCGGTCTCCCGCGTAATTGTTCCGCCAGGGAGTCCTCCCCTTTATTCGACCTCGTACAGGTAAGTGAACGCACAGTATCCGGGTTCTACGTTCTCACATACAAACTTAGCTGCCGGGTCCGAGCACCACCACAAAAACATTCGGAACCTGTCACGGTCTTAGTCATCGCCGGTATCCTGACAGAGCTTACTGGACGTGGGTGCAGAGAGGGCTGGAGCAGGAGAATGCAGAGCAGAAGCATTTCGAACGCCAGAGCTTCAAGCTCAAGTTCCATACCGATTCTCCTCTCGGACCTGCATTGGGGGGGGGGGGTGCAAAATACCTTTCAAAATTCGTGTTCACCCACAGCGGTTCCGTCGGGCGCAAAGGCACAGGGGGAAACACAAAAAATCGAACCTCAAATTCATGCCAGCCGCTGGATTCCGGTGGGTCCATGGGAATTCGGAGGAGCTGCGGAAACAAAAGGCACCAGTGCATGTGCAGCAAATACATGCGATGGCGTGTTCTCCGGCTTCCACCCTCCGTGTTTTCACCGCACAGCGTCTGTCGGGTCGACTTCTGGAGTGAGGGCTGGATAGAGAGCTGTCACCGCCCAGTGACGAGTTATACTCGGTAGCAGCGAACTTGAGGGACACCAGGAAATTCGCTGTTCACATACGTCGTACGCGAATTGAAGCAGACTGGACTCCTGCACCGTGCAAGTGGCGCTCGCAGGAGAATATCACCGTGGAAAATGGGTCCCGCTGCATCGAGGATATCCGTGAGTCCATGTTTCCCAGCAGGGAGTCGTTATCAGTGTTACCAGCATCAAGCAGACCAGATGCGATAGCCATCGCTCGATCAGCCTGGCAGGGAAAGAACATCCGTCAGTCAGACTGTCACAAGGCGATGGCGCAGTAGTCTGGGTGACGGAGGGGTAACGACGAACAGTCAAACGGGTGGAGTAGACATGAGTTCTTCGAGCGCGCAGCAGTCAGCCTTTGAATAGAGTTGAACTCTGAATGAAAGAGCATGTTAAACAGTGAATTGTTCGCTGGTGCGCCGAGACGCACAGTGAGCAATCTATGGCGCTCCAGCTTCAGTACAGTGTAGTAGCCAGCCGTGCCGAACGAAAGCGAACGTAATGAGTAGCATTGCTCCAGCTCGTTTGGTCTTCAAGCGAAACTACGAGAATCCGAATTCTGCAGAGCACCAACTAGAGATATTCCTCGCCGGTTGCGAGTGAAGAACATCGAGCTTCGGATGGGGTCGCGGCACGGCAAATCATCAGCCAAGCTCGCTGGCATATCAAGGATAATTCTCGAACGTTGGATAAATTGTCCGCAAGCAGGGCAACGCAGCCGGCCGCGAAAGCGGATCGAGAAACGGGAAGGTGTCCTAAAGTACGAAGGCCGCGATCTAGCAAATGTGAGTACGTTGATCCCAGCGCGACAGTGGCAAGTTGATCCGAAAAACATTTTCGGAGCAGGACGATAGTAATCGAAGAGTCGGTGTCGGATTACAGAGCAGCGAGCGGGAGTCTGAAGCTCGAGGAGAGGGTGGGGGTGCGTTAGGCTCGTTAACCAGCCTCTAGTATATAGGAAGGAGTCGTTCCTCTATATGGAGGGGTGCGTACAAAACAGTCAGTACTTCCGCACCTACATCAAAAGACCATGCACACGAGCCACTGGCAGATGGTCGACCGTGACGAGCCGCCAACGCCCTCTCTGCGGAATCCAGAGACAACAAATTCAATACAATCGAATTATAGCCCCGCTAGTTACCAATTACATGCGACTTGTACCCTCGGTACAAATACCCTTACACTGGGAATACGATACTAATCCCTGCGTCTACGTAGTATGGTATGTAGAGGGTCTTGTACCGAGCTTACGATGTGATGTCTACGAAGTACACCACCAATTGAGACCAAATATCATCACCTGGTGCTGGGCGTGCATTTGGCACCGGCACTTCTGGTGCGAAATACTGCTCGCGCTGGCATTGCTGGTGCGAATTCCTGGGTCTGCGCGTTTCGCTCCGGCAGTGCTGACTAGTCTCCCAAAGGCAGTTGTAGCCACTCTGCTTCAACCTTCGTGCCTCGGATATCCGTGTCTGACGTCTGCTATCTATAGGGGGGGTCTTACTAAGAGGTCCATTGCGGGTAGTGATTGCCGATCCGGCACATCATGTGCTCCCACGACGCGTCCGTAAATCGCGTCGCGTTTCTGTCCCTTCAATGTCCCCCTTCACCTGTTCTGCCATCGTATGTCATCCCGACGTGCATGTGTATGAGTTAACACTTTTTCTGTGTTCGCGGCTATGTTGTATGCTCTATGGTAATCCAAGCAGCCTGAGATTTCCTGTGATCAGTCTCCTACACAAAAATCTCTACACCTTCTCTATCACCAACTCTAGCAGATACAATCTTGCTATCACCTGTGCATTACCACACACCACCGCGCATGCCAGGTGGGGAGAATGCAGTGAAGAATAACCGCAGAAAGTCTTCAGCAGACATGTTGGTATAAGGTACATCACGTGATATCACCAAAATTTGCGACTCAGTGTTATCAAACACTAGTAAAATTACAGCTCCGTCTAAATTGTCCGACCTCTCGACAAGGAGGCGCGTCAGAACCTAGACTAGTGCTGACGCGAGATTCAAGCATGGAGGTACATAAGTATACACGGGCATGAAACTACGCACTGCTCTACGCCGCCCTCCCTGCCCCGGTCGTTGCCCCTCTCGCTGCCAGCCTAGCTGTAGCCCGCCTCGCCACCGCGTTCCTCGCTGTCGTGTTCCTTGCCGTTGCCCTCCTCGTGGTCCCACACAATGCGGTTCCCGGAGTTGTAAAGCGATGCCCAGGCCCTCTGGTGCGCCGTTCGCGCGTGGGAGGAAACTTGAATCGAGAGCGGCAAGAACGAGGACCTACAACCCTGGGAGCTCGGACCAGGGCATGTACTGTTTGTTGCACGGCGGGAACTCGAACTAGCGAGTTACGTCGCGCGTCCGCGGCACGCCGGCCTTCGTCATACACGGTACGTGTTATTGCCAGCGCCGTCCTGTGTAGAATCACTAGTACTGAGGCAACAATATTCAATAAAAACATGGATTCCTGTGCCTACTTCAAAGAAGGAATTGCTCGTCTGGCGGTGTATGCTTGTATAGGTAGAAGCACGTAACTCTATGCCCTGGATTGCAGTTCTGATACATAGACCGCTCGATGAAGAACGTCGGAAGATATGTGTCTTGTATGAGGAGATGTAGACTAGAGGAGGCGATCAGTGCCGCTGACATTGACATATGCATACCTCATCTATGGAGAAACGGTACTTGTCCGTCTTGATTTTCAAGTGCACGACCGCAGAATCATCTATACATAAGGCCGCTATATTGGTCAGATCATACCAGGCTTCTCTACCGAGTTTAAGACAACGACTTCCTCCCATGCAGACGACTTACATCTGTTTACGGCTCGAGTACGAATGCTCTGCACGAGGCTATGGGTTGATACCTATCAACAAAGGGAGGCTTGGCAGCTCTCTATTGCAGATTACAATCTGTATAGAGCCATTGTTTGCCGGATTTCGAACCGCGCAGCTCTGGACGACTGGTTCCAGTCAAACTGCCACCGACGTCCGCGCCCGCTTGGATTATAAATCCGTCGACGTTGTCTACTAGGTATAAACCTCAGAATGTGCAATCGTGAATGCGAAAAGTGCCCCCGGACCGGGTATGACTCTAGGGACGACAGATATTTTACGGCAGATGGACCATCTGCAGATCACAACACATCGCGTCAGGGTTGAGCCGCCGCCTCCCGACCTCTAGGGCACTTCCGAATCAGCAAATATTGTATTCTGATGCCTCAACAACCCCTCGCTAATAAACATGCGAGCGGTTACATAGGAACCAGGAAACTTGCTATAATGGTCAGATTCACATAGGCGTCGGAGATGAATGCAGCTGCGCAGTTTTCGTATAAAGACCCTGGCTCCTCTGGCGGTGGACCACTTTTCTACTAACACAGTACCCATGTCTTCGAAAGTGTGGCTCATCACCGGCGCGAGCTCTGGTATTGGTCTTGCCATCGCCAAATATGTCCTTTCCCAAGGCGATAAGGTAGCTTGGACGTATCGACTCTCCGAACTTGAAGGTGCTGATTGAGAAGTTCCGCCACAGGTCATCGTTACTGTCAGATCCCTGTCGAAGTTGCCTGAGGAACTGAAGGGTACCGAGGCTCTTGCGCTCGATCTCAATGCTTCCGATGATGAGATTCGCAAGGTTGGCGAGGCGGCATTGAAGATATATGGGCACATCGACGTGTTAATCAACAACGCTGGCTATGGCCTGGCGGGGCCAGTGGAGGAACTGAAGTGAGGGGTGTGCTCCATTCCGACTTGTGATTCCACTTACCTATCCCACAGGATGGAGGATATCCGGACCCAATTCCAGACGAACGTGTTCAGCGTGATCGCGCTGACGCAGGTGCTGCTACCCCACTTCCGCGCAAGGAAGTCGGGTCACATCATCAACATATCCACCGTTTCGGCGTACTGGAACTACCCCAGTTGGGGCGCATATTCCGCGTCGAAGGCCGCGATCGACGCGTTCTCCGAGACACTCAGCTACGAACTCGAGCCGTACGGGATCCGTGTGCTCGTTTTCTTCCCCGGTTACTTCCCCACCAAATTCTTCTCCCAACCGCGCGCGGCGGAGGTGGACTCGACCGTGTACACAGACCCGATGCAGGGATACCAGTCGCGTTCGGCCATCCCAAAGGGACGTTACGAGGGCGGGCAGATTGGTGACGTGGACAAATTTGCGCAGCGGACGTACGAGATCGTGCACGGAACAGGGTTGGCGGAGGGGCTCGTGGAGGGTCAGGGTGGGAAGCGGTCGTGGATGCGCGTGCCCTTGGGCAGCGACTGCAGCGAGCTCATGCTTCAGAAGATGGACAGTGTGAAAGAGAACATCGTCGCGGTCGAGAGGATCACGAGGTCGACTGACGTTGAGGCGGATAGACTGAAGGAGTTTGCAGTGTAGAGTCGAAGGTTCTGGTGGCATCGATTCCAACCCTTTTCTGGCTTCCTCGGTGGAGGCCCCGCACCTTGCGAGTATGTACCTACAATGTGTTCACAAGACGACCATATCTTCATGCCAGCCTCAGTGCGAGTAAGTAGAAAATTATAAGGAATTTGTATAAGTCACACGAGAGTCCTGCAGTATCATGCATGACAGGCAGCGACAGCGTTCAAGTTGTCACTAGCAATAGCATGCATGTCACTGCGGATCCGGGGCGTGAATGAATAGCCGGCAAAAGTCGCAGACTTCATCGAGTAAGTTCAAAGGGAGTCGAAGCACTTACTTGGACCTACAGCGAGCAAGAGGATTAGCATGAGTTAGTGTGGTGAAACCTCCGCCTTCGTCCTCACGCGCTCCCTCATTGGTGAACTCTATATGGCATGACGCCCAGGCGAGCAGAAGCACTTATTCCTGGTGCAGCGGGTGGAGAGACAGGGTGGAAGGATTGGATGCGTGCGGGTTCCGTTGACCCCGACTGTGGCGAGGCCGTACTGGCCAAGGCCAACACCGTAAGGGAGAACGTGGAAATATTTGAGAAGATTTGAGGTTGACTGTTGTTGAGCCAGACCGGTTGAAACAAGAGCACCTCCGTAGCTTTTATTAGCGAAATTTTCAATGACACCGTACCATAGAAGTTGATAACTTACAATCAGGCACTGACACGAGCGACACAATTCATCAGTCGAAAATGAATCCGTCCGTCACAGTCCGATTCATGGACAGTGAATTCTGTCTGATTTTACGAAGAGACCGGATCCTATACACGTATCCCGGATAGTATTGTAGGACATGAAGAACTGGCGACTGGGAACGTCACAAGTCACGAGATCGCGTCCGTCACGCTCAGAAATTGGGCAAGGAGTTATACACGACACAATTGAAGAAATCATCAGGCGGTTCGATAGTGTCACGAGGGAAATCAATAATGGGTTGCAGTAGTAGACATACCTAGTGTTATCTCACGCAATGGCAGCGGTGCCGGTGCCGGTGTTCCACTTTGATATCATTTATAGAGTGGATGTCTTACGGTGAGAATTGTGTCCGAGACAATTGGTGAAAGTTTACCCCTACTGGATATTGTAAGCGAACGAAAGCGCACATGGATATAAAGGGTTCGAGGAGGCGAAGTTCGATACGCACCCCACTGTCAGCCCGTACGACTCAAACAGAATGACGCCCAAAGTTTGGGTGATCACTGGTGCGAATTCAGGCATAGGTCTCGCCCTCGCTCAGCATGTCCTCTCGCAAGGCGACAGGGTGAGCATCGAGACCGCACACTGATCGCCTCAGCTTTTCTGACCGCTTTAACGAAGGTCATCGCTACAGTCAGGTCGAAGGCCAAAGTTACTGACAGCTTGAAAGGCGCTGAGTCGCTTGTCCTTGACCTGAACGGTCCAGACTCGGAGATCCGCAAGGCTGGCGAAGCGGCCCTGAAGATATACGGCCACGTGGACGTCCTTGTCAACAACGCGGGATTTGGCGTCATCGGCCCAGTGGAAGAGCTAGAGTGAGAAGTCTGTTACATTCAGTGTGGATCGCGAAGTCGATGTATTGTCATAACCAGTATAGATGACGTACGGAAGCAATTCCAGACGAACGTCTTCGGCGCCATCGCCTTCACGCAGGCATTCCTCCCCCACTTTCGCGAGCGCAGATCAGGACACATCCTGAATGTAACGTCCGTCGGTGCTTTCTGTAACCGCCCTCACTGGGGTGCCTACGCAGCCTCGAAAGCCGCATTCGACGCGTTCTCTGAGTCTCTCAGCTACGAGGTCGAGCCGTACAATGTCCGCGTCCTCGTCATCATGCCCGGCTACTTCTCCACCAGGTTCTTCGGAGCGTCTCCTTCTGTCGGGAAGCTCTCGACAGTCTACACCGCTCCCGAGCAGGGGTACAACTCTCTCGAAGTTACCCCGAAGAAGCATGTGGAAAGCAAGCAGATCGGCGACCCGGAGAAGCTGGCGCAGCGGGTATATGAGGTCGTCCACGAGACCGGGATGGCGAAGGGGCTCATGGAAAGCCAAGGCGGGAAGAGGGGTTGGATGCGCGTGCTGTTGGGTCCTGACGGTGGCGAGCGCATTTTTGCCAAGCTTGATGCAGTGAAGGAGAATGTGGAGGTATTTGAGAAAATCTGGAGGTCGACTGATGTGGAACCAGAGCGACTGAAGTTCTACCCCGATGGCTAAGTCCCATCGTGATTGTGGGCTTTGGAAGTGGATGTCAATTGCATCCATGAACTTACCCAGCACTGAAAGGTGGAAATAAGTCTTGTACTTTCGGGACGTGTATTGTAGCAGCGAATCATAGAAAAGAGATGAGCTAACTCGCTACTGGAGATCTTGCTGCGAATACAAGAGGGACCATGAGAATTAAGGTTCGCACGAGTAGATAAATCACGAGAACGAGTGATATGTCGCACATACTGGAAAAAAGATCGCCACGAGAGAATGCTAAGTGGTCTGTACGTCAGCGTTGAGAGCTCTACCCTGAAAAGGAAAATATCAGTTATTTGGAAAGTTAATTGGTATATCACTGCTATAAAGCCTGCGTAATTGTCCTATGCAGAAGACTCGGCCAGCGTGCATATGACATCCTCTTTTCACAAAGGAAGAGACGTGACAAACGCTTCATTTCAGAGCCAGCCCAGCAGCCATCGAGCAGTCAGGCCAGCAATTGCGGAATTTGGAATCTAAGGAAGTAATTTGAAAAAACGTACCATGTACTTCGCAGGTGCCGAACACCGGACCGAGCTGCTAGCGAACCGTCAATCGTCTCAAAGATGTGACCCAGGAATAATTCCACAGTTCACTGACACAAGTGATTAGAAGGATACTGAAGAGAACTAAGGTAAACTCACCAATACCTCGCTAGACCGTGCCGCAAATCAGGACAGGGAGCGGTCGGCATGCGTGGCAGAGTGTGGTGCGCTAGCTAGTGTTAATGTAGTGAAGGACAACAGCAACTACAAAACTGGATGTCGACTGATATGACGCCGGGGAGAGATATTGGCAGGTGAGCATTTCCGAGTCTCCGAGCGCTGATATGAAGTAAGTTGCGCCGTGATTCCTGTGAGTTTACGGCAAGAAGTCCACTATATCCAGATCAGAACGATGGAACACCACAATGCGATGTCTTTGCGTCAGCCGCCATCACTGATTATCTGAGAGATGATGAGCCAGAACTGGTGGAGGAAGCAATTGTCGAAAAGAAAGCACATGGCGTCATGTTCACAGCCGCTGCACCAAATAACGGTCGAACAAAGCTGTCAACTTCTCGCCCATGCGCCAAAGTCATTGAGGCACAGGTACAATGGGGGCTCGCAAGACGATCGTCCGTTGTCTGGGAAGAGAGGCCAAGCATCTTCCAGATGGCAATAAACAAATCAAAACGCCGAAAAGAACACGTATAGCCTCATGCCATGCACACTTCGAATTTGTCGCTCGGAAAACGTATTACTCACTCTGCTGGTCCGTCCGTTTCCAGATGTGCGTACGAAGGCGCGAGCATGCGAATTCGAATCACACCAAGTGCAAGTCGGAACGGAACCTGATATCGATCTGCTAATTCCGAACACCAAAAGACGTTCAGCGCCAACGTATCCCACAATGGACTGCGTCTGGAGTCGGCGGTGACGTATGACGAAGAACTCATCTTATCGCCAGAAGTACAGGACTCGGACATGGCAACGGCCGGACGAATTCCCGTAAAATAACCGCTCGGAGGCCTATAAAACTTGGGGGAACGAGATCGAGCTACCAAGCGTGCAGACTCAACAAAATGTCTCCCAAAGTCTGGGTGATCACTGGCGCAAATTCGGGCATTGGCCTCGCCCTGGCTCAGTATGTACTCTCACAAGGTGACAAGGTGAGTACAACGGTCACTGAAGCAGCGACAGGCTTTCTGACCATCGAATCGCAGGTCATCGCGACGGTCAGGTCCATGGCCAAATTCACTGACAGCCTGAAAGGCGCTGAGCCGCTCATCCTCGACCTTAATGCGCCCGACGCCGAAATTCGCCAGGCCGGAGAAGCGGCGCTGAAAGTCTATGGCCATGTCGACGTCCTCGTCAACAATGCAGCGTTCGGCGTTGTCGGTCCAGTGGAAGAGTTAGAGTAAGGGCATCCTCTAGTGTATTCAGTGTGGGATGTGCACTCACTCATTCGTGGCGACCAGCATGGAAGACGTACGGAAGCAATTCCAGACGAACGTCTTCGGCACCATCGCCTTCACGCAGGCGTTCCTCCCCCACTTCCGCGAGCGTAAATCAGGACACATTCTGAATGTAACGTCTCTCGGCGCCTTCTACAACCTTCCGCAATGGGGTGCCTACCACGGGTCGAAGGCCGCGCTCGATGCCTTCTCTGAGTCGCTCAGCTACGAAGTGGAGCCGTACAACATCCGCGTCCTCGTCATCATGCCAGGTCACTTCTCCACCAAGTTCTTTGGCGCCTCGCTGCCCCTCGGGAAGACGTCGACGATCTACACCGACCTGAAGCAGGGATACAACACGCTCGCGGAGCTCCCTAAGGCGCACGTCGCCGGAAAGCAGATTGGCGATGTCGCGAAGTTGGCGCAGAGGGTATACGAGGTCGTGTATGGTACGGGACTCGCAAAGGGGCTGGTGGAGAGCCAGGGCGGTAAGAGGTCGTGGATGCGCGTGCCTTTAGGTCCCGACGCCGGCGAGTACACCCTAGAAAAGCTCGCTGCGGTGAAAGAAAATGTGGAGGTGTTCGAAAAGATTTGGCGGTCCACTGACGTAGAACCGGAGCGACTCAAGTTCTATCCCGATGGCTAGAAATCTCGTGGATTTGCTGCTTCCTAGAAAGAATTCCGAGTAGACAATCTTGAAACATACGCATGACCGTTGATGGGCACACTCAGAAGTAATCAATTGGTCAACTATAGCTAGGCAGAGTGCGGTAAGATAGGTAGGAGCAAGAGCTGAGTTTAGTATCGTAGCTATTATCTACCAGAAGGGGAACTTCCCACGGTCCACACGCCCCCCGGCCCCACATTAATTTACAGCTGGTTTTTGCATTAGATTTCAACTGCGACACTGAACAAGGCTCCGCTCACCCCAGACTATATGGTTTCTTAGGTGGAAATAATTCTCGGCCTCTTGACAGCCCCTCAAGACACGACCCACGTGACCGCACCATCGACTTGATGATCCTGGTGTTCTATCTGTACATGTATGCTCTATACTTCTATCGTGTCCTTCTCACTCACCGTTACTTCACTTCGACGAACGCCCGATAGGCAACCAGTCCATTCGCACCCGCTATAATCTGCGCCTCAGCCCCTGCAGCGACGAACAGCACGTCGCCCTCCGCGACCTGGACGCGCTGGCCGTCCGACTCGACCTCACCGGCACCCTCAGTGACGATAGCGATGCTCGGGCCATCGATCGCGCGGTGCGCTTCTGCCGCACCAGTGGGGAGCACGACGCGCAGGACAGAAAATTCGGGGATCGGCGGATCGTAGAGCGTGGTATGTGTGGTATTGTCGAAGGACGCGGGCTTGACGAGGTGCCGGCTCGCGTCCGCCGCGCGATATGTCAGGCCGGACACCAGGTTTGGGATGTCCCTTAGCTTGGGGGTCAACCCCGCGCGGATGACATTGTCGGACGTCGCCATGCACTCGACGATGTCTGCAAGGGGTGAGAGTGAGTTTATTATGTTGGTGGAGCACAACGAGCACGCACCACCGGACACATATGCGTGGGGTTCTCCTGCCGCGAGGAAGATCGCGTCGCCGGGATTCATGCTCACGTGGTTGAGCATGAATGCGCAGAACACGCCAATATCCCCGGGAAACTGGCTGTTCAGCCGCAAAACGAGATCCTTTACGCCGCTCTCCGCTGGCAGTGCCCTACCAGCTTCGTACCGCTGCACGAGCTTCGCCAACTGCGCCTGGAACTCGACCTCTGTTGCGGTCATTACAGCGGAGAATACGTCTCGCAATGCAGCCTTCTCACAGGGTCCGGTGGGGTTTGACGAAGATGCGACGGAGAGGAATTTGTCAACGGTCGCCTGTGGAATGAGCGCTGCGAACTCCGGCGTAGACAAGAGATATGTCGCAGTTTTCTGAAGGGGCAGGAATCCGCACATTGCGGTGAAGGGGGTGAGAGCTAGCGCCATCTCCGGCTTGTGGTTCGCGTCTACGCGATGTGCGGAGATGAGTTCATGAACTAAGACTATCACGGGGCAACCCCACCTTTGTACACATCGGGCCGTTCCCTGTGCAATTCCTCAGCCATCTTCTTGTCAGGGTGCGTCTGAATGCTCAGCGCTTTCCCGATGGCGAGCACCTTTAACAGGAACGGGATGTTGCCCTCCGCCGCGCCCGCATCTCGGAATCGCTCGATGACAGTGCCACCAATCAGCTCTGGGTTAGCGGCGAGGTAGTGGGCGAGTGTCTCGTTGGTATCAGACGCGAGCAGGCGAGAGGGGCCGCTAGGGTGTGTCCCCATCCACAACTTCGCAAGCGTGTGAGCATACGGATGGTGCATAACACTTTAGACTCACCTCCGCATAGGGGGCTTTCTCATCCAGCGTAAATCCGGGAATCTTCGAGGCTGCAGCATACTGTGCGACCTTGGACGACAGCCCGATCTTCCCCCAGTCGTACTTCTGTGTCGTCGGGACGATCTTGAATACTTTGGCCATCTCGGCAAGCAGCGCAGAAATTATCGGTGTACAGGTGGGCGTTCAGGTGAAGGCGCTGTCGGGAGATCCAGCCAGGAGACTTAGGGGAATGATCAGCACTTTGTACCCATGCGGAACGACCTCGGACTCAAGGGAAAAAAACACTGAGCTCGGTTTCAATTGATCCTTGCAGCAGTGGGTGTTCGGTGAAGTCCTCAAATTAGAATTTCAGGAGAAACTGGTAGACCGTCGGTAGTCACTTGAGATCACAGGAGGTTCGTGGTAGGTAACTGGCACACACAAGGGCTAGCGCTGATCGACACGACCGCATTGCAAGTGGATCAATTTCTGTGACAAATTACAACATGCATACGTTCTACGACATAGGTGAATACAGAATGATTGCAATGTTACACTAGACAGGTATACATAAAAAACAGCGGGTAAAGCTTGCCACAATCTAAAAGAGACAACAGGGTGCAGGTATCGAAAGTCCCAGAGCTTGAGTCCAATAAATCTAAAGCGAAAAACACACGACTCTGTCATGAAGGGAGTAACCGCTCCTCCTCACGCACGGTCCGTATCCATATTTCACCTGGGCGACTGCCATGAGATGGTTCACGGTGAATGTCAGTTCAAAACATATCGTGGAGTAAGATCACATACCTTCGTTCCCGCAGGATCCGGAAAACGAGACTCCTATGGTCCTTTGGGGGCCTGTGCACGTGTGGACTTGCGCCCACAGCTCTTGGCGGGAAGGCGCCTTTGCAACGCGCCTGTAGGTCTGCCAAGCCCTCGTTCGTCCCCTCTGCCTCAACCACGACGGTGCCGTACCAGCCGGGGTCGACGACCCACGCGCCATGAGCTGCCGGCCCTGGGCCAACGGTAGGCGGGACAGGTATGCGAATCAGCTTGGCAGGTGGAGGCTGGCGGATGACGAACGACGATCGGTGCACCCAGCGCATGACTGTGTGGTAGCTCCCCTGGGGCCTGAACACGACAGATTAATATACTTGGGCAAGTAGAGAAATCGGACACCTACGTCTCCGTCTTCACCTTATCCTGCATGAGCTGCAGGTTGGACGCGATCTCCTCTCCCCAGGGTGAGATGTCAACGTAACAGATGGGGTTGCCGCTCCCCACGGACCTGATCACTCGATGAAAGTACGATGGCGGAAACGCGAGCGTTGGCAGGTAGTGCGGTACCTCTCCTATGCGCGAGAACGTGTAGTTCAAATCCTGTCCCACAGTCAGTTCGTGGTCTGGTCCAGCAAGAAATAAGAGGGCACGAACGATCAGATAAGTTCCATCCCACAACATCCTCCCCGCATTCCCCTCGTCGCCCACTGCCGTGTCCCAGACGACATCGCCCGCTCGCATGAGGTGAATCACGCCAGCGCGCTTCAGCTCGTCTTCGCACTCGAGCACGCCCGCGTCGGACAGCCAGTCACCCTCTGGCGACGGCACGAACACCTGGAGGAGGGGCGCTCTGCGCAGGCGGAACAAGGGAGAATGAAATGTGTTCACGCGAGTACCACTGTGGTACGATTGGCCCCGAGCATGCGAAATCGTAGACGAGGGTGAGGGTGCGCGGCTTGTGTTGCGTGACATGCTCCCGACACGCGAATGCTGCGCAGAGCGACTGGGACTGCGCACGCTACTCGCGGAAGTAGGTAGAGGGCCCTCGACTGCTTCTATGCTCGCATTATGAGCAGCCTCCGTTTCGGCTTGTGCGCGCAGCCGCAGGACAAGACGGGTGAACGCACGGCAGCACAATGTCAACTCGCGCATCAGGTCAGCTTGCGACGCGTCCCGAGACTGCAGGTACGCGCTTGCGAGTCGAGAGTATTGATGCATCGGCATCGACACTCCGCGCATGTATGAATGCAGATCCTGCATGGAAAAAAGCCATCAACGATTGGCCGATGTGCATGTGCATGCACTACGGCCAGGAGTGCTCACCTGGATGGTCAGAAACAGAGGATCTAGTCCGTCCCACCACCAGCGCGTATACCCCACAGTCTTCAGATATCGCTCCAACACTAGCTCTGTGAGCTCTCTCCGATCCTCCACCGCCGTCCGTACCTCCTTGTTAACTCGCGCAACGACGCACCACTCGTAGAACGACAAATACGGAAGGAGAGCGGACAGGAGCGTAGGATCTGTCAAATGTCTCGCAAGGGGGTAATATGTAGGTTCCTTCACTTCTACTGGAGGTCCTACTCCTGCAGGTGACGCTGCTTCCCTGAACCGCGGTTCGAACCCAACCGGGCGCGTCTTCTGCAGGCGCTCACCCCGCCGCCGCGACCGGGCCTGCGCATACTCTTCAGGCGAAATTGGAGTTGGCGGCTTAGCAAGAACTGGGCCAGTAGCAGGTGCTTCTTCACTTCCACGGGGACTATGGTTGTCAATGCTGGGTATCCTGTTCTGCAGCTTCTCTACCTGTCGTTTCGTCAGTGTCTTCACACCATTTCCATCACGCGATGACTTCGAGCGATGAGGCTGTGAGGTGTCACCCAGAACACTTTTTGAGGGAGAAACCGACTCAACGCTCGATATCGACCCGTTACGATATAACTGGATGGGGGAGCCAAGCTGCGGCATGCTGCTGCTCGTGTGCAGAGGTGTGGAAGGTGATCCCTCTGTACTTGACGACTCCACACGCACGGCGGATGCCACCCCCGCAGCCACGCTGTCCTCCGACTGATTTGAGTTCGCGCGCCGACGTTGCTGCGAGCTCGTCTTGCAGAGCTTCCTAGGACGCAGCGGGTCCGCAGGAAGCGGTGATTCCTTCCCACTGCGATGCTTCTGCTCCGAGGGGAATCGTCTGTCGCCATGTGCACGCGACTTGTCTCCACCGCGGAACCAGCCCAGGATGCGCGAAGCCTTAGAGCCCTCTCGATTGTGCTTAGGCAATTCTGTCGGCGCGACTTCCGGAAGGGGAGGCGAAGGTGAACGCGGCGTAGGGTAGCCGTGTCCAAACGACGTGTTCTGATTAAACGTCGCGTCGCGCTCCTCAGAGGGCGCGTGAACGACCTCAAACGACACGTCTCGTTGCACTTCCAACACTCCGGTGTCTGTTTCTGTCGCAGCCATGGCAGCAAAGATCAGGGGCCGACCGCGCACGAGCCCGCTCTGGGACATCGAGGCCGTACTGGAGTGCGAGGAGCCATCCGGCGGAGGGGACACTGAGGTATTCCGTGGGCCAGATTCGGTGCTTGGTGCGAGAGTTTCGTGCTGCGACTTTGAGGGAGTCTGCGGAGGAAGTGGGTCAAGCTGCGGCTTTTGTGGAGTCGGCGGAGCAAACGGCTCGTGAGGCAGCTTTGGCGGGGTCTGCGGTGCGAGGGCGCTTAGGTCCGAGGGATGCATAAAGGGTGAGAAGGCAGAGATGTCGGGAAGCGCTCCCAGCGATGGAGGCAGCGGGGTTTTTGGCGGAACGAGTGGGGGTATGCTAGAGCCGGAGGCCTGTGCTGACGGAGGGGGGTTCAAGGGCACCTCGGGTGTTTTCAAACTAGAGGAATGAGATCTTGCTGAAGGCACGGAGGGAACACCAGACCCCAAGGAAAATACGGAATGGTCGGAGCGTTGCAGGCCGTGCTGAGGAACGATGGGGCTCTGAGGCCGAGGGAGGACAGGGGGTGGAATGGGGATCGCAGCAGACATCCTAGCGCTGCTAAATGGAGGGTCGACAGGGACAGGCACGCGGTGCGTACGTCGCTGAGGGCTCTGCGGCAGGGAGAACGCAGGCGCCTCCTGTCAACGAGCACTGTCAGTACACCATCTCGATAACGCAAATCGCGAAAGTTTGATACGGAACACTCTCGACAGATAGATCGGACCACTTACCTGTACCGGTACGCCAATGATAGCATTGCGGCGGTCGTGTACGTTCGCTTCCGCTTCGCGAACAGAAGTCGACTGGGGACTATGAATTATTGTCTGGCAAGCCATATCTATTAGCATTATACTCTGGCACAGCCTACCGGAGGAATGGAGACGATGATGGAAAGCAGCCAACCCGAACATTCTTCTTTTCAATACTCGACCCTGGCGTGCGAAGCATTTTGACGTTTCTCACCGCGTGGCAGACACGTGCACACACCAACAGGAAGCGAGGGTGTGTACGCTGCATTCGAAATGCCGCGCATACGCCGTAAGTTCGTTACATACATGTGAAGAAAAGAGGATCTTCCGGCTTCTCTTGCCGAAACACGCACCCAACGTTACGGAGTCAGAATGATTCTAGCCGCCGTACGCGGCAGGTCCTGGACAAAAGAAGGTCGAACAAGGTCACGGAGAAGAGCTCCCTCACCTTCTCCGTTCGTGAATCAGCATTGCTGGGCATGGACAACGTTTGAGGTTCGGGCTTTGGCATTGGAGGCCCAAACGCGGCCAACAGCGAGTACTTTCTCCGCGGCGTCGGTCCACTGCTATGACTTGAGCTGGAGCGTGACGACATTCTCGGTGCAGCCGACGACTCGCCTGCGGTAGAATGCTGCCATGGGGCTACAACGGGATGTGCAGAGGGCGGCACGTGCGACGCCGTAGACCGCGGAGACATGATCGACGATGTCGAGGACGGCGGAGGGGTAGGGAGCGCATGTCCATGCCTGCTGGACGACGAGATCTTCCGTTCGCGGTGGCTTGAGGGATCGCGCGTCGGCGGTGGGCCGGCCTGTCGTCCATCGCGAGTCTCGCGCGCTGGGGAGAACGACTCCGGCAGCATGCCCCGCTCAAGGGAAGGTATTCGGTGGATGCGCGGAGGATTCGGAGCACCAGGTGCTTGTGCCATAGTTGAGACATTGTATCGGGAGTCTTTACCTGCTGCCGAGGGTACTGCCAAGAACCTCTGAGGACTAATTCCGTCGTCACGAGAGTGTTTCTGCCTCGCTTCAGGCTGCGTGTTCTCGTGGCTTGTACCTGGATGATGGATGTGCTGAGCTAGAGACTGAGAAGAGATCGTATTTTCAAGAGACTGTATCAGATTCACGTGGGGCGGGACTACGGCTGAGTGATAGCGAGTAACCGACGGCGGTGCTGCCTGCGACGATCCAGAGCGATGGTGACGACTCTCCTCCGCCGCGGCGGCGGCCGATGCGGTCGACACCGGTTGAGTATGCATGGTGCTGTCCCAAGATGCCGCATGTTTGTGCCCGTACGTTGTCTCCGACTCGTGGTGACGAGACTCTGCTGCAACTGCAGCAGCTGCCGCCGGCGCCACTGGTTTACGATGCACTGCTCTCACCTGCGTCTGCGTTCTCGGACCTTCTGTCTGCTCTCCTCGACCTTGCGACGACGACCGCGATGCTGCCGTCAGAAAAACGCGTTCGTCCGGTCGCCTGTTGCCATTAGCACTGTCCTTCCTCGCACGCTCTCCCCGACCAGTCCGACTGTTGTTCTCTACCAGCGCGGGCTCCGGGTACACGCCATCTCTGGTCTTCGCAAATCGTGCATACAGGGGAGGAATCGTCGCGGTGGGCGCAGAAGTAGACGATATCGCAGCTGGAGCAGAGATATCGATAGAGGACCTCTTTCTGCGTAATTTCTTCATGATTTTGTGAACTTTCGAGGAGTTTGCCGGTGGAGCTCGCTTAAGTGGTCAGTTTCGGTCAAGCGGTGGTCGAAGATGCCATGGATCTGAATTGTCAGGCTTCAGACTTCGGGGTGGCAGTGAACATCTTCTGCTAGTGTGAGCGATGGATACACGATTGAAACGAGGTTGCAGCGTGCTTGTCTGCGCAAGGGGTCCGGCTTGTTGCGGAGAATTGAGACTCTTTCAGTCAACGGTCCGATGACGAAATATCTTATCTTAGCAGATGTAAAGACACTCACTGCTCTATTGAATAATTGTTACCGCCGAGAGTACTTCGTGTGATTTTGGATTCCTGTCACACCCAGTTCTCAGCTTCGCACAAATTGAGGCAGGAGGCGTCGACCAAGGACGAGATATTTGAACCCACTGAAACGACAGACAACTACTCTTGAAAAACCCGCTCGAATAGGAGAGGCTGTTGTCACGCTAATTAATATTGTTCTTTATGTGTCACAGTCAGTCACCCCTTACACGCCGAGGAATACAACAGAACCACGACTTATAACTGCGTCCTCGAAGTATCCATATTCACTTCGACACTCATCGATAGTAATTTTTTCTGGTCAGGACATGATTTTTGAAGGTGCTTGGATCATGTTCATTCATTTTTAGACCTTGTTCAGGCAATATGAGCCCGAGCTCGAATTTTGCCCAAAGTCTCGAAAACATGTCTGCCATGAAGCTGGCAGAAGCCCTACTGGCGAACATCCAGAAACAAGCAGGACATCTGAGGTACGTCTCCTACCACATGACTAAACTCACGCAGCTCACCCCTCTCTTTCAAGTCTAAATTCGGTATGTAATCCTGTATGCAATAACGTAGTCCAACGTCAACCTGAAGCTACTCCGAGGCTCAGTAGCTCACAGAGCTGGCTGCACTTGTTAGCGCTTCTAGCACAGTCGTCAGCAGGTTTCTCAATTGGCAGTCCCCCGTCAACAGGCTACCACCAGACGTCCTCAGCATGATTTTCCAGTTCGTCCCCGACCTGCCTTACACAGAACTGGACTATGTCCTATGGGGCGATAACGGGTCCCCTCCATGGCTACCCTACTACGTGAACGTGGGTCCTTGCGTCCAACTGACGCATGTGTGCCGTTACTGGCGTCACCTCACACTGAACTTGCCTACGCTTTGGGCGAATGTCGTCGACTCCGAACGTAGCGACGTGCCTATAAGCGTCGTGTTGCAACGCTCCCAGGCCGTACCTCTAAACATCAGTCTGCTTGGTCGCCCTTCACCCGGCATGTTGTCGTTCCTGTCGTACGGAGGCACTGAACGCGTCCGGTCGGTGTGGTGGGAGGGTGACAGTAGCAGGGAATGTCCGATCTATCTCAACTTCCCCGCTCCGAAGCTGGAGTCTGTCTCATTGATGGGTGAAGTGACCGAGCAGGACCGACACGTGAGGGTGTCTTCCATCTTCAAGGGACATACGCCGCGCATACAGCAGTTATTCCTAGCGTCCATGTCCTGGCTGCCATCGAATAATATGCCTTCTCTCACTCATCTCAACCTCTCAGGGTACGCCTGCCCCGGCCTTTCCTCAAAAATTCTATCCTTACTTGAGAGGACACCCAATCTTGTCGACCTTGGGCTCTCCAATATTCGTGACTCTTCCATCCTCCCAGAATCCCGCGTCATTTCGCTCCCAAGGTTGCGGAGGTTCAGCTATCGACCAGGAGATGGCGCTACAGGCCTTGGATCGATCCTTCCGCACCTCGCCCTCGCGGACGACACGGCGTTGTGCATGCACGTCGCCGCCCCAGAAGAGCTAGCAAGGCCCGTGGGGCTTTCTCATTTACCCGCGGTGAAGACTGTTGTCAGGGCCTGCGTCGTGCAGGACGTGTATGTATGCGACTTTATGGCTGTGGGGCCCGCCTCCGGCTTCGACGTCTGCATCTACACTGCAGACTCTGAAGACTTTGATGCGATGCTCAAGCTCGCATTGGAGGAGCTGCCTCTGGTGCAGATTAAGGAATTGTGGGTAGTCGAGAACCCCGTCTGCTGTGAGATGACGCCGAGCGGACGGGACAGCTTCAGGTCGGTGTTGCACAGCATGCCGGATCTCGAGAACCTAGTGGTTATGGAGGAGAGCCTCGATAACCTAGTCGATGCCCTCCTGGCATCTCCAGATCCGTTGCGGCCACCGCTCTCGCGCAAGAACATGACGGTCCACATTATCATGGAACGTTCAGGGGTGGATCCATCGACCGTTTCAAGCCTCATAGGGCGGCTCAAAGAGGTCGATGTCGCACACATAATCATCGGGTATCACAAAACCTACACTGGACCTCGGTTCGACGACGCCCCTTCCTTGTTGCGAGGGTTCGAGTCGGTCGAGTCGAGATACCACAACACGCTGCCTCTCATGGACATGCCGCCCGTGTGCACTACCTACTCGCATTTCTACTGGCCGTCATGGTTGGAGTCGTGGCCGCGGCAGCTCGATCGGTCTGAATAAGGTGTGTACATTGCTACTGTACTGCTTGTTGTCTCATAATATGGTCTCAGCAAACATTCTCACATACCCCGCAATTCATGATTGGATAGGGTGCAGGCAAGTTGTTTAGGCCGTGTACAAATCCCGGCGAAGGGTGTCAGAGGCCGACGTCGCAAGCATGTTCACCTGTGAGATGCGGAACGACCACGATCGGTGTTGCCCGATACTTGTCGGAGTACGACCTGATGTTTTACAAAACCTACTGTATCGAAGTGCAGATTGTGAATCGCATCTTACCCCTCCTGCAAGTAAATCCAGGACGTGGGCATACAGGGCAAACATCCGCTACTGTTCCAGCCTCGTCAAATCCAACATAACAAATCCGCGCCCCCGAACTTACATGAAGTTCTGCAATTGGATAGACTGGCTGCTCTGGGTTCTGCACCAACGACAGTAAGATTAAGCCTGCTATGTGTACATTCAAAAATCCTAATAAAAGGACTGAAAAAACATCTCTGCACGGTTAGGAGACAAACAATACAAAACTTCGACATCTATGCAACTTCCGCCATCGTAGGCAGTAATCCGCGATAGGGTCCAACAGAAGCGGTCACGCCGACGCACAACTCACGCGCGCCCAGTGTCAAGTAGTCCGCGCTCCACAAGGCGCCCTCGAGCTTCCGGGAGTTCTTCCACCTCGGGCAAACTTGCCTCGGTACGACGCGTAACGCGGAACATGACGCAGCAGCACTCAGGTTCCTCAAAGGCAACCCACACCAGAGTCGCAATGTTGGCAGCAACCTCTCGAGCCCACTCCCGATAACAAACACCGTGACCCATCAATGCGTAGGAAAGTATACTATGCCGATGAGCGGCAGATGTCGGAGGCGCATATGCTCAGTCTTCGGTGAACGGTTGTAGCAGCTGATCAAGGGACAGACCGTGTGGTATAGCGAGGTTGCGAAATCTAATTTCTCTCGGCCGGCTGGCCATCTTCGACAGTAGCTGGTGTGTCTTGGGTCCAGCTGATGACAATGCGAGGTACTGAAGCGCAGGCGGGACCCGCAGCGCACATGCAAGGACCGGATACGACTCTAGGAACTCGTCAACGTAGTTGATGGATAGCGATTCAAGACGCGTAGCACGACGAATGACTTCCAACGGGTAGAATGTTGTGGCTCCAGTGAGATAGGATGTAGGCATCATTTCCAGTCTTCTGAGATGCATGATACGTCTCGAGGGGTCTCCGAGCATGTAGCTGCAATACTTGGAGAGCCGGTCTGTGTTCCACGGGTCCCTATTGAGACTGAGATCTGAGAGCAGCCACGGGAGCGCAAGCGCCGTATGTCGTCCGACAAGTCATCATGAGAGGGAAGACCTTCTGAGGTTCAATAAAGGATACTATCTCTTCGATCACGTCATAGTTCAGAACATTCCGGTGCAGCTTGCTGGTTGCTTCACTGGATGCAATTTCCAATAAGTTGGGAAGACTATGCAAAAGTTATCACCTTGCTTGCCAAGGTCTCCTCGCCCCCCTTAATTGCACCACTTTTCCGTACCTGCCCGACTTCTCTCCCGAGTGTCTCCGGTTAAGGCCTTTATGTTCGACTCCCGGTGTCGTCGCATCGTTAACCCTGTACAGTCTGTTGTTGAATATATAGAACCATCGGCGAGCGTTGCGTACAATCTGTTGCGCGGCCACCTAATCATCCCACGATCAGCTACTAATTAGTGGCATCACACGGGTGCACGTGTGCCGCCTAATTAGTGTAGATCCCTCTTATCCTCTTACCTGTGGAGAAAGTGCTGGAGAGTGTGGGTACTTTGAGCAATCCTGCACGTCAGATGCCAGCTATCTCCCACTGGCATCGTTGGCGGTGCCGACGAGCCGGTTCCCACCACCTCCCGATGAGCGCCTTGGCCGCTCCCCGCCATCAAGCACGTGCCTCCTCCTGTCGGGCACTCTGGAAGCCGCCCTCCGCCCTCCCGCCACGCGCTTCTTTCCAAATTCAGCTTCCCACGCCGCCGCGTCACTGCCGCCGCCCACCTCACAGCGCAGGACGTTGGCCACAACACTTAACACACACTATATTGGTCTAGTCCTCCTGTCGGGCACTCTGGAAGCCGCCCTCCACCCTCCCGCCGCACGCTTCTTTCCAAATTCAACTTCCCACGCGTCTGCGTCGCTGCCGCCGCCCGCTCACAGTGTAGGATGTTGGCCTTGACATTCAACTCACATTATACTGGTTTAGTAGCTTATGTACACCACTTACTTCCCTTATATCATCAATAAACTATCTGAGTCATTGAATCAATTGGAAAATCTACGGAAAATCTCGTTTAAAACAAGGTAAGTACATTAACAGGTATCAGATGGGGGGAATGCAGCAAGTGTTCACTAGAGGAGAGCTAGAATGAGACATAACTGAAGTAATGTCCAGCAGAGCCAGGAGATCGAAGGCGGAAACGGTATATGGTGCCATCCACGAGGTGCGATAGCGAAGAGTGGAAGTTGAGGAATAGAGGATGATGGAAGTAACAGGGCGGGAGCAGACAAGAGATGGTCGCAAGGAAATTGGCCTCCACATTGACACTTGAGTGCATACGATCAGTCGTCCACATCGCTCGGGATGGTCTCTGCACTCTTTGGGGTGTGCGAACTTGTCTTGTGTCGACGTTTCGAAGGCCGCCTCTTGCTGCTGCCGGCGTTTGCGTCATCGGAGGGCCTCTTCTCGCCGGTGTTCATGTCATTGGAGGGCCTTTGCTCACCGGTGTTTGCGTCATCAGAGGGCCTCTGCTCACTGGTGTTTGCGTCATCGGAGGGCCTCTTCTCACCGGTGCAGGCACTCAGCACCTCCTCCTCATTTACCTCATCGTCATCGTCATCCTCCATATCTGCATCTGCATCTTCAGCCTCCGCGCGATGCTTCCGCCTCATCCCAGCATGCTTCCCACCTGTATCCTTCCTTTTCTTTCGAGCGACGGCCTCTCCTGCGGCTACTTTCTGATCATATTCCTCTGTCCTCTTCTTCAGCTCCTCCGATGTCAGTTGTTCAAACTTGCAGGTGCCGCTCTCCAGTGCTGCCAGGAGAGTACGAAGAGGAGGAGGGCTGGTGCTGAGGTCAGAGGGGTTCGCCCACTTCTCGTGAGTCCATCCTTGCAACGTGATGCCGTATTTGAGTACGATATCCCTCTCGTAGTTGACGTAGTTCATAACCGCTTTGCTGTTCCTGGTGATCTCCACTATGTTCCTCAAATATTAGTACGTCTCATTAACCAGTACATACTAACTCACCGAGCATGGTATTGATCTTGTCGCGAATTTCTCCCTTCAACCAGTCGGCCTTTGATTTCGAAGTTCTCAGGAAAGCTAGGTAACTCGTTAGCCAAAGGGGAGATAAGAATCAGGATAAACTCACACATAAAATCGCAGCTGGCCACTGCAAAGGCCTCTGCCAATGCACCGATATTGGCAGGGTCCCAACCCTTCTTGATTGCGCCACGCAGGTACTTATTGAGTTCCTGCGAGCTGAAGTACCAGCGCAGGGGCATGTGGAAGTCGGTTGTGTTGCACACAAGGCAGAAGAAGCCCTCCACACCGACACGGCACTTCAAACCATGGAGCTATGTCAATTGTCAGAAGAAAGAATGTAACGAGAATGAATATAACATACTAGGTCTTCGATCTTCTTGCAGACATTGTTAACATCCTGAGTACGGCCGCGCTGATTAAGGCGCAGCCCGACCATGCGTGATGTTTTCTCTTCTTCGAGTTCTTGAACTAGCTCTGCCTTCCGAGCTGCGGTGAGACTGTGATAATCATCAATATTTTCCTGTTGCAACTCGAGTAGATTTGAGCCCTCCCCTGCCGGAACACCTGAGGCTCTGGATGTTACGCGGCAGCGAAACACGAGCGGCTAGTCGAGTCGTCACGAGACAAGGTCTTAGTCTAAGACACAAGTCCGTTCAAGTGACACTTCTGGCGATGTCCTCGCACTGAAGGTCGATCAGAGTTCGTTCTTATGACTCGTAGTAGCTGTCTGCTACTAACGGTCGATCTTAGTCAAAGGCAAGTGAAAAGCTGGTTTTATGGTAACCAGGTCGAGATGGGGATCCAGCTCGACAAGGTCGTCTACTTATACAAAAGGTATCCGCAGTACTACGCAGTAATGCGGAATCGTTCATTGGCTAGATAAGGTGAAATGATATCGGGGCAAGGTAACAGCGAGGAAGTAATATGTATGAGAAAGCTGAGTAAGGTCGTGAGAGATAATCAGTACTAATGGGGATAATGAGTCGTGTATCAGAACGAGGTAAAGATGAGGCATACATGCACGTCTTGCATGCGCGATAAGAAGACGGTCCGGAGTTGGATCCGGTGTAACCCTAGACTAGGGGTTCTGGACATCTGGGTAAAGAATCGGAGGTTGCGCTCCGATGAGTCACGTGTTGGATCACGTGGTCTGGTAACATAAAGGGAACAAGGAAAAGAAAAAGAAAAGATGTGCCACAAGTGAGGAGCATTGTAACATCAGCTCCCGTCTAATGTTTTTTGTCCCACAAGAAATATTGTGATCTTCATCGTCATCGGGGGCAGTCGCGGACATAATGATCTCCTCCACATCTGTAGCATGTCCGCCGGCTGGTTCGTGATCCTTGTTCAGGGATACGTCCATCCCTGTAGGGATGACTGCGACGCGAAGAAGTGGATGCGGTCGAGAAAGATGGTTGTGATAACAGAGATCATCCACTGGGTACGTGCGAACGAGGAGGGCGAGGTCGAATGGAATTGGTTCTGGCGACGAGCGAGGAGTGGATGTGGGTATTCCATTAGTGGTGTATCCGAGGATGTGTCCGATGTCTTCGTCCCCATGCTCCCTCCAAATCTCCTGTGCTGTACGAGTGACTGTACTGCGCATCAATGACTAGACTTGGTCGACTCTGGTTCGGGCTCTACTCGTCCTTTCCTCTGCTGCGATGAGCTCTTGTCTGGCCGTCTGCATCCACTCGACCATTTCTAATGCTCGTTGCATGGAAACCACTGCTTGTCGATCTTGCGGGCAATTTCGTAAGGCGACAAGGATATCTGTGAAGTCGACAGGAACACGGATAGCCGAGACCAGACGTGTGGCAAATTCTTGTTCATCTGATGCGTGACTGAGTTCGATAGATGGTGAGGGCGATGAGGCGCAGATAAAGGGTGTCTGTGCCATTGACAAGCGTAGGCGATGCGGGTATGCTCATAATTGCGGAGGCGACTTCAGCGAGTATATTGTGAACAAGGTCGTCTATAGCAGAAGTGGGCATTGATGATATGTCATCTTCTCCTCCTTTTATACCTTTCAGTCGTTAAGGGGATCACGGTTATCTGTGATGTGAAATAGAATGTCGTGGATCCGGGTAATAATCAAATAGATGAAAATCCATTGGACGATAAAGAGTATTCCCACAGAGATAGGAGCTGCCTGATCAGTTCCAGGCATCGTTCTGATCACCCCAGCTGTTAGCGTGCGGGCTGTCTCGTGTGAAGAGTGTGTGTTCGACAAGTCGTCTGATAAGGATTCGGTGGATGATCCAAAGAAAAGTGAGGGTTGTGCAGTGGAGGACGATTAGGAAGATGATGAGGAAAACCATTGTGGTAGTCATTCCGGGTTTCTTCTCCTCTACTGGATTCCCCTGGTCCTTTTATATGCATCGAGGATTCGCTTGGCATTCTGTAAATTGTGGGTAGGTTCTCATGAGTTTTCTGCTGAAGAATATCCCTTCCACTTGACTAAGTACCTCAGATGACCTCAGTACGTCTTGTGATTCAGGATGGCTTCAACTTCGTACTCTTCTTCGTTATCAACGACATCCGGTGGTGGGTTCACGTAATTCGGACCATGTATGTCGTTTTCGCGATAAGGAGATAGAAGGGCGGCATGGAATATGGAATGAACTCGCCAGGTCTTCGGGAGTTTGAGATGATAGTTGGCTGGTCTGATGACTTCGACAATTTCGAATGGCCCCTCACGCTTTGGTGCTATCTTGCGCGAGGTGTAATTGACCTTCAGGTTCCTTGAGTCTAGCCAGACCTTCTGTCCTAATGTAAACTTCAGTGATTCTTGTCTGACTCGGTCCGCCATCTGTTGTCGGGCTAACTCGTGCATGGCTAGTGCTTCTAGTCTTATCTTTTGCAACATGTCAAGCCTGGATTCAACCGATGGAATGTTCGTGGTTGGGAATACGGAAGGGAGTCCACGTGGTTCATATCTCATCATGATGCGGAATGGGCTCATCTTCCGTGCCGAGTGTTCCCTTGTGTTATGACAAAACTCGAGGTCTGGCAGGCGGTCGGCCCATGTTTCAGGGTTGTTTCCGCAATAGAGTCGAAGATAGATTTCCAGCTCCTGGTTGACTCGCTCTGTTTCTCCATCCATCTGAGGGTGATAAGCTGTGCTCATTGATGATCTGATCTGGAGTAGTCGATTTAACTCTTGGAAGACCTTGGATGTGTATTGAGGTCCTCTATCCGAGATGATTCGGTCGGGTAATCCAAATCACCATCTTTGTCAGTTATGAAAGATAATCTTTTCTATCAATAAGTAGCAAATTTTCATAAGAATTGCTACTTTTAAGTAGACTTATTTGTAGGTGCATAGATTAACTCAGGATAATCTTAATATAATCTTCCAGATAATCTGAGGATAATCTGAAGATTAGCAACAAAATACAATTTTAACTTTGACACCAGCCAGGATTGAACCCTGGACCTTAGGTTCATTTTATAGAATATAATTCCAAGTGACACTTTAGACCACTTGACCATTAGGCCATACATCACAACTATCTTATATTAAATTAGACATCTTTTTCTTGAAAAAGACTTAGCCAAATTCTGTCTATTAGAAAAGAGTAAGTAAAAGACACTTGACTTTTATCATAGATAGATAAGACTTATAAACAAACAGTACTCTGCATCTTATTATAGTCTTGTTCTACAGCTTACAGTTTTTCTAAACTATCATGCAGTACTATAGAGTATCTTAATATAGTCATCTATAATATATAACAAGTTATTGAGAGACAGTATTTTATTTGTTCATTTTAGGCTTATACTCTAGAGTCTATTATATTATAGACTGAGCACTTATATATACAAGATCTTTATAGCTATCTTCTAATTGTATAGCAAAGTTCTGTTTTGCTGAAGTAACTGTAGAAACATATATTCTATTAATTACATATTGTACTACATTATATGAAGGCTGCAAGCATTAGAAAAGACTATAAGACTCAGAGTAATGTTTGTTTATAAGTCTTGTCTATCTATGATAAAAGTCAAGTGTCTTTTACTTACTCTTTTCTAATAGACAGAATTTGGCTAAGTCTTTTTCAATAAAAAGATGTCTAATTTAATATAAGATAGTTGTGATGTATGGCCTAATGGTCAAGTGGTCTAAAGTGTCACTTGGAATTATATTTTATAAAATCAACCTAAGGTCCAGGGTTCAATCCTGGCTAGTGTCAAAGTTAAAATTGTATTTTATTGCTAATCTTCAGATTATTCTCAGATTATCCAGAAGATTATCCTCAGATTATCTGGAAGATTATATTAAGATTATCCTAAATTAATCTATGCACCTACAGATAAGTCTACTTAAAAGTAGCAATTCTCATGAAAATTTGCTACTTATTGATAGAAAAGATTATCTTTCATAACTGACATCACTGAAATCGCAAGTATACTTTGTCATGAAAAATCTTGGCCATTCCTTCGGCTGTGATCGTTTTGAGGCAGGGCGTAAGAATCACCCCCTTCGTAAGGTCATGGTCTACTACGACCATAATTGAATTAAAATCGTTGGAAACGGGGAGGTCGGCAATAAAATCAGTGGTGCAACAGGAAAATGGTAATGCGTGTGAGTTGGCGAGAATTGGTTCCAAAGGAATACGAGTTGGATGAGTATTCGGTTTCATTTGTTAACGGGCGGCACAGCCTTCAACATAATTGTAGACAAATGTATACATGCCGGGCCACCAGAATTCACGACGTAACAGTTCAAGAGTATTGAACTTTCCAGGGTGACCCATGGCAGGGGAGTCGTGATGTAGTCGAACGAGGTCACGACGAAGAGTTTTGGATGGTGGAACGTAAATCTTTCCCTTGTAGAGGATGACACCATCATGAACTTCCCAGTCGGAAAGCGATGATTTCATGGGGAATGGCCCTTTGTGCGCAATTGCTTCGAGGGCTTCGTGAACAATGAGGTCTTTTGCTGCGTGATTTCTGATTTCATCGAATAGTGTCGGGGAAATGGATCGCACGAATAGTGCGTTGGGTAAAAGAATGCGATCTTCATTGTCACTTTCACTGTCATCGAGTCCGTTACGACGAGATAGTGCATCAGATTGGATCATCTGAGTGCCAGGGACATGGATGAGGTGAAGATCAAATTGTGATAATTTGAGACTCCATCGTGCTTGTCGGCAGTTTAACTTCTGAGCTGTACGGAAGTACGTAAGGTTCTTGTGATCACTGCGAACTTCGACGGGATGGGGAGAGCCTTCAAGATAATGGCGCCATTCAGTGAGGGCTCGAATGATTCCGAGGAGTTCGCGGTCGTAGATTTCGTAGTTCCGTTCAGCTGGATTGAGCGTCTGTGAAATGTAGGCACAAGGATGGAGGTCTCCATTGATGTCGGCTTGGCGTAAAACTGCACTCGTAGCAAACTTGGAAGCGTCAGATTCAACAATAAAGGGTTTTGCCTTGTCAGGCAGTAACAGTACTGGGGCGGTACTGAATCATTGCTTTAATGTGTCGAAAGCTGTCTGACATTCTGTCGTCCATTCAAAAGGTGGAGATCCAGCGGCAGTGCACGTAAGATTCGTCAATGGTTTGGCAATATCCGAGAAGTTGGCAATAAACTTCCGATAGAAGTTTCCAAACCCTAGGAAAGAGCGAACACCTTTTACCGTGCTTGGTTCAGGCCATTCTGCAATTCCTTTAAGTTTGATAGGGTCCATGCCAATGTAGTTTTCTCGAATGATCATGCCTAGGAATTCGACTTCTTTAACATCAAAGAAACACTTTTCCGGTTTAAGGAATAAGTCGTTGTCTTTGAGTCGCTGGAGTACGCGTCGGGTTTGAACGTGATGTTCTTCCAAATCATTTGAGAAGATGAGGATATCATCCATGTAAATGACTATCCATCCCTCATTGATCATATCCTTGAAGAGTGCGTTCATCATCATTTGGAAAGTCGCCGGGGAGTTGCAGAGTCCAAAGAACATGACCATAGGTTCGAAAAGTCCGTGATTTGTCTTAAATGCACCCTTCCATTGGTCACCATCTTTGATTCTGACATTGTTATATCCGGAGCGTAAATCCATTTTCGTAAAGATCAATGCGCCTTTGAATTGATCCATAAGGTCAGAGATGAGCGGAAGAGGATAGGCGTTCTTCACCGTCCCTTCATTCAGGTATCGGTAATCCTGACAGGGACGTAGTGCTCCGTCTTTCTTTCCTATGAAGAAAAATGGTGAAGCCATGGGAGATTTCGACGGTCGGATATATCCTTTTCGCAGATTTTCTTCCAGGAAGTCATCCATCGCTCCTTGTTCTTTGAGTGATAACGGATAGACTTTACAGTCGCGTGGAATAAAATCGGGTTTCAAGTCAATGGCGTGGTCCCAAGGCCTGGTTTCTGGAAAGCGTTTAGCTGCTTTCTTTTCAAAGACGGACTTCAAATCGTGGAGGTAGTTGGGGACCAACTCCTCGACGGTTTTGGGTTTGTCTACAGCTGATGCTTCCTTGTGTGCCTGTTGTGCCAATTCTTGTGATTTACCGGATGGTTTGTAAAAGACCGTATTCTGTGCGTTACAGAATAATGGGGATCTAGTACTGTGTGTCATTCTTCCAATGGCGGGGCCTCTTCGTATGGTGAAGACTGCGGTTTCAGTCTCTTCATTCGTCAGAGGTGACTCCTTCCTGATGGGTTCAAATATCCCAATAACTGGCTCTCCTGCGATCTAGGAGATAACTAGATCGTCATCATCGAGCTGATCCATAGGGGGTTCTGATGGTGGGTCATCTGGTTCGGTATCATTCCGCACTGCGGGTAACTCGTCATGCTCAGTGTTATCGGCCATGATTTCTCTGATAGATTCCGAATGCCCAAACGAGGTAGGGGAAGTTTCGGTGGTGATTAACTCTAGGAGTCCATCTTCCTTGAAAATCGAAACTTCTTCATCTGGTGCATCTTCGACGGTGGGTTTCGGTGGCCATTTGGCGTCTTTACCAAACCAAAAGTCACCAGTTTCCCAGTTGATCATCAGATTGAGGCGTTTAAGCCACGGCATGCCGAGAAGTATGTTTTCTTTGCCAATGCCAGTCAAGAGGAAGCAAGTAAGTGTCTTCCTTCCTCCGATTTTCATCATCTTCCAGGTACAATGAGTAATGGTACCCATTTGATTTGGTGTGCCATCTGCATTCATGACTTTAATCGGTTTCAGTAATTCCCATCTGATAAAATCATTTTCTTCCGCAAAATGAATGTTCATGAACGTTTCGGCTGCACCGGAATCGATCAAGGCTTCTGTTGTAACGTCTTCCTTCTCTCTCAATGAAATATTCACAGTGATTGAATTTCCGCTAGTATTACAAATAACGAGGGGAGATACGGTAAGATGCGACGGTCCATGCATTACTAGTGGCCGTCGTCTCAAAAACCCAATTGGGTTCATTCTTCATCAGTCATGTCATTGAAGACATTTCGCACATAGGCGATCTGTTCCTCTCTGGTTTCTTCCTTCGATGTCTCCTTCTTCTGTGCGAGGTCTTCTCGCATCTTCTTGATCCATGTGATCATGTCTGTGTCCAACCCGGGCTGTATCGTTCTAGCACGGGTGAAACTTCCAGACTGGGGGTGAAATTGTCTGTCATTGGCTATATGGCCCTTCTTTCCGCATAGGAAACATAATCCTTCTTTCATTCTCTTCTGTCGCTCGTCCGGGGATAAGCGCGAGATATTGACACGATCAACATCCATCGCGTTTGGATCCTTTGCAGAAGCTGAGTAGTAGGGACGATGGACAGATCGGCCCTTTCCTCGTGTCATCATAGTGGCTCCTCGCTTGAAGATCTGAGCAGATCTCCATTGGTTATCAAACCACGAGGCGTATTCGTACCACTTGTCAAGTGTCTTGGGCATGCTTTCCATCCCATATATCCTTTGTCGGAGTGGGTCGTTAAGTCCCCACTTGAAATACTCGATATTTCCGGCATCTTCTAATTTCGCCTTGGATTCAAGCGATCGGAATTCGGCAATGTAGTCGTCCGCAGTACGAGTCCCTTGCTTGATGTTACGCAGCAATGTACGAGTGGTTTCTTCAATATTTTCATCGCCAAATGCTTTGTTCACACTTGCAATGAACTCTCTCCAACTTCCATAAGAAAGGAAGTCGTCATTGGTGAGTTCCGTTTCTATGAAGCTCTGCGCCCATGATCCTGCTGTCCCTCCTTGCATGTGCGATAGCACAAATGCAATTTTCTGATTGTCCTCCTGGTAGACATGGCTATTTCTGGCCATGTAATTCTTGCATTGGTTTATAAATTCCCTAAGCTTCGAACGGTCTGAACCGTTGAAGATCTCGGGTTTTCTAAAACCAAGTTCCTTCTGGCTAACATGGTGACATCCTTCATTCATGGTAACCGTAGCCATTGGTGGTATGTAATCGGGTACGATTGGTGCAAGAGTCGGTTGGGGTACAGGATTCTGGGCAGGGGGGTTCCAAGGGGCATCTGGTCTCTCTCCTGGATAGGAGGTCGTTATACCGCTGTCTGTGATGTGCTGGAGCACTATTCCACCAAAATTATGGGGAAGTGTCCTTTCAAATTCCTCTGGGGAGTAGTCGAAGTTGTGATTGTCTGACCTGATGAATACAGGCCTTCCTCCTATAAAATGTGCATTTCGTTCTGTGCTCCACTCCGCTTGGGATGGAAGGTGCTCGCGGTACTGCTCCGGAAGAGCGGTCGGGTTGATGTAGTTAAAATCCAGCATGGATAAATTCTTCTGTGTGGCCTATGTCTACACGTAGACTGCACACCGTCCTTAACTAAGTGGGTTCATTCATCATCGGCTAACAAGCCCATAGAGTGTCTTCTATCTTCAAACTGGTACACCTATTTGCTGATTGCTCGAGTGATTACCTCAGCCTCCTCGGCCTATTGGTCTCTCGGACAGACCCCTCTCCGAAGATGAGTGATCAGTCTATCCCTTCAGCTACCTCAATTACAGAGTAATCTCAAACGGTGCTTTAGCAATCGAATCGGGTGTATCGTTTAGTATTCAAGGTTCGGTCCGGTCAGTAGTTCATTGTTAGACTTTAGGAAGTCACAGAGAGTAATAAGATCTCGACCTAATGTTACACAGCAGCGAAACACGAGCGGCTAGTCGAGTTGTCACGAGACAAGGTCTTAGTCTAAGACACAAGTCCGTTCAAGTGACACTTCTGGCGATGTCCTCGCACTGAAGGTCGATCAGAGTTCGTTCTTATGACTCGTAGTAGCTGTCTGCTACTAACGGTCAATCTTAGTCAAAGGCAAGTGAAAAGCTAGTTTTATGGTAACCAGGTCGAGATGGGGATCCAGCTCGACAAGGTCGTCTACTTATACAAAAGGTATCCACAGTACTACGCAGTAATGCGGAATCGTTCATTGGCTAGATAAGGTGAAATGATATCGGGGCAAGGTAACAGCGAGGAAGTAATATGTATGAGAAAGCTGAGTAAGGTCATGAGAGATAATCAGTACTAATGGGGATAACGAGTCGTGTATCAGAACGAGGTAAAGATGAGGCATACATGCACGTCTTGCATGCGCGATAAGAAGACGGTCCGGAGTTGGATCCGGTGTAACCCTAGACTAGGGGTTCTGGACATCTGGGTAAAGAATCGGAGGTTGCGCTCCGATGAGTCACGTGTTGGATCACGTGGTCTGGTAACATAAAGGGAACAAGGAAAAGAAAAAGAAAAGACGTGCCACAAGTGAGGAGTGTTGTAACACTGGATGAGTTACATTTCCAGTGCAAGGCTGGCCTAAGTCACTGACCTTCGTTGGCAGTCTTTGCCAAATGGTGAGACCATGCGTTGAATGCAGTTGTCTTCCTGCGGTTCTGCAGGCTTGCACCTCCCGTAAACATCATGTGGAGGTAGTACTCGCTCTTCTTGCCATACTTGTCGGAGAGTGTCTTTGAGTACGTCACCGCGTCATCATACCACTTTGTGAGGTCGGCTTCAAGTGCCGCTGTCTTCTCTTGAGACTTGTTCACCATGTCTTTGAGAACGGACGGAGCAATGCGTGGTGGGATGCAGTGTTTGGCAGGAGCGATGGGCCTCACGGCCACCGCCGCTGTTGGCCCATATGTGATATTTGACATCACAGAAGACAGCCTGAGAATGAAGAAGCTTGATACTGACCTTCGAAGACATAGCACGCTCTCATCCATTCAACAAGATGCGGTCACATTTTATATTCTACACGTGACATACATGTTTTAAATACAATCAGAAAGAAAGAGCTACGGAGAGGTTTGGAATGCAGAACCAGTGGTCTAAGAAGCATATAAATCCTCTATCATTGCATGAGCCAACTCTGCTGCAATGTCCGGTGCGATCTGGAGGTGATGTTCAATATCCAATTGCCAAGCCAAGGTCACAGATGTCCTCTCGACGTGCCATAGCATGTTGTGCATGATGGCCAGGATGTCATGCGAATGCATGACAGCATCGGTCGCAGGCCCAAATGCCTCAATAGGCCGATGTTCAGTAGTTGCCATGTACTCGTGTGAAGCCGAGCGTGACGAATGGGTGATTGAGGAAGGAGATGACAGCGATGGTGACATAGCGTTCATGAGGGGTGGAAGTGAATATGTGCGTACCAGAGGAGAGTCTACACTCAATCGTGGTGGGGTGGATGGATTGGTGATAGCAGTCTGATGGTGCTGCCGAGGAGTTGACGGAGTAGCACTACGAACACGAGATGGACGTGATGGCAATGAAACAGACGGCCGGGTCAGGGACATGGCAGATGGGGAAGGCGAAGATGGATCAGCTACATGCTGAAGTGGTGAAAGGGCTCCCGATAGTGTATGTACTGCCCGAAATTTAGACGGGGTGGCTTGCTGTCGCTGAGCTGCAAGAAGCGAATGAGATCATCGTGCGATCTGATAAACGACACTTACCGGTATGCATTTGCTTCATCTCGCACTTCAGGCTTGTGATCTCATGTTGTTGTTGCTCACATAGTTTCTCCAGCTCTGAAACACGTACTTTGAGTAACCCATTTGTCTCTGCCAACTCCAGGACACCGCTAGCTTGTGCACGCTCATACCAGGCATTGTCGTCATACTGGCTGGACTCGTCCGCAGCTTCATCCTCTGGCTGTACCTCTACCCGCTCCGTGATGACTGACCCACCAGCAACTGGAAGAGCTGATGCTCCTCCACCTTGCAAGTCCAGTATGAGGGTCTCGAGCACACCAGATGGATGACCGTAGAAGGTGTAGAGTGAGCCGCGAGTTGGGGAAGGAATGAGTGTGCGCGCACGATAAGGTTCACAATCGCGTGAACCTTTCGGAGAGAGCTTGAATCCTTCTAATCGTGCTGCACGATCCCAACGTTCAATTGCAGGTATCGCCATCCCCTCTATAAATAGTTGAATGATGCGTGTGATAGTGTACGATGTCTCGGGCAACTCAGATTGAAGGCCCGGCGAAAAGTAGGATATGACCTTGACCTGCTCTGGAGCTACAGCCGCGCCAGGCCGCTGAGTACCGTCGGTGTGAACCATAATGGTAGAACCACCCGTAAAGTGGTCCCATGCAGTGAGCTGTACATGAGAGTGAGCTTGAGATTAGGTCACAAGAATAGCACTCACGAAGTCAAACACAACACCTGTGAATAACTCACAGAATGACTGCCTCTCGTCTGTTGACTCTGGACCCGGCGGCATTTCTTCTCGATGAGTGCGAAATAAATCGTGAAATCGGTCGTGGTTCAAGTGGTGACGATCATCATTGTGGCTGCCAGAGACCAGAAATGCGAGATCTGCAGCATCGAACTTTTTTCAGTGCTGTCTGTAGAGATTGTTCACACCCAGATGATGCCGTAGTGATTGCAATCCTAGCGGATTCAAGCAGCATTAATCGATGGGAACCACAGAGAAGGCAGTGACATTGGACATGGAAGCAGTGATTTGTTGAAGTGAACGTTGAGCTTAAGACTTGCCTTTTCCGTCAGCTGAGCGTAGTTCTTACTGCACGCATTGGATCCTCGCTCATCTTTGAACGGTTCTCGAGTGTCTTTCTACTCTTTGCACGACAGGTAATGTTACTTCGTATCCAAGAGAATATATTTTATAGCAACTGTATCAAAAACAAGCGACGTAAGACCAATCTATCTACTGTCTGCCTAGATCGTCAAAAAAGTCAACAAGATGTATCGCCTCCAGCTCGGAACTCAACCCCGGAATGCCATGAGAGCCATCGTCTTCTTCTTCATCTTCAGGATACACGTTGCCATTACTATAGCACGCCCAGGACGGTAGGGGTATACCAAGGGTCAGACCAGTTTCACGTCCAATGCGGCGACCGCACACCACCTTCCCTGAGAATCCTGCGAGTTGTGAGGTCTGGTAGAGGCAGTGCGCAATCTTCTCATGAATCCTGTCATGATACTTCCATTGCGTTGAAAGTATATGGGCCAGGGCAGGCTTCATGATGATACAGCGGGAGATGGCAATGTAGTAGTCAATGCGCTCATCAACTAGTGAGGTGAAGAGGCACGAGATCTCAACATTCAATCATTCGATCTCCTCGCGTGCACGTTGGATATTGAAGTACGTATTCATCGCGTGGCGATTGGCCCACTGCGCCCATGGTAGGGCACGGATATCTTGACGTGCATCACATAGCAGGTCGAAGTCCACCAGGGACACCATGTCCATTACCTCCGACCACATCAGAGTTGGGCGTGCAGGCGACAGTTCCAGGGCACAGCGATTGTACTCAGCAAGAGCCTTCTTGATGGCTTCTGCTCATGTTTTCAAGGCTTTCCCAATCTTCTCACGAAGTTTGTATCCTGAAAATTGATCAGAACGTGCACTTGAGATGCTCAAAGTGAACGCACCGACACCGCTCATGCCAAGCTTCATCAGCTCAAACAGCCACTGCACAACCAATCACTCCAGGTTGTTCAAGGCACGCCGATACTTACGCCTTCCCAATTCTGCAGTCATCTCTATGTACTCCTGGGTCCCAGGCAACCATCACTTGATGATACTTAGCTCCTCTTCTATCAGCCGCACTTCTTCGGCAACTCCTTCATACCAGCTGTAAGTCGTTCGATACAGTGTCCGCACCTTCGCAATTTCCTTCTTCTGGTACCCCTTGTAGATGATGTTGTAGTCGAGGTTGTTGAATTCCACACGTGCCCGCTCACATTTCTGCCTTGAAAGAGGTGAATAGCTACCAAAAATGACAATTCAAACCACTCACCCAGCTTCTTCGAGACGCTTCAATGCCTCCATGTAATCCACCTTGCGTGCCACTTCAGGCGGTTCTACCTTAAGCCTGCTCAGGTATTCTCGCTCTTCCTCCAGGTATCATTCGTATTCAGCTGGCCCAATATTCAATTCCTCGGACAGAACGTCGAGCACCTCCGAGTCCTGCATGATGATGTCGAGGGCTTGCTTGTAATTATTGTAGATGAAATTGCCTGCATTAGTTCTTAGTCACCGTGATCCATGTAGAATTAATGCAGGACTTACCTGATTCAATGTGCTTCTGTTCATCCCAAAATCCGAAAAACTGTTCAATTGCCTGATGACGATGGAATGACATGGCAAGTCGCGTGCCAGGGGCAAGCGCGTTCAACTCGGAGAAGCACCGCTCACATCCCTCAAAATCCTCCTTGCTAACGCCATCCATGTATAGTGGATGCCAGTGTACCTGACATCCCCGGTTATGGCCATGCCCGTGGAATGCCGGCACCACCCCAGACATGCGCGCTTTTGTGGCATGCGGTCCAAGAGAGCTACGGGTGAGCGTCTTCAAAAATGCACATGCGATGTCGTACCCCACCTTAACGTTAGTGCCGTAAACCTCAATGAGCTTGTCAATGATGGCGAGGGGGTATTTCATCCTTGGAAACTGTAAGTATGACATTCATATCAAATATGACGAACTTACAACTCTCCGCTGTGAATCATATCGCAAAAAATTAGAAGGTGACCGTGTCGACAAAGGCATATGAAGATGCCCGTCACTGCGAACAATGCAAACATTTTTTTGCGCGCCTCTGGACCGGCATTGCACCAGCGCTCCATGCATACTGTGATTGGCTCGAGCACGCCTTCTGTGTTGCCATGCTCTGCTGCAACATCGTCATCGATGTCGTCCAACTCTGCATGTGCATCGTCTGGGAGTCCAGGTGCACTGCCGCTGGATGTAGACGGTTGAGGTTGCTATGACGTTCGTCAGATCTACTGCCAGATATTTTGATCAGGTACATACCTGATTTGATCGAGCAAACTCATCTTTGAATCGATCGACTGCTTCAGGAGTCAGCCAGATATCAGTGCGGTCCGTGCGACCATCACTGCGAGTGACACCGGATCGAAAGAGGTCATCGACGAGCTTAAGAGACTGGTTACCATCCATAGTGGCAAGGAGAGAGAACTTGAGAGCCGGCTCATCCTGAAGTTGATACAAGCATGGTGCACAGACATTGAGCATGCACCAGTTCGGGGTATTGCGGCCCAACTCAATGCTGATGAGAGTGCCGACGTCATGGAGAATGTCAAGGTACACATCATAGGCTATACTGAACTGGTCGATGAACGCGCGTCAAAATGGAACCTATATTGGTAAGAGTTAATGCGAGTACGTGATAGAAAATGAAGACTCACCAAGTGCAGAAAGCACAATGCTCACACCTGGCCTTGAATACTGAGGCGGGGGCAGACACGGTGTAATTGGCGATATGCTTCGAGGGCTCTGAATGAAACTGCTACTGTCAGCCTCACAGGAGCCGTGCCCAAGTAGCCATGGTGCACAAGGGAGACATTTGCTCGAGTTGCAGGGGTAAGGGAAACGAACATTTGATCGTGCACATCTAGAGAAACTATTAGTTCATGGAGAACTGCAGCGACACTGAACATACCAAAAAAGTCCACCATGTACATGCCCCATGGCTCTGCATCCAGATCTGCTGCTGCAATCGGTGTACTGGCCTTCCATGCCATGTAGGCCTCAACGAGCTCGGTGCACTGTTCTTGCTATTCTCGTATACGTATGCTAGTCCGATCTCGGCGAGTGCGCACATCTTTCCGTTTCCTATGATGCATCATCGGTGTTGATAAGTGGGCGGATGGGTAGATGCACACCTTTTGCCTGTCTCCACGAATATTTCCCTGCATAACTCCTGCTCACCACCTGCATTACTGAAAAACATCGCTTCTTCTCCCGGCGGAATTGAATCCAGCATCTCCTGACCTTCGCAGCTTGAGTCTTCGAGATGGCTAGTACTCAACAGACTGTCTTCAAGGTCCTTGAGAGTTTGGCAGTCCTCGAACGTCATTCCTGTGTTGAGGTAGCATAAGCTACAATGAAAGAACATAGGATAATCACACCTACCTGCAATCTGCTCTCGGCGGTATCGAAGGGCTTGTGCTCATCGCTGTGGACCTTCATTGACACGGTCAACCGTAGCGGTGCTCTTCTTCCCAAAACTGCGGCCTACACGGATATTGACTGTGGCCGACAAGGCGCTCCTCATCTTTCTGTTGCGGGCCATAGCATTGCTGATGTGCGCAGAGAGAAGGACAAGAGGGTATGAGAAGCGCACAAGAGGCGCTGCTGCTCAAACAACACGGGGCAGCAGGAAGTTTTCGAGTTACAAGGGATACAGCAGTGGACAGCATGGTGGATCGTGGCAGCTGTGCGGCAAGCAGCAGCGACAGTCAGGGGAACAGCGACGACGGAAGGCAGAGGTGTGGGAAGTTGAATTTGGAAAGGAAGTGCGCGTCGGACATGCGGAGGGTGGCTTCCGGAGCGTGTGGCGGGTGGACTAAACCAGTATAATGTGAGTTGAATGTCGAGGCCAATGTCCTATGCTGTGAGCAGGCGGCGGCAGCGATGCGGATGCGTGGGAAGTTGAATTTGGAAAGAAGTGCGTGGCGGGAGGGCAGAGGGCAGCTTCCAGAGTGCCCGACGGGAGGACTAGACCAATATAGTGTGTCATAAGTGTCGTGGCCAATGTCCTGTGCTGTGAGGCGGGCAGCGGCAGCGACGCGGCGGCGTGGGAAGCTGAATTTGGAAAGAAGCACATGGCGGGAGGGTGGAGGGCGGCTTCCAGAGTGCCCGATAGGAGGAGGCACATGCTTGATGGCGGGGAGTGGCCAAGGCGCTTGTCGGGAGGTGGCAGGAACCGGCTCATCGGCACCCCAACGATGCCGGTGAGAGATAGCTGGCATCTGATGCACAGGATTGCTCAAAGTACCCACACTCTCCAGCACTTTCTCCACGGGTAAGAGGATAAGAGGGATCTACACTAATTAGGCGGCACACGTGCAGCCATGTGATGCCACTAATTAGTAGCTGATCGTGGGATGATTAGGTGGTGCGGCGTTGCTTATTCAATCACTAACAAACATTATCCAGTTGTCTGTTCTCTTTCGAAAACCAGCCCGGTTGCTGTATGCTTGTACTTGTCCATTCAACACTTCACTACAACTATCACACAGGTTTTTTTCCGCCATTAATTCGACTTTTTCCCTGTCACAGCACATGCATGTAGTCTATAAAGAAAATTGACTAGAAGTGAATCTGTGGTGTTCATCACCCATTCATTTAATGATGGCTCTGACATCTGAAGTACTGAAATTGAATTGTGAACTTCCCCTTCGATCTTGACAACCGAGCTCTGTTGGGCGGAAATTATTGTTTCCTAATACCCTTCAAATTGTCTAGACTACATGCATATCTAACAAATGCATTACCACTTGGCAAGCAAGGTCAAGGCCAATGCCAGTCAGCGCTTTCCTAGTTTTGAAAGATAGAGTGAATAAATTTAGTGTAAGGTGCACTGCTTACAGTGCGTTGCATATGAAACCGTCATCACGTCTGCGCGCCAGTTTATTTGTCCCGAACAAATAGAGCCTTTTGAGGTAACAGCACATGACTTCGGCATAGGGCCAGCAACCACCAATGCCTAGTACTGCAGCAGTCTTGGAGAAGCTTGGGCATGTCGAGGACTGCACATTCAAGCAACAAGAACTTGATACTTTTCAGAGCCCCTCGAGCTCACAATTCAATGTGAAGGAGTGTGTCGTCGGTGCTCGGACGTTGCCGCACACTGCCGGCAGCCACCCGCCCCTACCCTATAAGGCTCTATTTGTCCCGGACAAACAAGCTGCCAGCGAACACGATTCCAGTTTCATATGCAACGCACTGTAGTGTAGGAGAGACTTATCTGAAAGTTATCCTAGAAATGAAAAATTTATTTTGAAGTTATTTCTACTTTAGAATAGGTTTCAAATAACTTTCAGATAAGTCTCTTGTAAGCTGTGCCATTTACACTAAATTTATTCACTCTATCTTTCAAATAACATTCACGTACTCCCGCCAATTTATTGGAAATTGCATCCAGTGCTTCCTCAATAGGCGACGGTTGCAGAACAACAACTCTGCAAACGTCAAATGAACACGGAGCAGAAACTCACTTGCTGATATTTCTGCCATGAGAGTTATACCTTTCGTTCCTAGATTTCAAACTGATCGTTCTAAGGCCACAAGTACCACGGTCGCGGTCGTAGCAGAGCAAGCAAGCAGGACGAGGTTGAAATATTCGAACTTCGCAAGTTCCCAACACGTGCTAACTTACCCACGTGGTGCGAATTCGCGCCGCCAGACGCAACACATATCGCACCGGTATTTCGTCGTCTAGGTCTGCAGGCTGAAAATTTCCTGAGCTCGTGGTTCTCAAAATATCAATTCAAAGTAAGCAGGAAATACAGAGAACGGAGAACGGATGAATTCGAACCGACTACGCTACACAAAATAGCTCAGGTACGTAATACCTCGTCGGCCGGCTACGAGACGCCACTGTGACGGAGGTCGCGTATGTCACATTGCTGTGACTCTCCGCGTCCAATGTGTCACGCCTGAGCTCAAAACTCGAAAGGCAGCCAGGCGGCAAAATTTGGTCGGGGAGGGCATCACAGCCTACCCCAGCGTCGGGCTACTAAAGCCATTGAGGCGCGACCCAGACTCGGAGATGTGCATGTTCGCGAAGGGGTTGGCATGGGCTGCCGAGGGAAGTGTAAAGATGCATCAACTTTGACTCTGAATATACCTACAATGCGTCGGTCAGGAGTGACATGTCTGCCAAGTCTCACTCACAGCTTTCGTCGCTAGCCATCGTTGCTGATGCTCCTCCCGAGTCGCAGACAAGGTCTCTCGGCCTCTCACCCACGTATACCCGCGTCGTGATTTTAGAAACGGAATGGCCCTCTTTTCGACACCGGAAAATTTCGGGGCAAGATGCAGAAGCCTCAACACCGTCACAGCGGTAACGTGTCGTCCATCAGGAGACGTTCGTGTGGGGAGAAGGTCAGATATAGAAGAAAATTCGCAAACGATGTATGTATACCTGAGACGAAGCGCGGCGAAACACGATGTACCAATTGGGAAAAGGACCTGGTAGACATCGGATGTCCGCTGCCATAGCTCAAGACCATGGGGTGGGCTAGGAAGCTCTTTGACAGCTCGCAGCATGCGCGAAAGTCGTAGTCCTGGGCATAACTGTCGTCAGTACAGAGGAGTCGATACATACGACAACGTTGCCGATACTCCACAGAACGTTGTCCTCCATGTTTCGGTCTCGGACCATCCGCGTCGGGCGGCCGGAGCGATATAGCAACATTAATGGCCTTTTTGCTCCTCATCAGATTTGAAGCGCAAAATCCTATCCGCCCCTACAAGTCGCCAGCCTCCCGTTCCAGTTTCAGTGATTGGGTCCTCTGCATAGTCATGAAAACCGCGCGATAGACGATTCGTACTTTCACTGACCAGGCGGCACAGCGACAGACTTCGTGGACCTATAGTTTCGCAGCCGATCGTCCGATTAGGTTGCAACTTTCGGACATCTATGTGAGTGGAGTCATCAGATTTGACGCAACTTCACGCAACAGTGCGACCGGCGCACGAGTCGATGTTAGCTAGCAGGACCAGCTGACCGTTGACATGCGTTGCCGCCCAGACATTCGTTCTTCAGATGGGCCAGCGGCTCGGACACATCCCGCGGTGACCGGCAATGGTTAGTACGAGGAGCACATGATGCTTGCGCTTCTTCTTCCTGTGGGGATGATTCTCGTGATGAAGCGAACCCCAATTAGTGGAGAAGCAGGGGCTAGTGGCGAGATTATTACCAGGACGGTCGCACGACCATGGCTGAACGCGCCACTCCTCAAGTGTTTGCTGCAGTTTTTTCCCTTATTAGTTGCTCGTATTTCCTTCGACGGAGGTGGCGTGTGTTGGATCCGAAAGAATGTCGCATGCAGAACGAAAGTCCGGTGATGTTTGTTCCGCGCTCGGGCGGGTGGCGCACACCGATCATACGGGGGAGCCGTCCGAAAATGGGAAAGAAGACTTCCAAAAAAAGCACAGGAGATCGTATGTTTGTGGTCACCCGATGCTAGCGCAGCATTTTGTCTACGATGGATTTATAATTTATACTATAAAGTTCCGCTCACCGCTCACGGACGCGCTGCCTCTATACCCCAGCCGCATTCTCTCGCAATGTCTGCTCCGCTCAAAGTCGCGCGGCTTGTCTCCCTCGCCCTCGCCACCGCGTTCGGCATCATAGGCATGAGCGTCGGCATCAGCGCTGTCGTCAAGTCCAACCGACAGAAGACCAAGGTCCGCCATAGTGTACCCGCCGGCACATCCGTGTCCATTGACACCAACGATGTCCTCCACTCGGGCATTGTCAACACCGTCGTCTGCGGCCTCCTCGCCGTCGTGTCCTTCTCCGCCCTCATCACCACCCTTGTCTCCGCGTCTGGGCGCCGCGCGTCCCTCATTTTCGCGCACGTCCTCCTCTTCCTCTCCATCTGGCTCTTCGCCACCCTCGTACCCTTCACCGACTTCGTCGCGAACCGCCAGGCCAAGGTCAGCGCCACACTCGACGGCATCTCCCTGCCCCAGAGTGTCATCCAGGCCGTGCAGGCACAGATTGGCGTAACCGGAATCTATCACAAGCTTTTATACCGTGAGTGTCTGCCCCTTGCCCGCTTGTATCTTGGCTACAGAGCTGAACATGTGTGCTGCAGTCCGCATCGCATCGGCATTGCCGTGGATCGCATTCCTTTTCGGCGTGCTATCCGCAGTCTTCCTGTATGCCACAGAGCGCGGTGCCGACTCCTCGCGTTATCCGCTCGCGGCCGGCGGCACAGTCGGTTCCATCAGGGAGGTAGATGACAAGCCGAAAGAGGCGGAGAAAGTGGGCGTCCAGCAGGTATAATTCCTCGCGGACGGGAGAGCACAGCGACTCAAATCTTTTTAATTCTTGATGCGAGGCGAGGAGATTGAGGGCTCCTCAGGCTTGTTGGGTCGTTATACCCGCCGGGTAAGTTTTACGCCAAGTAGTGTGCACGCAGTCGGAGGATGGAGATTTGTTTATGATCACGATTTGTAATGCACCTTGTATAGCCAAGAACCAGCCTTGGTTGTACTAAAGCTGATCCACCACGAGGTTCAGTTCGCGCACAATTAATGCTGGCCGCCGGGTGTGGGAGATAGTGAGTGGGAATGCGTGCACGGGGTGACAATGACGTCGGCCGCCCTTTGCAGTGGCTTATCGAAGACAAGTTATTAAGTAAGTTTGGAATACACTCCGCAGCGCTGACATCTTGTGCGTTGAATCTATCGCAGTCAATCCCTAAGGTCCCCCAACAACTTGCAACAAAGGCGTGAATGACTCACGTACGGACCACTGCGCGATTTAGCTGGGGTAGGTATGCCAGTGGGTTTTTGACCGGATCTCTAGTACCGTGGCATCAGCGACTTGGTGGCGATATGAGGGCTGGATGGTGTGTGAAGTAAAATAAGTAGTGCTCACTACTACCCGTAAGTATGAAGCCTTTCCACAAATTGCCAACCGGAGGTAGCACCTACTGTTCGTGTTATTCGCAGCAGGTGTCTGCCTGTCGTCAGCAGATGCTGCACGGATGTAAGTAACCGACACAGGCGTTGAAAGTCATCGTGCGTGTGTCTTTGTCCGAGTATAAGCAGTGTTCAGTCCTTGTAGCTTCGTCGCGTGTACACCGGAATTCAAAAATCCTCACCGGGGTCCAAAAATTGCACGGTCACCGATGCAGGGCGCAGGTCGGCGAGTCGACAAGCTCTGAGCGGAGGGCTGAATGAAGCAGGCGACTTGTCGTCACCGGCAAGACACTACACCAAATTTCAGAACGATTACTCCGCGACAAGTGTTGACTCACTCACAAGGTTGAAAACTAACCCGACGCATAGCCATTCAAGGTGCGTAAGTGTTACGGATCACTTTGGACAAGTAGGGCGTATCAGAGAGATAGACTCCAGAGCGTTTATCCACCAGGTGCAGTCTCCTCGAGTGCGTGAACCTGGAGGGGTCTGCGAGCATGTACTCGCAATAGCCGCTCAACGTCTTACTTCTCATGGAGATAGAGCTCTGAGAGTAGCTGCGGCAGTGTGTTGCTCTTGCGTGTTGCGCCTCCAGCTGGACGCGTCTTCCTTAGACATCGTAAGGCTTTCACATGATCCCGCGTGTCCCGCGCCATCGTGACCAACACCTGGATCTTGCGAGCGCGCCCTCATTTTCCCCTCACTGATCTTCTTTACTCTGTTTATCAGCGGCTCTTCTCCTGCTCCAGCGGATACTCTCGACTCAAAGGCGGATCGCGAAACATAAATCCTGGGAACGTGATGGACAAGGTGAATTGTCGTCCGCTCGCATTAATATTATTACCGTGGATTGATGCCACTCTCAACTCGCGTTGCAGCACAAAACCCTGCACCCAAGAATGTTAAACCCCCTTCATCTCGAGCGTCCGCTCCGGTACATCGGTAACATTGTCCATTAGCTTTTGTTGAGCGGCCCGGCTCTGCAACCGAGGAGTCTGTGCTGCCCGCCGACATTGATCTATCTACTCTGTTGAACCACGCGACGACGCATAGCTCACATCTGCAGGCCTTTGGGTCGTTTTCCAATCTTACATTGACGAGGTAAGAATTTTCATGGTAAATTAGTTCTGCGGTGACGACAAATTGTTTCGGATATGATACAATAATTCAAGCATAGAAAGGGAGTATGAAAGCGTTTATATTGTGCGCGACTCGCTATGTGGTACTCTCCACGAACAACGTTTACTGCCCCCCCTGGATGGTGGAAGTGATCGTCCTCACCGAAGTCGAAGTTAACACATTGGTAGAGGTCGCGAACGAAGTTATCGTGGAGGTACGGGTGGTCGTCACTGGAGTGGTGGTAATAGACTGCACATCGATCGTTCGCGTGCTCGTTACATAGTCAGTGGTGTAGACGTAAGCTGATAACAGAAAAAGCTGGTGAGCACAAGTTGGAGTTTGATATTATCAGACTTACCGCCATTGACACCAGAAGCCACGAGGACGGCTGCCGTGAGGATGCTCTTGCTGAAGTACATGATGAATAATAGGCGAGGTGGTGTAGAATATGTGAGTGTGTGTAATGTATGTTTGCGAGATGAGAGTGATGATTTTCTGTCGAAGTTCATAGTGATTATATACCTTTCGACGGTGCCATGAGCACCATCTCGACGGAAACGGATTCGCGGAAGCAGAATATGCATCCGCGCCCATTGGTCGAAAGCGTAATGGATAGTCGCCGTCCGTATGCCGGATCCGCCAACTGCTCGTCGTCCATGAGCTCAATGTGGCATACCCCGCTTTGCACATTCGACGAGATGCTGATGGTATCCAATGTTTTCCTTCAGATGATAAGGCCGACGGCGGTCGTCATTATCCCCGTTCCCATGAATCGACGGATTTTCACTTCCTGCTGTGGACATCTCGATTCAAGGCCGCGGTGTTAGTATAGCACGATCGTCCCGGCAGCACTCAAATCGATCATTTGTAGTTTCTCATCGAGGACCCGAGTGCTGTGCAGTTTGTCTTTCTTCCCGTTTACTTTACCAATTTGTTCTGCATGGAGTCGTAGTGTACATGGTTCGCAGGTCATCGGTACCGATCATCTGACACACGATAGTGATCCTCTCATTATCCAGGAGGATCCGGTACTAACTTACCAGTCATCCGCCATCTTGAATTCTTATGTACAACCCGATTTATTTTGCTATTGGCCTATCTCAAAATTGTTCCTGCCATGACACCATGAACGGATATGGAAGGAAGTGTGTAATTTGAAATACATCGATGTCACGGTCACGGTGTCGTGCGTCTGCAGCTCGATGCCATCCATGATCTTGCCGGGCTTTCGAGCCATGAGCTTATACGTGGGTGCCGGTGATAAACGCATGGAGACAGAAAGCAAACGTCGCAAAAATTTCGCCTGCTTACTAAAGACGTTCACCGCTAGATCTTAAAGGTCCCACAATGTACGTCTTCGCAGTCACTTCACTGCTTTCATCAGCAGAACCGTTCAACACGCCCCGGAAATCCCATACATTCCGACCTCGTAGCACCCCATGCCCCGTCGCTGGCTGCAGGAACCTTTTCAAGAATTCCTTGGATCTAAAGCATCATGCTGATGCAATGCACTCGACCACTTTACGCCGCTCGTCGGGCGGCCATGCTAGAAACGCAGCCGAACTAACTGGGGACAAGGTGCACCTCGACGCGGAATATGACCTGGGCCATGCAGCAAGAAAATACCCGGTTTTTCGAAAGCCCGCTTGCAGCCCCTGAGAGCGACGACATTGATTGAGGACATGCCCGCACTGCGCTTTATCCATAATTCAATGGTATGTTGTTGCATTCAATTTCTGGAATTCTTTGGCTAAAACTCATCTTCTCCAATGAATTTTATGATATTCACCGTCGATATCTTCCTCGAGGTACCCCGTCGCCTCCGCGATGCAGTACCTTTGTGTCCGATTCTCTCACAGGAAGTCTCTACTTGCTGTCTCGCATCCGCCGTCCGCGAGACAGCAAAGATGAGATCACCTCTTCTCTTATCAAACGTTCTATCCTTACCCGTACTCGCGGAGTCCGTCGCGATAAACGCCTTGAATACCTGTTCTCCTGAGAGGCGCAGCGGTGCGCATCTTCTTTTCTCTCTGTGTCACCTTGAGCTTTAGGAGGGAGCACGCCTACTCTACGGCACTTATCAGAGTTCATGGATTCGAATTATGATTTTCGCAAACGCAGGCTTGATCAAAATGACAGGCTTGACTAAAAATGACAGGCTTGATCAAAATAGTCGAAAAACGAATACTCTCAGCTGGCCTGTTCCCGAGCTCTTATCCCACATGCGTACAGCGGAAGGCTTTATTTGGACGTTCCAGTGAATGTCGCGCGGGTCGAACTCGAATTACTTCCGCGTCCCGTCTTTTCCGCAACCGATCGGCTTGCGGATGGCCCGACTTCCCATCCCCCCGCTGTGATGGGAGAATATCCAGGTAGGACGTCAGCCACGAGATCCAGGTATAAAGTGCAGCTCGACGTCGGCCAGAAACCATCAGCCCGACTTCTCTTCATCGTCCACATATCCTCACATAACACCCACTATCAGCGCAATCTAAACAACATGATGTTCTCCAGATCTCTTTCGCTCGCTGCTGTTCTTGCCGCCTGCTCCGTGGCGCTTGGTACGTACCCATTTCTTGGTTTTCCATTCATAGTCTAATCGTCGCGTAGCGAGCCCTGCCGGCGTGACGTCCACTACGACGGTTACACGGACGAACCACGTCAACACCGTGGTGTACGACACGACCACTACGACCACTGCGACTTCTTATTCAACGTCTATCGTCCCGAGGACCACGACATTCACGCGTATCACCACGACTACGACTGTGAGGCCGACGACAACTACCGTTTTCGTGGGTGCATAGACGCATAATCACTCCTGTTCTTCTGCTATCGTATTGTTATGGACATGTTATGGACATAGAGGTCGCATGTATTGATCAAATTAACATTCTTTCCACTTCCCTCGCTTGAGGTATCCGTAATTTTGAGTCCTGATAAGACACTCAAGCGTAAGAACATTCAACCTCGTACATGACTACCTGTCTCGACTAAAATCCCGCTTGTAAATCTTGTTATATATTTTATTCCAATTGTTTTATTTACACTGAGCTACGAGGAAGAAAACATTTGTATGAAGACTTCATAACTGATCTGACATGAGGGTCTATATGTGTACACTTCGCTGTTTACCCGTAGCTCGGACTGCTTAATAGTGTAGATGTAAAGTCGTAAGATGTGTTCACACAGTCTCAATAACTCCAGCCCAAATGCCGCAGGATATGTGAGCGCGATGAGGGCAGGTGAAGTTCGGGACAGTGGGTGGATATCCTCTTCGGGTGACCTTCTGCTTGGGATGTGGAGAGGATGCTGCTTATATACATATAAGCTCAATGGATGCGAAGAGACGTCAGCCACACCGCACATTACTCGCCCACACAATCGATAAACGTGCTTCATCATGTTGGTAGTCAAGGCATTTCCTTTCACAGTACTCCTCCTTGCCTGGAGCGCGGCCACCATTCCATGTACGTCCGCATCTCTCTATGCTCATCGCTCATAAGTGTCCTCGGCGCGCAGCTCCGGGAACGACCACTATTACCCGCACACGGGCAATGCAAGACGTTACGACATCGACAGTCATCGCAATGCGCACCTCAGAAGTCTTCGTCATCGTACCGAAGACAGTGGACTCGGTCGTGACTACCACATCGGTGGACGCCGTCTTCAGCACGACAACAACGACCGTCCCCTCGAGTTGATCCCGCTCCACTCGTCCGCCTGGACTCTAGAGTATATTACCTGGACGCGCAGCGTGTCTTGCAGAATGAACACCCTCTATAGCCAATTGTAAGTATGTTCGAGTGGTGAGAAGCCACCGGCTTAAGCCAGAATGGCGGCTCGATGCAAGGAAACTGCCTCGTGTATGTCGGCCATCCGTCTCAGAGAGAAAACAATACCGCCTACTCGCAGACCAATCCCTTCCAAGTCGTTCGCGTGCTCAGCTACTTTGGTCAGTATCACCCATCTCACATACGACGAACTCACTGCTTAAGGCTTATTACGTCCAGTCCTCACCCCATAATCACGATTCAGCATTTGTCCGACATTAGTAGATTCTGTATGTTGAGCGAGGTGACCATCTTATCTAGGCTGGTCGCCAGGCCCTATGGTGTGAAGGGTACGTATAATAGGAATTCACTCACTCACAGGTGCACTTGCTGTCGTTCATTCGAGAACTGTCCAAAGTAATCCCACGAAGAATATTCTGGTTACCTAATGTCGATACATTGCCAAACACCTCGCAATTGAATTATCCATGAAAGCGAAAACGAAGATCGCATGGAGCCAAATAGTTACAGGAACGACTTGAGGGTAAGAAAACTCATAGGCATACACACACCTACTCCAGCTGCTGAGCACCAGCTCTATGCATCGCATGTCTGTTCATCGCAAAGTTGTCATCAGCACCGACGCAAACTGGCAAGTAAAATATGGCTCACTCCCGCGTCATCTGCCTCGCAGACTCGCTATCATGATTCTCCGCCAGTAACGACGAGATCGACAACAGCACTGGACATATAACGTAGACAAAAGTATTCGCCTTTAATTTCGGCGATAGTTATATCTACGCAGAACGCACCATTCGTGATCGTCAGCGCCGGTGTCCACTGCTCTTTCAGAATGTCCAGACAAATAGACCCTCCCTCGAACACGTTCGGGTGCACGACGGGCGTGTCGAATGTGACCTTGGGTGGCTTGAGCGGGTAGCTCGAGGGGAATGTTATTGATAGGAAGAAGACCCCGCCTTCGTAGGGAGTCTCGCTCTAAAATGCATGAAGTGTTAACGGAGATGTCGAATTCGGAGTTATAGTGAAAGCTCACGGGGCCAATTAAAGTGGCTTTCCAGTGAAAAAGATTATCCCCCGCTGGCCCTGCGCTGCATGATGGTGGCGGATCGCGACGAATATCGATTAGTTCCTGCGAGAGACACTGGTCAGATCTCAGATTTCGTGTGGAAGAGCCGTGACACAGGTCGTCACGGTCACATAAGTGGTCTTTCAAGTTCATCGACCACACTTACCTTCTGGATGCGTTTGAGAGCCATAGATTCTAGGAGAACTCTGACTGCAGAAATTACGACAACCTGGTGAGTTTGATGCTTTCCTTACGCTCCCGCCTCACGCGATTGGCGGAGGTGGAGTGTCTCCCTCCCAATGTTGAGACGAAGACTGGTAGACTCACTGTGGTGAAGCTCCTGCTGAGTGGTTGCTGACTAGATTCAAACCCGAAATTCGTTACGCCAAGGGTGGAGTGTCGAGAGAAGGACTCAGTCGCTTATAGGACATTCGACTTTAACGCTGGCAGCACAGGTACCGTGGACTCACCGCCTCCTCGTGGTAGATTCACCGGATCGATGTCAACAATGTGGAGATAGAAGCATACCTGGCTTTGGCCTCACACATAGCAAGGCGCCGTTGCTATACACCGATACGTCCTTGCTCCCACGATGCTGCGAACCTACGAACATGCACTGCGCGCGCACAGCTACCCATCGATCCGTCATACTGTGTCCCCCAACCTGCAGTTCACGCCGCGTCTTCGTGTCTCGTGTTATCGATCATCTATGAGACAGGCTACCCGTCTTCTATTGGGGCGCCTTCGATGTGACTATGCTGGCGCTCCGCTCTCCCAATTTGCCCATGGAGTAAAATCCCTGCACTATGGATCACATACATCGGATCGTGCGTCGTCGATCGCTTCGCGAGGCATTTCATTCCATCTTCAGGTCGACTCCACGTATCTGTGCAGCCTAAGCGACTTGAATTGTACCTCAGGCTCGATATCACGGAATGGCTGTACAAACGTCCCTCGGAAGTGATTGTATATCTTCAGGACATCTGATGACGTCATTGCATGAACTAGGGGTATTGAGCCTGCGGTCGTGGATGCGGCACGGTGTCTGAACACACGTTGAAAGACACCATCTTCCGTGAGGCGGATGGCTTATGCCCGGTTTGCGGAGCGACGACAGATCGACTTGCGAAGAGCTAATTTTCGTTTGAGTCGCCTCAGTACTTGGTTGAATCTAGCAGCAATGTTTTCGAATTGTTGTAACGAAGACAAGTCGAATCGGCGCTTATGGACGTACTGGTAGGGCCAGTACATGTGTGTTTTGACTTTTGTGAGTCAGTTCGGTGCCCACAGAACACTTATCTTTATGCTCTGACGTTTGCTTTCAATGTGCAGGATTGTCGCAAAACGCGTTCTTGATCCTACAGAAATTGTGTACATGGCACCAAGGCCAGTTGTCTACACTAAATTTATTTCTAAAGCACGGCCTGATTATGACTGAAAGAAGTACACAGGTACCAGCCAGTACAACTTTGCGCAGAATTATGACGCCCCAGCGCCACATTCTGGACCACGACAAACTAACACCCCGCGTGGTTCAGCATTGCCCGTTGAGGGTCATGCCATGCAGCACATCCTCTACCTCCTTTGGCATACCAACGAACGTGCCCGCGCCCTGGTCAAAGTCGATGTGCGTCAGGTGTACGAAGTTGAATGGCTCGCTGATGTCCCGTGCGCGGTGCTTCCGCTCGGTCGATGAGTGCAGCAGTTTGCCGAGGAAACCAAGTCTGCTCTTCTTCGGCTTCAACGACGGGGGCGCAGGGTTGGTGAGCATGAGGATCGTCGGGGGGGCTGATGGCAGCGAGATCGAGCGCGGTCGCTGGGGACGGGGAAGAAGGCGTGGAGGACGGGGGTGCACGTCCTCCCGCAGAGGCATATCGAAAATGTCTTGGCGACAGACGGCACATCGTTGGTCCTTGAGGAGCCACTCATCAATGCATGTCCGCTGTAATGAACACCCGTCAGACAGGCGGACTGTATAGGCATGTGGGTGCTTACGTGGAACACATGCCCGCATGGCAGCTCCCTCAGTGGTTCTGACGGCGATACTGACTGCTTCTCCGTCGTGCGACCCGTGCCTGCAGGTCGCCGTCGGGGCTTCTCAAAGTCGGACAGGCAATAGTAGCACCGCGCATGGTGGTTCTCGAGGTACACATCCCGAAGGTTCGACTCTTCCCATCCCGTAGGGGAGCCAGCATCCATGGTCGGGACGTAGCGGACAAGCGGAAAGCGGGCGATGAGTTTTTTACATTCGCTCTTTGACCTCGACGGCATCGTTGCAAAAAACTTCTGCGCTGAAGGACTCAGGCTCGGTGCAGCAATATGAAGTGCAAGTCTCGGACTCACATTACTGCGTCTGCAAGAAGGATGGGCAATTTCTGGGAGCGGAGCACTTGGTTGATGACAGACACATCCGTTCGACCGTCTTTTAAGGGAACGCTACTCCAAGCGGTGCGCCGCTCCTGAACAGGCCGGGGAACATGCACCCAAGTCGTGCCGCAGGACAATGCTACTCCGAGTGGTCCTGGCGGTACCGCATAATCAGATTCCTGTGGCTTGATGCTGAGCATTTCAACGCAAAGCTCGCAGCGCTGGGATCCGATTGTGTACTCATTGTTGGCGCTCAGTGCAGGGAATACCGCAGTAAGCTGTGATAGGATGCAAGACCCGGACGGAGCCGCAAATTTGCGGCGTTGGGCATACACATTGCTTCCTGCAACAAGCTTCGCCTATGATCGGCTCACGATGACCGCAGCTGTCTTGCTATCATCGCAGCTGTCTTACTATCAGATATCGCAGCTGCCCTTGTACCATCCGAATCCGCTCTCCATATTTGATTCCTTTGTCTCTTCAATTGAGCGGCGTCGGTGAACGGTGACTTCCATTAGTTCATTTCGGAGTGCTCCTAAATCAGTTCTCTTTTCTCCGTGCTGTACTATGCACAAACGGCGGGTTTGAACCACGTGTTAATTACCACTAAATCACATTTGGTGGCTACCGCCATGCTGGACGCACGACGAGCTCGATGGCTGAATCGATGGGGTTAGATTTCGCCCTGAGGCATGATGCTCCTGCCGTCGCGAGTTACGAACACCCTAGCAGTATCTTCTCCACATGTATACTCTATTTCTCACCCAACGCGACAATGACGGTTTGCCTTGAATGCGACAGTAGATATCGCATGTCTAGTGCTCGATGTTTGGTCGTATTGCAGTTTCATGGAACAGAGTTCCTGACCTCTTGCCATCTTTCGGTATGGTCCCTTAAACAAAGACAATCGGATTAGTAACCCTTCGGTGTGGGTGAGGCACACTGTGAAGACCGCAATGTACGTGTCTCAGGCTCGCGGCATGCCAGTGTGGTTGACTGACTCGTTGGGAGCATGCTTCTGATAAGCTCCAGAAAATACATTTCAACTGAGGTACATATGTCGTTGTCGCTGTAGAAAAGGGAGCTCAGAACAATCTCTGCGGAAGAAGCTTCAGCATGGGCGGAGGGGCTGGAAGATTGTTGTATGCGCTCTCCACCACAGACGTAGAGGAACTATCCCTCGTATCCCCCACTGCTGTGATACTGTCCACTGATAATTCGCTGTAGGAAGTGGTGGGAGACGAGCTGCCCGTGTTGCTTGATGAGCTGCTTTCGTCGACGATCGGAGCAACAGGCTCGCCGGGCTCGATGATGAGTCGTCCGCCCTCGTGTTTAAGGCGCACTGTCCAATTGTCGTGCACCTGATTCTCGAGAATGAGGAGGGAGAGGGGGCGCAAAATTTCCGAGCGGATGATTTTCTCGAGCTGTCTCGCACCTGAAATGGGCGACCACCCGCGCATCTCGAGATATAGTCGCACTTTATCGTCCGCTTCGAGACGGAGCTTGATGCCCAGCAGGAGTTTCCTGATCTCCTCGAGACGCGCCTCCACGATAGATGACATCATTTCAGCATCTATCCGTTTCTACACAGTAGAGATGCTTTATGAGATTTTCGGGGTGTGCGGTGGGAAGAACAACACGTACGAAAACGACCAAGTCATCGAGCCGAGCAAGGAATTCAATCGGGAAGTAGCGATGTATTGCATCCAGGAAATGTTGCCGTTCCCATTGCTTCTCATCTTCACCAGGAGGCGCACGGCCCGAGGTATCCTGGCCGATGCTAGTGGTGATTATCACAATACAGTTCCTGTCGTTAGGTAGATTGTGAGTAAGACTGCGGCACGCTTGAAGCTGGAAGACGGGCCGATGCGGGTAGAAACTGAGCTAGACGAGAACTCACGTGAAATCCACGACTTTCCCTGACCCATCCCTCAACGATCCCTCATCCAGAATCGTTTGAATCTGTAGCCTGAACTCTGGGCATGCATTCTCAATGCTTAAAGGATATGTGTAAGCCCTTCAGCCTGGAGAAGTCCCAGATGTGCGACACTGACTCGTGAATATGCACAATCGAGAATGGTCTGCGCCTCACACACTCGGTGAGTTGCCCACCCTTGTCAAAGCCTGTGCAGGCTGGCGTACCGATCTAGGTAAGAAGTTAATATTGCGTTTCAATCACATATCCAAGATACTCACCAACCGAGTGAGCGAATGAGACTCCGCATAGTCGGCAGCATTAATGCGGACGAGCTTCCCAAACGATCCAGGCAAACAGCCGGACGATCGGAGAAGACAATTGGTGAGCTAGGTACCAAGGGTTAGAAACGATATACTCTAGAATATCCAGATGTATCCCCATCTGCAAACAGTTACCCACCTCCTTGCTCAACAGTGTCTTGCCAGAGCCAGATGGTCCACCGAACAAAAATGAGGCGATCGGCCTTGATGGATCGGTCAGTCCGCCCATCATACATCGAACAGCACTCAGGGCGGCGTCAATGGCTTCATACTGGCCCGTTACCTGCAAGCAATTCGTCCGTCAGTGCATGTAGATTTCCGCGTGGCGCAAAACAGAGCAGACGCCAACAACTGCAACAGACAGATGGGAGGAAACTCACAGATTTTGACAACCGCCGGAATATCTCCAGCACACCGGTCCTCTTCACTGGATCGTACGGCTCCGCATACTGGATAGGACGATGCCACGATGCGACCTCCTTCACTGTACGCCTCAAGACAAGTTTCGGACCATTCTCTGAGGAGTCGGTGGATTGCTCTGGTGTGTCTTCGCTAGATGAGTCTTCGTCATCCTCACCCACTTCCAATCGCTGCGATTCCAACTTGTAAATCTCTTGCACTGTCTCGATCTTCTTGGCTCGTTCACTGTTCAAACATGAGTAAGTCCCCAGGAACAACATAGCTAAGGAACCTTTGTTCACGGGCCTCGTGGGACCGCAAAGTCAGGATTCCCGAAACTTTTTCGAGGGAACTCACCCAGCCTGTCCAAGCTGGAACGCCTTGGCTTCCAAGTCCTTAATCTTGTCCTCCAGTTCCTGAAGCTTCGTAAGGCGAGTCCTCGTCTTAAGCGTAGTGGTGGTGAAACTTTCAATCTGCCTCTCGAGATCCTCCATCTCCTGCTGGGCCTGTTCCAGTTCCTTATCGCTAGCTTCATCTACCTCGTTCTGTGAGGTCATAGCACACAGCGGGTGAGCAACCTTCCAGACAGACGCGCGTATATACCGACCTCCCAGGAGTGGATATTCATCTGCAGAACGTATTGTGCCCTCTTCAGCTTCCCGAGCCTCTCCCACTTTTCGTTGCGGCCAATCTTGATGTACGAGCATGCTTCGTCGACGAGGTCAATGGCAGAGTCGGGTAGCCTGATTTAAAGATTCAAGACTGTTAGCAACGGCGAATACGTGGATCACAACCAACCGCTGACCGTTTGTGAGAGAAGAACTGTGACGCGATAGACGCAGCCGCCTCCATAGCCTCATCAAGAATGATGACACCATGGAATTTCTCCATCCCATTCTTGAGCCCGCGAAGCACCTTGATGGTCTCGTTGACGGTGGGTTCGCAGACGTATACCTGCATTCAACAACGCCGGGTAGGTTGAGACAAGTAACGGCGAGACACAGAGAGAACATACATAGGAGAATTGGCGAGCAAGGGCACCGTCCTTCTCAATAGACATTCGGAAATCCTCGAACGTCGAACAGCCTACGCAACGCAGCTTTCCCGCTGTGAGGAAAGGTTTCATGAGGGTAGCTGCATCTCTGTAAGGCGATAGATATTGTCAGAACTGACAGTCGCTTATGAAACAAGGAGTGAGGACACACATGCCCACTCCATCCCCTCTGTACCCTCCGATAGTAAGCTGGCTCAGCTCGTCGATAAACAAAATCACGTTAATGCCCCGATCTTCGTGCTGAGCGATCTCTGTATGGATAAATCAGTTCGATAGTAAGGAGAGCTCTAATTCTAGCGCAGACAGGTACCATCAAGAATTCGTTGAAGGATCTTAAGAGTCAACGATGTGAGCATCTCCAACCTGATGTCAAAATCAAAATGCACCGCGTACGTACATGTTCATAGGCCGATTTACACGCTGTACTTGCCAGTAGCGCTCCAAGATCCAGGCTGAACACACGAGCCACCACAGATTCCGGAACTTGTCCCTGGATGATTCTCAACGCCAACCCTTCTGCGATGGCCGTCTTTCCAACTCCAGGATCACCTTGAATTCGCAGGTGAGCTTGATAACTAAGTCTGTGTTGAGGTGTACATACCGAGAAGGACAGCATTGTTCTTCGTCCTTCATTCGTAGCCAATGAACATGAGCAGGTCGTGCAAAGACAAAGAACTAGGCAACTTACAGTCTAGAGAGGATTGAGACGAGACGACGAAGCTCGTAGTTCTAATCGTATTTGAGATCACAACGGAAATAAAAGTATAGAATATAACATACCCTACCAACGATGGGATCTATCTCTTCGCCCTTATCCAGTTTGTCTTGCATCATCTTCGTTACATCTATCGCAAATCTGAAAGTAAGGTGCACATTATAAGAAAGATACCATAAATGGACGAAAGAATCGCGAACTCGTTCAGAAATGCGAATCTCGGCTCTTCCTCGTGATTAGAGACATTCTCTTTGCGTAAGTCTCGAACTATGGCCGCGAGAACCTTCGTGTCGAGATGATGATCTGTCTCGAGAATTTGCTTGATATCTTCTTGCATGAACAGGGCGAGCAAGAGGTGATGAGGAGCAAGGAATGCATCACCCTAAATTGCGACATTGAAGTTCTACATTTGAGCAATTACAGTGAACTGAGGTGCACTCACAGAATCATCAGCAAAGGTCTTGGCCTGATCCAGGACCAACCTGGTTGCCTCGCAGCAATGCTCGAGAATCACCTAATTTGGTTCGACCGGCCATTTTGTTGCGAAGAACTTAGGACAAATCGTTGGTAGAGCAGGGCCTTACTTACATTGTTTCCGTCGACGTTCACCGAGGGAGGCTCAAAATGAGGGGAGTCCAACTCTTGCACTTTGGCCCAAAAGGCTTGGCCAATTGACATATGAATGGATGGTTCTACATCACTCTTCAAGTAGATATGATTCTGCAGGTGAGCATCTAGGGATTCTGGTGGGCTGAATTTGCGTGCTCGTGATATAGCAGTCCAAAAGAGAGGTCTCTCCACTTTGGACTTGTGCTCGGTCTTGGCAGCTATCAGCCGGGGATCAAGGTCGGGGTCTTGAAGACCATCGAAGAGCAGCACCAGAGCAAGGTCCAGAGGATGAATCCGAGAATTTATATCCCTCGCTTTCCCAGCGAAAAGTCGACAATTCTCCCATAATTCGTCGAGCTCCAAATTCAGAGGGTACTTAGGCTTGGGCAAGGGAGCGCTTCGCTCTGAATCAGAACCGCCGACATCATCGCTTCCAGAAGATACAGAGGCAACGGAAAGAGGAGAATTGGGTCGAACATCCATGGCGAAGTGGAGGTGGTAAAAGGCAGGTTACCGGATAATCAGTCCACTCGCAGGTTCCTGCTAGGCTATGAAGGAAGTCCGCCCACTGGTGAGGAAGCCACGTTGCGCGGGACACGACGCTGATCACAAGAAGTGGTTGGCAAAGCGCCTGTACCTCATTGAACCCGGTGTAAGCGTCTTTGTTGACTTGACTGGGAAGACTAAGGAAGCAGGGCCCGTGCGCAACCGCAGATAGTACGGAGGATCACTGGCTGGGTATGTAACCCTGTACATGTGTCCTGGGTGCGGTGCACTTAGCGCTGCGGACAGTGCCGCAGATCTAGAGAGCGCGAGTGCTGTGTCGGCGGCGGTAAAATTCACAACATGATCTTCAAGGAGCAGTGCATATCCAGGTGGCAATAATGTTCGTAAGGGTTGCATAAGAGCGAGGATAGACAGCCAGCATTCGACAGCGGACTGAAGTCGCGGCGGCCAAATGGGTCCGACTCCGAGTCGACGCATGTTACAGGCGGGCGCTTGCGATTACCACGATGTCGACAAATCACTGCCTGCGGCCGGCTGTGCTTAGAAAATGCATGGAGATTCTGACACACTGACAGAACATTCCCACTTATCGCAGCAAGTCACGACAGTGCTGCTTACTAGCATGCCGTGTAAGTAATGGGTCCAGCTCATACGCCATCATTCGCAAAGTTCTCGTGCAGGCGTGGCGAAGACAACGAGGCTGTAAGGCCGCAAACTCTGAACTTTACAGCTGCTTCCATCTGCAAGGAGCGCTCTGAACCTCTGCGCCAAACGACCACCTGCTCTTTGTCCAAGCTGTAATGTCCAGCGTGCTCTTGAATCCTGACTTTAGAGAAGGAATCTCGCTGCCTCTGAGTACATTCTACGAGGAGATACGATTACATCAGGCACAGTACAGCAAACACAGGCTCGTGAAGGCGACGCACTACAAAGAGCAAACTGCGGTGGGTAAGCATGGGGATATGTTCGGGAATTCGTATCAATGGCTGACGCGCGACGGAAAGCCCACGAGTTCCTGATTCTTGATGTCTTCGATGGGAAGCACCTACTCTCCCTGCGGGTTGAGCGGCGGCCTACTACGAAGAAGCCCGAAGGACCATCCACAACCACGTTCCCTCACCCATATGTGCGCATCACCGACGACCGCATCAGCCGCGCGCCGCCCGACTTCAAACCCTCTAGCTTCTACAAGATCGTCGTGATGCGCTGCCCCACGAAGCCGCTCTTCTCGCTTCCCGACGTGTGCACCATCTTCCACATGATATACGAAAGCTCGCCGAATTATTCCCTCCTCTCGAACCAGTGTTACTGGTTCTGTGCGGTGTTCCTCTGGGGGCTCGAGAAAAAGGTGAAGGTGGCTAAGACGAAGGGGAAGGACTATGACCTGCGCGGGACCTTCGCGAAAGCGATCAGAGTCCTTGGGGACGAGCAGGTGGAGAAGGACATCGACGAGTACAATGAGAGACTGCAGAGGGACAGAGAGGAATCGGCACTCCTGGAGCGGCTTACAGCCAAGCAAATATACTTTGTCGCGCTGGAACAGAAGCGGCGCAGCAGCGCCGACTCGACGAAGAAGACGCTGGTCGTGGTCAACCCGCTGCTCGAGACCAGCGAAAACAAGCGGAGGAGAGAGGAGCTGGCTGTCAAGTCCATGTTCGCGAAGGTCGTGCAGACTGCCGGAGATAATAGGGATGATGAGAAGGGCGACGCAGTCTTGCAGGGGTTGATGTCTCCGCTGCCGAGTCCCAAGGGAGAACGAGAGATCCACTTCGTCGCATCTCCACCCCCGTCTCCGCCATCGTCTCCGGGGAGCCTTCGTCCAACATTACTTTGCAGATGGTTTCAGCCTGGTACTGTATGATTGACTCAGGCTGAGGGTGACAGCAGGAAGTAAATTATTGGGACGATTTGCAGTATCTGTCGACTATGTATGAACAGTATATGTTATTGGGCTATGAATCTATGAACAAATTAATGACACTCACCAATCAGTAGGTTGGCCTTTATCCCGTTTTTAGGTCGCAGCGGCAGGTGAAGATGCTGAAACTGGTCCAAATTAGTTAGATAACATACCTTAGGTAACATACCGGCTCTCTTGAAACTCTGCAGTTTTTCGCGAATTATTCTGCGTGATGGAAAACGGCACATGCGCATGCCTCTGGAACGTGGAGTAAGCTAAGATGGGATCTATTCCGCGTGCTGTGAGTATCGTGGTTGAGCGCAGAACAGAGCTTGCCGTTCCGCCACGTCTCCGGCGCTCTGCAGCAACACTCGCAGGAACGTACTTCCATCCCGGACAAATTCAATCTCTCCAGCGTACATCTCGCACATGGAACACCACCACAACATCATGCGCAGAGTTCAGCAGCTATCACACCCTGACAAGAAGGGCAGAGTAGTGGCTAGCATCCTGATCAGACGCACCGTACGGTACTCACTCAGCTTTGCTCACACAAATGGAGGTGTGAGCGAGACCATGGCCACCGACATCGCATGGTTAGGAAATGTTGCGGTAGTGAACATCGTGCCATAATTTACGCAGAATGACTAATACGTTGTTAACTGGTAGTATTCATTTCTTCTTGATTTCTTCCCTAGTGGATGTATTCCCTCTGAATTTACTCCGAGTCGATGCAAGACCCAACGATCCAAGTGGAAGCGGCGGTGGCACTCGCGCGGAGCACAATCGCGCTTCAGAACGCGGTTCGCAAAAAAATTACCAGCGACGCGCGGACGCTCGGAATTGGGAGGCAAAAACAAAGGTCATTTCCTTTCTTGGCATCTCTCCTTCCCCTTTCGGCTTCCCCTTGAACGCATTTCGTCATCGACGTCATACACTTGTCTCCTTTTTGCGTCGGACCAATCAGAGCGGGCGGAATGTCCCGAGCTGAGTTTGAGTCGGGACCAGCAACACGTATTTAAGGTCGGCTCTCCTTCGAAAGGCCCATTTCATTCTCTCCCCACGTTTACCACCAGGCGCGTTGAGAGTAAGTCGTATACTAGTTTTAAGGGGTTTACCCTTCTCCCTTTCCCACTCCTGTTATTACCTTGACAGCTCTCACGTGCTCTCAGACGCTCTCACGTGCTCTCAGGATCTCGGACGCGCGAGGAACCGCCATAATTCGCTTACGGCTCCGATCCCGCCGGAGACCTTTTTCGGGGGTCGCGAAATGGTCATTTTCGGGGGCGTTACACCTAAGCTGGCGGCCTACCGGCCATTTTCGGGGATGGTATCTAACCTCGGCAGGCCGAAAATGCGCCCAGCCAGACTCGGACATCTTTTTCCGGCTCACGACGTTAGCTATTCTGGTCCAAACATCAGCCCAAAACCCAAAATTTTCTCTCGGAAAGGTCAAGTACCAGCATATTGACCATTTTCCCCCTCGGCTCCCGAGGATTTTTCAGGTGATGGATCGGACCTTTCGCGAAAGGGCCCGAGTTCGGGGATGGTTTGCACGTAAGATTTTTTCGGGTTGGGGATCGTGGATTGAAGCTTACGCCTGCGGCGGACCCATTTTCGGGGGTCCTGACGCGCCGCGTTTTGCTCAATTCGACGGCGCAGCGCCAGTCCGGCAAAACCTCAATGTGCCATCATGTCATTATGGGAACTCGGTCTTCTGCAGGAAAGAAGCCACGGGGGATCATCCGCAAACACTTAACGCTAGGTCTTGCTCAGCATAGTGATTGTTATGAATGGAGAAGGTAAGTCACCTGGAGCAGGAGGTGCACCTGATCTATATATGCACAAGGGCACCGACGGTTATGTGCCTGGAGGGGCTCCCGGCCCTAAGAGCTGGCAACTCGCACAGATGTGGTGCAAGCCTGCAGCAGCCAAAATCCTCTGTTGTGCCCCAAAATGCGGCCTTTTTGCCTTTCAATAGACCCTGATCAGGCCTCGATGAACAATAAACCATTTGTGGATAGTCAACTACATATCTCCAAAAGTAGGGCTATGTACGCACCGCCTTTTCCCCGAAGACATCCTCCACTCCTAAGTCTGTACGCCGTGGACAAGTTCGCCATGGCGGAGAACTTCAGACTCAGGTAAACCCACAGCCGTATCGATCATCCCAATTTTAGCGTCTGTCATCGGTTGCGACAGGTTGCACGCGACAGGACTCGGAGCATTGCCCAAACGTCAGACTGCGTATTGTCCTATGAGCGAACTTGCGTACACAGAGACAAAACTCCAAGCAAACGTGCACTTTCCACTCCATGAGAATGAGGCCTTCAAGCAGCATCTTCAATGCGTTCTTGCCGAGGAGATGAACACCTCAGTAGCTGTATTTTTGGCGCGTTTATAATTATCACCGTGGTTCCCGGCTAAAATTAGCACCAACCGCAGATACCATGGCCGAAGTCGACAACGTTGATCTCATTCTGTCCGGCCCTTTGGCATGCAGGGGCAGTCCCGGACTTACCCGTACGAATCGCTCTCGCTCTGCGCTTGCCCCCCTTCCGACCTCTCCGTTGTGATCGCTCGTATCGAGTGAACGCCGAATGGAGTCCATGCACCTGGGAGCCTTTCGGAGCCGGATATGCGCAGATCAGGGTTCCAAGCCAGCGTGACCCCACCCTCCCCGATGGAGGTGGTACGACAACCTCGCAAAGCGATGCAGTTTGGTACAAGAAGCCGAGGATACGAAGTCGAGCCTGCAGTCTCGTCAGTTCTCGACGGACCGAGGTGGCTCTTCCAACAAATTGAAGGGAAAAACGCGTGTCTCCCGCTCGATCCGTGGGCAGGCCGAACTTGATATTACGTAAGGCGTCGTAGAGACGCTGCAAGACAGTTGCCAGACTGACCCTAGTCGCCCTAAGTACCCCAACCTCCATCTCTCTCACGCCCGCAACTTCGTCCTACACATTCGTTTTCTTTCCCTCCGGGACGTCCTCGACCACGACCCACAAGTATAAAGTGCAACGTATCGTCGGTCCGTAACACTCAGCACGATGCGCGCGTCCCAGCTCTCGTTGCTGGCATGTTCGCTCGCTACGTTCGCTCGGACCGCGTTGGCACAGACTCACACCCCCGGTTCCTTCGAGAATGGAGGCAGCACGCTCGTCAGCGCCATGATGGTGCGTGTCTCGCTGCTCCCGCATGATCACTCGTTTGCTGAATTCTCGCGCGCAGATGTTCGTAGGCAATGAGCAGATCGTCTACATCCTGGACAAGGCAGAGGGCAATGCCGCCCAGATCAACGGGCACCCCGCTTGGGGTGCTGCATACAACATCGCTGAGCGCTCCTCGACGGTGATGCAGGTCAACACGAACGTCTTCTGCGCGTCCGGCATGCACCTGCCCAACGGGTCCTACGCGACGTTCGGAGGGAACGCAGCTATCGGCCCAGGTGGATCGATTGGCAACGTCCCGCAGCCCGGTGGTTTCGCGGGGGAGTACGACTCGGTATACGGTGATTGGTCAGGATCGCAGTCGATCCGGATCCTCAACCCGTGCACGCCGGATGAGTTGGACCAACCGCAGTGCCAGTGGTTCGACAACGTCACCATCCTGGCGATGCAGAAGCAGCGGTGGTACTCCGCGGCGGAGCCTCTGGGGGACGGTACGATCGCGATCATCGGTGGATTCGTGGAAGGAGGGTACGTGAACAGGAACTACCCAAACGTCGATCCAGAGACCGAGGGCGGGGCGGCTGAGCCGACGGCGGAATTTTATCCGAGCAAAGGTCCAGCGCAGGTGATGAACTTCATGGTCAAGACGTCGGGTTTGAACTCGTACGCACACTCGTATCTGATGGCGTCGGGCAAAATGTTTGTGCAGGCCAATTACTCTTCGAGTGCGTCGTTCCTCCGTGTCTCGGTTTAGAGTCTGATTGAGGGGTTGCAGTCCTATGGGAACCGTTACAGAATACGGAGGAAGATCTCCCAGACATGCCGGACGATATCATCCGTGTCTACCCCGCGTCCGGCGCGACAGCGATGCTCCCGCTCACACCTGCGAACAACTACACACCGACGATCATGTTCTGCGGCGGCAACAACATGAGCGACTTCTGCTGGGGCAACTACTCTTGGCCGTTTTGTGACACGTTCGACATCCCGGCGTCAGCTAAGTGCCACCAGATCACGCCAGAACCGACGGATGGCTCTGCGGCTCAGTACGTAGAGGATGATGACATGCCCGCCCCCCGTACGATGGGCCAGTTTATTGCGCTCCCTAATGGAAAGATGTTGGTCGTCAATGGCGGACGCAACGGCACGGCTGGATACTCGCAGCGCACGTTGAATGTTCCGACGTTCGGCCAGATGCCCCTTGGGGAGTCTCTGGCTGCTGGGCCAGTGGGACTTCCCGCTCTTTACGATCCCACAGCTCCTTCTGGTTCAAGGTGGTCCACTGCGGGATTCTCCACTTCGAATATCGCCCGTCTGTACCATTCGTCCGCGATCCTCCTCCCCGATGCGTCCGTGCTTATAGCCGGGTCGAACCCGAACATCGATGTCAACCTCTCAACTATATACCCCACGACGTACCAGGCCGAGGTGTTCTACCCTTCGTACTTCTCCGCACAGACGCGTCCTGTCCCGCAGAACGTTCCGAACAACCTGTCATATGGTGGTAACCCATTCGACATTATGATCCCTACGACTTCGTATTCGGGAGATGCCAACGATGCCGCTGACAATACCACTGTGTGGCTCATCCGTCCCGGTTGGACTACACACGCGATGAACATGGGACAACGCAGCCTCCAGCTGAACAATACATACACGGTCAACACGAACGGTTCCATCATTCTGCACGTCTCGCAGTTACCCCCGAACGCCAATCTCTTCCAGCCCGGCCCTGCCCTCCTCTTTGTCACGATGTCAGGCATCCCCAGCAACGGCACGTTCGTCCTTATCGGCACGGGCGACTTCGGCACACAGCCCCTTTCCCTAGCATCCGTTCTGCCCGCGAGCGTGCGCCTGAACAACGTGTCGGGCAGCGCGAATGGTGGTTCGGGGAACAGCTCGTCGTCGAGCAGCGCGAGCTCCGCGTCGCAGACGAGCGGCACGTCTCACACGGGTGCAATTGTTGGGGGTATCGTTGGCGCGGTCGCCCTCGTCGGGATTCTCGGTGCGATATTTGGTATTTATATGGCGCGGAAGCGCCGCGCAGCCGCTCAGCAGCCGGCGTCGGCGTACCAAATGTCCACGACGCCGGGGTATGCTGGCGGCGCGAGCGCGACAGCAAACCGTGGACTGCGCAGTTCTGACTCGAGCGCGTTTGTGCCCCTGCAGCAGGATAATAGAAGCACGGCGTGGGACGCGAACGTGAGTACTGCGAACCTCAACACACCGTACCACGACGACGTGCGCGGGACGGTGAGCAACGAGTTCGACCCTTACTACCAGAACGTGCCGCGCATGAGCACGAGCACGCGGCCTGCGTTCTAGTGGAGTGTATTTTATTCGGACATGACTTATACTTGACCCTTGACCCATCCTCCTCAACGATTTTCCATTACTTACCACTTGTCTCACCCTCTTTTAAACCTTGTCTGCACGTTGGCATGCGGGCTTGTCGTTCGTTGGGGTCGAGCACACATACTCTATAGGTTGGCTTAGAATCCGTGTTATACCATCTCGTTTCTCACATCTCACTGCATTCGCTTTTTTTTTGCAGCCGTGCACTGGCTTCGCTGTACTCAAATCGAATGCGCCCTCTGCGTTGTCGTCAAATCTCGAGTCAAGGACACTATTGTTGTCGTAGATCACCATCGTTTCCTGCGTCCGGAGCTTGCGAGGACTCGCGTTTGCAGTAAGTAAGTTAGCTGGTAGAAATCAATCGTAATCGCTGCGTGCGGTGCAGTGTGCCTGTCTCTCCCATTCAGTGACGGCGGACGGTATCCCACTCGCTATATATGTATGTCAACGCGGGTTTGATCACATCCGTTAATGGAGGGCAGGCTCGGAACTTTTGCTGTCGTGATTCTGGTATCGGAGATGCATATGCAGTGCGTCGTGCCTTGTTCTTGACTGGCATATGGGTGCGTCTCTCTACAACTGCGACGCAAGCACAGCTGAGTGAGTATTGTGCAGAATGTGTCCGATTTTTCATCAGCATCAGGATGCTTGTTCGTCACTAATCCGCGCCTTTGGTTAGGCCCTGATAATTGCTGGGCCCTACACGTAGTTCCCGTACTCTGCCAACTTGGTTCTACGCACGAGCTGCATCAAGGCGGAAGTTGGTTTCCTGAGGAGTTTCGCGGCGACACTTCGACGACTATGTGGAGAGCTACGGTTGCCACGAGTCTTGCTGGAGGCATAACGGAACGTGCATACCGCCCGGCGGCGGTGCATGAATGCGTAAGCTGCGGTCTGTGCTCGGCCACGAAGCTAAAACATACTGAGGATACTGAGGAGACCTTATCTCACCCAATATTCCCAAGCATCCGTCCGCGGTGGTATCCTGTAGACTCTCAAGAGAACTGGCACATCGTCCGAATCCTGATTTCGGCCTTGTTCAGTGTCTCCTTGCTCCTCCATTTGTACATAAGAATAGATAGAATCGCATCGGTGCTGCGCAAAATCGAGGGTTGTTGCGAAAATGTTCCGCATCGCGTTCTCCGGCGCTGTTTGACATGAGGTGTAGAAGTCACTTGCATAGGGTGTCTGTTCCCATACGCTTCCATGCGATCGCGATATTCTTCTGACATGCTTGAAACTTCCTGGCGCTATTACGGGCTGACACGAGGTGAAAAACTGCAGAGGATTGTCCATGTAGGGTGCCGTGCAGAACCGTGCAGCAGCGTGCAATGGCATCACAGCGGCATGTTTGGGGGACGAGGATCCACCGCTTGGAACGGTGCCGACATGAAAGTTCGCTCGTAGTCGCATATCGAATTGGCTCATACATCATGCTGCCTGGCGCCGCATGCATGAGCTCCACCAATCTGTACTGACTACAGGACCACTCACTGTCGGATTTCGCATAAGAATACCGGCCTGCCTCTCCTATTTTCAACATTCAAACCGCAAGTCATCATAACCCGGCATACCACGCCGCCACCCGCCGGCCCTGCCCTCCTCGCGCACTCGCAACCGCGCGAGTACCTCCGCCCATGCGCAACACATCCCACCGACGCCTTCGTACAGGCTATACGGCCGGTCAGGAATGAGCATCTCCCCCTTCTGTTCGTAACCCCGATACGCCGTTGCGCGCAGAGCGAGGTCTGCCGCGCGCTCCAGCCAGTACGCATCGTGCTGAGCTTGGTCTCGGTCATTATCCGGATCTAGCACGTCCGCGACGGCGAGCAGCGCGTACACGCTCCCGGCGACTCCGTGGCAGAGCCCGACGCCCTTTCGCAGCAATCCCCGTGTGTACACGAGCTCACCCCCACGCTTGAGCGCCGCGATGGCTGCCTCCCGCAGCTTGGCGCTTACAGGGAGCACCGGCCCCCCGCGCCGCAGCAGGCTGGCGAGGAGGATGAGTACTCCAGGGGCGCCATGGCACCATCTACATCACAGTCTCGGTGAGCGTAGAATAACAGTCAGGTGGTCGGCGTACTGCACGAGCGAATCGCACGCATCGTCTTCGACGCTGACGCGCTTCGCTGCTCTGCTCGTGGCGCTTCCGCCCGCGGTGCGCGCCATGTGCCGCCCTGCTTTCGATGGCCAGTTCCCCAGAGGCTCCTGGATCGCAAGCAGCCACTCGACCGTACCCAGGACTGCGACCCAGTGTGGAGCAAGCGCGACTGTCGGGGAAGATACCAGCATCTGCAGGATTCCCGCTGCACGCTGATGTCAGTTATGCTACGGACAGCACAGGGAAGAGAGACATACAGACGCCATGCGCCCCGCCGAGGTATCGCTTTCCGTGCCAAGACCACATCAACGGCGGGGCGTGCGCCCGCTCGTCCTTCTCCAGCTCTTTCTGGAATTCCTGCGCCCCGAAGCGGCCGCGCTGCACAATGTCATCAACTAATGTCCGGATGTGTGTGTCCGAGGTTAGCTGAGCGACGATGTCGCGCACGGTGGACGATTCCTCTGATCCCGTGAGCTCGGAGCGGAGTAGCAGCAGCGCGTACAAGAGCCCTGCACGCCCGTAGAGGACCTCGCACCCGTCATCGTCGACCTCTTCCCGAAGCGCTACCCGAAGCGCGCCGTCGAGGAGCCGTATGCAGTCTTTCCAGGCCCCAGTGTCGCGCGGCTCGTGGAGCTGCTGGATAAGAAGTAGCGTCGCGGGCCCCACGCTTGTCTCCAGAAACGAGGCTTGCGCCCCGGTACGTGGTGGTGAGAATGGGCCGGGAGTGAAGGTCTGCGGGGAGTATGCCTTCGGCAGTACCAGAGAGGGAAGGACGAAGGCGACATGCCAGTCCGTCAACAGCGCCCCTGTCAAGGTGTCGATGTTCATTTACTGCGTCCGATGGGTGATCAGAGTAATCGAAACGCACCTGCCGAACCGAGGTACACGCCGGGCCTGGAGGATGGATGTCTGCGCAGACGCTGCAGGTTGGATATGAGTGCATCGTGGATGGTGTCCGCCGCTGAGGACAGGTCGGTCGGCGGTTGGTTAGGGTGCGAGATGTAGCGAGTTGGGTGCATTCTATGTCTGTGATCAGTACATATACTTAGTGGTCGAGGTGAATAGCGTCGTGACCCAAGACAGTCGGGCCTTCGACGTCTCGACATTGATACAGAGCCTGAGTTTCAATGAATATTCGGTCGACGATGATGTCATGAGTAAATTACTTCCGCTAGCTCCACGAGATCGATCTTGATCTTGGAAAATCCGCGCGAGAGTTCAATATTTCAATGGCCAACATGTACTACCGTCGGAGCACGAGAAATATATGGGCAAGTATATGCGGTATCGCATGTGTTAAATGGTACGAACGACGCATACTCAGTGACACCTTGCGAAGTGAGAATTATGCTGTCCAGAATAATTGGGATGAAACGCGCCTTGGCTTTGTTGCACATAGAAGAAAGAGTTAGATAGTGGAGATCTGAACCAGAGGAACAGCTCAGGCAGCGTCGCAGCATCGAGACGTGCCCCTACATATGCGAAGGATATGACCATACTCAATTATTCCCAGTAGAATGGGGAGATACAATCTTGCACCCCGACGTAACAAGAATACGGTGAGATCTTGAGAGGCAGGCCAATTGAATCAATTAGACGTTGATATACAGTAGCTGGTGCGCCTTCAGTCGGAGTATCCGGCAATATTTTGTTCCCAAATCGGTATTCCGTTGCGTTTACCCGACTCAAAAACGCAATGAGTCAAGCATGATTTATCTTGGCTCGGCAGGTCACTAAGCATTGCACAAAAGTTCAAAGCGAGGACGGACCTTCGGACGAAGGCCATTTTGCGTGCGTTTACAGAGGGATGTCCTATCGTGATCGTGAGAACATTTCGTTGCGGTGCGTGATTCTAAACCAACAACAACAATGAATGTTACCTCAGTACCTGGACTACCCCATCCTTCGCAATCTGCTCCTACCCTTACATCAACCAACCAGTTCTTGCCTTCATCTCAAGCTCCTCAACCAACCGCTCCAACCATTCTTACAAAACACTAAAAAATGTCTGACCCCAAGCCATTTACAGAGGTTTACGACAAGTGAGTTCTTGTTTGTGCCGTCGACGCGCTCACTGCTCACCTTTAATGTCAGATATCCAAACGCCAGCATTATTGAGAGATATCAAAGGTTCATTTTGTTTCTCTGACGCGTTGTGATGGCGAACTTACGCCGGACCAGGAGCCTTGACGAAGGGTATCCGCCATTCTACGGCTATTTAGCAGATAACCTATTAGCAGATGGTGGAGATGTCTATGTCGTGGCAGCGTGGCAGAAAACTCTGCAGCTTGCGCCAAATGAGCTGCAAGAGCAGCTTGATTCAGAAAGCGTAGAACCTGAAGACCCCATCTATCTCATATCGGTCGATCCAGAGACCACACCGGCCTTTCAATGGGACGAGTTTATCGATGTTCCTGAGGAGCGTTCCGACGTTCAGCACCCTAGCTTAACCACACCCAGGGGTCCCGGTTTTATTTGCACCCAGGGGGAAACAGGGTACGTCGCATTATTTATTCGTGCCATGCATATACTCATTATAGCTTGTTTCTATAGGTCTGAGGACGAAATTGGTTGGGTATACCAGTCTGTGGTGTCTCTGGACCTTGACCAAGTCCATGGAGTAGAAGGAGGACCTGCCAGAGAGTGAGCACTTGTTTTCACGTTCACATTGAATGAGCATTAATCTCTGTGCCAGCGTGTTGATGCTCGAATCCAAACAATTCGATCTGAACGCGTCGCGTTGTCGCCAGGCAGCCGCTGTCTCGGTGTTGGGCCTTTGGCCCCAAATTGAGCAGGAAATCGCCCGCCTCAGGGCGGACGCGGGCCTTTTCTACCTTGCAGATGCAACAGGTGAACCTCTTCTTTCTAGCACGGTGCAAACCCATCTAGTCGAGCCCGTCCATAATCCCAAGAGGACGCCCAATGGGCAACTGGTTTCGCCGAAAGTTCAACCAAATTTTGCCCATCTAGGCCTCCGTACGCCCGATACAGCGCTCGTAAGAGCCTCACCCAGTGAGACAGATGCCGTCGATCGTCCTCGATCCCAGAGATCTCGGCGCAGACGGGACTTACCCGAAAACAATGTGGATATCGCTCATCCCGGGGGAGCCTACCGCCATGAACGCCCAAGAAAGCACAATGGTTCTCCGTACCCAAGCGAAAATCCACGTCGCAGAGGCCATCTGAAGGTCCAAAAGAACGCGCCGTAGACCGTGCCTGCACATTGGACTACCACGGTGACGTGGCCTGTGTCTTTTGATCACAGCGATGCTGGGAGCGATGGAGACATGTCGATGCCATTAATCCCCTCGTGCCAGCCCCAAAAGTTCTTACTGGGAGGTGAGGTACATGTACACGCCACTTTTCCTATGTGCGTAGCTCGACTGGCGCTGAGTTCGCTTTTTCTTTACTTCGTTTCTATGTCTTGGACTCCGTATGTGTGCACAGTTTCGATACCCTACATGTTTTCTGTACTAGAGTATACGCGATGGGCTCGAGGATTGATCCTCGTGCTCACCGCATATACAGCCTCTCGCTGAGACGCGTTCGGCTGTGGTCTCCACCTGATTTTGGCCAATTCACTTTCTGTTCAGTGTCTTCTTGAGTGTGATCACATCCGGCCAAGACTGTCAATCGGTGCACACAGCCAAATGCCATTGAGGGCCGAACCGACCCACCGCATTGAAACGAAAATAGCACAGACTGACTACTTCTACAGCGCAATCCAAGTTGGTTACGACCGGATGCTGCTCAATCTGATGGTAGATATATCGCCGTTATGCTCTTCTTTGAGTTAATACTGCACAGGTCATCCAAGTACTGCACAGTTCATTGGGCAGTCGTTTCTAAGTTACGGCGCATTGTGACGGTCCTATCCACTTCCATTCTAACTCTTCAATACGGTCAAACACTCACATGTGAGATCTCAGACCTCACATATGACGGGCCGCGCTGTTTATGACATGGTAACCTGCTTCTCCGTCTTGGGCGAATTATCTTACCTAGGTTGCAGAGATTCTGGTTGATCCATCTCACTGATGCTGGGGCGCTGTCGACGAAAAGAGCTCACGCAATCGAGGTTAGGGGTGACACGCAATAGGGGGGCATTACCATCACCTACTAGGTTGCGAAAGAGTCAAACTCCTACAGAATTTCAAGTATCTCTGCGGCCAGGTCTCTTCTTTCTTATTCTTCTCTTCTCGGTTTCTGGAGCTACCTGCCGAGCCTTTTGCCCCTATTCACTGGTTGCTTCCGCCTCGGATGTGAACGTGTTGGGTAATGCAACGCGCTGCGCCTGGACTAAAGCGTCCACGATCGACGAACTCAGGGCGGATGTACTTTTGCGGCCGGTCCGCTTGCCTCCTCGCATTAGCTGCACTCAGGGGTAGCTTGCATATAACCATCGGACCTGCAAGGTCGCTAAATCCGTTCACCTTCATTCCATTTCACCCAACGCCAACATGACATCGTTGCAATCAGACACCGGCCGCTCGCTTGTTCGCGCAGGGATCATCTTGCAGCTCTGCGGTCTCATCTGGGGATTCGCAGTCCAAGGAACGCCGTTCCCGAGGCTCGGCCTCACGGCGCACATCCAATGCATGTTGATAGGTGCGTTGTATGTATCGAAAGCTGGATAGGGAGCCTGAGTCACTCGATGGGGCAGGGAACATGCTCATCGTATACGGGCTAATCCTCCATCAACCGGGCTTGGTCAGCCTCAAGTTTGGGACTCTCCAAGTCAAGATCATCCAGTGGGGTATGCTTGCCGTCTACATAACGATGGCGTCTGAGATGTTGAATGCATTTTGGTGAGCTCGGCTGCGTGATGTTTTGGCTACGTCTGACGAATACCTCAGGGGAACAAACCAAATGTTGCCCCAGGTTCGTCGATCAATTTTCTGAATTTATATTCCCCTGACCTCTCTAATCTACAGGCAGCCAAGGCCGCTGGCGCTGTAGGCGGGTTGCCATGGCAAGAGCAACTTGTGACGTTCGCGCATATGTTCCCCTCGTTCACCCTCATCGCAGCTGTTACCGCTGTCGTTGTGGGAATGGGTGGTCGGGAGCAGGCCAAGAAGACTGCCTGATAGCTGAGTACAGTAACGTTTGTGAGTCGGAGCTTCCGGGTCACGACGTTGAAGACAGTGGTCCTAGTATATGTATCAGTTTTGTGGTTTCTCCAGGATTCAAGCTTTTTTTTAGCGTACATAGCCTCTTTCAGTCCTTGTTATGCTTCAATAATGCCGGTGATCTCTGCTACTCACATACTGAATTCGAAGTTGCGGGCGGTAACGACAGAGAACAGAGAACGGATGAATTCGAACCGACTACGCTACACAAGATAGCTCAGGTACATAATACCTCGTCGGACGGTGAGTCGCGTGACGAAGGTGTGACGCGCGCGAGTGTCAGTGTCACGGGCGCGTTCGCGGCGTTCACAGTCGTTTTCCCGTCAATCACCACCATGCAGACCCCAGGCAGGTCATCGTCGACACCCATACGAGCAATTACGTCAAAAATATCTACCCGCTCAGCACCGCCATTACCACCGGCATCGCAGACGTATGAACCTCTGGTTAAAGCTATTCTGCGCCACCGCTTGCTGTACAACATTTTTCTCTGGTCCTTGTTCTCGGCATGGGTCCTGACGGCTTGGTGGTCGACATGGTGTCAAGGAAGGGTGGAAATTTTATCAGCTGTCGGCAATGTACTTGCACCGAAAACATTAGCATTCACGCTGGCGACTTGGATGTCGGCCGTCTTACCTGCCGTTGTTCTGCGAAATAGGTATATGACAGGTCAGCCGATCGTTCCTCGTAATCGTACAGAATAGGGTGTTATCCACAGCTAGAATCGATTGAACCTGAGCTGGTGGTGCATCCGGGATGCGTTCGTCCATAATGCAGATCGTTGATTTCATTGTGTAGTGATCCCTACCGTGGCACCCTCTCCCTCGAAGACCTTCCGCAATGCGCTTGCCAAGCGCAGTACTTCTCATGCTCTCCTCACGTATATCAATTCCGCCATCTCGCTTGGGATCATCCATGTCTTGATGAATTACACCTATGAGTCTGCCGCTAGCGGTAGCCCACGTCTTACACTGTTTGTAAAATCGAAGTATGTCTGTTCCCACTTCCGCGAATTCTATCTATACTCACATGATTTGGCCAGAAAGCACCCATATTACCTTAATGGTGCTGTACTGTACCTTTTCTGGTCGCAAACGACGTTAGCACTAGCATATCTTCTGCGTGATATTCTCCTTGACCGTTTTGCGATCCGTTGGCCGGACTCATGGACGGTGCTGGTGAGTATGTTTGATCTGACCCTTCACTTCCATGCGGATGAATACTGATACTTTCTAGGCCGTCAATCATCAGATGCAGTCTTTCCGTCTCGCGCATATATTGACGTCGTCCGCTACTCTCCTGCTTTTCACAATGTTCTGTACTGTGGGAAATATAGCCCTCTTTGGGCTCTCACGTTCAGTCGTCCTCCCACTGTTATACACGCTGCCCATCGTGCCTCGCATCCTCCGACCGTTTTCCGCGCATTTTCTGAGGGGTTCCTGGACGCTGCTTTTACTCCCGCGCCATTTCTCGCTGGTCATCCGGACCTTCTACCTTGGCTTAACAACTGTGGCCTTCTGGGAATTCGCCGAGAGCTCGTATCATGAGGTACGACTATGTACCAGCTGAGAGTATGTTGCTCTCTCTTCATTAACAATATTCCACTGTCAGGCGATACACGTCTCACATAACACAGCAGACCCTGCTTTGACCCTCGTCTCAGGCATCACCTCGTCGGATCCATACTTCAAGCACTTGGCCTATGCCGAGCTGAAGCAGTTGGCACGCGAGGATTCTCCTGCCGCGAGTACGCGCCGCTCCGCACTCTTCGAAGACCAGAAATACTATCCGAACATGTGGTCGTGCTTGGTGCGCGACGCCTTGTTGACCCTAGGGGAAGACTATCAGCTTCTGCTACGGAGAGGGAAACCAGCGCCCCCACGTATGTGCAATCCTGACCATGATTCGTGCGCTAAAACTAACATTCGTATGTTCCACAGCAGTAGCAGCACCAGTACCATCGAAGCCGGCCGTTGCGCCTCCAATTCCTGCCACCCCGCTGATTCGTGCGCCCATCCTGAAATCATCGCCCGCTTCGCCTTTGCGTGCCGCACTTGACACGCTCGCTTCAGATGGGCCGTTTTCCACCGTCGCCGCCTCCACTGAGGCCGGTGCTTCGCAGATCCCCGAGCTCTTCCGCTCCGTCTTCCCCGCACAGCCTGCAAGAGATTCTGCTTCGAGAGTGGTGAAGAAGGGGGAAGAGAAGATCCTCGGGATGTTTGAGCCCGTGAAGGCGTTGTGGAAAAGGCGGCTCAGTACCACCTTGCACCCCACCGCTCCACAGGCTGTCGTGGGTGCACTTGTGCAGGTCGGCGACTGGTGGACGAGGGAGAGGGTCAACAGGGTTGCGGAGATGAGTTTGCCGAATAGGCGTCTTGATGCTCTGATTGTTGACGGTGAGTCTGCGTGTCTCTCCCGTTGTGTCCCGTCGAGCCCTTACGTTACTCCACTGTGCGGACGGATTACTCTAGTCTTGTGTCATCTGACGTGCGCATCGCTCACGGAGGACCTCTTTGGGGTCGTGCAGCGGGATATACCCAAGATCATCGAGGCTATTCTATCTTTCCTCACCGCGTTAGAGGAGTACCAGATGGAGCTCAATAAGCTATATATCCCGCCTTCACCGGAAGAACTCGACAACTTGTCTGCCAAGGAGTTGGCCGCAAAGGCACGTCTCGCCGAAGAGGTCGCGCGGGCAGGCGACGTGTTAAGCGAAGTCACCGATGGTGGGTCAATTCACTTTTGCTTCGTCACTGTCGAACGAGGCTACTAAATGAACCGTTGACTGACGCTTCTGTTGCCTCAGTGCTCAAGGACGGCATCGTGGAGATCGTAAAGACGTTTGGGGAAAAGTTGGAGGCGTTCAAGTTTCCGCCTCGGATATCATGGAAATTGCAGGGCTTTGTCGACTATATTTAGTATGCAGCAAGTAGCCTTCCTTTCCGCATTCACCGTGGGTCTGTGTGTGAATGCGGAGTCCACGGTGGCTCAATCCTGGTGTCCCCAGGGTGTCGTGATGAGTTGACATTGCCGCCCTTGCTGAGTGTACAATTTGATGCAGCTACGGAATCACGTCAAGTCCTGCTGAGGCGGTCAGACGATAGGAACGCTTGTGCCTGTTCGCTGGAAAGCAGTTGCCAGCAGCGTGGAGGTCATGAGTATCGATACCCTCGGCGACCGATGGGAATCGCTTTGCGTTGGTTTTGACTCTACACTCCCTCTCACGAGCGACGCTCACGACGGATGTAGGTGTGCGTCAGACTCCAGCATCTTCAGTTCATACAGACCGGTGCCGTATCGCGCTAGAATGGCCGCAGGTCGCATAACTGTATCAGGGCAGCTTGGTGCGATAAGGATGAGTCACAGCTCATTTTTTTTAGTTTTTCGCAGTTCCTTACAGCATCCCTTGACTGATTGGCATTCTCTCTCCAGACATGGCTAGCGATAGCGTTGCATCCTTCCAGACACTTAGCTCCCGCTATACATGCCATGAGACTGCACCTTGATACCGAACCAACCAGCACCGACATTCGGAATATGTCGTTGAGAGAGTTGAGCGAGGCAGGCTGCCTTCTCTCCCTCCAACCACCAGCGCATTCTGGATAGATCGTTCAGTCATTTACGACGAGATGGGTCTGCGCCGTGAAAAGTCTCCCGGGGTAGTGGCACAGCAGAGAACGTCCAAGCTAGAGTGAAGGCATTGATACTGGGGCCATTGCGCAGACACGGTCGACCTGCGCGATTCGCGACTCGCTTCGAGGTCACATGCAAACGTATCTCCGCCATGCAGAGCGATCTACATGTACAATGTGTGCATCTCTCTCGTGAATTCGACGGTATACAGACCCGCGGCGACAATATCCTTCCGTTGCCTACCGAAATTCTGAACTTGTCTAGTCATCCACAGAAATTCTTTCGATTCATGCGGGCTGAAAGCACACGTGTTCAATTGCATTCTCAGCTAATGACACCTGTTCATCGCTCATCAGCTAAGCAAGACTTCTTTCTCCGAACCCGGAGCGCAAGCAACTGTATCTGCGAAGAAAGAAGTGCCACAGTCGGAAGCGACTTGCTCCAAGCGGAAAGCCCGCCTGACAGGTTCGCCTTGGACCCTTTAAACAAGCTTCAGAGGAAAGCAGGGCGGTCTCGTAATGAGCCACCTCATCTGACTGTGCTGACCCATCTCCACATCGCTGATTGTACGTCTCCCAAGAATGATGCCTTGAGCTTCCGAGGCAATCATAAAGAGACGACTGTCTGCCTGGCTTCGCATACAGCCTCAGCTACACAATTCCTTCGACAATGTCTACCACTAGCGCCCGCGCAGAAAAACTTCTCGCCCTTGTGGATCTTGTAACAAATGCTGCTCAGGTGGTGATACAAGAGTGGACGAAGGAGGACGCTACTGGCGGCCAGAACGCTCTCCCGTCCATAGATCTCGCCAAGGCTCAGCGCACCATCTTGGCCGCTTTCGGCTCCTTCACAGAGCTTGTACAGGTGCCCCAGAGACGCATCGTAGAAGTAGCTACCCAATTCTTCGAGGCCCGGGCGTTGCACATCGCGGTCGAGCATCGTGTCGCCCATCACCTTGCCAAGGTGGACCAGGCGGTAGGAATGTCCATCACTGAGCTCAGCAAGGCCACCGGTCTCCACCCGAAAAAGCTTTGTGAGCTGTCTTTCCCCTGATGGGCGCGGCTTGTGACTAATGAATGCTTTCAGCGCGCATCCTGAGAACCCTCTGCTCCATGCATATTTTCGCTGAAGTTCAAGACGGATATTTCGCCAACAACACGGTCAGCGCAATGATCGCCACTGATGAGGCCGTTGAAGCATACGTCCTTTTGGTGTGAGTAATTTGTTATCGTTGTTTACTTTGATTGACTGTGCTTAGGGCTTGGAATTATTACCCAAACTCAGCAAAGCTACTAGAGTTTGTTGGTGATCCTGTCAAAGGCTGGTCCCACTCTGTGACCGATTGTGCTTTCCAAGAGGGACATGGTACCAAGCTATCTTTCTGGGACTGGCTCGAAGAAGGTATCATACAGCCCGACGGCAGCGTCAAGCGGCGGCCCAGCTTGGAATGGTTCACTCGCATAATGGTTAATACCGGTCGTCTCGTCGGAACCCCACCCTTCTACGGTAAGCCGTACATAGTTGCTGTTGTGCCTTTCAAGTCTTTAGTAACGCTCATGACACTGGTAGACTTTCCATGGGAATCGTTAGGCTCTGCAACCATGGTTGATGTGGGTGGTGGCGTTGGTATGCCTTTTATAGACGTAGGACGAGCGTGACCACTGACACAGTATATTTACAGGTGGGATGAGTTTCGATCTCTGCAATCATTTCCCTCTCCTCAATTTCATCGTCCAGGATCGCCCTGCTATAATCGAAAAGGCTGAACCCGTGTGGCAGCGCGAACGACCAGAAGCACACAAGGCTGGTCGGGTTAAATTCATGGCCCATGACTTCTTCACCGAGAACCCTGTGAAGGGTGCCGATGTGTACCTTCTGCGTCACATCCTGTAAGTCTATACCTCGTCCCCTCTCATTCAGCTCCGCTTAGCAATCGCGTACAGCCATGACTGGGAAGACGACCGCTGTGTCGACATCCTCTCCGCTATTCGCCCTGCGCTCTCCGCGAACTCACGCGTGCTGATCGTGGACTTAGTAATGAACACAACGTTGGGTTGCCCCGAGCTACCCTCCGCACCGTTCCCTCTTCCTGCAAATTACGGCGCTTCGACTCGTTTCGCTCACCAGTCTGACCTGATAATGATGTCCTTGGTCAACGGCGAGGAGCGCGTCCCGAGCGATTTCCGGTCGATCGCTGAACGGGCGGGGCTCGAGGTTACCCGCATCTGGGAGTGCCCCGGAGATTGCATCACTGAGATGCGGCTGCCATCTGCGAGCCGGTAGAGAGCCAGGATAATTGCGCCGTTAAGTATCAATTAGATGGAGATAGGCATTGGCCTCCCTGTAGATACGTACTGTACGGGATACTGTCTGTACCGCATTTCAATTATTCAGACATACCTGCGGAAGGCCAAGTATTATGTAAACAGCTCCAATTTTGGGTTCCTCACAGCATCTTTTGATTTTGATTTCTCTCCGGAGACACGATATAATAGTGTTGTGACTTCCATCCATCCATGTATTTAGCTCCCGTTCTGATACATGCTATCACAAGTACTATAGCTTGATGCCACACCAACCAGCGCTAACCTTGAGAAATGATATGTTTTGTCGAGCAAATTAAGCAAGGTGTACAGTCTTCTGAGCTTCCCTCTCCAACATCACTGCATTTTGGGCAGATCGTTCAGGATTTGATTGTTACCGGAGGTACTTACTACTCATAGGTAGCTACAATTTTTGATGTACCTTATGCATCTGCATGCTCCCGACCGCCATATCAAATGCGATGTCGTTGCTCGCTGATGCTCGCCGTGCACTGTTTGCTCTGACACAACGAGATGGATCAGTGCTGTGAAACGACTTGCGGAGCAGTGGCACAGCAGAACCGAGCCAGAGCCACGGCATTGACACCGGGGCAACCATTTGCACTAGTACGTGACTCCGCGAACGCGTCGAGGTCACATGTATGCGCGCCCGACACAAACGCGCAAGTTCCGCAGAGCGATTAACATGTACAACGCGTGCATCTCTCTTGCGAATTGGATAGTGTACACACCCGCAGCGACAGCTGCATATTATTACGTTGCCTACCGAAATTCTGAACTTGTTTACTCAGTGACCCCTTTTGTTAGTCATGCGGGCTGAAAGCTCGCACATTCAATGGGTTGTGAGTGTTGCACTTGCCTTCGCATAGATGTTACTCATTACTGCTGAGGAGATATAGCCATCTTCTCAGCTTATGACAGTCATTCATCATTCCTCGGTCAAGCAAGACTTCTCTCTGCGAACCCCGAGCGTGAGGTCGTTCCTCGTTCCTCGGTCAAGCAGCTTCTCCCTGCGAACCCCGAGTGTGAGCAACCATATCTTCTAAGAAAGAAGCACCACAGTTGGAAGCGACCTTCCCCAAGCGGAAAGCTGAACCCTTCTGACAGGTTTGCCACAGATTCCTTCAACAACATCAGAAAAAAATCAGGACGGTCTTGTACTGTAATGAGCCGCCTCATCTGTGTGCTGACCCATCTCCACATCGCTGACTGTACGCTTCCCATGAACGATGTCTTGAGCTTGCCGAAGCAGTCATAAAGAGGCGACTACTTGCCTGGCTTGGTATACAGGCTCAGCTGCACACAATTCCTTCGACAATGTCAACCACCGGTGCTCGCGCAGAAAAACTTCTGGCTGTTGTGGATCTTGTTACAAATGCCGCTCAGGCGATAATAAAAGAATGGGCTAAGGAGGACGCTGCTAGCGGTCAGAACGCTCTTCCGTCCGTAGACCTCTTCAAGGCTCAGCGCACCATCTTGGCTGCCTGCGGCTCGTTCACTGAGCTCGTACAGGTGCCCCAGAAGCGCGTCATCGAAGTTGCTGCCCAATTCTTCGAGGCCCGGGCGTTGCACATCGCGGTCGAGCATCGCGTCGCCCATCACCTTGCCAAGGTGGACCAGGCAGTAGGAATGTCCATCACTGAGCTCAGCAAGGCCACCGGTCTCCACCCGAAAAAGCTTTGTGAGCTGCCTTCATCTTCATGATGCGACTTGTGACTAACAATTGCTTTAAGCGCGCATCGTGCGGGCCCTCTGCTCCATGCATATTTTTGCTGAAGTTCAAGATGGATATTTCGCAAACAACACAGTCAGTGAGACGCTTGCCACCGACGAGGCCCTTGAAGCATACGTCCTTTTGATGTGAGTAATCCGCTATCGTTGTCTACTCTGGCTGACTCCGTTTAGGGCATCGGATTATTACTCGGTCTCGGACAAGTTGCTGAAGATTATCGGTGATCCTGTCAAAGGCTGGTCCAACTCTGTGACCGACTCCGCTTTCCAAGAGGGACATGGTACCAAGCTGTCTTTCTGGGATTGGCTCGAAGAAGGTGTTGTACAGCCCGACGGTAGCGTCAAGCCGCGGCCCAGCTTGGAACGATTCACTCTCTCGATGGTCAATGCTAGTCGTCTCATCGGAACCCCACCCTTCTACGGTAAGCCGTACATAGTTACTGCTGTGCCTTTCCGTAACGCTTGATACTGGCAGACTTTCCATGGGAATCGTTCGGATCTGCAACAATGGTTGATGTGGGTGGTGGCGTTGGTATGCCTTTTGTTGACGTAGGACGAGCGTGACCACTGACACAGTATATTTACAGGTGGAATGAGTTTCGATCTCTGCAATCATTTCCCTCTCCTCAATTTCATTGTCCAGGATCGCCCTGCCATAATCGAGAAGGCTGAACCTGTGTGGCAGCGCGAACGACCAGAAGCACACAAGGCTGGTCGGGTTAAATTCATGGCCCATGACTTCTTCACCGAGAACCCTGTGAAGGGTGCCGATGTGTACCTTCTGCGTCACATCCTGTAAGTATCCTATACCTCATCCCCTCTCATTCAGCTCTGCTTAGCAATCGCGTACAGCCATGACTGGGAAGACGACCGCTGCGTTGACATCCTCTCCGCTATTCGCCCTGCGCTATCCGCGAACTCGCGCGTGCTGATCGTGGACTCAGTGATGAACACGACGTTGGGTTGCCCCGAGCTACCCTCCGCACCGTTCCCCCTTCCCGCAAATTACGGCACTTCGATTCGCCTCGCTCACCAGCTTGATCTGATAATGATGTCCTTGTTCAACGGCGCGGAGCGCGTCCCGAGCGATTTCCGCTCGCTTGCTCAGCGCGCGGGGCTCGAGGTTACCCGCATCTGGGAGTGTCCTGGAGACTGTATCACTGAGATGCGGTTGCCATCTGGAAAGCAGTAGAGCCAGGAGAACTGCACTGTTGAGTATCAATTAGATAGAAATAGGCTTTGGCACGTCGTTGTTCTTCTTCAGCCTGGAATGAAATACCTTGTCACAGAGGCGTTGCGCTTCGAACCTTAATATGTAGAAAAGGCTACAGGGTGCCCAAACTTATTATATTGGTTATCCTGCATTGGGGCTGAGTACTGAGTCCAGGCCCAATTGCGAATCCGGCCAAACGTCCGAGTCGCTTCGGAACATGGCAGACAGTATGTAGTAGACGTGGACGTGGAACAAGCGCAGGCTGCCGAGAATCGTCGTGACGGCGCTGGAGTTGGTCTCATAGTCAGACAGTTAACAAATCGCACCCTGTGCGCGCGCCACCGCACGCATCTGGAGCATGATGGATCGCCTGCCTCGCAAGTAGCGCCCATTAAGCGCGGGATAGGCGTCTTCCAGATTAGGCAGCTGCTGTGCTCAAATTCAGGATCACTTATTGAGCTGCTCACATGGTGGATGAAGGGGTTAGCACAAAACTGCACCGTAGCAGTGTAGGAACCAACAGAACTATTGCAATGCGACAGCGTGAGTGAGCAGCTTCGGCACTTCGGCGGCGCAATATCTCCTCAGCGTCCCTCAGGGCAGCTGATTGTAACCATTCTCAGGGTTCAGAGAGAGATCAGGGCCGTCTCAAACTGCTTATCTTTGGGAGTTTTCAACTCAAACCCTTCATTGTTTCACTAAGAAGATGTACAAGGATTGTCATCAGGCAGAGAAAGGAAGGCTGGTACACAAGCTCGGGGAAGTACATGCTGCCAGTGTAATTACTCAGTTAGTGAAGAAGCCCGTAAGCGAGGCTTCTGCCGCGGCAGGTATGTTGAATTACGCGTACGCCTTCTATGCTCTACTTACTTACTCGCACTTAGTCTCCCGAGGCAGATGGTAGGCACTCTGCTTCAACCTTCGTACCTCAGGATATCACTACCTATCCAGAAATCCGTAAAGCGTGTACTGACCTATACTGACCAACGACTACCCTCGTCAGTACCTACATGACCAAAGCTTATCATCACACCGTCTCCTGGAACCCCGATGTGGCCTAAAGTCTTCGGGTTATTTATGGAGAATCCCGTCATCAAGGGAGCTGAGGTACACTTCGTCATATTTTGTGAGCCTTCGTCCTTCTCCTACATTACATGCAGACTCGTCTGAAATATGGAAGCTACGAGTTGGAAGATAACCGCGGTATCGATGTTCTCCCCGTGCTGCGCCCCCGTCATCCGCCGATCGCTGAACAGGTGATGAACACAACTCTTCGCTATCCCCCTCTTCATTGCTAAGCAAGGTTGCTTTCCTCCAATTACGACACATTCGGTTTCTTGGCTCATGAGCACGATCTTGGCATGACGACCCTGTACAGTGGATCAGAACGCACGCCATCAGAGTTCCGTCACTTGCTGGGAAGGCGGGCCTCAAAGTGGCAGGCCCATCTGGGAGCGCTCTGGTGTCAAGTGCATCATTGAAATGAGGCTGCTATCTGCGAGCTATAGAAACTGAGGGAAGGTGTGTACCAGTAAAGAATGTGCAACAGTTTCGGAACTCTTTCAATCCACCAACGTCTGCCTTTGGGCATGGGCGAGTCATCGAGTTACCACAAGGGAAGATCTCCGGAAAGTTTGATGTCGGAGGTATGTCAGCGGACAGCGGACACTGAGACGATCTAAATCCCCATGAACTCCACAGATCATCCAATGAGCGTCTCTTGCGCTGACTTTGTACTCGTCCCCCTGTAGATTTACCTCACTCGTCTCCCTAGAACATCACTCGTCTGGAAGATCTCACCTCCTGGAAGAACTCGTGATGTCCTTGCTTCTTGGAAAGTCTGCAGAAATAGACCGCTAGCGCCACTTCCTTGCGGTAACAACAGATGTGGGAAGGTAAGAGATGTTGTTATAAAGAGGAGACTCAGGCCTGTGGCCCCACTCAACTGCACACAACTTTGACTATGGCTGCCACAAGTGCTCGTGCGAAGGAACTTCTCGCTCTCGTCGCTCTCGTTACAGATGCCTCTCAGATAATGATACAAGAGTGGGCGAAGGAAGACTCTTCTGTCAAGGCGGGCGAGCAGGACACTTTCTCCTCTGCGGCTCTTCGCAACGCCCAGCGTACCATCATATCCACCTGTGGTTCATTCACTGAGCTCGCACAAGTTCCACAAAAGCGGCTTATCGAAGTCGCTACGGAATTTTCAGAAGCCCGTGCTCTGCACGTTGTTGCCGAGCATCGTATTGCAGATCACCTATCTGCGGTCGACCAGAAGCTCGGGATGCCTATCTCTGAGCTTAGCAAGGAGACAGGCCTTCATCCCCAGAAACTTTGTACGTTCTCAGTCTCATTGACAGATGAATGGATTCAAGGCTGACCGGCGTTTATACCAGCACGCATCATGCGTAACCTCTGTTCGGCCCACATATTTGCCGAAGTTCGGGAAGGATGCTTCTCCAACAACACCGTTAGTGCAGCTCTAGTGAATAACGAATACTTGCGCGCCTACATCCTTGTTGTGTATGTACGGTCTGTTACCCGTTATCCAAGCTAATACACTCTTAGTTCTCGGGAGAGCTATTCGGCCTCGGTCAAGCTGCCACAGGTCCTCGCTGATCCCGTAAAGGGTTGGTCTACTTCTGCGACCTGTACTCCCTTCCAAGTGGCGTTTGGAACCGACTTGGCTCAGTGGGAATGGCTCGAGGAGGGTGAGGTGCAGCCCGATGGAACGGTGAAGCCGCGTCCTTCGCTCGAACTTTTCGGTCTCGCTATGGCTGGTGGCGATCGCATCCTTGGAACGCCACCCTCATACGGTAAGCCTGGCATATGCTTTCCCATTGGTCTTTTTACGATACCACATTGCCCCTCGCAGACTTTCCATGGGAGTCTCTCGGTTCCGGAACTCTCGTTGATGTCGGTGGTGGTGTCGGTGTGTTTCATGTTACTTTTGGAGGAGAATATCTAGCCGATGCAGCATTGCAGGTGGAATGTGCATGGATCTGTGCAAACAATACCCACTCCTCAACTTCGTCGTCCAGGACCGCGCTCCGGTAATTGAGCAGGCATACTCTTTGTGGGAAGACGAACAACCGGAAGCGTTCAAATCTGGTCGCGTCAAATTGATGCCGCACAATCTCTTCACAGAGAACCCTGTTGTAGGTGCTGATGCGTATGTCCTGCGTCACATCATGTGAGAATCAGACATCCTCCTTTGTCTCAGTCTACGTCTGATCTTCCAACAACAGCCACGACTGGGAAGACAACCGTTGCGTCGACATCCTTTCAGCGCTTCGCCCTGCGCTCAGCGAGCGGTCCCGCGTTTTGATTGTGGACAAAGTTTTGAACACGACCTTGGGTTGTCCCGAATTGCCCTCGGCCCCGTTCCCCCTACTTGCGAACTACGGAAATTTTGCGCGCGCGGCCCACGAGCTCGATCTTTTGATGATGACCTTGTTCAACGGGGCGGAGCGCACTCCAGCGGAGTTCCGCGTGCTTGCCGAAAAGGCAGGGCTCGTCGTGACCCGCATCTGGGAATGCCCTGGCATGGACTACATCACTGAGATGAGGTTACCGTCTGCGAGTCAGTAGAAATGCAGGAGATTAAGGAGACGTTAACTGTGATTTGTGTATAAACCAGATGCGAATCTGCGGCTACTGGAGGCAAGTCGCCCACCTCTGAAGGTTGTATGATTACTTGTACGAGATGCGATTCAGGCATTACTTCCACCGCTGCGCATTCCTAAATATTGCACTTTGTCTGGTGCTGAATAGGCGGCCCGTCCACCTTCTGGAGGATTAACGGCGTCAATTGACCGCCGGAATACTGCTCCGGTTATCAGCGAATGGAAGAAGCAAGACGGACTTCCCTATGCAGCTCTCTATGGTGCCCAGTGCACCATCATATCCGGCGCGGCTCCTTTGCAAGATCCCCACAAGCGACTCTTTGAAGTGCGCATTCAATATTTCGAAGTCCTTGCCCTGTCCATCCCGGTCGAGCCCCGCTTGCAGTTCATCTTGCGAGAGTTGACCAGGAATTCACGGAATGCCCACCTCGAAGGCCTTCACCCGCAGAAAATTTGTGAATAATCAATTGCACTCGTGAATATATCTGAAATTGACTGTCCACGTCATCCCCCCCCCTCTGCCCTGCTCACATCTTAGCTCAAGTTCAAGCGAGGTGCTTCCTTGACAATGTCGTTAGTGCAGTTCTTGTGGATACTTAACCCCTCTGCCTGCACGTACTTACTACATTCATATCGTCCTTGAACAAGCTGAACCTGTGATCTCGGAGATCTACAGTGTGTCAGAGAAGCTTCTGCATATTCTCGCCGATCTCGTCAAAGGTTAATCAAATTCTGCCTCCCGCCTTAATGGCCTTCGGCTTCCAGGATGGCATTGCAACCAAGCTTTTCAACTTTGGCCAACACCGTTCTCCTCTTATTGTTTGACGATCTCTGCTTCAAAGCTCCGCTGATTTGCCGTGGCTCCGATGAGGTCGGCGGTACCTCTCTTCACTTTCTCAGTAGATGAAGTTCATTACTGATGTACACCGTTTTTAGGTGAAATGTATATGAATTTGAGCACGCAATATGCGCACCTCGATTTCATTGCCCAGGACTGCGCTTCGGTGATCCTCCAGCGGGTGCGTCTGGAGTTTGTTGATCTGCCGCTCGAGGTCTATCGAGAGGAACGACTCTTTCTTCCTATCTATTAGAGGCTGGTTAACGAGCCTACGCTCGAGAGTCATTTTCAGGATGAGTTGAGCGTGGAGCACGGGCCAGGGAAGCTGCTCCCGTGTGCGGGACAACTTGGCGGGCGTGTTCTGCGGTTCTCCTGGCGGCCCAGCGGAGAATCCATATATCTACGTGAATTCTAGCTGTCTTTTCGTATGTTTGATATGGACAAAGAAAATATCTACATCTGACCGGCATAATGTCAAGCTTTGTTCTTCATAGGGCTTGGGGATTAGCTTCCGCGTCGGCATGTGCTGACGACCCCGTGCAGGATGTTCTCCGCCCAGTGAACATCTCCCCCAAAAGGTCATTGTCGCCGAGAAGTAGCCCGCCCGTTCCTCGACGAACGCATAGGCGTACGCTACCCGCCGGTGCCAGGTGAACTTTCGCGAGCATGGGGCCCGGGCTGACCGGCGCGAAAATCATGAACAAGAGCCCGTTGAGTAGAGTCTTCAGCTGCCGCAATGTTGTTTGGTCGTTCGGTTTTTTCTTTACATAGCATGTTGCAAGGATGTGAGGCCTTTCCACCATGATATAACAGGAAAGCGAACTGACTAGTGGTCACGCCCACGGATTCTCATTATCAGGAATGGTAGGACTAATATATACAATGTGGGCATGTGCAGGAGGTGTCTCCAGAGTCGTAATGGTCGTCGTCTCGTCTATCACTTCGGCCTCGGCGTCAAGGATGTTGTCCACGTCGTCGCCTACTGTGAACATCGCGTCCTGGTCGCCAGACTCATCCTCCACCCCTCCATCCCCTTCCGCCCGCGCCTCGCCGTCATCCACCACATAGCCTCTGCGATACACCTTGCGCAGGCCTGCGCCGCCGCGCACTGCCGGCTCGCCCTTCCGCCGCTCATAAACCATCTCATCCTGCGCAGCATGGTGGTCCTCTACGACGAGGTCGACTGCATCTGGAGGAAGGGCGGGGCGCTCAATTTCCGTGCGAGGCGACGGCGGCGGTCGCATCATCGGACTGCCAGACGACGACGACGGGGATGCCGAACCCGATAGCGCGAGAGCAGGTTGGGCACTGGCAGAGAGGGTACGGACGCGCGGGGAGGGCAGCACATGCTCCTTGCCACTTGTCCACCGCAGTCGCACTTCACCCATGTCTGGCGCGGGCAGGCGGTCGTCCTCCTTGTTGATGACCACCTCGATCGGAGGCGGAGCGACGTCTCCCCGCAACTTTCCCCTGCGGCGTGCCCCGTCGGACAGATCGGAATCGTGTCGTTCACGAGGCGTACTCCGATGGAAGTTGCCCGTCGCCCCGTAATTCCCGCTGCGCCCGAGCACCCTCCCGGGCCCGAGGACGGGCGAGAAGTACGCCCCACGCTCGTCGCGTAGTATCCGCTCCTCCTCTTCCCACATCGTCTTCCGTGCGACCTCGGAGCTCACGTCCACGGATGGGTAATGGTAGTCGCCGAAGAGGTACTTCTTGCTGTGCTCGAACAGTTCCTCATCCGCATCATCGAGGTCCCCGAACTCGAGGTCGTACCCGTCGCCCGTGTCGTGCGCGGCGCTGAACAGGCCGAAGCCCTCGTCAGGCAGGGATCGCAAATCCGCAGCAGTATGCACCACGTTCTCAGCCTGGCCCGACAGGAGGGGGGCATACACTTCTTCTGCCTCGTCCTGGCCCACGACTGTCCCCACCACTCTGTTCACGTGCCGTTCCACACTTCCCGGCGGGCGCGTCGACGTTGTGTGCTGCGGCAGCCAATACTTTCTCCTCCCGCCCTGGCTGTACCGCAGGCCCGCCCTGATGCGGCGATCGCGGCCGGCGCCCTGGTGGATGTAGCCCTCACTCGGTTCGAACTCCCGGTAGTCCATGTGCTCGCCACGGAGGGTCGCCTTAGTGTCCTCGACGACGTCCTTGAGCCCGAACGCATCACGGAACGCGTAGTACACAGGCATGCGTGCGACGTACATTGTCTGGGGGTCGACAAAATCACGCGTCGCGAACGCATACATGTGCGCGATCGCGAAGAGGGGCATCTCGAAGCATATGAGCGAGTCCGTCAACCCGAGTGAGATGTGCTCGTTGTCCGTGTATGGGCCAAGTTTCGTGATGGCCCCCGCGGCCACGAGAATGGAGATGAAAATCGACTGCCAGAAGGAGAAGAAGAGGATACCCTTCACGCAGAGGAACTTGGGCATCGGTCTAACTACAAATCAGTTCGGTAAACTCGAAAGAGTCGTGAATACGTACCTGAAGGGTTTGAGATCATTGTTCACGCACATCCAAAAAATGGCTAAACAATACAAGCTCAGACAGATGCTGGCGTTGTAGACAAGACTGACATAGAGGTAGCCGGAGTTCGCACGAAGATCTCCCTCGTTGAACTTGCCCAAAAGTTTCAAAATCACCGTGACCAGTGCAAGCATCGGCTTCACCTGGACATATTCTGTAGAACAATCAGGACGGGTAATTAAATAATACCTAGCCACTCACGAATGACGCCACGCTTGAGGAACAAAAATGTGTGGGGGTCACTGACATCGACCTCTCTCCAGAATATACTTGTCGGGAATATCGGATACTTGGGCGGACGGCCATGCAGGAGTATAAGAAGCGATCGCTCCCCACCAAGGTATGCGATAAGGAGGTCAAAGAAACAGTAAATCACAAACGCCTGTGGACGAGCCGAGAGTTAGCTAGGAGCTGCGATGGGATATATGGAGCCAATGCTAATGTAGGCCGCAGTTTATGAGCGTAAGCGAACAGGAGGCAAGCCCACGGTACTGTTTCAGTGATTTTTTGCACCTTTCCATGCGAATGGCCCAGACAGCCAAACGTTCAGCTCACAAACAATGTGGATTGCAAACAACGCCGCAGGATCCACCCTCCGACTCCAACAAATCTAGAATCTCTGCAAAGCGCACCTCCACCTGTGGTCCCTCCATTACGCATCAAGGAGATCCAAGACATACCTCGTAGATATCCCGTACCACGTCAATGAAGAATGCCGCCTCAAGCGAGAACAGCGAAATAAATGACGAAATGGCATATATAGGCACCATGAGCATGATACGCACGACCATGCTGCAACACCAACAGGCGCCGTACGAGCGATGGCACGCAACCCAGACATAAGCAGATGAACAACCACGAAGCGAACAGGGCATGCACGAATACGAATATGAACAGTAGCAACAGACGATGAGCAATCGCGAATAGAGCGACGAGACCAAGCACGCACCGTTGCAGTACAGGCTTGCGATAGTTCTTGAGGTGCAGAAATATCGATGTCGCAGAGACGACTGTCGCCGTTACCGTCGAGAGTCCCGCGAGTAAGAGCACGGCGAAGGGGAGAGAGGAGCCCGAGCCCGAACTGAGGTGCAGTAGGTTCAACATGTCCAATTACAAGTCACGGAATGCTAACATGCACAGTGGAGGTAGAGGCCGTCAAGAGTTAATCCTTTGAATGCGTCGGGCTGCGCCCTGCGGTGGTTCTGCAAGGATGGGTATCCCGCAGGCGTGAAGGTTAGGATCTCGGTCCCGAAGGAGTCACTGACGACTTCTTACCCAGTAACAAACTAATCCTAACAAAGTAACAACAGCCAGCATACCAAGTAACAATATTTTTCTTACCGGCGCTACACCCAATGTTACAAAGATAGTACAGGGTAAGCCTGGAGTTATTAGTGCTCTCACTCGGCCTCACCGATATCACCTGTCCGACTGAATCACATTCTTAAAATACCGTCGAGAGTCCAAGTATCCACTCGAACACGAACACTGCTCATCGCCACACGAAAGACCCACCGGAACGCGAGATACCACCGCGACAATGCCTGCCCCACCGAAAGCACGCGTCGATGTTGACGAAGACGTAGACGACCTCGACGGTGCGTGTGGTCGCATTTATCAGAATGAAAATTTACGCCGTGCCACCTAATTACAGACGTACTCCAGCAATTCAGCCAACCCAAACCCGCCAAAGCACCCCCGGCGGCCTCATCCGCGGCGTCCGCATCCACCAGGACCACCGCGCCCGCGCCTTCTACCAACACTAACACCAAAGCCAACCCACCACTCGCAGATCTCCCAGACACGGACCTGTCGGAAGATTTCGCACGCGAGCTGACGCGCGGCATGGAGTCCCTCATGCGCGAGATCGCGAGCGAGGCGGGGCTCGACCCCGACGCGGCAAAGCTGCACGCCGGCGGAACAGCAGAGGGTACTGACGCGGACAAGGAGCGGCAGCACGCGTTCAGGGCCGCGTGGGAGGCGATGCTGCTCGAGGGCATGAACGGAGCTGTGGATTTTGACGGGCTGGCTGCGGAAACAGCGGGCAAGGAGAAAGAGAAAGAGAAAGAGAAGGGGACGGGAACAGGCACGAAGGAGAATGAGAAGGGCAAGGACCAGGCAAGTGTGGGCGGCGAGCACGCGCCGGACTCGTTCCAGTCGAGTATCCGGAGGGCTATGGAGAAGCTCAAAGAGAGTAATTCGAATTTGCAGGTGCATGGTGTGGTGGTGGCCTTCTTCCCAGGGCTGATATTCGTTCCCGTCCCTCAGACAGACGCGTCCACCCCAGATTCAATCGAAGCTCTGCTCTCGCAGCTGAAAGCTGAAGGTGGTGGCGGCGAGTCGGAGGACGACCTGCAAGGCCTGCTCGAGCAGATGATGACAGAACTTATGAGCAAGGACATCCTGTACGACCCGCTCAAGGAGTTGCACGACAAGGTGCATTTTAAGCTCTCGATGTGCAACGTCACGTACTGATTTTCACAGTTCCCCGGATACCTGGCGGAGAACGCGTCGAAGATCAGCGCGGAGGACAAGAAGCGGTACGATAGCCAGCACGCGGTCGTCACGAAGATTCTTGCGGTGTTCGACGATCCGACATATTCGGACCAGGACGTGCAGAAGGGCGTGCGTATAGTGGAGCTTATGAACGAGGTCAGTCCTTGAGTTTCGTTCCACACGCGTTCCCTACGTCGGCTTCCAGCGCATATAACCTCATCGCCGCATACTCCCTTGTTCCTGCAGATGCAAAGCTACGGGTCACCTCCAGCAGAAATCATGGGCCCTCTTCCCCCAGGCCTGGACGTGGGGCCTGATGGAATGCCCAAGCTTCCGGAAGGGTGCACCATTGCGTGATCGGAAACGTGCATGGTGGAAATGGCGTCGCCTGAGGCGGTATCGGATTGTTGGTCTTCGTTATCACATGGAGGCACGAACTGTGCGCCATGTAGCATGCTAGGATGTGGAGTTGGTATGGTCGTTTTCTGTAATTCCATGTATTTAGCTGATAGCTACCTGTAGTCTTAGGCATTGCAATACGGGGGATGTTCAGAAAGGTCAGACATTGCAATACGGGGATATCCAGAAAGTTCAGACTCGGAAACATGTGATCCCGACGCGTCGCGAGTAATCAGTGTTGGGCACGCCCGCGTTTGCTGTCTCGCCACTGCCAGTCCTCCGTCAGCATGTCACCTGCAGCCGTGCAAGCTCACGCATGTGGATGTCAGCACTCTGCTCGCGCCGTGCCCGTCACGCGCTCTTTGTCAGTCTCTCCGATGTCAAGTTGGATGCGGCGTGCAACACGCCAAGATGTCTACCACCCGAACGCGAGGATCTCGGGTCCGCTGCATCCCCGAAGAGCACCGGTCTCATTTGTGGCTTCGCACTGATCAGTCTCCACCACATGACCTGGCTGTTTGGCCAATCGACAAGAACGCCGCCAACTGCACCCAATCGTCGTCCAAAGGAGATAGTACCCACGCGCGATCCCTTCGCCGCCGGGAGTGGCGGTATACGCAGCAACGACGTCGACGCGCGACATTTCTCGAGCATGGGAGTTTGTTCACCATCTCCTCGGATTTCGGGCGTTGGCAGCCTTTGACTAACCCCCCTTCGAACCACGTGACTCCCATCGCGCTATAAATCCGCGCTTGGAGACAGGGTGCGACACATACGTGATCTCTTCCAGCCTCTCACTCCTCTACCCAGCGTTTACAATGGCCCCCACCGTGAAAGTTAACGACGTCGTTCCCAGCGGCACCTTCACCTACGTTCCGTACACCCTAGAACTCGACGCCCACACCGCGTGCGGCATTCGTGAGTATACCCATACCACTTGATCCTACCGATTGAGTCTTCGATTATCTGATCCGGCGAATTCATAGCCATCCAGCTTTCCACAAATGAGTGGAAGGGCAAGAAGGTCGTTATCTTCTCTGTCCCGGGCGCCTTCACGGTACGTTTCAGTTGACTTCAAGTAGCCTTCGCCCTCATCAGCGTTGATCGGGCAGCCGACGTGTCATGTTAACCATCTCCCGCCGTACCTGGAGAAGTACGACCAATTCAAGGCGAAAGGAGTCGACGTCCTCGCAGTCGTCGCCGCGAACGATGCTTTTGTTATGAGTGGTTGGGCACGTTTCCAGGAGCTTAAGGACAAGGTGAGAGATCACAAGACGTATTGTACGGTTAGAATTTCACGATATCCCTCATAGATCCTCGCGCTCTCGGACGCCGATGCGGCGTGGTCCAAGTCGCTGGGCCTTACCGTGGATCTGTCATCTCGCGGCCTCGGTGTCCGCACCGCACGCTATGCGATCATCCTCGACGACCTCGTCATCAAATACGTCGAGGTGAGTAGCTTCAGCCTGCGTTCCCAGGCGTTGTGACATCGTGCTTACACTGGGCTGTAGGTTGAACCTGGAACCGATGTCACCGTGTCCGGCGCAGACGCTGTGCTCGCACATCTCTAGGTCTGATCGTGCGAGATCCAGAGCGAATGTGCTGGGAATTCTAGTGATTCGAAATGTCGGAATGAAATATTTATCCTGGGAGTAGTGCTTTAGATGTGAAGCTTGTGAAGTGCACGTATGTATTGTGTATCAGATGCGGAATGACATAGACCTCATCTCACGCGCGTGTAGCGACATCTCTGAGCTCAGCGATATGGGGTCGCGGTATCGGGGTTCGGCTGCAATCCCAATGCATTCCAGTATGGATTGAGGAAACCGTGAGGAGGATGCCGCTGACAGTGCCCGACCACGCTCTAGGTTCTACCGTCTGCATCAGCGAACGCATTCCAAAGCAGACCGTCTCCCTCAAAATTGACCACCTATCAGTTTCTGCGGTCAAGGCCTGAACGTTGAGGCCCCAGATGCGTCCAATCAGCAGTATTTCAGCATCGACTGGGTAGTCGGAGTTGACCGTCAGAATTCAAAGTAGACACCGCGCAGCTGACATTGCCCGATCACAATTCCGTTTCCAGTCTCAGTCTGCTATCGAATGCGCCATCTATAAACCCACCAACAGTCTGGTCAGCCTCTTCACATCCTCCTCAACTGCCAGATTGACTCGCCGGTATACATGGCTAAATTACCCCGGGCGAAGAACCCGTTCACGCCTACCATGCGCCGCTTCCTCTCCGACGTGTTCAAGCCCGCTCCGGCGCTCGGCAAACGTGCCCGTTCGTCCTCCCGCTCCCACTCCTCCTCAGAACTTCCGAACCCCGCACCAGGACCCGCGCCCGCCTGCGTCGCGCTGCAGAACGAAGACCCCGACACGGACACGGTCGTGATCACCGCGCTGCACGCCGTCCCGTTCTGCTGCCACGCAGACCTCCTCGCGATGCCGCGTGCGCACCTGCTCGCCGTCGCGCGTGCACTTAACGCGGCGCTCCCACATGCGCTCCGGATCGACGCAGGCCCCGCGCGCTCGGACGCGCGCATCCGCAACGCGATCGAGATACTGGTCGGGCTCCGCCTCAGCGTCCCGCCCGCGCCGCGCGCGAACAGGAGCCACGGCTGGGCGGACGACGAGCGGGGGGTGCTCCGCAGCCCCACGTCCCCGCTTGCGAATCGCAGCAGGTCAGAGTCCTCACTAGGCGTCCTGCATGAGGAAGACGAGAGCGGAGCGGGCTACGCTGATGGACGCGCACATAAGCGGCGTCGCATTGTTCCCGGGCCGCCCGAGGATCCCAACATGATTCTGCGGGACCTTGAGCTGGATACTGTCGACCGGCGCGTCACCCGGTCGCAGTCCACCCGCGCTGCGGCGGACATCAACTCGCCCACACCCGTGGGCCGTCGTGTAATCAGGACTCGCAGCGAGCGACTCCCCGCCACGCGGCCCATGATACAGATCCAGGGGCACCCGAACATCACACTCACCCGCGGGCGCAGCGCAGGGCGCGGGTACCTCCGCTCACGGAGCGCGGCACTGGCGCGGACGTCCACGCCGAAGAGGATGCGAGAGGAATGTGAGACGGGTGAGGTGGAGGGCCCGAGATCTAACGCCATGACGTCTACTCCGGGCGCGGGTGAGGCTGATAGTGGGAGGGTGAAAGTGGGTAAGGGAGTAGTGATGGAGATCGGGCCCTGCGAGGATACGGCAGAGATGACATTTGGGATCCACGGGATGACGATTGGGCCTGCGGAGTCGAGCGAGGATATGGATCTGACTGAAGATTGACGACTGACTGTTTACTAGTCTGTTGATCTTTGGCTGTTGTGTCGATAGCTTCGATAGCGTAGGTAGCTCTTTGTAGCGCGAGACAATTTCATCTCAGATATTGATGCATTGTTTTTGCTAACACTGAGAGGCACGGACACTGTCATGCCAATGGCTGCCAACGGCCTAGGGAGCATTCCGCGTCAGTTTTCCAGGTAGAAGATTGACCAGGGATCAAACATGTACCATGGCGAGAACAAACGGAGAATAAGTGGACACAGCCACTACCGCAGTCGAAGGTTCGTACAGCTGTGGAACCTGAAGCTGAAGTTGAGGATCTCCTGTCAGTCTGAACTTTGATATATATGGTGTTCACAAACATTATTGGGCACGAATCTCAAATAATGTTTGATTTTACTTGGAGCCAACCGTCGGCGTGCAGTGTGCTGGTTCAAAACGTTTGGTCAGAATTGAGCTACTAGTATGCAGCTGCGGCGCATGGCCAGCTCCAAGCCCAATATAGTATGCATGGAAGTTCAATGTTCATCAATTAATGCCAGCCACACCATCATCTTAAGTAAGTTCTTGAAGTTTCCCTTGTATGCATAGTTCTCCTTCCATTCACAGAGACCCCACGTGAGATCATACTCTTCTTTAGCGTGTATGAAGTTGCCCCCTGTTGCCCCGTTGGATATGGGACAGGTTCCATTCCATCCATGAAGCTCAGTGATACGTCTAACCCCGCTCGGAGGATTCTAACCCCGGCGAGCAACGTTGCACCATTTGACCACCAACCTGACTATCGGCTGATACATGAATGATCCTACCTCCGATATTGGTGGTTGTTTGGAGCACCAGGCCGTCGTGGTATATAAAGACCACGGTTTCCACAATTCGCAGTTTGTGTAGAACCCCACTCCCATAGTACACCACTCTCCATGACTTCTAAAACACTCCTTGTTTTCTGCGATGGGACCGGCATGGATGGCCAGCTCTCACAGTCTGGTGCGTATTATTTTTGCTTTCGCATGTCTGTAATTACAACAACATTGAATCCTGAGCGCTGTGCCAGACACAGGTGCGCGTGCCGGGGGGATACGACCCGACGATGTGCAGGTCCTCTTTGATAAACCTGGTACGTACCTAAGAGTAACTACTGTTATCGGTGCTCAATCTCTCGTTGGTGTTAACATTACAGACGCCGGGAAGACTGCTCCGAAGAAAGATGAACCCCGTATGATGTGTCAAGTGTCGTCGTCTGCAATTCGATTAACAATTATCTGATAGCGGTTCGAGGTGGCACTGGCAATCAACAATACGCGTCAAATGTTCTGCGCCTCTGTTGGTATCTTCCTCTATGGTTTATGAAATTCATGCTAATCTCGTGTACTAGCTCGGAGTGTACTTCCTCGTACGAAGTGCGCACGCGTACTTGCGATTGCATCTAGAGTTATTAATAATATCCTCTGAAGGGATGGAAAGCCGCAGATCGTGTTTTACCAAAGTGGCGTGGGCGCTGAGACTGACTTTGAAGGCAGCTCCGATTTACAGCAGTTGTTGGCCCGTGAGTGAATGACCATGATGAAGACCTCTATCACAGTAAGACTGCTGATGTTCTGTCAGAAATGACTGGTGTGCTTGTTGGTTAGTTTGCACCGTCATAGATCACCCAATCGCGTAATATTCACAAACGGCTGTTGTAGCGAGCAAGATTCGTGATGCCTATGCATTCATCGCACAGAATTATGAGGATGGAGACGATATCTGCATCTTTGGGTGAGTATCGTCAGCATACCCGGCCGTAGTATTGTTGATCCAGGTGAACACGTATAGATTTTCTAGGTAATCTCACAAACTTCAGTGCGCTCCATGGTAACTCACTCGACAATCATCCACTTAAGGGGAGCTTACACGGCGAGGAAATTGGCTGGCCTCATCGTGAGTGATTTCACCGCTGATGATGTCGCCAGATTATAGAGCAGTATCAATGCTTGTCAGGACTTGATTGGTCTCTTAACACGCACAAGTATGGGTTTGTTCTTCACAATTTGGCGTGCACTCGTAGACGGCAAGAAGCCCGACATACCCTCTGATACAAGACGTGTCAGGATAAAGTAAGATCACGATTTCTGATCGGCACAATTGTAGGAGCTTACGAATTTACGTTGATCCTCATCACTTCCACAGATGTGTTGCAGTGTGGGACACTGTTGGCTCCGTGCTCAACACAATTGATGCCCTGAGCATCAAGGACACAAGCCTTCCGCCGACCATCGATGTAGCTCTCCACGCGTTGTCTTTGCAGGAGAATAGACAGAAATTCTTGCCTACCTTGTGGACAGTTCCGAAACGTGGACTCAACCGGAATCAAATTTTCAAGCAGGTATCTCTCTGTCCTGAATGTTTCGTTCGTCCTGCACTCTAATATAATGTAGGTGTGGTTCCCAGGAGCCCATTCTGACGTCGGCGGTGGGTATGCCCGGCACGAACTCGCCGATCTCGCTTTATTCTGGATCGCCGTGAGCATGAGATCCGCGTTAAACTCGATGATATTGATTAATCATTTCTGCCAGGGGGAGATTGAATCATTTGTGAACCTCGACCTTGCCTTCGTGCAGAGAAGTGGCCAGCCGAAACCTGAGCAGTGGGGAACTTCGCAGCCCCACAATGCGTACGAAGAGCTGTCGTTTGCGGCACAGATAGTCATCCAACACGAGACGCGTCTTGAAAGCAAGCAGATTGACATGACTTCTATCTTTCATCCCAGCCTCAAAGTCGCCCCGTCTCGCCTCGATGATCCAAGGTACATGATCACGCTCGAGACTGTCCAACAGGCATTCGGCAGCAGCTTCGTTCCGCAATACGCGAGCCTCAACAAATTCGAACAGAAATGCAAAGATCAATGGGGAAAAACACCGGTATGTCATGGCTTATCCTCTTTACTCTCATATGTGAAACTGACTCGATCGTATTGCAGTATTCCGGTCCTTCCCAAATTCCCGTCTTCGAGAATCCTGGTCAGCTCTTCGGAGCTCCAGTCGGTCAAGAATAAGGAGGCTCCAAAGGTGAGCTTCACTGCAATCGGCGTAAGCTCGCTGTCGTGATTTTGTTCGCCCAGCACTCATCACGTACGGCAACAAGGAACTCATGGTTGAGGAGTATGTTGTGCTGGTGCGATTCTAGATTCATCTTGTTTAGCAAACGTTTGCGACTACGTCATTTCCTTTGTATTCTTCCTGTAAATGTACTTCTCTATCTGTGAATCGCGCATCAATTCCCCATCGTCGCTTCGATTTCCACAACACAGAAAAGTATGCGTGGACGGAGGCGCTGATGATATCCGTATCGGGCACTGAGGTTCGCCCATTGGACCCACGAAGCGAGCATGAATACCTTCCAGGTTGATCCAATATTCTCTCAGACGTCGGCTCCGTATCTATGACCCAAAGTCGTCGCAAACCTTCTCCACATCAAGCGAAGCATGCAGGGTGGATATGTTAGGGTCGAAAGAACATTGCAAGCGTGGGCCTCCGCACTGATAGATAATTGTTACAGCTATGGCCACCCAGGGTTTGACCCCAACGGAGCCAGGGAGGCAAGGAACGAGTAACTTGGTAGGTATGTGAACTCATGAAGCCCCTCGTGCAAGGTCCCATTTACAGCTGTAGGCGTCCCACGCGAGCACATTGAAGCCAAAGATGCTTACCTCTGGTGGAATACAGGATGTACATCGGGTGCACGCGAACACAATAATGGAGATGAAGTTGAGACTTGGCATAGCCATTTGGGCAGGCTGAGCTTCCAGAGCGTAGTTCGTATAGCTCAGCTTTTCACAGTGTCCTCAGAAAATGAATACTAGCATAGAAGGTACCTCCATGTTCCACATTCCTCTGTATGTCAATAATTTCATGACACTTGACGCAAGCCAGGACTGACAAGCTGGGAATCATGACACGTTCAGGAGCTGTGCCACTTTCGACGCCACATCTGAGGACGACAGGTTATCCACCTCGACATGCTTCTCTACACCGCGCTCTAAAAACATAAGTACAGCAGAAAGGATGGCGCGAGCCCAGAAATTAACGAGTCAGAACAGCAGCGGAGTACCGGGCTTCCAGACTCACCATATCTCGCAAAAACCCGCGCTGGCGTCCCCTTCGCTTCACGGATTAGAATTGGGAGGTCTGGGTTATGTTTCTTGAGAATTGGATATGTCGACGAGATGAATTGGCTAACGAGACATCGTGTAAGAATCAATAACGCGCGTTAAGTTTCAGTCCTTAGATGTACCGTGTTCCCGCCGAGGCCAATCCCGTCTGACAACACAGAATCCGTATCTCCCTAATCGCCGGTGACAAGGCTTTGGCAAAAGACATGGTGGAGTGGTACTGGTGGCAGTGAAGTCACGGTAGAGTAAGTCAGACTGTCGTCGGCCTGTGTCGGCGACCGGTCGGAGAAGTGCCTCTCTCTCCCGGATTCCGGAGGGATACATCCCTGTTTTTAGTATCGGGGGCAGAACTAAATCAGGGAGTTCTGCCGGCAGAACCGGCAGAACGGCAACTGCCAGAGGTGGCAAAACTTGGCGAAACTCCTGGCTCATAAATTGCATGGTCTGTGATAGAAGGACAACATACAACTGGACGGAAAACTAGAAAGCTTACAATTGGTCAATTGAGACTCTTGGGCTTTGTATGAGCGAAGCTGAGTTCATTTGCGTCCATTTTTACGCTCTCATCTCCTAAGTTAGGGTTAAAATGTCAGGTGACCATTGTTCGGAGCATGGAAATGTCCCCAACTTGGACATTTGTCGGACCAATCGGAAGATTTGTGTGTCAGTCAGTGTCTATGATACTCACACCTGAATACAGGAGATAATTTAAGCCTTAAAGTCTCTCCCGCTGACTATAGCCCCAGTTTGACTGGCACTTCTGCCAGGTTCTGCCCAAGCCTGCTGGGCAACTGCCAGCAACTGCCGGTTTGGCAGAACAGGACGGCAGAACGGCAGACTTCTGCCAACAACACTACCTGTTTTAGAAGTGAGTTCCTAAATCAGGGAGATTACTCTCCCTGATTTGATCGGTTAGCAACACTTTGAACGAATTATTACACCGCTGGCACAAGTGCTCTTCCAAATCAGGCTGGCCACGTGACCAATGGCCGGCACCCCACTCCATTTTGGATACAAACAACATCACAGATAATGTTCATTTCAAAGACGTAGCAACGTTACAGGTATTGGAGAGGGATGTGTGAGTCAGGGGTGGGGAGGGGAGGGGTGAATAGTAACAAACGAGACGAGAAAAACAGTCATACAATGTGGGCGGACGAGGCTGCGAGTTTACATGGCGAAAGGCTTAAAAGAAAGAGCTCTGAGCTGCACGTATTAAGAAACGGGAGAGAGAGAGAGGACCAGACATACCTGAGAGAGAAGTCGACGATCCAGTACCTAAACGTCAAGGTTGTTCTCAGTCGGTAGGAAGATACGAAGTAGAAGATGGAGAACGAACCAGGGCAGTGATTCACCAGTCAAGACATCCACCAGCTCCGTCGATAACCAGACAACGAACAAAAATTGGAGAGAATGAAAGAGAGAGGGAGCCGAGATGACGTCGAAGGAACAGACAAAGCGTGCAATCCACCAAAGAGCTAAATGACAAAGATTGTCAGTTACTAGCATGAAGGATAAAAAGAAAAGGGGATGAACGATGGGCAGCGAATCGAGAATCAAAAAACGTGCATGAACCAATGAGACAAGAAGCAGATAGAAAAGGCCGGTCGAAAAAGAAGGAAAAAACAGAAGACGAGGAGAAAAGACAGTGGGGGAGGAGGAGGGGGGAATGTCAAGGACGAAGCTTGGATGTGCTTGCGCTCAGTCGAAGGTGTAGGTGATGCCGTAGAACTCAGCAGAGGGATACTTGTCGAGGATCTGCTTCATGACCCACCAGAGGGGCGTACCATAGGTGACGTGATTATTCATACCTCGAGGCATTCCTGAGTACAGGATGGCGAGCCCGTCACCAGAACCCATGAAGATGAGAGATCCCGAATCGCCATGATCTGAAAAGTCGCCAGATTTCTTGCTATAGTTATAGATGACCACTTCCCTGGACTCGAGTCCGAGGTCGGTGCAGGTATAGGCCTCCATGCCGGAATAGCGGCCCAATGTGAGCTTAGTCGTGTTGCTGTACTTGGCGACAATATAAAGAGGCTCGCCATTCTTGTCCTCCGTGTCGGGATTGTTGACAAGGCGGCGAGGCAGAGTGCGATGAATGGGGAGCTGGAGGTCGGCTGGGATGGTCCTGCCCTCTCGAACGGCAGCGATGGGCCAGAAGAGATCCTCGAGCTCACCGGCGCTGTATTGGTTTCCTGAAGAGTTAAATGTTAGTAAGCAAGATTGGAATGAAGGGGACGGAACGCACCCAGGTCAACAATGTTACGCTCAAAATTCTCGAGCTTTGCCTCATCGACAGTGAATGTGGCAATGTCGCGAGTGTAGTGACGGTCGTCAACCCTGACGGAGATCTCGGGAGCCCAGTCGACATCACCGAACCTGCGGCCGTTGATATCCTGCCACTGGGCTTGGACTTCGGCAAAGAGCATCTGGAGAGTGGCGTTGTCTTCGTTCTTGGCATCCAAGGCGATCTGCTTGCGTCCCAGGGCCGTGCTGTTCTTCCTGGCCGGCTTCAACCCCAAGTCTGCCAATTCTCCGGCAAGTCTAACGGCATCGTGAAGCCCTGTGTTGAGGGTGTCTTCAATCTCGACGACGGCACGAGTGAGACGGCATTCACCACAGACAAGGATATGCTGAGGGTTGGCCCCGTCAAACTCGTAATGGGTGGTCGTGTCGACGGAGGCGACGTGTTTGTTGGTGAGGGCAAGGATCCTATCGCTGGGGTCGCCATTGCTGGTCTTCACCTCCCGGAACAGGAACGTGAGGGTGCCCTGCGCATCGTCGGACTCCCTGGCGATGGGGATGCCTAGGCCAGCGTTGAAGGGGTGATTGAGGCCGAACTGGTGTTGTCCTCGATGCTCATCAGAGGTGGGCCGACCAGCCTTTCGACCGACCCTTCGTACCACTCGACAACGACATCGGTGATCTGGAAGTCAGCGAGGATTTGAAGGATGTCGGGTGTGGCATCACAAACAGCCTCGGCATTGGTGGTGTTGGGACGAACAGCGATCCACACCACGACTGGGCCAAAAGTTTCCTTGCCGTCCTCGACGGTCGAGAAGCGTGCTGTCTTCAGCGCAGAGTACTTAAGGCCACGGTCCTTCATCGATGCTAAGATCTGAGGAGTGACAGTACCTCATACAGCGTTGAGCGGCGTATTGAAGACACCATGGGCAGTCTTTTGGGGGATTTTGAAGAAGCGAGCTCCAAGCGCAGGGATGGGGAAGGGGTTGGTCTCGAGATCGGAACGCCACATGAGTTCGGGAGGGTTGCCGGAGATGCCGTGATACCAGTACTTCATCTCGAACTTGGAGATCAGTGCGGGGGCAATGACTGTGAGGGCGTCTGAGTCGTTACTGAGCTGCGAGAAGATGGTATCGGCCTCGCTGATGGTTGGAGAGGTGGGAAAGGTGGGAGAGGTGGAAGATGCCACAGCGTCTTGTGGGGGAGGCTGGGCTGAGTACCTGCGATTGAGACAGTCGACCATGAAGCAGGTCATGGCTGGAAACGCAAAAAGATGTGAGTATGTGGGTACTGAAATGCGCAAGAAAGAAGATGAAGAGACTTACAGCCAAGGTTCACGGGGTCAGCCTTCACTTTGTCGACAATGGCTCTGACACCCGGAGCAACGTCTACAAGGTGGACGGACAATCATGAGTGGGAGATGGACGCGTGTAATGACGAAGCAGCTCACTTTGGCCCAAGAAGTTGAGGGTTCTGAGCTCTTTGTCGCTCAGGTTGACGATCTCTGCGGGAAACGCTCAGCACTGGTAATGAAGAGGAACGACGGGTGTCACTTACTCCTGTTCTGATAAGCAGGATCCATGGCGGCAAAAAACAGTTCACGAGAGATGGTAGTAAGAAAGTGTAAGCAAGTAACTTGCACAGGATGCATAACCCCTTTTTTCCCGAGGAAATAACTTGGAAAAATGTGTGGAAATCAATAAAGTTATACTGCGGGAAAAACATGAGGAAAAAATGTGTAAAAGAACAAAGCATTTCCGCAGTTTTTCCACTGGAAATAAGTTGGTCGCCAAATATGGTAATTTTGTCCGGGTTTTGGCATGTCCTGGCATGTCCAGTTGCCTGATATGGTAGGCAACTTATTTCCAAGCGAAAAACTGTGAGAATGTTTTGTTCTTTTCTCACTTTTTTCTTGACGTTTTTCCTCTGAAAATATATCATTGATTTCCATGCTTTTTGCCAAGTTATTTCCAATGGATAAAAGTGGTAATGCTTCCTGTGTTGTCGATGGGGACGAGTTGAGGAGGGATGGAAAAACGCGAAGAGGGGATCCCTTTAAGTGAGCCAGTCGAGTCCGTGAATATCTAACGATCTCACACAGGACCTCGGAATATTGGCTGAGAACCCTTGGGTAAATTCGGACAAAGTTGGGCTCAAAATTGGCTCCAACCCTTGATCCAGTCCGGACATATGGGAGAAATTTTTTCTGGAAGCCTTACTTTTTTCCCAGACAGACAGAGGGTGTTCAGCCCTAACCCTTATCCACGCTACGGGCGTTTGTGGCCCATATCCACCTGGGTTCACCTATATTTGAGAATTAAGTGCCCACAAACATAGTCTTCCAGGATTCTCGGAACCCCTGTGATGTGTGCATGTGACTACCTATATCCGTATAATAACGCGCTCCCATGCGGGCCGAAGGGGTGCCATTGAGGTTGATACTGTTCTATGACACGTTGGAATCACTCAGACATTTCTTTGTGCTACTACTAGTGTTGAATGTGTGAAGTTGACTATGCTTGTGCTCAATGCTGGCCTCTCATCACAGCTTGCGATGATGTTTTGTAGCTTCTGCTGCTGCATCAGGACAAAAACCACTGTTTTTTGAAGCCTTATCCCGGTATCTGGACCAAAAATGGGTTTGGAAGACCCTCATCTGCCATCCGGACAAAAATTTCGAAAAAGTGCCGAACCCTCGTTCAAATCGGACAAAAACGTCGGATTTGGCCTCCCGGCACTTAGACATTTTTGCCTCCGCTGGATAAGGGTTGCTGGCCTATTTTCCGAGGTCCTTCTCACACTGCCTCGCTTTTATGAGGTAACGGATGCACATTTATTATTTTCCCGCGCACGGGCTGCGCGCGCCCCCGGGGTCTTTTCCTACCCTCACCTCGCGCGCCCTCCCTCCAGAGTCTCGCGCGCGCGCCGCGCGCCGTCAGTATATATATTTGCACTCCTGCCTGTGCACTTTCTGCTTAGACTTCACCTTTGAGCTCATGGTGGCATTAGTATTGTGGCTCGGAATATAGGATTAGTATTCTTCTTTTCAATTACTTACTGGTTTATTTGAATAATACTTCTCGAGTCTATTCCGTGCTTATATTGCGCACCAGGATATTGAATAACGCACTCATTTGATCACCTGCAGTAGTGCCACTGACGTCAGCGCGAATTCCTGACCCGTCGGGTCGGGGGCTCGAGTTTCGTAGTACCATCAGTATCAGCTGGGGAAGCTAAATACAATATTCTATTCAAGTTATACACACATTACTTACACAGCCAACCATAAATTTTTTCTTTGCACGTACCCGCCACAATGGAGCTGTAGAAAGGTAAACATGAGACATAGTGACTTAGGCAACAGTGAAACGAGGAATTGCACAGAGGCATCCGGATATTCATTTCCAAAAAAATATTGCAAGCCCTAGTACTACAGTACACCACCATGGGCTCAAAGGTGAAGTCTAAGCAGAAAGTGCACAGGCAGGAGTGCAAATATATATACCGAAGGCGCGCCGCGCGCGCGCGAGACTCTGGAGGGAGGGCGCGCGAGGTGAGGGTGGGAAAAGACCCCGGGGGCGCGCGCAGCCCGCGCGCGGGAAAATAATAAATGTGCATCCGTTACATAACTCAACGCTTTGGGGGCGTGTGTCTCATGATCCGTCCGGTCCAGAGATATCGCAACTTCGTTTCCTCCAGCTATAGTGCGGTGTTTCGATCCCACACTGCCTCGCTTCTATCGAAGTTGTCCACGACCGTCACGACCGTTCTGCACGTTGACCACGCTTTCCTTCACCGCGATGGACGACGACCAGCGTCGACAGGACGATGGCGCGGACAGCCGCAAGAACCGCCTTCCATCCTTCACGGAGGTGCTCTCGAGGCGCACCCGACCACCCGTCGATTTGTTCATGTTCTAGTGAGTGTTATGGATGTTATTCTCTGCCCTCCAAACTCACCTTAGCGCCCTCGCATCGCCGTCTGACACGCGAAGTTTGTTTCTGCAACGCGAAGGATCGGAGGATATCCTGGATTTCTGGCTAGACGTGCAGCAGCACGAGAACCTATGTCGGGCATACTTCAAGGACGTGCGCAAGTCAGGGCGGACCATCAGGGAGGACTGGCCGGAGTACTGGGACTATGCACGCAGGCGCGGGTCAATCTACGGCACGGTAGTGGGCCTGAACCCGCACATGGGCACGAAGCGAAGCACCACGAGCACCGGGGACGTCATATCTGACCAGGACAGACAGAACCTGGCTGCTGCTGGAGATGAGAAGGCCGTGCGCAGTCCTAGCCCGCGTCTGACATCGGCAGGAACGGCGGTCGCGACGGAGCCGCCCCGGTCGACGACACCATTCTCTCTGTCCGGACGCACGCCCACGCTGTTCAAGCGCGCCTCGCGCGCACCCACCATCATCCCCCGCTCGGCAGCGATCACGCGTCAGAACCTGATCGCGTCCGCGGAGCGCATCTATTTCCGCTACCTGTCTCCAGTGGGCACGGTGGGTTCTAATGAGAACCACGAGATCTATCTACCACCCGCGCTACGCATCCACGCGTTTCCGCTGAACAGCGGGCACGAGCCCAAGTCACAGAGCGAGACGAGCATCATGGCGCAAATTCCGGACATGTTCCACGCGCAGAAGGAATACTGTTTCCGTGCGATGGAGCAGGACGCGTTCCCGCGTTTCCTGCGCGCCAAAGCGTTCGGCAACCTGACGCCGGTGTCAGCGCTGGTGCGGCTGATTATAGGGCTCGTCGTCCTCTGGGTCGGGCTAGCGGTGGGATTCTCCTTGATTTTCCTCGATGTGAAGCCGAAGTCGAAGCGTTTCTTCGTGAGTCGTGTTTGTTGGTTTGGTCGAGCGAGTGCGAGGTTGACAGTTGTTACGCATTTCGCAGCTCTTTCTCCCTTTCGCAGTCGCCATTCTCTTCTTGATCTCTCACCAATATGAACTTGATCCAATCCTCGTCTTCTTGGGCCAGTCGGAATCTACACCGTTCCGTACACTGCGCATTCGTGAACCCTATGTCAAGAAACTTCTACTTGGGCGCGCGATATGGGTCAGCGTCCTGGTATCGGCGTGCATGGTTGCGTTGACCATGATATTCTGGGCCGTCCCTGGGCATCGTCTGTAACTGCCGCTGGACGTACAAAGACTGACGGTGCATGCCCCCACGCGTACGGCTGTAGGTAGAGGTAGAGGACTTCGTGCGGGACTCCAGCAAACGTTTAGCTATTCTCTTCTATTATTCTTCTTCATCCGCTGCTCGTTACGTCGTTCTATTATATCTACACTACGTTATGTATACCCCTTCCCCGATTCCTTAATCCGCTGTCGCTCGTTGTTACCCCCTGACTCCTCGCCGTTCTGTTCCATGGATGTATCTTGATTTATGCCTAGTAGATCAGTGAAATACTTGCGTTAACGTTGATACGTTGTATGCTAGCTGACGATCCGGTTCATCTGCAAGGCTGAGTCGCATTCTCTGCGAGCGAGGAAGACATGGGCCGGGAGTTGAGCCAGACCTACGATGGCAATTGCCAGAGCTCCACAGGATATTTTACCGGTCATCCTATGAAATGGGGCTCAATTACTACAAATCGTATAGTTTAAAGGGGGAAATAGGGTCGGAAGTGGATACCTGCTGACAGAAGATAAGACGCAAGCAGAACAAGTGAAGACAATCGAAAGGAGCTCAAGAAATCGAAACTTGTGTCACTATCAACGATAAACGGATGAAACGTTGCCTAAGCGATACGACATCCGCATGGGGGGGTTCTCCAAGTGATCTCGCGCGAATTTATGTGGTCCTCTCCTTCTCCGCTGCCAGCTGCGCCCTCCCCTCAGCCGATGCGGTCACGTACGGCTGTGGACGAGAATCTCAAAGACGTCACAGACCAGCAGTTCGCAAAATGAACAGACCTGACGCTCCACATCACTCATTGCTTTCCAGCGTTGCCCCAGCGCTTTCATCCTGTAAGGAATTCTCTCCTTGTTCGGCATGTCCGCAGGTATCTCCACTTCCGCACGGTGTTGCTTAAAGTAGCTGACGATGGAGAGTACAATGAGGTGGCGCACAGGGTGTAAAGATATGGTGTTACACACCGTGAAAACGACGTCAGAGACCTGATGTCTGTTTCACCTTTTCGATGAATTTTGTGTTTGCCATGGGCCTTGCGTACGGCGTTGACAGTCCTGAGCGTAGCAACATCGAGCGAGCTTTCATATTCCAAGAACTTCTGCCGACGTTCTTGGTTGATAACCCGAGCTTCATCGGCGTAACGCTGGTGAAAGGGGATAGTTTTACTACTTCTACCCACAACAAGAGGGAGACCAACCTGTTTCTCCGCGTCACTGAGAGCTTTCCATTCAGCAGCACCCGCCCTCATCGTCGATATTAGATCTTCCGAAGGCGTTCCTTTCAGGGGGTGGTCCTTGACATAGTGTGACCAGAAGACGCCGTAAGAAGATACGTGTCTCTTCGGAGGGCGGTTCTCAGCGTACACCTGTCTGGCCTCTGCAATGGCAAGAACGTCGCACGAGGAATGAAATTGTCAGCACAACCGTTCAAATTTACAAAAAAAATTTACGAACGCCTCTTCTTTTCCAGTAGGGCCTTTTGCTTTTGCTTGGCGGGATCAACCCCCCTCCCTGGCTTTTGCGCTGCCGTCTTGGCTACTTTCTTAGCTGGCTTCTTGGCCACCTTCTTCTTCGAAGTCTTAGTCCTACCAATCGTGGCTCTCTTCGTTGTTGTCTTCTTCGCCGCGGTAGGTTCCTCAGCGGCCTGGGCGAGTCTCACAGAGGAGGCTGTCAGGAAAGTACGTGTCCATGTTGGCGATTGCAGACGTGATGAGATCGTCTGAAACACGGGAACAGGGAAGCGAGTTATCCTAACAGAATTGAGCGCAGACGTGCGGAGAACAACGCGTGAGGCGAGGACGGAAAACATATCTTTGGTGGTGGAAGACAGGAGAGACTGACCGCGCGCCGCAACAAGTCCATCTGAGTTGCTCCTGTTTGGCAACAGCCTCATCAAACTTTCCTTTTTCCGTCTCTATACTGAACGTTCCCACGGTTGTCCCAAATTCATCCCACACCCTACCATCATCTCGGCTTACCCCTATTCCCGATATTCAAGAATATTGCTCTCTACTGCTAAAAGGACACTGATGACTATCGTAACGTATACATCATGTTTGCGGAAGATGGCTCCATGTCCAGTGTCGATGCACAGCATCTGCTGCTGCCCGCCTTTTCGTGCGGATGCCCACTGATGGCGGTGGATGCCCACCAATGACGGTGGATGCCCTTATGCTGCGGGAAGGTGTTTACAGATGGCAGCTATATGTCCAGCATCGATGCACAATGCTCGCAAGTCCCGCCTGCTAAGGTGGATGCCAACCGATGGTGCAGGATTACCTGCCTGGCCGCTCACCGTGATCTCTCACTACCCCTATTCATGAACACCATCATCTCACATTGACGACTATCATTTATCTAATAAATACACCCCTCTCAGGAGTCGAGGCTTTGATCACATGTATTAGCTCTAGAATTACCACAGTTATCCATGTAGCAAGGTACCATCAAATAAACTATAACTGATTTAATGAGCCATTCACAGTTTCACTGTACAAACCAGACTGGTCATGAGTTGCAAGCGTATCTTCAGCGACATCATTGAGTGCTCACTACTTCCCGCCTTTGAGCACGTATGCTCACTGGCGCTCACCAATGGCCATGGATGTCTATCACACATACCCATACACAATGGATGCCTGCATGGCGGATGTCAATTGTTGACTCTGTCTCCTTCTGATGCACACATAGTTGACCTACTGCCACTGTTCATCACCACCACTATCTCGTACTACCCCTATTTGCACACTGCTCGCTGAGTGTACTCTGTGCGCGCCATACCCTTTCTCACGAGTAAGGTTGAGTATGACTGTAAGCACTGCTCAATGCTCGGGGCACTTTCACACCTCGCCTTTTTCAGACTATGGTATTGGCAAACAGGTGGCAACCGTGGTATTGGAACTGTGTGTAGCTCCTCTGTGGTGAGCCTCACCACTGCGCTACCTGTACAACATCCAGCTGACTGTCTGACATGCACACTACACTTCTACATCATGCTCCTCGTACATGTCATGTACCGTGGTGAAGGTGACTGAGCACATGCACTACACGGGGACAGTACTTACATTGTTCACACAATCTGCATTTATCTCTCTTGAAATACCAATGTGCAGCTCTCTTACTCTTTGCTACCCTTCGGTCAGACAACCTTGTGGCTCTGGTCCATGAATTTATTTTCTGTCATCATACAGAGTGGACAAAGTATGAAAAAGCTTGCAAGAATCTGCCTTTTACCTACTGTCTGATCACCCTATTATGGAAGAACTTTATCCAAAACATATCTGTGGAAGTGTTGCACCTAGTGTGTACTACATGGGGTTATGTCCCATTTGCTTTTTGTGTGAGCCTATGGTGCAGAGGAAACATACCACTTCCACATACAAGAGAGCCTACATAGCCTCATGCATCCTTGATGGATTTCGTGGGACAGTGTCCTTGTCAAAGCAGCTCTAATTGGCAGATTTTGAGCTGTTTTGATGAGTAGGCATTGATCGGAGTGATCTCTGTTCTGGATGTGTTGTATCCTACATTACAGTAGTGTACTGCGCATGGGTACATAGGTGTAATCTAGGTGCAACAACCCGGTGTTCCTGAACGAGACCAATGCCGGTAACCTACCTACCTATCTACCATGGCATTGTTCACTACCTCTCGGCTATCCAAGTGGTGCACCTTCATCAGTTACAAAGTTGTGAAATGTTTTCACTCTTCAAGCAAGTGACAGTTCAAGAATATGATACAACTGTTTTGGTCCATCTCGCATGTCCATTGTTGCATATTATCTGTTCGGTTTTCCTGATACACAAGAGTACACAAGTGGATGTCGATGAAGAAAGTGAAAGGTGGACTACTCTGTGCATATTTTGGAGACTTATGTAGAATACCTCCAACCTCAGACTTGCAGAACAATTATTACTCCATGCATTGACATCCATTAGCACAAGAAGCATGGCCCAGTATTTTTTGCAGAAAACCCTCCAGAAAGGGTTGAAGTATCACACACAGAAAAACTGTGGAAAAAGAATAAAGTATTTCTCCAGGAAAAACTGTGATTCTCAGTTGCTGATTGGACTATCACGGCATTTCCCACAAAAATTCATTATGGTTTCTTCAAAGTTTTTTCTGATGTTTTACTTTATGAATTTTCTCAGGGTATTTCCCTGAGAAATACTTGGCTATGTGTGTTGTGTAGCTCATCTGGCAGACTACATCAGGAAAACCCCACTTTTTCTTACAGACCTTTCACTCTGAAAACCCTTATTTAAGGCTATAAGTTCTCAAATAAGTCTCAATAAGTTGAATTTCAGGCACTTAATGTAATATGACTTATGCCCTTTTTGTCCTTATTTCCTTAAATAAGAACTATAAGTCTGTTTAAGGCAGTTAAGTGTTCTCTTAAGAGAAAGTTGGGTTTTCCTGATGTGCACCGCGATGTCACTGACCCTTCATTCAACACTTGACTCAATGAGAAATTCACAGCTGAGGAAGTCACACCCATTTCCATCAGCAAAATCCAACTTTTACTTAAAAGGGTACTTAAATGACTTAAATGGACTTATGATCTTTATTTAAGGGTATAAGGTCAAAAAGGTGCCGAATGCATATTACATGAGTGTCTAAAATCAGACTTATGGACACTTATTTGAAGACTTATTGCCTTAAATAAGGGTTGTAAGACCGAAAGGTCAAAATAGCTCTGTAAGAAAAAGTTGGGTTTTGCTGATGTCCTTATCAGATAGATGGGTGAATCTGAGCCAACTCGCAATCCGCGAATACAGGACCTCGGAATATTGGCTGAGAATTCTTAGGTAAATTCGGACAAAGTTGGGCTCAAAATTGGCTCCAACCTTTGATTCAGTCTGGACACATGGGAGAAATTTTTTTTGGAAGCCTTATTTTTTTCCCAGACAGACAGAGGGTGTTCAGCCCTAACTCTTATCCACGTGTAGGGCACTTGTGGCCCATATTCACCTGGGTTCACCTATATTTGGGAATTTAGTGCCAACAAACATAGTTTTCCAGGATTCTCGGAACCCCTGTGATGTGTGACTATGGTAATGTATACTCTATATTCATATAATAACGTGCTCGAATGTGGGCCAAAAGGGCACCATTGACGTTGATACTGGTCTTAAGACACATTGAAATCATTTAGACATTTCTTTGTGCTTCTAGTAGTGTTGAATGTATGAAGTTGACTAATGCTGGCCTCTCCCCACAGCTTGTGATGACGTTTTGGAGCTTCTGCTGCTGCATCAGGACAAAAATTACTGTTTTTTGAAGCCTTATCCTGGCATCCGGACCAAAAATGGGTTTGGAGGACCCTCATCCGCCATTCGGACAAAATTTTTGAAAAAGTGCTGAACCCTCGTTCAAATCGGACAAAAACATCGGATTTGGCCTCTCAGCGCTTAGACATTTTTGCCTCCGCTGGATAAGGGTTGCTGGCCTATTTTTTGAGGTCCTGCGAATACCCAAGCATAGCAGTTGATCTTCGAAGGATACGCTTATCGTGTCTTCCCATGACTTCGATACATGCTTCCATCTCTCTCACACCGGTGATGGTGTCACAACAGAACATGTTGGGCATCGTGCTGCCAGTGTGTTCCACCGTGGGGAGGGTTCGTTCCCCAGCCTACTACAGAAATGAACTATTCACCGCTATGTGCTCCTTCGGCACATGGAGCGGGTATAGCAACTGTACATTGTGGAAGGGAAACATACCCATCGGTCGGATCGTGCACGTAGGGTTCAGATAGCTAACGTCGAGTGTAGCGGCCTGACGTCACAACCCATAACTTTGTAAATCGTAGAAAAGGGACTTCTGAAAATACCACCTTTACTTATATCTTTCTAATGCTATGCTTAACTCACCTGAAAAAGCCTTGCCTATTTCTGGAAAACGGTACAGGAGTCTTAAGGATGCAAACCTAGTAGAGAGAAGTGGGGAAAAAGATGGAGGCCATTCGATGGTGGGCCGAACACCTTATATACATGACACCCTCCCCGACTCTATCTCAGATCGGGGCTTCGACGGGCTCTGATAGGTTCATTTCTAAAGTATATGACGAGTGTGAAAATCGATGACGTAGTGGTCAACAAGAAAGGTAAGTGGCAAGTGTCAAAAGGGGAATGCTTGTTACTAATAATGGTACTGATTCGTGAAGCCCTTTCCGCGGCATACTCTATACTCAGCTGTTCCTCTGGTACTCGGGCGTCATCGGGTCTTGTGGGGTGCTAGAAGACAACACAGGAGTCATCCCTATTTGCGAGTCACATTCCAGGCCCCCAACGGAAGCAGGGAGCTCGACCACATCATCTTCATACACTGGTGTCCCGAATCTACCAGAGTCCTTTGGCATCGCGTCGTACAGAGGTAGAGTCAAAGAATGAGTGCAGTATGAGAGACAGAGGGAGAGGTTCCAGAAAGAAGATGAGAATGTGCAATTTCTGTACCCCACTATCGTGCCGCGTTGATCTAAAAAGTCTCGTGCAAGAATAATCAGTCAGTCCATTTTATTTCTCTACCACAAGAGGGGGTGACTTTGAATCTCGACCACGAGATCGGTATAAAGGGCAAAAGAATAAAATGAGAAAATAAAATGACTCAGCGCTACAATCACCACCATGGCGTGGCGGTGTCAGACAGAGCAAGGAGTTCATCGATGTTGGTCCAATTCCCAGTATCACGGGAACGATCGAAGGATGCATAGAAAACATCTCCACCAGGGTATAGAGGTTCCTGTGAAAACCGGTGATCAGCGTCCGGATCATATGCAACTATACTCGAAAGCATCTGGTAGTCTTCAC